GGTTTTGTATCAGGGTGGACCTCCTCGCCTCATTCACCAGGATACACCCGCCGCGGTCGAGCCCTGGTCCAATCTTGGCCTTTTTTGCCGCCATGGCTTTCAACGTTTCCTCTGCGACAGCCCTCGGGCTGCTCTTCTCGGTGCGGTGTGTCTTCATGAAACTTCTTTGAGCCTGCTTCTCTGCATCACCGTGTGCGGCCTTCAGCAGCGTCATCGTGTCGGGTTCCAGGTGGTCTTGCACAGACTTGACTGAAACGTCAGGTGTGGTTATTCGTCCCTGTTCGTCTGACAGGAAGCGGGCTTTGTCACGGAGGAGGGTCTGAGGATCTGTGTGAGAAAGAGTTCTAGCGGGGGAAGTCGAAGAAGGTTGTGTGGGAGGATTAAAGAGAAATCTCGAGACATCAAAGGGTTTTGATGCTGTTCTGTTTTGCTTACCAATAGTCTTAGTTGTTGGGCCATCACCTAGCGTAGACGCGACTTTCTTCATGTGCTCCTCAATGTGCGCAAGCCAGTCTTTCCGAGTGTCAAATATCTCAGAGGGATGCAGAGAGCCGTCTCCGTCATCTACGAGGTACTCGCACCTCTTCCACCAGCAGATATAGCCACCTTCTTCTCGAAGTTGATCGGGGGTCGGTCGGTGGACTTTTGCGACATGTTTTCGGAGTGTCTCGAGGTTGTGAAGCTGTGACTTACAATGCCGCCAACGGCATTTGAAAACAGGAAGGCTTGGCGAAGCAGGTGAAGAGATGGAGACCTCGATTGAAGAGACATCCTGCACCGCGGCCCTCTTCATCGCTCCAATGCTGCTATGGAGGGTTTTAGCTCCAGGAGGGCGTCCAGGAGGGCGTCCAGGAGGGCGTCCAGGTCTCTTCACACTGGGAAATAGCGGCCCACTGCTCATTGTTTTTGATTCCCCCGAGACAGCCACTTGACTAGATGTCGATCGAGTCGACCGCCTTCGCTCTGAAACAGGAGAGGTTTTCAAGGGAATAAGGCTTCGTTTTCGCTTCAGAGGAGTGATTGGCGTCGGAGTAGACTTCGGTCGCTCGTCCGCATCTGCAGCCTCAGATCGTGGGGAAGCGTGAGAACCCTGTGATCTGACGCTGACTTGTGGGACTGCGACATGCGGCTGAGGCTGCTGAGGTCTTGACTGGATTTTTGCGACAGGAGGGACGACTTTGTCTTTGGCTTTGTCGGTCGCGGTCACGGGCGCGGTAGTGGGCGAGGGCGCAGGTGCGGACACGGGCGGGGTCATTTTGCGCTTTGCCGCATCTGGTAATACGTGTCTCGGCGCAGTACCCGCCTCAGACGGTGGAGGAACATGAGCCCTTGGACGTCGAATTCCTGCTTCCCCCAGACGAAATCGAGGAGGCTCGGTCGGGACATCGGCGTAAGGAACTTGAGGTACGGGGGGCCCTCCCGGATCGATCGCGTTCCAGTCAAAGGTGCTGAGATCAGAATCCATTTCCACGTATTTCCCAAGCAGACCTGCCATGTGCGCATTGAGTGGACGCTCAGTCGGATGCCTTCCGGCAGCGATCAAAATATCTCTAGCTATGGTTTTCGCATCGTAGTAGGTTTTTCGCAAGGCTTCCTTCCTGTCGATAGGCTTGGCAAGTAGTCTGATCGACCGGTGTGAGTGCTGCGCAGGTGGCGGCACAACCGATGGTGGAGCGAGTTGAGGTGAGGGATGAGTAGCAGGCGGATTGTGACCAAGTTGGTGTTGAGGGAGGCTGGGATTGAACCGCAGAGGCTCTGGGTAGCCAGGAGCCCGGAAGGGGACTGCAAGCGAAGACGCATTTGTAGTTGATGGTTGATTCTGATACTGCTGAAATAGATCTTTCGGTTCCAGGGGAGGGCTCTCAATCCGGGCTTGTTTCCTGGACATTACGTAGTCTTCATTGTCGCTCAATGCTGTTAGGTCGACCACCTCGGAGAAATCACGTTTTCGCGCCATTGCTTCCTTCGAGCCAGGTGCGGGCTCGGGACGAGCTTGATGGAGGGGTTTAGCGGGTCTTGCACGTTGCATTTGAGGGTACCGTGGTTGAGGGTGCGGGCCGGGAAAGGTAGGAGGCTTTGGTTTCGGGAAACCTTTGCTGAAGTTCGGAGAAGGAGCAGGGGTAGAAGCATTCACTAGCAGTGGCTGTGGATACACAGTAGCTGGTAGATGCGGAGCGACAGAAATTTCGGGAGCTGGTACCTGTCCTGGTACCGGTCCTGGAATCGGTATGGCAGGAGGTGCAACAACCGGAGTCTTCGAAGGCGGGCCTCTCAACTGTGGTACTTCGTTAAGGAGTTGTCGCGCAAACTGACCCCTATGGAACTTGAGGCCCTTGTTCTCGAGCATCAGGCACAAATCGATATAGCTGGGGTTCTGCTCAAGCATGCCGTGAACGTCTTCAGGGCTGATTTCGACCTTCTCATTCTCTGGGCTGGCCTTCAGGAATTTGACAGCAACGGCTGCAAGAGCATTCCGCTTACTCTCTGGCCACATAGTCTCACCATTCGGCTTACGAGGAGGGAGACCTTGTGTCAGTGGTGCTGTCTTCTCGATCGCCGGGACTCGGGGGGTTGAAGTGGGAGTTGAAGTTTGTTGCGCAGTAGGGGGAAAGGCTCCATTTTGGAGCGCGTTTGTCGCTGCCTGGCCCGTTTTCGGTTTTGTGGAGGTTCCTCCTATAGCATCTGTCTCCGACGAATGCTTGCCATTGTCTGTACTTCTGATCCGTCGTTCTGCAGGGAAACGACCCAAGTCAGGCAATCCTTCGGGATTGTTTTCAGAGACGACTCTATATCCGTTAAGCCTGGGTCCTTGCGAGAAACCAGAAAGAGCGTCCGACTTTGGTCTGGCAGTCTCCGTAGTGGGGATCATTGTAGATCGTTGGACAGGGGCCTTTTGAAATGTAAGTGGAGCAGAAGCGACTGCATTCGTTAAGAGTTGCTGGCGATCTTGGCCGTTTGGAGGAGCCGGATTAGTACTCGTCTGGAGAGAGGGCAAAGGCGACGGGATTGCTACCGACGGGACCGTTGATGTCTTTCGCATGTCGTCCCACAGCTTTTGGAAAAGGTTGGGATCTCTGTTCCGAAACTCTTGCATCTTTTCCATCATGGCCCGAAGTCCAGTCGCCATGTCTGCCTCGTCGTTCCTAGGACTCGAGTGCTTGTCGTGCTGAGGCTCATTCTCAGAGAGAGGCTTCTGTGAAGAAGGAGGAGCTATTTCGGTCTGCTTAGTCTTTTTCTCCGCTGCACCAGTCGCAGGAGCAGTTGCAGCTGCAGTAAGAGCCACTTGCTCTTGATTTTGCGCTGCGGCTAAAGCTTCTTCAGCTTTCTTTTTCGCGATAGCCTCTTCTTCGGCTTTCTTTCTCGCGGCAGCTTCTTGTTCTGTCTTTCGCTTGGCTTCGGCTTCTGCTAGAGCAGCGGCTTGCTGGCGCCTCCTTTCGTGCTCCTTGTGAAAGGGGTTGAACACCTGGGTAGGGTCGATGTAACTCGGCATTGACTGCGGTTCAAGTGTCGCTGTGTTTTGAATTCGGGCAGGCTCCTCAACTGAGTGCGTAACGAGGTTTGAGATGCTACTCACTGACTGAGCTTGAGGTTGGGCGTGCCGTTGCGCTGCCTCCAAGCTGGGGCGCCGTCTATACTGACCAGTGTTGGCAATCTGCCTGGTTTTTTCCTGAGTATTGGGTGCTGCTGAGTTAGTAGCCCTATAATTCGTCTGAGGTGTGGTGGAGGGCGGATGTCCGTGTCCTTGCGCCGTGATGATTTGAGGTTGATAGAACGGTGAGGCCGATCTCTGTGAAGCCGACTGTTGTACCGAAGCAGACGCTTCCGTTACTGGCGAAGCTGACGCATGTCCCCTCATTGCGGCGGATGCCTGTTGAAATCGGGCGCTGACATTCCCAGTCAAAGCCGTTGCTGAGGCTGACAACGAGTTCGGTTGATTTTGAGAGGAAAGACCAGTCCGGTATCCGTAGTTGGAGCGTGGATTGCTATCGTGTCGTGATGTGTCGTGCGTAGTGGTCGGGGACCGCACACGATTCACGGCAGTTGAAGGTTGAACTGAAGTTGAGGCTGTGGTTGAGTGCTTCTGGTGATGTCCATGTCGCTGCAAAACTGCATCATCCAATCCCGACGCGTACGCCAGATTGTTCAAACCTGAATTGCTCTGTCCTGCAATATTTGAGGATGGGGAGATGAAATAACTGCGTCCACCATCGCCTCCACCGCCTGGTGCGGTATGAATTGCATAGTTGGCGTGCTGGGTGCGATCATCGCGAGAGGGGATTTGTGTCCTCCCAGTATCCCACCCATCGCCATTGTATGTTGTCCGTTGACCCGCGCCACCTGGGTAGTCCTGCTGCGGTTGACCTGTCCACCCGTAGGCAGAGGAGCCATAGTGTTGTTGTTGGACATCCTCCGAATAGGACGCTTGCGTGGCATAGCGATTGTTCGCAGATGTATGTCTTCCAGGGTTATAGGAGTTGTTCATGTTCTCTTCTTGCGATTCGTAGGGGACTCCGTAGACTGTGAGCAAAGGATAAGACATCACAGAGCCTCCACTGCTAGTCGTTCACAGCGACTTGCTGCCCACCTCCCGCTCTAAAATGTTGCCCCTTGCCGAAATGCATCTCCCAGCCGTGTCGGCACGTCGGCGCGAGAATCGCGGACGAGAGGGGTCGAATTTATGTTGTATTAGAAAGAGCGTGTTCTCAGGGTAAGCGCCCTCGATCCCGATGCGATGCAGAAAGGTAAGGCAGAGCAACGACTCGTGTGCGGAAAGTGTGAGGCTGCAGGTGGACTCGGATATGAGACCCTCCTCCGTAGCGCGGAAGCGCAGTCTGTCAAATCTGCGTAGCCACACCCCATGGTCCACCGAAGTGAATTTCTTGGCACCCGACAAGTTTCGCACCACTGCAAAATCCCCCAAAAATTCGCAACGGCATATTGAGACTTCAGATCTCGCCTGTTGTTCGACATTCCTTTTCCACGCCAACCATCGCCCAACCATGACGAAGACGAACCATGGTATGAACGCCCTCTCCCTCTTGTGGTATCTCTCCCAAGATAAAAACCGAAATTAATATTGGGCTCACTGCAGGTCTTGCCTCGTCGAGGCGCAAGTCTCGCAAACTTCACTTCGGCGCCCCTTCCAGCGTGCGACGAACGATTATGAGCGCTCCCCTGAGCAAAGAACTAAGAGAAAAGCACAATGTACGAACTGAATCCATGGTCTCGCACACAACATGATCTGTGTGCTCTTTGGCCGACGTCCACCCATGATTCTAATGAAATACACAGGTCCGCAGCATCCCGATCCGCAAGGACGACGAAGTCACGATCGTGCGTGGCTCCAACAAGGGCCGTGAGGGCAAAGTCACCTCGGTCTACCGACTCAAATACCTCATCCACATCGAACGCGTGTCCCGAGAGAAGTCAAACGGCCAATCCGTCCCGATCGGCGTACATCCCAGCAAGGTTGTTGTGACGAAGCTCAAGCTCGACAAGGACCGGGAAAAGATCTTGGAAAGGATCGGCAAGGGCAGAGAGGCCGTGAAGTCCAAGGAGTAGAGGAGAAAAGAACTGGAGCGTTGCGTAGGGCATGGGGAACTTGCAAAACTTGGCTCTTGTCCCCAATGTACACGGGGTTTGAGGCTGGGGAAAAAACAATTCAATCGGACTCGGAGCATTCCTCGACGGTTTCCATGAGGATCGTTATCAACGACAATGAGTTGATAGAGACAAAGGCGTCACACATTACCCGCAGACCGGACGTCTCATTCGTGGCTTGAATGGAAAAAGAAACAATGACAAAAACGAGAATCATGTGCAAAGGAAAGAGTGTGCGGGCAGTCATACCCGTTGCGACCTGTTCGTCTCCATGCCTCCCTCGCACTTCCAGGGAAGAAGTCAACCCGCCTCAACGAGCTTCACGAAACGCATGTTCTCCCGCTCCTTCCTTCCCTTTCCCCTTCCCTTCCCTTTCCCCTTCCCTTCCCTTTCCCCTTCCCTTCCCTTTCCCCCCCCTCCCACATCTGCGGCCCGGGTGGTTGCCCCGAAAGAAATCTTCTGCAACATTCTATTTGTCTGTTGTTGTTGTTGTTATTCTTGCCAGTATTATCTCCTTGTCTACCGATCTTCCCGTGGTTACCCAAGGTATACGGCTGGCGCAAATTGAACCCCCTTTTCCCCCATTATTATTCACAAAAAGTGGATGTGGGGGAAACGCTCGCCGGCAGACTGTCTACAAGGACACGATTCCAATGAGTTGCAGGATTTGATGGCGAGGGACAAATTCATTGCTCTTTTGTGTTTGTTTTTGAGATCGTGCCCTGTTCTGTTCTCCCCGACTTACCTCTTTCCTCTCATGCTGTCGAACTATCTCCCTTGTGATCCACCCGTGAGGTTCGTGCTCGCCTTGTGGTGTCCCCTTCGTGCAGGAGCTATGTCCAGTCTACATGTACTGGCCGTGCCCCAAAAAAGACAGAGAAGAGAAAGATGCCGAAACTGTTCGTGCTTGAGCCGCGAGTAGGATACCCAGTCAAGAGCATACTACTTAGAGATACCCAGTACCTAGGTGATTAGGAGAGGGTATCTCACCGTATCGGTGACCGGTGACCGGTGGCCACTCGACACTCGACGCTGGATTCTGGATGGATGGATGGTATGTAGGTCGGCGCTGCGAATACGAGTATCTGGATGCCGAGACTCCGCACCACCATACAGTAGGAACCCTTCGCATATTACCTCATGCTTCTTGGCACCAGTTCGTACAAAATCTTCAAGGTATTGTGGGCCTCAACCACACAAATCGCAATTATTACCTTCCCATGCTACCTATCCATATATACTACGAAGCGTTTAGCGAGGTTACAAGTGTCACACACGTGCACACAGCCTGTAAACACAAAGTACTATGAATGTTTCAATTACCTGAATTCTTTTGGTGTTGTGTAAATCCCTACCTACCTAGATACTGTAAGTTCTTTATACCCCCAGTCACAAACACCATGCGAGAGTCTTTCATCTTTTCAGGACAAATACCGGATACACCGACAGAGGCTACAATAACAATGAACTGAGTTCGTCGTGGGGCATCACCTCCGGTCTAGATAACTCCAGAGACATCTACGGACCTGCTTCCCCGTGTGCGAAGATGTTTGCGTTGTGTTGTGTTCCTCAAAACTGCTTCTCAATGATACCATTTGCAGCGTTCATCGTCCCACGCTCCGTCGTCGGTGGCGGCACATCCATCCCGGTGACCTTGGAAAGATACCTGTGGAGGCCCTCCTCGCCGTCCTCGTGCTCGGCGTGGCCCTGCTGGATCTTCTGTAGACTGTCGCGCATGAGGAACTCGTAATATCCCGTGGCGAAGATGGTGGCGGGGATGTTGACCAGGATGGAGATCCACGAGTAGCCGTTGTCGAAGCTAAAGGCCTCGCCGCCGAAGAAGATGGCCGCGACGATGCGCGTCCCCAGGTCCCTGGCCAGGTTGGTCGAGATGCTGTTCCCCGCGAAGCCCCAGACCATGGTCGCGTAGACTAGGCCGATGGTGAAGGGCGCGGACGACGGGCTGACGAACGGGTTGGCCGGGTCGAGACACGCCCAGATCAGGATGCCGATGTAGCTGTCGACAAAGAATTCCTGGAAGAACAGGTACCCCTGGTTGTGCTGGTCCGGGTTGGGGAACGTGCAGAATATGCTGGCCACTCCGCCATTGTAGACCGCAGTTCCGTGCTCTTTGAGATCGATGGCTTTGGCTGCTTGGATCTGCGGCCAGTAGCACGCCATGAGGAACAGACCGGCTATGAACGCGCCAAAGATCTGGGAGAAGATGTAGTGGGGGACTTTCTTCCATGGGAAGCCTAATGGTTGGACAGTTGTTAGCTCCCTGAAAGTATACTCTCCTCCAAAATTCACCTTGGGGGTCGCAACCAGGGAGAAAGACAGCTCGACTTACCTTGCCAAATAGCGAAACAAATGGTGATAGCCGGGTTGAAGTGCCCACCGCTAGTGGGTGCACAGGTAATGATGGCAAACGCGATGCCCAAGGCGAACGCACAACCGATCTGGAAAAGAGTCCCAAAGACCGGGATTCCCACGGCCGCCCCGACGCCATTGGTGGTGGCAAGGGTGAATGAGGCCACGGAGGCGATACCAGGGAACACGTAGAAGAACACGCCGGTGCTAGTATTACTGTTAGCCCCAGCACATATAACTCGGAAATGGGTAGATCGGCCAGTCAAAGATATCGGAGGGAACGATCGAGCACTAGGTTGGGACTACTCACGCTTCCGCCATCATTTCTCGCAGAATCCGCGGTCGTTTGTGCTCAAAATTGAGCTTCCGCTGGGACACGGCCTTTGGCGCAACCACATGGCGAGTGATATGGCGCTGGAGCACCTCGGAGACACCGAGTTCGATGTCGTGCGTATGCTGTCGAACCAGCGGGTCCGGATGGTTGCTGGCCATGGCTGCTGTGCGTCTTCGCTTGCGGGCCGACTGTGATTAATATTCAAGAACCTGGGGACGCTGCCTCTGACACAGTCTGGGGGGAGGACGATCTGGGGAATTGAGGGGATGGAAGAGTAATCAGGAAAATTAAAATCTCTCAAAACCTGGGGGACGTGACGGTAGAAGTAGACCGCGACCTGCTTCCACGAGCACACTCAATGCCACGTTCTTGGTTTCCACCTCGTTGATTCATAACCAGCATGCATTCCGAACCTACCGTTTGGAGCGCAATCCGAGCATCAAGAACTGCTCGGGTGAAAACCGAATCCACTTGTGGATTAGAGAGCAGGAGGGTCATTCACTGACGAGGCGTGCAACCGCAACGAGGGGACCCGGTAGTTGCGGTATCAGCAACGCGTGCCGAATGGAACAGGGCACTGGGCCGTCATGATGAAGCAATGCAAGCTCCTCGACCTGTCACGAGAGATTTCCCGCCAGACAAGGGGGCATTGCTTGACCAGAGACAAGCTTCACCTGCACGCCACCATTCCAGATCGGCGAGTCGCCTTCCCTGATGGGGTAGGACATGTTCGGGCAGGGGTAAATGCTGCGAGGCTAGGATGTGATGAGGAAGGTAGCGAGAGGCAGACTCAGGTGGCCGGAGCCCGGGTGGAAGTGAATGTTGGGTATTGTTCGGCAATGGTGTTGAATGATTCGTGGTGCTTAACAGATCCAGCGCTGGTGGCGCACAAAACAGCCTCGGCGGAAGAGATTGATGGGTGCGTCATCGTCGCTGTCAACGTCAGCCTTCAGAATCGAACAAGGCACCGGCGGGGGGATGGGAATGAGCGGAGGCGGAGATAAAGCGAACAGCGAGTATGCGACTGCAACAATGTCACTCGATGTTTCCCCCCCGTGGGTCGCTGGGGTCTCCATGTGGAGGGGAAGATGAGTTGATTGCGTATCATTTGGTCCGGCGTCCCGTTCGACTCCACTCCCTTCATACATGGTGATGCATCGTCGTCTTGAATTGGCCCGAGACACAGTCGTCTGAAAGTTCCAGCAAGGGGACTTCGTACTGCTACATACGGCACCTCTCCGGTCGAGTCCGTCCGGTATAGCCCTTGGACGCTGGCCGAAGTTCCGAGTGCGCTCTGCGTTCTCCTGGATGTCGAGTAGCGGTGGCTGAAAACGACTGTAGGAAATGCTGAGCAAAGCATTGCAAAGGTTTAGCCTAACCGGAGATGATGCCATATACATACACACCCACACACACACAATGAGCTTGGGCGTATCGGTAGTGAGAATACGACACCCCCTCTGTGGAAAAAGAATAGCCAAACTACACAACTAGGGCCAATGATGTTGTCCGTTCTGTCGGCCTAAGGCAGATATAAATAAATTTTTCATTGCCACCTAAGTCACTACAGGGAATCTAGTTGCTACCCCTCCGGTGGACTCGAAACGTACTTGTCCTGTCCCTCGGAACCGACGCGTCTCGGAGGACGAAGAGAGCGAGTCTGTGGAATCTTTTTCAAATTCAAAAAGCAAAAGGTGCTTGGGATGCGGAGAGCGGGCGAAATTCCGTCCGCTCAAGCCAAAGAAAAAAATATTCCCCAGAGAGGGTCCAGAAGGTGGGCTTCATGTCCACCGGAGACCAGATAGCCAGACTCGAAATACCACCCGGCCCGAGTTGTGCACAGTTGCCTTCACCATTTCTCAACGGCAGGCCTTATGTCGATTTCATTGGTGAAGCAAGTCCTGGGTTGGGTATGCAGATACCAATATGAGTCGGCAATGGCCTCTGGCTTGATCTTAGCTTCGGGGTGGTCGAACTTCCACTCCTTCGTCCGCTCGATATCAATCACCCCATCAATGATTGCGTGAACTACATGCACGCCCTTGGGCCCAAACTCTCTTGCCAGAGACTGTGCCAGTGCCCTCATTGCAAATTTGCCAGTGGCAAAGGACGCACACAGAGCGGAGCCTTTCATGGCTGCTGTGGCAGATGTGAAAATGAGGGTAGGTGGGTACTCTGCGTTTGTGTTTTTGAGAAGGAGAGGGAGGATGGCCTGAGAGAAGTGGAACGCTCCTCGCCTGATCAGATGATAAGTCACATTAGCAATCTGTCCCCTTTTTTCCCAAGGTATCAAGTGTCCCCCGTCTTTTACTCACCCGTTGGCTTCCCATCCACTCTCAAACTCTTCGTCCGTCAGCTCCAGGAACGGCTTCCTCACAAATCTGCCTCCAACATTGTAGATTGCGGCTGCGATCGATGCACCTCCTATCTCTTTCTGCAACTGCTCAAAGGCAGCCTTGACACTTTTGCTGTCGGAGGTATCGGTGCTGATACCAATGGCCTTGCCGCCGGCGGCATTGATCTCGTCCACGACAGGCTCAAAGTTTGCCCGGTTTCGAGCGAGGAGGGCGACGGAATAGTGCTGTGCGAAGCGACGAGCGACAGAGGCACCTCTGTCCCAGGTTTAGTATGGGGCCTGAGTGAGCTTCCTGATGGATTTCCGGGGTCGAGACTTACGTGCCAGGGCCAACACCGGCAACCACAGCCCATGCTTTTTGAGATGCCATTGTGGGAGAAGTCAACCTTTGAACTTCGACGCGAAGTCTATTGTGAGCAGATTGTCTCGCAGTTGTTGTCATACACGTCTGGAAGAGAGACGGCCAGGTGAAAGGGCAGCGGACACAACACACTTCAATTGAGTCTTGAGTCGGCGACCGAAGAGAGTGAGATCGTCAAACAGAGAGTAATGCAGTCACGTTTTCGTGTCAATTGAGCTTCATGGGAGACCTTTAAGACTGTTCTCCAAGATCGTCCAGCCCCGCAATGATGTGCTCGCGGGTTACAAATCGACGAACTGGCGGCACCAGTGGTTGTTTCCGAGAATCACTAATCCCAGTAAGTGACATAAACAAGGCTTCCAGAATACGAGGACAGACTGCGATTCAGCATGTGTTTTACCCCGCTATCATTGACCCCAAAGCTCGTCATCACACTAATTAGTCAGCAATCTACGCCCCCAAACTCACCAGGCACCAGGCACAGGCAGGGTCACAATTAGAGGAACCCTGCGAGGATGGACAAGCTTTCTACACCAAGCAGTACAATACACAGCATCGATAATGCCCAGCATTGATATTCCACCTTTGACAAGTTCCCGAGAACCGCTACAGTCGACCCTATATGTCATCCCCTGACTGGCAAATCTATCCATCCGTCAGACTTTCGACGCCGCCACAGCAGTAGCATCCTCGACTGTCTCGACCACAACACCCGTCTTCGTCCCATCACCACCAGTCTCCTTCAGTGCGACCTCCCGTGCCCTCTCAGAGCTCACACATTGGTACTTCTTGAAGTCGCGGACAGAGACGCGGTTCTGGAAAAGCTCGTCCAACTCTTCGAGAGAGCGGTCTTTCATTTCGGGGAGCAGGAAGAAGAAGAAGACTAGACGATACAAAAGCGAGATGACGGTCAGTGATCGGTGCAAACTCTTTCGCATTTGACTTCGCGGATTGTGATCAAATCTCGAGGTAGGGGATTGGTCAAAGTTTCCTTTGTGATTGATTCAAGACATATGTAAAGTGGACCGGGACAGGCTCAACTTACGGAAGACACAGAAATTCGACCCTGCCCATATAAATGCATACTTGCCGCCCCAGTTCAATTGGGTCGGATTGATGAAGTAAGGGGCGGTATAAGACGTGAGCCCTGCCAGGAAGCCATGAATGATCAGCACACAGACCGCATATTCAACATGACGCTGATAATGGACAGATAACAAAGACACTCACAGTTGAAGAAGTAATTGATGCCCGTGCACAGGCCAATGGTGAGGACACGGAGACGTGAGCTGCAGACCTCGGTGGCGATGGGCCAGCTGAGCGTGCCGGAGAAGCCATTGTAGAAGAATCCATAGAGGACCATGAAGGCAACGATGGCCGATCCAGCGGGCTTCGACGTGCCACCCGTGACATACGCGACGCCGATGGCCAGCATGCAGAGCGAAGCCATGGCCGAGCCGAAGAGCATCGAGGTGCGACGCCCAATGACCTTTGTGGTGAAGTAGAGACCCACGAGCACACCGGCGAAGCTACCGCAAGTCGAGATGATCGAGGCCTCGAACGGCTTGTCCACGCCGGCGATCTGGAAGAAGAAGGTGCCATAGCCGATGATGAGCCAGAGCCCGGCGGCCGAGTGCGACATGATGGTACCCCAGCAGATGATGGTCCGCCTCAAGTCGGTGCCCTTGAAGATGTCAAAGTAAGAAGCCGAAGAGGCCAGTTCCTTTTCCTCCTCAATGCCCCGGACCATCTCGACATACTCTTCGTTCAGGAACTCGGGCGCTAGAGAACTGCCTCGAAGTTTCTCGAGAGCCCGTCTCGCCTGCTCGGGTTTGTTGTGCACGAGCAGCCATCTAGAGGGGAAGAAAACTCAGCTATATCCTTTGTCACAGGTCAACGGCTATTGGGTCTTTGTACCTTGGAGACTCTGGGATGAAGAACATGAAGATGCTCAGAAGAAACGGCACTGCAAACATGGTCGCCAGCGGGATCTGGTAGCACAGCTTATTCACATGCTGTTTCGAGTAGTTGTTGGCCACAGCGCCCAGCACACTTCCGATATTGACCCAGACTCCGAAGAAAGAGACCAGCAGGCCACGAAGATGGGCTGGGGCTACCTCGGCAACCCAGATGTTGGCAAATGTGATGAAGTATCCGTTGGCCAACCCGATGAGAGCTCTGCCAGCGTAGAGCCCGCCGATGGAAGTCGTGCCGACCTGGACGCCCGCGGCCACGAAGTTGATGATCGAGGCCACCCAGATGCCCTCCCGACGACCAAAGTAGCGGGCAAAAGGGGCCGTGACAAAGACACCGGCGATGGTTCCCACGTTGATCAGACTGGTCATCAGCTGCTGTGTCTGCGTGTCAATTCCCCAGCCGGTCGGGGAATCGGGGTCGCGATATCCAAAGATTTCGAGGAACTGCCGCCAGCGTGTCAGTACGGGACCGAGCTCTATCCCAGATGGACAGGAGTGATGGGACACTTACGCCAATCATGGCCTGGAAACCCCCGACAGTGGCCGTGTCGAAGCCGTACTGACAATTTGCCATCGAGACGGCAAGGCAGAACAACAGACATTTCATGTTCGCCTTGATGGGCGTGACCCTCTCTTTGCTGATACCCATGGCTGATCGTTTAGGGGGAATAGATCTTCAAGAGGAAGAAAAGGCCAGAACGCGCAGGGTGCAGTGTGCAAGGTATAGTATGCAGTACTCGCGGAGCTTTCTCTTGCCTGTTTTTGTTACAAACAGACCGATCCCTTTTCCTTTTCTTTTTTCCCTCCACTACAGCGCGCAACAAAGTGGGCGAGACAAGGCATTTTTGAAGACACACATCTCCATTATACCAGCATCGGCGCCCACTATACCGACGCGACGGGGCCATACCTACTTTGACTCCAAATGTGGACGTACCCTAGTTGCCTAGGTACTCGAAGCATGACCATGACCATGACCATGACCGTGGCTCATGATCTCCCTCCCCGCAGAGATGGGGCTCTTTTTTCTTTGTGGGCGTGGACGTGGGTCAATATACAGATCCGGGGTGGTGACACTGGGGGACATCGGGGACAACTGGGGTAACGAGGGTAAAGAAACCCAAGGATAAATAACTCCAGATGGCCCGCCCCTTGAGCCCGACGAGTAAGCCCTGCATGGACAAGAAGTTCCAAGAGGCTCTAACGAGCGTCTAAGACTCTGCTTGGAGGTGGACGCCTTGACGCCCCATTCTTGGCTTTTGGGGGGCCCTTCTTGAGGAGCTTCACAAGTGAGAGTGCCAGCCAACCCTCGCATTTGATTTACATTCTGTCCAAGAGAAGAGGAGAAGGGTGCATATGCCGAAGCGAACCTGCCACCTGCCAAGAGACCAAGTCACCAAGCGACCAAGACCGACTTAAGCACGACTTGTGGTACATGTACGAGGAAGCTTTGTTTTGCTTGCCTGAGAGCCGTGCTTGCTTTGCAGGGAGGAGAAGAGGTGAGCAAGTGACTGACTGACTGAGAACCCGTCCCATATCGTGCCGTGCCATACAACGCTATATGTTATGTATCACGTATTATGTAAGACGTAACATGTTATAGTATACATATACCCCGTACTCTGTCCCCGCGGGCGGCGAGGTGGTGGCGTCCCTCGTACTTCATGCTGTTAGCCCCATGCCCCGCAATATAGTCGGTCTGATTCAATCTGACAATATAATCTGATACCTACCAGCCTACCTACCTAGCTACCTGAGTAAGTAAGTACCTAGGTAATATACTGGATCGGGCAGGGCCCTTCGGGTGCGAGTATGTATTATGGGGGTGCGGGCCCACTGGAGTTGGAGTCATCATCTATTTACACTCTACCCGACTCGCCGAGTCAGTCAGTTCGTCGGTCAGTCAGCCAGTCAAACGACCACCAAGCCATTCACCAAGTCACTTAATTACTCGGTATGTAGCACGTTAGCTAGTCAACGGGCAAGTCGGTACGTCGGGTAAGTAAGTTAAGTCGGTCAACTAACCCACGGCGGAAATAGATCTATCACCGTCGACCGTCGGCAAGGAGAAATCGTCGTTGGGGGGGCCCCCCCGGGGGGGGGGGGGGGGTTGGGAGGTTGGAGAAGCAGGAAAGGAATGACTTACCGTACCGAACCGAATACTCGGTACTCGGTACAAGGTACGGGGTATGTATATCGTGCCAGCCATTGCGTTCGTTTCCAAGATTGTGGGGGTGGATGGAAAAGGACAGGACAGGACAGGACAGGATAAGAAAGGAGGTGGAGGGTAGGTGGGTGGGTGGGTGAGTGGGATCTATGTAGAGAGTCAGGCTTTGACGAGTCCGGATCTGCACGATGGTACTATGGCACGATGGCACGATGGCACTACGGAGTAGATGCAGGTAAGTACTCGGTATTCAAGCGCCAAAGGTCAAAGCTCAAAGCTCAAGAGACGTGGGTTTCTCGCCTCGCCTCGCCTCGCCTCGGCGGTGTTGGAGATGTAATGAAATATCGGTTATTTAGTACTGGCTACTCTCTACTCGTGACACGTAAGTCGTAGAGAAACGAGAGACAAGAGATACCATCTCCCACAAATACTGGGTACGATAGCTTGAGGGTGATACCTAGATACCCAATACCTTGGGGATCCAGCCAGATCAACAGATATCAATGCGACTCAACATCAAACAGTCAATGACCCGACCCCGACCCCAGTCCAGTGACCATAACCATCTGTGCCATGTCAAACTGGCTAACAACTACCAACCCCTTCGGAAGATGAACTCCGTGCTCCCTTTTCTCCGTTTGATGCTCCAAAAACTCACAAACTCACAAACCCTCCCGCGGCCGCAGAGCCAGACCTTCCATCTCCAGGGCTTCCAAGTCCTGATCTCTTGTCCTTCTCGCATCAGCCCAAAGCTCCACGGCGGCCGGGTTGAGGATAATATCCAACCACATGAACGCCGCCAAACACTCTTCGACTTGGTGCCATGAGAGAACGTCAATGAACGACATGACGTCGGCGAGCTGCTCCACGAACCACGTCCTCTCGGCGTTTGCGTCGGTGACGCCGTCGTCGACTTGGATCCCGCCCAGCACGAGTGCCCAGAGCATCATGCGCTTACACGTGTCCGGGAAGAGTTGCCATGGATTCGCCCTCTCGCTCTCCATGATTGCCTCGCGCAGTGCCCCGGCGAGAATTCTGCTCGTGCCGCCGCTGGGGTTCATCGGAAAGAGGATCAGGTTACTATATATGCGTAGGGCGATGCGGGCGATGTCGTAAATGTGGTCCGAGAACGTCTCGGACATAGAATGCGTCTCATCGTCAACTTCGGTGGTGGGCAAGAGGCTTAGGAGGAGATATTGAGCATCGTTGCGGGCGTTGATGATATCGGCAAAGACCATGGATGGTCCGTACTTGCTCAGGTAACAGTCGAGTGCGGCATTGGCGGCCAGCATTGCCCGAACAGTTTGAAGAAGCTCTGGTCTCACCGAGGGACGAAGGGGTAGTTGACCCCAGACCGTACATTGGGAATCCCATTTGATTCCTGACTTTGTCAACAAGTGAGACAGGTCTTGTACGGCCGCAAAGGTGGGTGGGCTCATCGGAAGGACATAGAGTTGGGAATTGGTCTGTGAGGCAATGAGCAAATCGCATCTGTGTGAGGATTAGCACTCTTCCAAACACTTGACCGGAGGGAAAACTGACAGAGCAACCACGCTGGCAACCCCGACCGATTGGATCTGGGAGCATCCGCCTTTCATGATCACCAGCCGGACCAACGCTTCCGAGTGCGCGCTGGGGAATGGATTGGTGCTATAGACGTGCAGAAACTGTGCCGTCCTGAGCGGCGAATGGAAGCGCGAGGGTTTCGCCACTCTAAGAAACGACCCTCTCGCCTGGTTTATGAACCCGGCCGAATTGCCAGCAAGCACGATGATGGCTCCAAGCAGCTCGTCGGATGGTGGGCCAGTCATCCCCTCGATTTCTTGATTGACGAGTTTGATCATCTCGACGCGGTAAGCGAGGCATAGCTTGGTGAACGCCTTGGTCTTCACATTGGGCCCGCTCAGGAGCTCATAGTTTTCGGCAGATGCAACCATATATGCGTAGAATGCAAGCGGGGAGCTCCTGATCGACTCCATGTAGGCGTCGTTGACGGGATTGACCACGTTTGGTGCTTTGCTGGGAGTTAAGCCGGGCCAGAAGAGTCTCACGGCTGGTATACCAAGTTAGCCATTCCCAAGCATGAGTTGAATCATCGAGTACGACTACCGAAACATACCATGATCAACCATTTCACCTACCAGACCAGGAATATCAGAGACGGCGTAGCGCGCAAATGGGTCTCCCCTCGCCTGGCTGAGAATGTTGGCAGGGTGATCCTGTGGGCTCTTGTACGGCACGACCGCAACAGAACTCTGCTCTCTATCCTCGGCGTCTTTCGGTAGCTTGCGTCGCGAAGTTGGCTCGCTGTGTGCTTTCCAGGCCAAAAACTTGTGGATGGTTCTCCCAGGTTCAAATTCGACCGCCTTGCGCCTTTTCCGACGTCTCGCCTTGGCTGTGTGTGATGCAACTGCGAAGCGCGTTTCATCACTGACCATGTCCGCCGGCTGAGTGATAGTAATGAAGCTCTCCGGTGTTATGAGCGGCTTATCCGCCATCCCTGAATATGTTTTATTGTTGAACACCATCAACAGCAGAAAGCTGGCGCAGATGATCGGCGAACCCTTCGACTGTGGTCGGCGTCTTCAATGATATTGCAGAAGTAGACGTGTGAAGGATGTGACAAAGTCCACCCATCTCCAAGTCCGAGGGTGTCAGTGGACTTTGATGCTCATGATCCATCACGGCAGTCCTGCTGTGCGGCTAGTCGAAAGGCCAGCTTCACAGACATTCGCTGAAGCTATTGGCGCTCTCAATGCATCAAGATGAGCGGACCTACGATAATGTCTTGGACAAGAGGTTCGAATATGGAATGAGACGGCGCGATCCCTCAAAACATGATGGCTAAACGGTGTAACTCTTGTAGAGACGGCTGCGATGGTCGATTTCTCCGCTGGTTCCTGAAGCTGAGGGGGAAACCGACTTCCCAAGTGCCTCGTATTTCGGCTTGGCGATGAATGCCTTTTCGAGGTTGGCTTTGCTTGGTGAGGCTTGGGAGGCAGTGCTGATTAATGGTTCCTCTTCAGCTGTGACCTGAGACTTCCGCGGCTAGAGAGAGGTCAAGGTATGGATTCGCTTCTAGGGGCCAAGGCTCGTACACACGCGGGATCGCGGTATCGTGTCCCGCTAAAGACCATTTGTGGCATATGGTGAATGCTCCTCGGAGGTTCGTGTATCTCAGATCCCAACCTCGTTTGCACGTCGCAGGCCTGATGATTGGATCATTGACATTTAGCCTCTTGAATGTTGTATTCTTGAGAAAGAAGCAGACCATCTATGGGAGACTCTCTGGTTGCAATTCTGCTCGGTACATCATAAGAAAGCAAATGTCAATGCAGGTAGCGGGACAGAGAGAGATGCGATCGGGGCTTAGGAGGATACGCGTCACATGAGCTTGTCAAGCTCCATCTTGCCTCAGACACAGGCCTCACCTTATGTCTTTAGACGCGAGATAGAAGTGTCTCAGACTGCTAGGGGACTCAGAAGCTTGATGGATTTGACAATCTGATAAAGTCAGGTGGAAAAGTATGAGGTTTGCACACGGCTCCATCCATTATATATATGTATGTATACAAGATATACCGACGGCGGTCGCACTGTGTTATAGAAGCGTCGTCGCGTTTGTGATGATATGATCCACTTGTGCCTGAATTTGTGGCAAGACGAGGCTGCCGCGACAGGGGTAGTAATATGCTGAAATCGCTAAGTCTCGATCTCCAGACGGAAAGCAGCGTCCGGGGCCCGTGAGGCACGCAGGGACGATAACCGCGATCCAGATCCTCGACGGATTTCTTTGATCTTGTGATCGTAAGCCGCGCTCAGGTCCACCACTCGCCGCTGCAGCCCTTTGACCCTTTGGCATGTGCTTCTTCGTATCCTGAACCGGCGCTTTCGTCATAGTCCGGACTAATGGTCTGGCTCTGAACTGGAAGAAGCTCATTTGTAGTGTTGGCAAGTGGACGATCTTGCTGTACAATTTGTTGGCACATATGATATTGACAGGCCATGTTTTCAGACTAGCATTTACCAAATCTGACATCGAGGCATACCCAGCTATTACTAGGCTGGTTGTTGAGTGATACCCATGTAGTGGGATATCGCACCAACCCTGTTATTGCATGTTAGTTACCTGAATGTTCAGTTCAGGTCAAGACACACCATTACTTCGAACGTGCAAACCTTCTGGTTTCAGCCTCTCAGTCCTTTACACTCCCGAAGATAACAGGGACCTTGCCTCGATCGTGAGGTGAAGTGTATTTGGTTGTAATATGGTGAGAGATGATGCACCCTCAACTCAAGACCCCAATAATAAACAAGTGCTTGTTGTATTGCCCAGGCATGCAGAAACTTCGTGCATACGCTTCGCAGCCTTGCAAAATCGGGTTACATCCATTGCATTGGTACCGTGAGAAGGAGCTATGCCAGCCCGCATGTTCTGAATCAATCACAATTTGGAAGGTCTCCTGCGTTCCATGACGGTTGTCTGATCAGCGTGTGGCGTGGGTACGGCCTCGTCTGCAAAGATTTGTTGGTTGAGTCTCGCCGCCAGTGAAAGCACACGGGTTGAGACGGCGGCCCCGTCGCGCCTGTTTTTCCCTTCTCGACGATATTGTGCAATCTTCTCAATAAAGTCCCATAAGCGACCGGATGGACTCAGTTCCCCAGTGTTTGGATCTCTTTGAGGTGCCCAATCAGGAGCGAGCCGCACGGTGACTTTTGCCTTTGACTCTGTACCTTTCGCGACATCAATAATACCTTCTTCTTGGAACCGATTGTAGGCGTTTTTGAGGGCTTCTTTGTTGACTGCTTCAAAGTAAGACAAATCGCCCTGGTGATACAGCGTGCGACCAGCAAGCTGGGCCATATTTTGAGCCTTTTGCATGTCAACCCAGCCTGCAGACGAGGCTGGAGGTACCAATGCCAGTAAAGAGACAGCGCCGAGCCATGCAGCATCCACAAACGGCCAGATGAGGAAACAATACAAGTCGTAATTCTCTCTGCCTGACTTCCGTTCGGCATCAGAGAGACCGACCATTCTTTCAGAGTCTTCCGTAACCCTGAGGACATCATCTCGCACCAACCCCTGCATCGCCTGTTCCAGGTTGTGTCGCAGACCTTGACCCGCAGGGAAGATGAACTCTCCTCGAAACAGTTGCGATAAGAAGGTAACTTTATCTGTCAACTCGGCTTCAGGCATACGTTGATTCGCGCTCCCACCTCCCTGTTTCACCTTGGTGTACAAGGCCGTCGCAATCAGCGCTTCTGAGATGAAGAGGTGGATTGTCATATTTCTGTAGAATGACAGCTGAAAGCGGTCAACGGCGTAATAGGTCTCCTCTGCAAGGCCATCAACTGTACCGACAAGCTTCGGCCCAAGAACATCCAGCGCCCTTTCGACAACATAAGAGGTGGGCATGCCTCTGAAATCTGCCACTTTGCCACCATTTGCCCTTATACGTTTGCAGAGCCAGTCAACTCGACGAACCAGCTCGGACTTGCCAACCCCGCGGCCACGTATCGTCAATAGGACAGTCCCAACGAGGGCTGTGGGCATGATCACCGAAGCTGCATTAATGTCAGAGAGGACTCTGTATCCGAGGGTTCGTAGCAGCCGAAGTCTACTGTTGGAACTTGAGGAAGCTGCTTCAGCGATGGCGGCCGGGGTCTGACGAGCTTGCTGCTCCTTGATAAAGTCTTTCAAGCTCCAAGGCTCGTGGAATCTGCAGTCGATTCGACCCAGGTTGAGCGACAGAACAGAGGACGCCGAGATGAAGTCGGCAAGATTCTCCTTCCGTTTGGGGGTTCCCAAGAGTTCATTGACGTATGAATCAACCTCAATCACTTTGTCGTACTGCAAGGATACCGGGCAAACATACGCGTCTTCCGTTCGGCCTGAAATAACCGAGTCGAGGAGGAATCTGAGGAAGCCAAAGCGAGGTCCTAGTAATTTGCCAGTGCGACTTCTTGTGCCTTCAATAAAACACTCCAGGTTGAGTCCCTGTTGGAGGAGGGTGTCCAGATAGGACTGTACGAGTGTCGTATAAAGCTGATCATTCCCAAAGCTTCGCCTTATCCACATGGCCCCAGTGTTTTGTAAGAAGCTGCCGACGAGTGGGAAATTCAGGTTGTCGCCAGCGACGACAACCGGAAGGGTCAGGCCCAGGCGGTAGCACACAAGGTGTAAGGTGACATAGTCAACATGGCTCGTATGCCGGGGTAGAAATATGATGGATTGTTTCTTTTTGGCCGCCAGTGTTGCAACTTCACGGAGTCTTCTGACCTCGGCTTCAGAGACATGGATCGCACTGTATGCTCTGGTGAGCAACTGCGTGGTCCCGTAGAAAGCTGCCCGAATGTACATCTTGCTTTCCATCTTGCAAACCATTTTATCCAGCATGTCAGCGGTGATCTCCATCAGTTGTGACGTGATTTCATGCCTTCGCTTCTCTCTCTCGGGCAGATACATCGGGCTGGTGGTATCCAGGAGATGTTCCTTCTCTTCAACTTTCAAGCGCTCCTCGGTCAGCTCGACGATCTTCTGCCGCAAGAGAGGAGACGCCATGACCGCGTTCTTGACATTGGCTGTGTAGCCCGGGTAGAAAACTGGCTGTCCGATTGGATTGTCATAGGCTCGCCATCCCACGCCTCGGACAAACAGTGATATCTCATGTGCGAAGGTGAATGGGTTGGTGCGGAAGCGCTGCATGCGCGTGAGGATGCTGCGATCGGTGAAGTCATCTTGCGAGGCGGACTCACCCTCGGGCCGGACGAGCTCAGTCATTGATGAGGCTTGTGAGAGGAAAGATTGTCAGACCAGTGATGCATCAGTTGCGCGTACAGTATTGTGGGAAGTCTTGCAGTGACTCTTGAACGCTCAGTGATGGCCAGGAAGCAGCCAGGCAGCCAATCGTAAGGTGCGTAGTACCTATGGACAGTATGTACGAGTATGTTCGGAGGGACGCAGTTCAAGCGACTGTTGCCCCAAAAACACCCCAGACTTTCTGGTTCCCCCCACGACCGTCTTACATAAGCGGCATGCCACCTCAGCCTTACAGACTCAGCCTTGTGGTCTCCGGTATGTTTTTTTGACCCCAGCCATTTTCCAATTCTCTGTAGGTCGAGGACATACAAGCACGTAGCCAAGCTCCAGATGTTTCCTATAGGTGCAGATTAAATGACAGAACATTCCAGCAAAGGATTTTCCAGCTCTTTCAACCGTGCCTTGGATATGTAGGTATGGTGAACAGCGACATATCTCTATCCCCGTATGGGGTTTGCTCTCGGACAGGGTGTCGGGCTTTTCAATCGACCGTCAAGAGTTGCTCCATAAACCCGCCGATCTGGCGTTCGCGGTCCACAAGATGGACCTCTAAGATCCAATGCAATGGCTGTCCGTCCTTGCCGGTGCGCCTCATTGGCTTCTCGCTGCCCGTGGTTATGTAGAATTCGACTTTATCTCCCGGAATCCGCTCGTGCGGGAATTGGCCGACGAGGTGTCCTGCATGGGAGCCACCGAATTCCCATCCTGCTTCTTTGGCCAAATCACAGGTGAAGTGATATAGTTCCTCGCCTGTTATGTCGGGATTGTCCTGGAAGTGCGACTTGACCTTTTTCCACAAGGGCTCTAACGTGTCGCGCAGCCTGGCCTTGACCGGGTCATCTCCAAGCACAAACGTGCGGCCAAAGTCGGCTTCCCAGGCCTCGAACACTGGGCCTAGATCCACGAAGACGATATCGTCCGTTTGGAGGATGCGATCCGGAGGGTTTTCAGCGTACGGGAACAGCGTGTTGGGTCCGCTTCGGATGACTCGCTTGTGCCAATGGGTTCTGACATCGTAGCGCTTAGCTCCAAGCTCATGGATCTCGTCGCTGAGTTGCTTCTCGCTGACGCCGGGCCGGACTATAGATTGCTCGATCTCATCAAACAGTTTGACGGCTTTTTCCTGCGCCTCTTTGAGATAGGCGGCTCGCTGCTGCTCCGTCGTCAGTGTCTCAGTAGCCATTGTTAAGGTGTTGCTAGCAGAGAAGTGAGGTAAGGAAAATGTTCTGTTTGTATGGAATAAATTTGTACAGCGACAAGGGCGAAGGCATCAATCGAGGTGTTCCAATCATATGTATCGTTTTACTGTACCTCGTACCTCTTGTGCGGAGAATCAATCGCGGGGTTCCTTGCCAGGGGGACCTCGGTCCTTGCTCTCCATTAGTGCGCAGAAACTCACGGAGATGACAGACAGTACGAGGTATACCATGGATCAGGAAGAGTACTGAAGGTCTCCCACAGACTGTTTCTGTGGACGGTCACCATGTAAGGGGATTTTCGAGATGATTACCTGGTCATAAGGATTGCATTTAACCTTGAAATACACATAGCCTTGTGAGCGAGGCTGATGCCCCCTGTTTGGACATCTACCTACCTAGAAACGAAGCAACGTAGGATCGTATCTTTGTGACAACATCAGGAAATGGGTTGATGTTTGAAGCCAACCTGGGCAAAAAGGTTAGCGACAAGTACCCGGAAAATCTCAGCCTTGTGGAAATGACAAGGCTGAAAATGGTTTCCTGACCAATCACACGTCAGTCGCAAATTTCTTGATATTTCTCCCAGCACGTCCCCCAAACCCGCAACGACTTTCCCGCTAGATTGAACCAACCCTCAAGGACAACCGCTGCCGCAGCAATGAGGCTCACTGCGGACCTCATCCACAACTCCCTGTCATATCTGAACCCCCTCAAAGAGCGTGAACTCGATCTCCGAGGTACGTCTGAAAAGAGCAGATGCTACACTTTGATTTCTACAAGAGCATAGTTGACCACACACGCATCTCCTCGTGCAAATCTGTATAGGCCATAAAATCCCCACCATCGAGAACTTGGGCGTCGCAGGCCCGCAAGATGCGATCGACTTCACCGACAATGACATTACCACCATCTCCAACTTCCCTCTTTCCCCGCGGTTGAACACGTTGCTGTGTGCGCGAAATCGAATACAGAGCGTGGACAAGAGGATCGCAGAACAGATACCCAACCTGACAACGCTGGTCCTGACGTCAAACCATGTCAAGGAGCTCGCTGACCTGGAGGGTCTGGCGGCCTGCGGGGCATTGACACACTTGAGTTTACTGGACAACCCGGTAACGAAGAAAGAGGTAAGCCTGGACCACGGATCTGGGAGCAGAGAAGCAGAAAAGAGCGCCGTTTGTTGACATCATCCTACAGCACTATAGACTCTATCTCATCTGGTCAATCCCCTCACTACGGTTCCTCGATTTTCAAAAAGTGCGACAAGTGGAACGAGAGCAGGCACAGGAGTTGTTTGGCTCAGCGGAAGCCCCCACCGAGTTGGCCACGAAGATCAAGGGACTCAAGAGCCGGACATTCGACGCTTCGTCAAGCGGCGTCAATGGCAAGGCTCCCGCCGCCCAAAAGGGTGTCCGGACACGGTTGACCGAGTCGGAGAAAAAGAGAGTGGAAATGATGATTCAGAAAGCCAAAAGCTTTCAAGAGATCGAGAGAATTGAGAAAGATCTTGCGGAAGGCAGAATACCTGCTGGTGCAGCAGACACCGACAGGATGGTCTCTTAGGGTTGGTGTTCTACATGGATCGCAAGGGCAACCAGAGTTGTGAAGTCCTACGAGGGACATTTGTACACTGGACACTGGATACGGACATGGAGAATTGCTGTGGTGGCAGCGGTTTGCAACCAGCAGCTGCACACCCACAAAGGGGTCTATTTCTATTGACCAAGGCGCAAACTACAAAATCAACACAATCCAAACAAAGCCTGAGACTCTTCATCTCTACTATTCCAACAAGAACTTTAGAAATGCTTGACTGACAACCAACCCATCATGTGGTAGATTCACCTTGTTCATATGTTCCTGATATGCCTCGTCGTCGAAAATACCTGTTGCATGTCGCGTGCTGATGATTTCTGTCATGATCTCCTGGTTGAATTCCGGATGGCCCTGTACGGTCAGCAGCCTTTTTGGTGAATACATGCCCTGGACCTTGCACACAGGAGAAGATCCAAGGGCCTCGACGCCTTCCGGGTAGTAGAAAACGCAGTCACGGTGCATTTGGTGGAGGCGCTGTTTAGCAATCGTGTCAGCAAGAGGGGGAATCTGGACAGGGTCCGTGCAGGTCAAGGTTACACAACATACGATCTTATCGACACCAAAGACTTCCTTTCCCTTTTCCGATAGCTGGACATCGTTCACTGCTGCCTCCCACCCCTGTGGATTCCGCCCGACCTCTGCCTTCAAAGCGCGGCCCACGATCTGGTGGCCGAAACACACGCCGATGACCCGAACCGTCGTCTCTGACAGGATCTTCGCCGTGTAGTCGACCAGCTTGTTGATCCAAGGTGTGTCTGCAAAGGAATCGTGTCCTGTATTGATCCTCATACATCAGCGTCGGCCGTTCCTCCACTATTTACTTGCTGTTGGATCGCTGGGACCGCAGGAGAAGCATTGCATCGAATCCCTCGTCTGAGCGTCCACACCCCAGTCCCGTCTCTCAACGGCTCCTCAACAGCAGCAGGACAATCAAAACTCACTGGAACCGGTGATCAAAATGGCGTCAATGGTTGCAGGATCGGGATACTGGTCTGGATTCAATTCGACCTGCCAGACGGAAAACTGGAGGCTGTCATCGGGGTCCAAGTCAGGTCGACCCAAGGCTCTGGCTCCTGATCGGAGCAAGAACTCAAACACACCACCATAGCCATGGAACCTTTTCTTGGTCTCCGGCAGCGGAGTATCACACTCGAGGACTGCGATACGCAGGGTTCGAGGGACCTTCAGATTCATCTTCTCTCCTCATCGGGCAAGCAGTGAGGGCCCGAGTCTGCAGACTGTATCTCAGCCAAAATCAAAGCAACAAGGTGTTCACCGCCGGCAACGCAGCAAGCGCCGTGAGAAGGGCGTCAGAGACATTTCCATTATCTAATTGCGGATATAGCAGCCACACTATTACAGCGTGTGGGCAGCCAAGTCGCGTCATTTGACTCTCGATATCGCCTCATTGCCTGCCGTTTTTACGCATCGCTCTTCTCCATCCTCTCTATCTTTGGCGCCTCTGATTGATAATGTGTTCTGGCTCTTATTGGCTGGAGGCGAATCTCGGCTGTCAAGTCGATGCAAGGGGCGTCAAGAGGCGCCGCGGGGTGATCTTCTGTACAGCACCGGATCCGGCCTTCCCGTTGCGGATCTACACATTCGATGTGGTCAGCTCATTGCCATTCGCGGCTGCCGTCTTGGAAAAGCCGCAGGCTCTTGTATTTCTGAGCATCAGAACATTAGAGCATCGACAGGGTTTCGGCAAGAGCATACTGGCTCCGTTGTTGCAGGAAGAACTTGCCATGCGGGCAGAGATCATGGTTGCAACAAGATGGGTCATGGTCAGCATTCTATTATCCCAGGCCCTCGTTCGGCCGCACTTTAGCTCTCACTCAACAAGCGTTCTGTTGTTGCCCCTCAGCTTTATGAATCCATCCTGGCCACCAAGAACCCGCGGCTGAGGCTGTTTAATGACATCTGACGCAACGGCAAGACCGTTATATGCTGCCTATGAGGCCGTGACTGGCTTTTGTGCCCGACACTCCAGATCGGATCCTCGAAGAACCTCCCAGTGACCGCGCATGACCATGAAGAGCCACGACGAAAGACCGCTGATCGATACGACAGCAACGCCAGGCCCGTGCATCGAAGCTGGCATCGAGGATCATACGGGTGCCCAGCCCACTGAAACAACAAGCTTGCTTGCCCATCGGAATCGCCCAAGTCGCTCTGATGTTCACTATCGAGACTGCATCTCGGGCCCTCGGTTCCATTTTCTGTTCTGGAGCATAATTTTCGGTTGCTCGATTGCATTTTTTGACACCACATTGATGGCTTCTTCCCACCCCGTCATTACTTCATACTTTGAAGCCTCCAATGCTGCTTCCTGGCTTAGCACTGTCTTTTATCTGACTTCGACGGTATTTCAGCCAGTGTACGGCCGTGTCTCGGACACGATCGGTCGGCGACCGGCATTGCTGTTCGCCATTATCATGTTCTTCGCCAGCACGCTATGGTGCGGTGCAGCTGGCAGTATTGGCAGTTTCATCGCCGCCAGAGCGGTAAGTGGACTGGGAGCCGGAGGAGTGATTGCCCTTGGAGGGATCTTGACCAGTGACATTGTCAAAATCGAGTACAGGGGGATTTATCAAAGTTATTTCAATTTGGTACGTTTCCCGGCCTCAAGCGTGAAGTATTCTCTGCCTCTTTCATACCGCCGATTCGACACTGAATACCGGATGTCTCTTTCTGCTAACATGACTGAAATCAGTCGTACGGAGCGGGCAATGGACTAGGCGCCGCCTTGGGAGGCTTTCTCTGCGACTACTTCGGCTGGCGCGCTGCCTTTTTCTTGCAGCTGCCCTTCATCGCCGTTTACGGTATCCTCGCTATTTTTTCTTGCCCTGATAACCTGGGCCCAAATCTTGCAAAGACCCAAGGGAAAACACTGAGTCAAGCATTCAAAAGCTTCGACACTTATGGAATGTTTGGCATGATCCTCACAGTCTCCGGCCTCATCCTGGGGGTAAATCTGGGCGGGAATGTGTTCATCTGGACACACCCCTTTGTCATCAGCAGCCTGGTTATCTCTGCCATCGCAGGTGTCTCCTTGGTATTTGCGGAGCGCAAAGCCGAACGTCCTATCCTCCCTCTCAGACTTTTCTCGACGATACCCATCGCGAATGTTATAGGAAGCAACTTTATTGCCTCCTTGATCTCCAATACGGTTTTGTTCAATGTTCCACTCTACCTCCAAGCTGTTCGACAGACTTCGCCGACGACTTCTGGTCTTTACCTGGTTCCTCCTCTAGTCGGCTCTAGCATCGCCGCCATGCTAACAGGACTTTACATTACTCTCAGACGACGCATGAAGCCGCCGATGGTGCTGGCTTCAATCATGGGACTCGGCGGCTCGATTGCTGTAACGTGCCTATCAGCAGACACGCCTACCTCGCTTCTCCCCTTTCTCATTCCCGTCGTCTCGATCGGCCAAGGATTCTTTTTCCCAGCAGGAACGATTGCGATCCTTGCCCTCAACTCCCAGGAGGACCAAGCTGTGGCCACCACCACACTCGGTCTTGTCCGCAACCTCGGCTCCATTATGGGTGTGGCCTTGAGTAGCTGGGTGTTGCAGAATGCGCTGCCGATATATTTGAACAGATATGTCACAGCACCCGACGCAGCGACCAAACGAGAGATCATTCGTAGCGTGAGGGAATCCATCAACTCGATTCGAAATTTGGACCCCTTGCACAAGAGACAGGTCATTGACGCGTATGCGTCGAGCTTGAGAGCGACTTTTCTCTTGAGCATCATCTTCTCCATTCTATCTATTTTGCTCATTTGGCCTACTCAGCTTCCCAGTTTGCAAACGCAAGAGGACATGGACAAAGATGAGACAGCTGTTTTTACTCCGGAATCGAGCGATGACTATGAAGAGGAAGAGGATGTAGCCGACGCGCGAGCGTTGCTGGCTACGCCGACCTGCTCCATTGTGCGAACTTTCACTGGCGGTACAAATCGGAGTACAAGATCAACATCTTTGGATGGGATTCTGGAAAGGAGAGCAAGTTTCGACACAAACTTGTAGACATTACAGTAAGAACAGATGGACGGTGCCATGCATGACATCCTAGAGGAGACCACACACAAAGCTGGTCAGAAAGAGAAACCGACGAAGACACATCTGGCGACTCTTGCGTATCACCGCTAAGGGCAATTTCGACCCGACGCAGCTTGCGCAGCTAAATAGAGGGTTGGTAGGGGGTTGTCTGCGGGATTGATCTTGAGCAGGAGCTGTTTCCTGGCTTTGAACGAGCAGTACGAGGCGAGATAGTCTGGATGATGCAGTCTAAATCGATAGATGACCCCAAGTCTCTCGCGAAAATAGCTCCGATATCTTTCCGACTACAGGTTGCTGTACTTTTCAGACGATGCTCCGTGAACTCGGCCTGACAGCTTCGCCGTCTTTGGCGGGATGATATCCCCGTCTAAGAGCAAGTTCACCTTAGGATTGAGAAAAGGATGCTGCCATCGCAGAGCTGGTCACTCGTCACTCATCAGCGGTCACTTGTTTTCCAATCCAATTGACATTGAACCAAGTGATCTGCGTGTCTGCCCAGTGCTAGCCCAGCGACTCCCCCGCGCGCTGGAACACGACCTTGAATTTCTCGGGCACGTCAAACTTGCCCATCCGCACGTCGACAAAGTGCAGGCCTCGACCTCGACAGAAGGCCCTGTCGGCGAGTAAGTCCTCGAGGTGGCGCCAGGTCGAGACCTCGTAGGTGCGCACGGGGTAGGAATCACTCTCGTCATTTTCCGAGGAGTCATCGGAGTCATCGTCACCCCTGTCGTCCATAGGTCCATCAGATGACGAACGTGACCGCACCACCGTCTTGGAGTTGGAGTTGGAGTTGGAGAGCTGTTCGTGTTCGTCGCTCGCGCCAAACGCGCGCGCCAACTCCCCGTACCGCCAGGGCGCCAGGTCGTTGTAGTCCTCGTGCATGCCGTGGATCTGGCGCTCGTACGCGTACCCGGCGTTGTTGACCAGGAAGATGGTCGCGGGGATCCTGTAGCGGATCATGGTGCCCAGTTCCTGCGCCGTGACTTGGAAGCCGCCGTCGCCGTCGAGGAGGATCGTGCGGCCACGGGGGACTGGTGATTGTGTTGTTCGTGTTGGGTTTCCATGAGCATCTCGTTGGTGATGAAAACCAGGTTGATGATGTTTATGCTGTCGAGCCAAACTCACACCCATGCTCAGAGGCAGCATGTGTCCGATCGAGAACCACTGGCCCGACGCGATGGTTTGGGCCCCCCTGGGCAGAACGAGGTCCCGACCACCGAGGATCGGCGTCGCGTTACCCAGGACCACGATGTCGTGGGGCCGAAGGTACGCGCTGAGCCGGAGGTAGAAGGAGGTTTGGTCAATGGGGGCGTCGAGGTCAACACCCACACTCGCATAGGCTGGCGGCTGGATTGTGCGGAAATCCCCCAAAGACGTGACGTCGGGCGACGCAACGGCCGCGCGATCAATCTGGCGTGTCAGCCGGGCGAGGAACCGGTCGAGATTGATAGATTCCTTCTTCTCGACGACCCGGGCTTCCGCGGTTGGCCTAGGGCCGGTGGGATCGTGGATCCAGTTCTTCTCCAGCGTAATCGTCCTGTCAGCCTCTGGGACAACCTTCCACGACAGCGTCTGCGTGTCGGAGAACATGGGCCCAAGCGCAATCACCAGGTCCGCGTCGCGCACGTACGGCATCGTGTCGATCTGCCCGACGGGACCCGAGTGGACGCCATAGTAGTTTGGGAGGGCGTGCTCGACCATGCCGTTGCCCGAGGGCATGCACAGCGTGGGGATCCCCGAGGCGTGGACAAAGGCGTTGATCGCACCGCACAGTTGTCGCACGCCGCCGCCGCTGTCGACCAGCACCAGGGGCTGTTTGGCGGCGTAGATCTTTTGCAAGAGATCGTCGACGAGTTCCCTCTCGCGATTCTTCTTCGCCAACTCGTCGTTGTCGTCGCCAGCGGTCACGTCTTTCGTGGACAGTGGCTCCTCAAGCAGTTTCTCCCCGTTGACCACTTCCTTCGACGCCATGTCCGCCGGAAGCTCGATGTACGCGGGCCTGCTCTCCCTCAGCGCGGCGAGGATGGTGCGATCAATCTCCCCAGGCGCGGTGGCTTCGTCGACAAGATTCGCCTGCGCGACGGTGACGTGCCTGGCCATCTCGGCGAAGACCCTGGGCCGCCCGTCGCCGAGGGTGTGGTGGACGTTCCTCCTCTGGTCCTGCAGCCGGCGCTGGGGCGTCCCCACGATCGACACCACGGGGACGTGTTCGCTGAAGCTGCCCGCGACGGCGTTGATGGCGCTCAGCTCGCCCACGCCGTACGTCGTCAGCAGCGCCCCGAGGCCGCGCACCCGCGCGTACCCGTCCGCGGCGTACCCCGCGCTCAGCTCGTTGCAGGTGCCCACCCATTTCACCCCGGCGGGCTCGAGGTAGTCGAGCGCCCTGAGAGTGAAGTCGCCGGGCACGCCGTGGATGGCGTGCACGCCCTGCTGGCGCAGCCGGGTGAAGAGGTACTTGGCTACCGTGGTCCTGCCACCGTGACTCACCATTGGATTGAGGGGAGTGAATCTGCTCGCGTTCTCCTCTGACTATACATACAAAACAAGCAACCAGATGGTTTGCGGCTTGCCTGGAAAATAAATAAAAAAACCCTCCACTTAAAGGCGAGACGAGAGATAAAGGCGAGGCTACGAGGTCATGTAAGCAACGCGTAATGAACCACACGCATATCCTCAACCTCTTCGGCGCGTACCGGCAAATGAAATCTGGAGGCCTAATGGCCAGACCACGGCTGAGAGCGTAAATGCTAAGGTATGGTTTACGATTGTGATGTGGTAAGATGAAAAACCCAGCACTGACCGAGGTCCTCGAACTGGTCGTTCTCGTCACGGCCACGGCGGGGCTTGGATTGCAGCCTTGCGACAGACAAGGCTGAGACGCCCTTTTTAGAAGTCACGGGTTCCAAAGAGACCAGACAGAGTCGCAGTAAGATTACGAGGTACTCCGTACACGCATAGAGACGGATCGCTTCGTTGCAAGACAGGACATTTTGCAATATTTTTCAATTTTGATGTGTTCGAGGCTAATGTTACGAGCCCAGTGTTTAGATTTTCATTTCTGCCCAACAGTCGTGACAGAAGAGATACGCGATGTGCTCCGCTTGGAACCTCATTCAAGGTTGCAAATAAAGTCTGGGCCTCTCTTATCATGACGTCTTCCATCCCTATTTCAGAATCACAGCTCCGTTGCTTCCATTCTAAATGGCCCCCTCAACAATTCGTGGACCATGTTTCCTCGCCATGGGAATCATCCCACGAGCATGAACGCTCATGCAAATTCTTCGGGTAGTCTCCCCGAGACGATGCGGTGGCGAAATATCTGCGCATAGCTTGACCTATGCAGCAGATTTGAAACCCGAATTGAGATTATCGCGAGGGGTGTTTCTGTTTGCCGGGTCGATCATACTACATGGCGTGATATGCTTCGCAGCCTAAATAAATGAGTCGAGTGCTGCTCGCGGGTACGGTTGAAATGATAACGACATGTCGCCTTGTCAGGTTCCAAGGGAAATGGGCCCGAGATGGCCAGGTATCGTGAGTGCCGCTCGACAAATAGCGACTGGATGTGCAGGTAGATGAGATGGATTGTTGAGCCTTGTTTTGAGATTCCCAAATCCAATAAAGTGGTGCGATGAAGTTGATTAAAAGTTGTAGTAGCTCATTTTGGAGAGATACACCCACCACCAATGTCCATCAGCATCCTGTGCCGGACTGCCCTGCAAGCGCTCGCTCCCAAACCCGATAGGAAATTTCGAATAGAGTAACACCGAAAGGTAATCATGAGTCGCTCGGGCAGTCGCTGAGGCCAGGTGCGGTGGGATAAAACCAGGCGGCGACCGCAATGATGATGTACAAAGTCATCAGCAAGATACCCTCAAGATAATGTGACTTGCCGTCGCTAATCAGGTAGTTGACGAGTAGAACGGCCACGAACAAGACTGCGATCTGGAAGCCATCAAAGAACAAAGTCATATCGTCTTTGCCAATGATCCAGCCCAAAACAACCACGAATGGGAGTACCAGAAGTGCAATTTGCATACTGGAGCCGACAGCGACACCGATGGCCAAATCCATCTTGTCTTTCACGGCAACTGTGACGGCCGTTGCGTGTTCTGCAGCATTGCCGACGATCGGAAGTAATATGAGACCGACAAAATTTTTCGAAATGCCACCGCCGCAGGTGATGGCGTTGATTGAATCAACCAAGAATTCGGCGTTCAGGGCAACAAGGACCGTGGAGATTGTCAATGTCAGCACAGCAACCCAGATGGATAGTTGAGGTTGTTCAGGCTCATCCTCCACCGGCTCTGGAGTCTCGGCTCCTGGTGCTTTCTTAGAGCGGAGCTTATCAGGAATCACTGCGTTCTTGAACTTGGTGCCCACATCGCGCGTCTCATTCTTCGCGCTGGGGGCGTTGTAGATTGCCGAGTGGCTTTTGAGTTGGAAAAAGAGGTAGCAAGCATAGACAATGAGGAGAAGGATGGCTGTGCCTCTGCTCAATTCTGCCACGCCGGGTTTGGCGTTCTCGGTCGTAGCGGTTTCGGTGTTGGAGGTGCCATTTCCAGTTCGAGCCCATTGTTCAAAGGCGGTAGGGATAATCAGACTGCTGACGGCCAAGAAGAGCAAACTCGAGGCAGTCTGAGCCACTGTGATGTTGAAGGCCTGTTCCATGCGATTGACACCCCCGAAGAAAAAGCACATGCCCATGACCAGCAGAAGATTCGACAGCATGCTACCGATCAAAGAAGTTTGGACGATCAAGACTTGATCTTTCGCCAGAGCAATGATGGAAACAATCAGCTCGACCGCATTGCCAAAGGAGGCGTTAAGCAAGCCACCAAGAACTTCGCCGGTCCTCAAAGCAATCTCTTCAGTGGCATAACTCAACATGGCCGCCAAAGGGATGATGGCGATGAAGTTGATGACGAAAACGGCAACAGGATCAACATCGGCGTAGTTGACCGCAATGCCAACCGGCGAGGCAATGAGAAGGACATTGATCCAGGAATTGAACAGTGTTGCTCGGATTTGACTCCACGCGGTAAATACTGGCTTGTCCTTGCCATCGTCATCCTTCTCTTGTCTGGAGTCACGGCTGAAGATGGTCTTGATGCCGTGTTTCTCGACGTTTTTGTCACCCGAAGTACGGTTGCGCAGCGAACCCCCCTCTTCTGGTTGACTGGGCTTGCCATATGTGTACGTGTCGCTGCTCAGCCCATCTTCAGTTCCCGTCCGAAACTCGTCTCCAAGACCTCTTTCCGAATTCGCTGGACTCAGAGAGCGAGGCATGTCGACTTGATTGCCAGGTGCATTGGGTGTTGTAGAAGATCTAGCATTTGGTGTCGTCGCCGCGTGTCTCACAGACGGATTCACTCCAAGTTCTTCACCCCTCTCTCTCGATGAAGAAGGCCGATAGTCATTGGGATCGTCGGTTCTCGTAGCAGTCAGGGGCGAGCCATTACCGTCGCCGTTCTCAATGCGCCGCAACGTATTCGACCTGGAATTGGGTTTCCATTTCGCAAAGGGATTTCTGATGGGCAAATTGGCATCGTCATTCGGATCATTGTACCACGCGGCAACTTTGGCCTGGTGGCGAAACTTGTCTGCGTTCTAGTTAGGACGCGATGCAGAGTCAATGGGTGTGTGCCGGGGTACTGACGCATTGTTCAGCACTCCAACCTCAACGCTCTCCTGTTGAATGTCTCGGTCGTCTCGAAATAGCGATTTTGAACTGTGCAAAAGACCGCCAGATTGTTACAATACAGTGGTGTGGGTGGACAATATGGTCAGGATAGATGGGCCACAGGATGGGATGTCTGGTCGCTGCCTTTCGAGATACGTGGGAGGTTGCACAGCCCCAATAATACGCAGGGAAGACTGCAAAGCGGTAATGAGCGTTTGGCGTAACACTAGATGTGCAGTGAGGTGAAAGGATGATGATGGTGATGATGCAAAACAGGGAATCGGGCAGAAATCAACAGTACCGAACCAGTCATTGAAAGGGGGCCCCTTGGCGAAATGAAGGGAGATTTGAGTGAATTGCAGGGCATGGTTCAGCTAGAGAGTGATCGGTAAACTATAGCAAACGCGGAATGCGATCTGAGGATGGGTAGGACCGAATAGTGTGTCTGTCTGTTTGTCTATGATGAAACAAGGGGTTTGGTATTCCTCTTCCTGGTAGGATACGGGGTGTGCAGGATGTGGCGATGGCGGCGGAGGAAGCACGAGAAGCACCTAGGAAATAGACCAGGTACTGAAGGGGATGCCCATCGACACCCAATGCGCATGCACAATGACGGGGGACATGCCTAAACAACCCAATCTAATTTGTTCTCTTCCATTGTTCAGCGCCCCCAGTGCCTTGGGTAGCCACATCCGCTCCACTTCTACAGTTAAAGCCGGGCCTATGGATGCATTTGATTCCCTCCATTAGCGCCACCCGAGATGTTTGTGGTGCCTGGATGCCCCATTTTATTCCAGGCGCCGATCCCAGTCCAGCGTCATTCTGTTTTTCTAGGACGTGAATGTCACAGGGGGCTCAATCGCATTACACCCTCTTTTGGGCTAAATCTGCGAGACAGTTTCTTGTAACAAAAGCAGGTGAGATGTAAGATTCCTGCGATTCCTCTTGGACTCTTTACCCTGGTTGAATGGTTTGAAGCTTTAGCCTTGTCCGTTTGGCGGGCTGGGCGTCATCCAGGTGGGAATTGCTTGGTCGTTCTTAGGCATTCTTGGACACGCTTGAGGCATCTTGGTTAAGCTTGAATCAACGGGGACTGTCAGCCCACAAGTACGACATGGTGAATGCTGTTATCATCTTATACGCCGCAACGGATACAATGCCAAATCGATATCAAAAATTCCTTACTCAACACCTGAGTGTAATCAGATTACTTCGTACTCGGTACCACAACTCCCGCTTTTAGTCTTCTACTGATGTGCCTGGCAAAGAATCAGCCACACGCACAGCCGCACCGCCACGTCCCTCTCACTTTTCTTTTGCCTAAGATTACGAACCATGACCAGATACTCTCCAGGCAACACTTACGGATATCGGCACTTCCAACACTTCCCAATTCACCGGCCACTGTCTAAAGGCCAGACTCCTGTGTACCGGCGCACCTCCTCACGTGCTAGTGTACGGCGCATGCGCCTAAATGACTCGCGTGCTTGTCACGTGTCAGTTGTTCATGTATCAGGTGTAGTCACGTGCACGAGAAACTCGAATTAATCCATCTCGGAGCTCAAATACTTGCTTCGCTCTATTTACAAAGAGCACATTTACGCCCAACCTACAGCAGAATTCTGATATATTCAGTGTAGGTGAAATCAGGTACCACAACCAGAATGGCATTTTCTCTGTGTTTCTCTTCGAGACTTTTTTCTTCTGCCGAAGATGTGATGCGCTGGTTACATCTGCCCTAGGTGACCGGATTGATTTTTTCGTGCATGGCTTGCTTTCTAGTAAATCGGACGGCCAACGCGGTGCCATGTCTAACCGTCAAAACCTTTCTGAGTTCTTTCTTGGAAATCTGGAGAAAGCACGGATTGGACCGCGACCAGAGGAGACCGGTCCCAATAGGTTTGCTCTACCATCATTTGGACGGGACTCTGCTGATAGATCCAGGTGTATGCGTCAGCGGAGGCCCCGATTCTATGGCGTTGGCATACTTGCTCAATGAGATTAACACAGTGCCTGAAAAGCACAATGTTTCCGTCCAACCATTCGTCTTCATCGTCAACCACAAGGCTCGTAGAGAAAGCACCGATGAAGCCAACTACGTTCAATCTCAGCTACGCCGTCTTAGTATGTCTCTCGAACTCTGAACAGAGCCCACGCTTACGGTCCCAAGGCATTGAAAGCGAAATCCTCGAAATCCAATGGCCCAACAACATTGATCCAGCGAGTACCGCCGATTTCGAATTGAGGGCTCGGCGAGCACGGTATCGGCTGGTTGCAGATGCGGCGATTCAGAAGAAGATCCACCATCTTTTTTTGGGACATCACCAAGACGACCAAGTTGAAACAGTCCTAATGCGTCTCGTGCGGAATGCTGGGACATCATTTCTCGGGTTTCAGGGCATGTCAGAGCATAGCACAATACCGTGCTGTGAGGACATTAGGGGTGCAAACGAAATTGAAAGCTACGAGAGATTTGCGCGGTGGCTAAACCCACACGACCCGCGAGTAAATCGAGAGACAATGGACTCGAGGCTCATCAACCAAGGGAAAACTGTGACGCCTTCTGTGCCGGGCGGGCTGCGGATCCACCGACCTCTCCTGTCGTTTGCAAAATCTGCGATCATTGACTTCTGCAACACAAATCACGTCCCACATGTCCAGGATAAGACAAATTATGATCCTACACTGACACTCCGGAATGCTGTGCGGTATATGAGGACCCATTACACCTTACCCAAAGCCTTGCAAACATCCTCCATCCTCTCACTTCAACAGTCGTCCTGGCGCTTTGCTACTTCCCTTGCGGCGCGAGGGGAACAGATCCTTGAAAATCTCAGAGTGCTTACCTTCGACCTGCGGTCCGGTCGTATGACTGTACGAGTATCGCCTGCTTTTATCTCTCTGTGCGAGTTGGATTCTGAAGCTGGGGCATATGCTTTGGCGAGACTGACAAGTGTGGTGAGCTCGCAGTCGAGAGATGAAGAGCCGACTCTTGTACCTCGGCATAACCTGAGGCAGTTCCTGGACAAGAACCGATCTCGATCGCGAGAGTGGGTGACTGTGCAGCAGGTGTTACTCGAGAAGTCAAGCACTGGACTAGATATGAGCGAACAATCGGCGACATCCGGATTCCGAATGGAACGGCAGAGCGAGTTTAGCGAGAGCTTTTCCGATAGTGGAGGGACGATATGGACGCTGTCACGTCCACCATTACGTCTGGCAGAAATCACACGTACATCAAGGAGCTTTTCCCTTGACATCCGACCAGGCGAAGTCGGCAATGAGGGTGCGGGTCCAATCCTCCGGTTGGGATGTGCTAAGAACTACAACCAGACAGGGCTTTGGTCCCAGTGGATGCTTTGGGATCATCGATATTGGGTGCGTGTACGGACAAAAACTGCCGAAACGCTTTCCCATATCCGCATTCGCACTTATTGCGAGTCCGATGTACAAAGTGTGTACACAAGGCTCAAGGATAGGGGCTCAGAGCTTCAGTACATTCTAGCAGAAGCAGCCCCAGGAAAGTTGAGGTTTACAATTCCCGTGCTGACAGTAGACGGACAAGTTTCGGTGTTTCCGACATTGAATGTCGTCGTGGGGGGAAAGGACTCAATGCGTGTTGACTCTGGACTGGCAGATCACTCAATCCTTGAATGGGAAGTCTGCTACAAGGTCATCGATCTGCCATTTATCAATGACCGTCGAGAAATGATTCATTGGAAGAATGCGCAGGTAAAACGCCACAAGTGAGCCAGTGTCTCTGCTAGCGATGCCGCGAAACCAACTGAGAGAACACCCACTTGATGATCCCCTGCGGAACCCAAAACTGCTTGAAGAGTACGCTCGAACACATCCAACCCTTCTCACTGGGACATTCCAGCAGCAACACTATCAGTCGGACAAGATACCTGGCACTACATTGTTCGACATCGCTATCACGGAAATACCCCAAGGGACATCTACAGGAATCGGTCGATGATGAGCCGGCGGACGATGGCCGTGAAACTGATGCAGAGCGCCCGACTAGACGAATGCTTGGGTAGATGTTAGCGAACCTGTGGCATCGACACATATTCCGCACTTTGGTGCTGGAGTCCAAGGATGCTGACATGATATCCGAGAGAATGCCGAATGGTGGACTCTGTGCCCCCGGAAAGCTGCAAGATGATTGCTGGTCATTCGGGAGGATCATACTTGGTCTTCCCCACACGGGGTCTTCACGCGTCGTCATGTCAATCCACCAGACGCGGAGAGGAGGTGGAGATAGTGGCCTCGGCCATTTGGCGAAGTCTATATATCTCGAATTGGCCGCCGTTGCGCCGGACCGAGCGTTGGCCCAATCTCAGTTTCTCAGCAACAGTATCAGCAGCACAATGGCAACTCAGGCAGTCCCCGAAGCGCTGACGGCGCCAACACAAACGTTCAAGAATGTTCCCCCATTCCCTGAGGATGTGCCCACCGCACCCCTCCTTCGCCTGTCTCTGGCCAAACTGCTTGACCGTGATCCTGAAGAGGTGAACCGATTCGTGCGAGCCTGCGAAGACCTCGGATTCTTTTACCTAGACTTGACTGGGCCAGGAGACTCTTTGCTCGCCGATGCAGACCAACTTTTCAAGGTCGGGGAGGAGTTGTTTGACCTTCCACTGGAGGAGAAAAAGCAGTATGACTTCCAGAAGAAGGGGTCGTACTTTGGGTACAAAGGCTTTGGTGCCAATGTTGTTGACCGAGATGGCAATCTTGACCGCAACGAGTTCTACAACGTGAGTTGAGTTCAGTACCTGGGTGGCTACGGGACGATTCCTGACCGACATGCAGGTATCCAAAGATGACATGTTCGGGATCATGGATCCGATACCTGCCCCTGAAGTTCTCAGCTCACGACGGCCCCTTTTGAAATCCTTCATGTCCTCAGCTCATGGGATTGTCACACTGGTGCTAGAACTACTTAACGACCACCTCAGACTACCACCCAATACATTGCAAGGCATGCATCGGCTCGAGGGCCACGCGGGGGATCAGGTTCGTTTTATCAAAGCTCCGCCTCAGCCTATGGACGACAGACGGACCGCGTTGGGTGAGCACACCGACTTTGGAAGTGTCACGGTCCTCTTCAATCGGTTGGGTGGTCTACAGGTCCTTCCCCCGGGGCGAGACGCACAATGGTGCTACGTAAAACCCCTCCCTAACCACGCCATTATCAATCTGGGCGACGCAATGGTAAAATTCACAAACGGCCTTCTCCGGTCCAATATACATCGCGTGGTCTCTCCACCCGGCGAGCAGGCAGACCACACCCGATACTCCCTGGTGTACTTCAACCGACCAGAGAATGACGTGTTGCTGAAGCGGTTGGAGGGCAGCGAGATGATTCCTCCATTGGATGAGGGCACAGTTGAAGAAGAGATTAATAGCAAAGACTGGATCTTGAGACGGGCACTGGGTCATCGTATTGAACTGTTTGGGAACGATGCGTCGAACTTCGACAAAATCCAAGGGACGGAAAAGATCAGCCAACGTGCATACCTGTAGAGTCTGGATGGGTGTGGGTATGACGAAGTGGGAGTCATTCGGTTGTTTGTATGAGCCACGTTGCTCAGTGATTCGTGTCAATAACACATATTTGATTCGATTATCCACAGTGACTCAGACATTGAAGGCTGTGAAGTGAATGAGTCGTGAATAATCATGAATCGTGATGGTGTCTCCAAAAATGTCGGGCCTCGACCCAAAAGGGGTTTAGCCTCCCTGCGCACAATAGAGAAATTTCGATGATTTTTCTCACTCGATGTTGTAACTATTGTTCATTGTTCACCAACGATTGATTGCATTGGGCCAAAAGCCTGGTGCGTCAAGCTCCAATCTTCACGTCAACCATACTTGCCGCATATTCGTATTCGTTCGTCCACATTACTACGTCTCATGTGTCGAAAGAACACCCCCATCTACATCTGCCTACCCGGCCATGTTAACCCCGCCACCTCAGGCCCGTCGGCCTGTTCTACCGGCCAGCATCTCGACTCCTTCGCTTCCTTCAAAAACCATGAGACCCCAACCTATGGAACGGAGATCAACCCTGAAGCGGTCAATCGATGAAACCAGTTTCATGGAGACGCCTTCGAGTCCCTCCAAACGCTCTCGCGTGACCTTTGATTCCGACGTCGAGATTGTGTCCGCAGACGATGATGAGGACCTGGATCCCCTGGTGGTCAAAGAGCAAGTGCGGAGAGCCATTGAAAGACATCGGTTTAGAGAAGACGAGGCATACGAGCGTGTCAAAGGCTATTTCAATTCCTCCCCGGACAAACCAAACGCACCGTCCACCAAGGTGCTCAAATTTCACCTTCAGGCTCTCCTGGCCAATGTCACGTCACTCGACAAAGACTGCAGCGGCTTGGTCGATGCAGTGCTGAATAGCGAGTGGGTAGGACGGGATGATCAGTACTATGCAATTTTTGTCAGATTCCTCAACAACCTGGCTGCGGCGCAACGCGGCTATCAGCGCAAGATCATGTCGGTCCTGGTTGACCTTTTGGGACCTCAAAAGACACGGCGCATCGACAGCTCAACCCCCGTCAGACAACCAAAGATCCATCGACGAGTTCTGCAAGCCATCCAACACATCACCGTCAATGTCCCTTCATCACCTGCCGCTCTTGCCGATCGTGTCGCTTCCCGACTCCAGTTCGATTTTCAGAAGGCTGAGGAGCGCTTGACCTACATACGAAATTTTATGGAGATGATCAAATATGTGCCCGAGCTCACATCCGAGATTCTGACATGTGTCTTGCGAGAACTCATCAAGCTGGACGTTTCGGTTCAGGTTGATCTCGATGATGAAGAGGAGGATGTCGAAGACGATTTACTTAACCACATGTCGTCTTCGCAAACACTGGTTGCACGCTCATCTCAGGACATGATGGCCGGCGGGCTCGATGATCAAAGTGATGATCTAAGCACCAGTGATGAATCCGAGATGGATGAAGACGAAGACACTGACCCAGCTGTCGCTCGTCGCCGTAAACTGAAGGAGGATATCAAGCAGATTGACCTGATTATGGACATTCTGTTCCAATACTACGCCAAACTCACCACTTCTGCCGCCCTCCAAACCCGCGATAATGCTGTTGAGCAGCTTATCTCTCAATTTCACACTCACATCCTTCCGACATATCGGGCGCGGCATCCGCAGTTCTTGGTCTTCCACTTCGCCCAAGCCGATCCTATCATTGTCGATCGCTTCGTCACATCCTGTGTCGCTGTTCTTGTCGATAAGAAACAACCGCATCTCCTTCGACACAGCGCCGCCGCCTACTTTTCGGGATTTGTCGGCCGTGGTGCCCATGTCTCGCCGCAGGTGGTGCACGACTGCTTGGATCTGCTCTGCGACCATCTGACCATCTTGCGAAAGTCATACGAGCCCACTTGTCGCGGTCCCGACCTGAAACGCTATGGCGATTTCTATGCCGCCTTCCAAGCAATCCTGTACATCTTTTGCTTCCGCTGGCGAGACATCGCCTCTGCCAACTCCGACGACGAATCTGACATTGACGTCGATGAGGATGAGGCCGAGACGTACCATTTTGCCGAGTCACTCCGTGAGTCACTTCGGGCGGCGATCTACTCCCCACTCAACCCATTGCGCGTCTGCACCCCGGTCATTGTCGAGCAATTTGCCAAGCTGACGCACGCCTTGCAATTATTCTACGTATATCCGAAGCTTGAAGAGAATAGACATGTGCGGGTTACTGGCCACTGGCGCGGCGTGTCCGATTTGACCATCAGCAATCCAGACCGGGATTTGAGTTGGGTTGGAGACAATGGGATGTTGGAGGGGTATTTCCCGTACGACCCGTACCACTTGCCCATCAGCAAGCATTGGATCGAGGGAGATTACGTGGAGTGGAAAGGCATTCCTGGGGAGGAGGCCGAGGACACGGATTCTGAAGATGATGCAGGTATGGATGTTGGGGGGGTTGACGAGGATGACGATCTTGATCACGACTCAGACGATGAGTGATCTGGTCGTGTGCGCGTGGACTTTGGCTGCCCGCCTGTCTGTTTGTGTCATGGTTTTCGCAACGCACCAAGTATTTACAGCGTCACGAGAAAAACGGCCTGTCTCTTATTGCAAAAGGGAAAGGGAAAGGGAAATGGCGTTGGATTTGTGTTTGTTCAGACCTGTTGCGTTCAAGCGTGCCTTTTCAAGAGCTACCTATTCTTTCTTTGCATACGCCCAAAAAGTCGGAGTTGGTATGGCTGGACGGGACGAAAGAGGTTCTTGGAACATGTGTATGGTTCCGAAATGGTTCCGAAAGAGAGGAAAAAGAAGGATGAAGATGAAAATGACAAAAGTCTAAAAGTCTAATCTAGAAATTGAACGAATTGACAGATTTTGAATTTTGTCTGGCCTGTCAAGAAAGAAATCATCGGTGTAACGAGGTATAACTGTCGAGAAGGAGCGAGTGACTCGTAGACGTACGTGCCCGGGAATTGCGTTCAGAACGGATTTATTCTGTTGTGATTTGTTGTGATCTGACATAACCTCGCCAGGGTCAACGAAATATTACATGGTCTATATGTTGATATATGTTGATACAGATCAGTACCTGAGAGTCAGTCATAGGAGAAGCTGAGCTGTGTGATGGCAATAGGACAGAACGAATGTATTGATTACAGTAAAATATCAAGAGAACGGACTGAATCGAGTGGATGGATGATCGAATGATATTGCGTGATATCTGAATATGCTCAACCTCGAAAGAAACCGGGGCTCGAAAGAAAGCAGTAGCAGGGTATCTTTTTTTTTTCTTTGGTGCAGTTGTATAACTTGCACGAGTATGCCAGGATTCGTAGGGAAGTGATATTGAGGTGATGGAATATGGCAAGATGTGATAATAACCTCACGAGACAAGACAAGATGTGACGAGACTTGAGAGCCCGCTCAGTCCAGCTCCTCAGACGCCGCCCCTCCTGAACCAGGCCTCCAAGCCCGTCTTCCACGCGCAGAACTCACCTTCGACCTGCGCGGCGATTTCCAGCGTGCCCGGCTCGAGCCCGAACGTCTCGGTCGCCGCGTCCCCTTCGTCCCCGGGCCCGGCCGCGGCACGCATCTCGGCGTGGTCCACGAGTTCGTCATGCATGGCGCCGTGGCGCTGGAAACGCAGGCCGTCGACGTCCCCGTACACGACGTGCCGGCTAAGGCGGTGGCTCTCGGAGATTTTGATGGCGCGGACTTTGTCCATGCCTAGCGGGCGGACGTAGGCGCGGACCTTGTCGAGCGCGTCGACCATGGCCGCGGAGCGGCACTGGAAGAAGAGTCGCTTCTTGGTGGCGTCGTCGAGCGTCCACTTCAGCGACTGTACCGACGCGGCGGGCGTTTTGGAGATTTGCGCGAGCAGCGCGCCCAGCGGGTCGAAGTCGCGGAACTCGGCCTCGATCTCCATGCTCGCTTGGTACTGCGGCGTCTCGCGCGAGAGCAGCGACCCGGGCTTCTGCCACGAGTAGCTGCGGAAGGTCGTCACGGAGAGGTCGGCCACGGCGGGCTCATACTCGAAGTCGCCATTGTTGGCCGACGCGTTGACGGTGGGGAGCTGAGCGAGCGGCCTGAGCACAGCCAGGACGTCGTCGGCAGTCGTGCGCACTTCATTGGCGACCTTGTCCTGCTTGGGCCCTTCGGCGTAGATGTGCAGGGACACGACGGCCCGGTTGGCGGGCACGGTGACGCTCGACTGCCCGTTGAGGTGGACCGAGATGGGCTTCGGCGCCGAGAGGTACGAGGGGATACCGAGGACGCAGAGGACGGTGATGATGGACTGTTTGAGCCAGGACGAGGCGATCATGGTCGCGACGAATTGAGCTGTGGTGAAGAGAAGCATAGAAATTGTTACTCCGGTCTTTGTCTTTGTTTTTTGACAGCGCTTCTCCTCCGAAAAGGCCACTGAGATGATATGTATGTTTGTATGGTTGGTTGATCTCAAGCCCAATAGATCTCAGGACAAGGTGGTCATAATTGCTTCTGAAGGGCGAGAACAGAACAGATGGCGTTTCTTACCTCAATCAAGCCTTCATGATAGCTTTGTGATTCATCAACTGTAGCTACTGGGTAGAGTACGCGAGGCAAGATACCTATAAAGGTGGCGTCTTCAAATGTTTAGGCACCGGCGGAAAAAGGCCAAGGTGTTTGTTTGAAACCCGTTACTCGCGAATCGAAACTGTGACAAGTCAGAAAGGGAAAAGATGTTGATGTCCTGGCTGCCTGGCCCCGGGCATCCGAGATTGTCATGTTTGTCGTGTTTGCTTGTTTTCTCTGTTTGTCCTGTTTGTCTGTGTTTCTTCTACACCCACTGTCCTGCTGTATGATTTTTTTTGCTGTAGGTACTTGCATAGCTCTTCTCCCTACCTTTCCAAAGTCGTGAACAAAATCGGCTTCTATTTTCTATTTCTTGTCCGCACCGTACAGACGACCAATCGCTCCAGGTACGAATGAGGCATTCCATGCACCATTCATATCCCAAACACGGTAAGACGCTGGACGCTGAATCAGATACCGCCATATAAGCCTACCTATTCAGACTTATTCTAATATCCAGGCCATAAGTCGTCTATGTAATTTTGAGCCTCCCACCATGCAGCCCCTTGAGCTTGGTACAGAAGCGACCTATTTATCTATCTACCTACCTACCTATTCCGTATCCACCGTGTGTTGTGTTGGACCTCGTCGAGATTGACTTCACACTTGCTCGGTGTGTCGCGGTCCATCGCTCTTCTCAGTAACTGCTGCAATGCCTTTGGTCGTCTCGACCGTGGAGTCAGGGTGGACCACGGTACCATCCCTACCACTGACCACGAGCTCGTGCGTGTTGTGGTCAATGTGGATGTCCGAGGCGTAGACCATGATGGTCTCGGTGTCGCCAAAGAGTTTGGCCACTTCCTCGAGCGGCACGCCTTTGGTCTCCGGCAGGAGGAAGAACATGGTGATGGTGCCGAGGCCGCAGATGATGATGAAGACCTATGTACGTAGAGAGGTTGTCAGATATTATTTCCCGCAGTTTCTTCCTGATGTGGAAAGAGAGAACAGCCAGGCTGGTGCAGAGGGCGGGCAGACGGGTGGGTGACGGTCACGTACCAGGTAAAACTTCCAGCCAATGTTGGCAAATGCCGTGGCAGTGACTTGCAGATAGACAAGGTCGGTGAGGGCCACCACGGCCATGGACAAGCAAACACCTGTGTTTTATAGGTGACGTGGTAAGCAACTGAGCATTTTGCACGTCTCCATGGAAAAGGATCCAGCTTACCTTTGGCACGCAGATGATTGGGAAACACTTCGCTATAAAACACGATTCCCGCGACGTCGACTCCACAGCTGTAGACGACCTCGAACAAGAACAACGCCGCAACCCCCATCGCCAGACCTGAGGTATTGTCGGTCCCTGAAAAGCTGGCGACCATGGCTGCCTCGATGATGAGCCAGAAGCAGCACCCGCCCACGCCAAACAGCATCAGCGGTTTCCGCCCGATGCGGTCCATGAACAGCGCTCCGATCGCGTTACCGATGATGGCCGTGGTGATCCAGCCGCACTGCAGACGGAGCTGGTCCTCGGTGCCGTAGCCGAGACTCTTGTACAGCGTCGGGCCGTAGTTGTTGATGACCAGCACCCCGGTAGACTGGCCGACAAAGGCGAAACCCATGGCCAGGATCGTTCGCTTTCGGTACGATTTCTTGAAAAACATGTCCCACTAGTGACCAAAAGTTAGTTCTGGGGGCAAGCATGGCAGATCTGGACGGGGCGAGGTGGTCAGGTATGTTGTGTTCTGCTCACCCATGAAACCGACAGGGTACGATCAAACTCGGCCTGCTTGCGCATCTGGTAGAACTCGCCTCGCGCGAATTCTTGGTCCTCGTCGCCCGGAATGGCGTGGAGCCGGAGCACAATCTTCTCCGCTTCCTCCTCGCGGCCCTTCATGAGTAGGTATCTCGGGCTTTCCGGGACGAAGGGAAGCATGACAAGCATGAGGAGCGGGAAGAAGAGCGCAATGCCCAGCGGGCCGCGCCATTGAGCTTGGGGCTCTTTGACATAGAAAAAGCCCATGCCCGTGTACGCTGCAATCGAGTAGCCGATGGCGATGTTGACCCCATTGAGGCCAACGAAGAAGCCGCGTAGTGCGGGCGGAGCAAGCTCAGCACTGTACGCAGGCGCTGTGAAGATGGATATTAATACTCCTTTGTTTTGCGCATTTCGTGGCGTATAAATATGCACTTACTGACTGCCAGGAAGCCCCAGCTTCCCATGCCGGCGAAGAACCTGGCGGTAATGAACATGGCCGTGCCGTTCGAACCGCAAATCAACGCGCCACCGAGTAAGGACCAAAAGGAGCAGAAGACGACACCGGCCTTTCTGCCCCATTTGTCCATGATATAGCTCACTATCATGATGCCGAAAAATGCCCCTGCCTTTGCCCCATCGTTAGATTCATGCGCTTGACTTGTATAAACTGGGTTGGTGAGAGAAGGCCTGGGACGTATCACACCTGGAAAACACCAGACATGGCACCCTCGAGCTGGTCGGCGTCACCGGACGGCAGGCCCGTGGTCGGGCTAAGCAGCTTCATATAGACCAGAAAGCTTGGTTCGCCTAAGGTTGTGCTAATGATGGAGGCCGGGTAGCCAAAGGCTACTTGGCCAAGAGAGACCAGCCAACATATCCAGAAGTTGTACCAATTGAACTGGCGGACCTTTGTCGCCATACTGAACTCGGTCGACGGGATTGGTTTCCACAGAAAGGAAGTACAAAGACAAAATTGCTCACACAAGACAGTGATACTTTCTCCCACATATCCCAGCAGCCACGAGGTATAGAGATAGATCTATATATCCTCGAGCGACGGAATGTTCCTGACCCGGTCTCTGCTGCCTGTATAGGCTAACCGAACGCCCGCGGGTCCATCTGGCGCCCAAAATACGGGGCTGGAGCAGATTATCGATGCTCGAGAAGCCATGACAAGGATGTATCTGAGTCAGGAGAGCGGTATGGGACGACGTGGGATGGGGAAGGAGAGACGCGGAGAAGGGGGAGATCAGTTGTGGGATGTCGAGAATCCAGGACTTTGTTTGCTTTGGGATCCCCTCCAGTTGGCATAAATTGTATGCGTACACTCCGTATGTTGTAGAGATCTTACCTTGTAACCAGCCCTTGAGTCTTCATCAGAAGGATAGGAATATCCGCCTTTGTAAGACTGCTCCAGTCCTACTGTCGTCTACCCCAAAACAGCGGCACAGAGTCTGGGGTATCGAGGCGGAGACCCAAAAATCCCTCGGACCCGCCCACTGATTGCCATGCCACGTACGCTTTCATCGAGCATGTTCATACTTTCCCCCTGCCGCTGTCGGAGGGGCCGGCACATCCAAACATTTTTTTATGCCAGGAATACGGAGTTGATGCGAGTCGAAGACTGCGGGTTACGTTGGGAATTCTTGTGAAACAGTGGTAGACATCATTTGTGCGGACTGCAAACTCCTCCGACTTGCCGGGGTTTTCCTTCACAGGGACAAAGGGAATTCGGTTCTCGGAGGAAATGACTCTCCATTACATCGATTGATATGTTGATGGTCGGATAAAAAGTACAAATTGCTGACTCGTTGCCGCTCCCATTGCACTGACAAGGCCTTGTATCTCGTCGGCCACTCGCCCCCCACTACCGAGGTCAAAATATCCTAGGAATGAAGTCTCCCTTCTTCGCGAAGCTCAATGATGTTCGTCTTCGATATGGGATCCTCTCCCTGGATGGGAAAGGACCTTTGTTCAGGACACGAAGATAGATGGAAGGTCTCAAAAGAATTCATCAAAAGCTTCGACACATGGCCGAGCCCGCTAGCGCGCAAGGCTGTTTACTCCTTCCTTGACAATACGGATAATTGCCCTTTTTTTCTGACCTTGTGTTCTGTAATCGCGCGGGTCAAGACAAGACAGCCTGCATCAGAAACGGCCATAGCACACATATTATAGAGATCTACAACTGCCTCTTTTTCCTCGCAGTTCCTTACGTCGCGTTGGAAGAGTCCCACGCGTGCCCCGCACAAGGCCGTGGGCCTGTTCACTTTGCCGCTAACATTAAGAATTTTACCTTTTGCCTTGGCGGGCTTTGCACGGCGGCATACTTGCCTGGAGCAAGAAATAACAAAAGTTCTCAAGCCACATGAGAGATGAGAGGCCGCTTCTACAATAGGATAGATGGGTTGACAAGGAGCCCGATGTTAGAAACGGCCGTTTCGTGCGATCTAGAAGCGGGATGTCTGGCGACGGTTCAATCGACTCACCCTGACTCGCGCGTGACCGGGACGAGCATACTCACTCATAGGGCGGCATCACCCTCGTCCTGATTGGGGATGAGGCTCGAGCCAGTCTCTTCCCCATCACTTGGAGTGCTTGGCAGCGAGGTTTCTCCGCAAAGAAAAGTTTCGTGCAATAATGAATGCAGCGGCTCGCAAAGGTATTTAATACTTTGTACAAACCTGTGGTAAATACGCAATAAAACCCTGTTCTTCTGATCGGCGCAGTCCGTCTCGAGTCGTTTCTTCTCTTCGTGTCTTCCAATCCTTGAAACGACAACTCTCTAGCCAACCACTCCGGTCCTCCTCTCAATCCGCCAAACCACCACAGTCCGACACCAGCGCCCAAAATGCGCGCCCGCCGGAGCAAGAGATACCGCAAAATCATGGCGGCCTACCAGCGGGGCTTCTCGTTCCACGAACCCTACCAGGTCCTCCTCGACTCCCACTTCCTCAAGACGTGCCACTCGTTCCACATGCCTCTGCAAAAATACCTCGAGAACACGCTGCACGGGCAATGCAGGATCTTCGTGACGAAGTGTACCCTCGCGAAGATCATGGCGGACTGGGAAAAGGTCATCAACAAAGAGGGCAAGGCAAGAAGAGGGCCGCCGCCACGACCGGATTTCCTCCCTCCGCCGACAGAAGTCCCCTTACGGCACTGCAAGCACAGGGACGACGAGGGCCAGGAACTGGGCGTCGTGAGCGAGGCTCGCTGTCTCCTCGATCTCCTGGCAGGTCAACCCCACGGCAACGAACACGCCAAAAATAAACAGCACTACATCCTGGCCACGGCGGACGCTGACGAGAAGGAATCCCGAGCCAAGGGATTCATCGACGTGAAAGAGAGGGCGAGATTGATCCCGGGAGTGCCGGTCGTCTATGTGAAGCGCAGCGTGATGATCCTGGAGGAAATGAGCGGTGTCAGTGAGCGCACTGTCCGGTCACAGGAGAAGGAAAAGTTTAGTCAAGGATTGATCGGACTGGCGTCCCGCAAGAGGAAGCGAGGAGAAGGAGAAGAGGGAAATGAGGATGACGACGATGACGATCTGCTGGCTGAAGAGAAGCAAGGCCCTAAGATCAGAGGGTTGAAGAGAGCAAAAGGTCCGAATCCGTTGAGCGTCAAAAAGAAAAAGGTCAAGGTCTCGTCATCGAGCGGAGCAGGCCAGCATGATGGAGAGGCCGTGGTGCAGAAAAAGTCCAAGAGAAGGGGTACTAGAGGGCGGCGAGAGACGAAGAACAAATCGACGTTGGACCCTCAGAATGGAGGTGAAGCCGGGCAAGCGACTATACCTGCTTCGGCTGGGATCGTAACAGCGGAAGCATAGCGGCTAGAGCAAGCGATGAGCTCTAAGAAGTTATGGAGTTGAGAGGAGTTTCTGCTTTTTTTTTATCGAGTCCTTGGACATGAACGAGATACCCCATCCATGACGGACCTTGAATGTCAATATTTCCTTCTTAATCTGCTCGTCGCAGGTGGACATTGGCTGCTTTACCAAGTTCATTACGCCCGTCAACCATCATTGCTATTTCACTTCTTTCCATTCCCCCTCTCAGCCTCGCCTTCCCATATTTCTCCCAACTCTTCCTCATCTCCATTTCCAGACCCCCGCACTCACTCTCTCTTACTTGGCCAAAAACGCTCTGCCGTATATGAGCAGTCCCGTGACGGCCAACACGCCTAGCCCCGCGGGGAGGGGTTTGCCCGTCTTGATGGCGCGGGGGATGCTGCTGCCGGCGAGTAACACAGAGGCTAGGAGCGCAAGCTCGACGCCGTACGGCTGTTTCTTGGAGATGCGGAAGCCACCGAGACCGTACTGCAGTTGGGGAGGTGACAATGGTCGCTTGCGTTAGCCAAGACTTCTCCTCCTCAGAGTATGGTGTGTTCGAGAACAAGGAGGGTAGGGTAAACAGTGAAGACGCCAACCAGCCGAGAAGTAACACGGCTATAGCTAGGTAACATAGCACACATGCGCCGTTCTGGGTCGGGTCGGGTCGGGTCATGGCGAGAAAAGCGTGTGTTTGCGTACCAGGATTCCAACCGTGAGGCCGGCGGTGATGCTGGGGATACTGCCCGTGCGCACGTAGCCGGTGATGCCACCCACCGAGGTGAGCGCCGAGAGGATGTATGCTGGGACTTCGGAGGCCTGTGCACCCATCGCCCACGAGACGAATGTTAGTAACTCTGTTCTCTCTCACTCATTCCTTGCTATTATTGTCCACGGGGCATGGAATTTCTTCTTCGAAGAGGGCGAGGAGGTGGGGAAAGGGTGGTGCTGGTGTTGGTGTTGACGATGGTGGTGGGGGAGAAACAGAGGGAGGGAGACTGCGGGTTGGCGAACCATTCTTTGCTTTGGTTTACTCTGCTCTGCTCTGCTTTCTACTTCGATTCTGCCAGGTTCTCCGTCGGGTGCGTACGTCGTGCTATATCTGGACACGAAAAAAGACAATCTAATTATCGGCTCGCTATACCAGTGTCGGGGTGACAGGACAAGGGGAAGAAGTTCGACTTGGTGCTATCAATAAATTGTCATCCGATTTCGACAGGTGACGTGACGTTTCCGCAGGCCGTTGCTGCAGGGGCAACTCCAACGCTTCGGAGCTGATCTCTTCCGTCCGCCGAGCCTGACTCCGACTCCATTGGCACTACGAGGTACTAGGACACGCCACAGACAGCCCTTCTACAGAGACTTATTGGGAGGGAAACAAGGATACTGCGCACTTGCAGACCTCTTGCTGAATATGGAGTGTTTGAAACCATTAAAAATTATATTACCTCAAGGCTATTCCCGGACCCGTCGTGAACACCTGTCTATATGCATAAGTATAGGTATATACATCCGTCATCATAGAAGATATTTGATAGCCAAGCACAGCATGGCCACGGTACTGGAAAGGGGCCAGCTGTTCAAAGAGGCTACACCATTGGTATTGGTGTTGGTGTCGTTGTCGCTTGAACCGCTGGAGTTCGTCGTGGAAGGAACGTTCGTCGTATTCAGAATGGCAGTCCCGTTGCTTGAATTTTGATTGTTGCTTAAGCTAGTGCTGTTCGTCGTTGAATTGGTATGTTTTTGCGACACCTTGGGTTTGTTGTAGAATTCGCGGATAACGGTGCTTGCCTGTTCAGCTAGTCCATAGGTCGAGGCCATAAGATGTGCTGAGAATGATATAGGTGGTACGCTCGCGTCGGCGACACGGACGTTTGACAGCCCATAGACGCGCAGGTTTGCGTCGACCACGCCACCTTGCTCGAGAGGCAACATGGCACACGTGGAAGAAGGGTGGAATTCTGTAAATATCACTCCACGGAGCCAGTCCTCCCATTCCTGGTCAGTTTGAACGTCTGGGCCGGGCCACGTCTCTTTGGTCATGCTGCTGGCTAACGGTTCAGTTTCGCCCAACCGACGAGCGAGCTTAACGCCCTCGCGCAGGATCTCAACGTCTGTGATGAAGGAGTCAGTTTCAAGGTCTTAAAGGTCCACCTAGGGGCCAAAAAGAAGAGCACATACCAGCAGGATGATTCAGATAATTGGGATTGATGACAGGATAATCCAGTGGATTAGACGAATTGATGGAGATCTGACCATGGCTGAATGGATGCTGGAGGTTGGCTCCGATTTGGATAGAACCGTCAGTGCTGAGTCCAATGACCAGCTCTATTAACCCGATTGGACTCGTGAGAATAGTGTTTGCTGTAGTGCCATAAATCGCCTTGTAGCCGGAAATCACGCTCGCGTCGGTGCTCGTGTCCGGGATAAATTGGTCAATTTCGCCCAAGATGCTGCTTTGAAGGCCGGGGACTCCGTTGCCAAATAGAACCGAGGAATTCGCATAGGCGGTCGCGCTGTTGACATATGACAAGAAGGCAGGGTCGTTCTGTGACCGTTAGCCAATGAGTCTGAAGTGGATTGGGAGCTGTCCAGACCGTACCTTTTTGGAGCCATCGTCGTTGTATATCGTGCCTGCAGTCTCTGCATCCGTGTCCCACGTTACGGTGACACTCTGTTTCAGTCAGTCGGCGTTGTTGATGACAGATAAGAACGGCAGCTTACTATGTGATCTTGAAGATGCTGGCCGACACCAGGAAGCTCTGACACGACAGGGACGCCTGCAGCATCTAGGACGTCCTTTGGCCCGACACCGCTGTATAGAAGAACAGCTGGGCTGCCAACGGTACCAGCAGCAAGAATGACCTCCTTGTTGACTCCCACTGTAAGCTTGTTGCCACCTCCGTTCAGAACATATTCGACCTGGTGGGCCGTGAGGTTCCCGCCAGAAGTATTGTTGAAGATGATGCGGGTGACCTGGGCGTTGGCCAGAACATCGTAGTTGGGACGTGGTGGCAACGGATCGAGGTATCCAGAACGGCTGTATGAACGCGTCCAGTTGGTCGGGTTAACAGCGACTGTAGCGACGTACGCGCCCCAATTGTCACCACCGTATGCGTCTTGTGTGGTAACTACTCCAGCGTTGTTGGCAGTGCTGGACCACGCACCAACCAGTGGCAAAGTACTGTAGGTGGTTAGTCCATGTTCATACGCGTAATAGTGCAGGGAACGTACAAGCCTGGGTAGGACATGTGAATTGGCCCTTGGTTACCGTGGCTTGCCGGGTTGAAAGTGATGGCAGCCTCCTGTTGAATGGAAGCATCGACAGGCGGGCCGAATGTCTCACTCTTCTTCATCGCGGCGAACATGGAGTCCCAAGACCAATTGTCGGCGCCGTCCATATCACCCAGCATAGCTTGCCATGCATTGACTTCGATTTCACCCGGTCGGTTCAGGTACATTCCGTTGATGGCAGAGCTACCTAGATAAACCAACCCGAGTCAGTTCCCGCATTGGCACCTCAGAGAAAAACAGACGAACCTCCAAGGACCTTGCCTCGAGGCCATGGACACTGGGAATTATTCGCGTTCGGTTGAGGTGTGGTTTGGAACGCCCAGTTGAGTTCCGTCGGCCATAGCGATTCGTAATAGGCATATGCAGGTGTGTCTGCCCTTTGGTTAGCAATTGGAGTGATTTATCAATGGAAAGGGCGTCCGCACCTATTCGTTCTCGAAACTCGTCTCCGTCACCACCAGCCTCGAGGACAAGAACCGTGTGGTTCGAATCTTCTGACAGACGCGCTCCAAGCACGAGACCGGCCAAGCCTCCACCCACAATGACAAAGTCGTACGAGTCGGCAATGCTCGTGCTGTCAATGATGTTGCGTGCTCGAAGATGGGGTTCCCTGGGTTCGTGTGCAGAGGGAGCAGCAGCCACTATCCCGGCGCCAGCGGCCAAAACGAACGACAGAAAGCACCGCATCCTGTATCCTGCATATACCAGTACTGTTGTGTGAAAGACGAAGATACGCGCAGGGCGAAGGCAGAGATAAAAGGAACGGCATATTGAAAGAGACTAAACAACCCCAGTGCCCGTGGATATTCATATCCGTTGACACTACGGAAGCCAACGCGCAATAGCAGGCTGGTAGCGGTTGATGTGCGATGGGTCAAAGACTTCCAGCCCACTCTTTTAAAATTATGTACACAACTAAAACTTAGCAATCACCAATCGAGCACACGTGCTCTATTCCCAGTCGAGCCAGGTCGGCCAGGTAGTGTGTGGAGCATGGCAGTGCCAACATTTTTGAGCAGGTTCATGTTTCGCCAAATCGTTGATCTCGCGAGTTGCCAGCCATCATGGGTAGCACGCATTTTTTCTCCCATCGACCGACCAGGGGTGGAGACTCTTTGACAGCATCCAAGATAACAAACGGCGCTTGTGCTCGCGGATTAGGCGCGGGCGATCTTGACTCTGGAGGAACCCATGCGACTGGTTCGGAGGGTCAGAGGGTTTCAGCTTCGCGAGGGTCAAAGGCACCCACTGGAAGAGGGGCAGGATGGCGTTGACTGGAGACGAGTCGGTGGAGTGATGATTTGTGCAGGGTAATAAAAAAGAAAAACAACAACAATTGATTGTGAGCATGTGCTGTGGTGGTTCCCCAGAACGGGGGCTTGACGTACAAATTCAGGGGCGGGAAAGTTAAAGGTGGTTAAGCTCATGCCGGTGAAACTAGCAGCCGACACCCTCGGCACAAGTAGGCGAGGCTGGCAATTGGGCACGTAATGGGTGGAGACGGACAAAGTCCGACCTTGTACCGTTAGGGCAGCACCATTCGCTTTCCCAAAACGGCCTCATGCATTGGTGCTGGCCACGTTGCCTCACAACTGCTTTTTGACACATGCGTTCAATGCCTCAACCAGCCTCTTTGAATTAGTCGATCCTCACAACAATTAACAGTTGTCACAATGGCGAAGAAACCTGCGGCTCAGTCTCCTGCCACGAAAACAGCTGCTCCTGTTGGCGGCGCTGCCAAACCTCCTGCTGCAGCATCACATACCATCAAACCCTCCGGATCCATCACCTCCAATCCAGCTCCTATCAAGCCTCTACAATCAAGTACATTATCTCCTCGCTCATCTCCACAAGAGATCATCATCCATGTCTGGAACAAATACCTACAAGATACCCCCTCGCGGACCATGCTGTTGGATGTCTTCATGGCCTGGCTAGTGGTGGTTGGCGGTCTGCAATTCGTCTACTGTGTGCTAGCTGGCAACTATGTATGTCTCCCTATTTCCATTCGATGACTTTGCTGACCCGTCGTGCAAATACAGCCCTTCAATGCCTTCCTTTCAGGCTTCTCCGCCGCCGTAGGCCAATTTGTTCTTACCGCTTCATTACGCATGCAAACCTCCGAAAAAGCACCCGCAGGTGCGTCTCCGACGACGAAAAAGTCGACAACAAAAACTATCGATGGTGTGACCGGAGAATTGGTTGAGAACACAAAAATCAGTTCCGAAAGAGCGTTTGCTGATTTCGTCTTTGGGAGTCTGATATTGCATGGGTTTTGCGTGAACTTTATCAACTGAAAGAGAAGAGAGGAACCAATATGATACCCGGTGGTCATTGTCAAGCTGTATGAGCTTGCAGACTTTCCGAGAACTCATGACGTCGATTCGACAACCCAAGCTGGTGGCTGTCCGCGATGCACTTTCGGCTAGAGTGACGGACGCTTCTTGGTAGCGGGCGCCAGATACGAGTATCTTTGAAGAGCGCGTCAAACTTTAGCACGGCGGATAAAACTCTCGCGAGACAGCACGTCGTCTCTACTCGTACACAAAAGTAGATGTATACTACAGGAAAGGAATCAATGGCGGACTTCACTTCGTCTTGGCCATACTGGCAAAGTCTAAAGAAATTGTTATGCCTACAACACTGTCGTCTCTGCAATCAAGACCCTGATCCAAACAAGATGTCAATTAACGCGGGCAATTACACTTGTTATTTTCGTGTGATTGACATGCCACCCTGTAATATTCGGTACCAATTTCCGTTACAATTTCTCATCTCGTATCGGATCTCCCGCATCTCCTCTTCCACACTCTGAACAGCAAAAATAATAATAATAGAGATCAGATACTCTCCATGGCGTATCCTGATTCTTGTATCCTCCCAAACACCAATATCGAGGTGTCGATTGCCCTCTCCTACCGGTAAGGACACACTACGAGGTACTCGAGCACATCGTGAAGGGGATTGATTCGATCCAACCTGAAACGCGCTCCAGGGCAGAGTGTTTCACGTTTCAGGTTTCAAGATGCTCACACTTGACAATAATGAACGCCCGCCAACAGAAACCTCTTGCTCCTACTACCACTGTTCTCGCTCCCATCCCTTCGTTGTGTGCTGTGTTTCCTGCATTTGCGACCGTGTCTTGTATTAATCCTGTTTATCGTTGTTTTTGGTCAGTATGAAGACCGAGCTGGCCTCTGTCCTTGCGGTGCTATGTTTTCTTCAGCCTGTCCATTTAGCGAGCGCGCTGGAAGCGCCCGCCGTGGCACATCAAGACCACCTAATTCTCCAGAGCGACAGTGCTATCGAGACCGACGAGGGCAGCACGGTTGGTGATGGATTCGTCCGGGGTTCAGGGCAGGCGGAGGCCGATACCGATACCGACACCGACACCGACAACTCTTTCGACGATGCTTTGGATGATTCTCCTTGGTCCCATAGACCAGTCTGTACCGAGTACTTGGACGAGCTAGAGGACCAACTGTGCGTCTACACGGACGCGACGTTCAGCAACGGTCGGGGCATATCGATATTCACGACGCCTCGGATTGCCGACGAGTTTGCCACGCTGCTGCCCTTCCAGGATCCCGATGCGCTCTCTTCCCGCGGCATCAACCCCAACAGCGATGCGGACAGGCCCTGGTACACGGCTCCAATCCCCGGCAAAGGGGTAGGCATGCTGGCGTCACGGGCCTTGCAGCGCGGCGACCTCATCACCGCGTACACCCCGTACCTGCTCGCGCACATGGAGAACGTCCTCTCAACACCCGAGCGCGAGAGGTTCCTCCGCATCGCCGTGGACCAACTCCCCGCGGCCGGCCGGGACGTCTATCTCAACCTCGCCAAGATCTACGGCGAGCCGAGCGTGGTGGTACAGGACGTGGTCAAGGCGAATGCCTTTGAGATGGAGGTTGGTGGGCGGATGCATCTGGCCGTGTTTCCAGAGGCGTCGAGGATGAACCATGCCTGTGCGCCCAAGTGAGTTTGTCCCCCATTGAATCCCCTTGATCGCTACTTTTACCATTTCTCCACGCAAAATTGAATCCAATCGCCTTCCATCCACCCCGTGCGACCGTCTTGTAGCGTGGAATAACTAACCCGGCCTCTTATTAAAACCCAGTGCACAATACTTCCTCTCACCGACACTGCTCACGCACTACGTGCACGCGGTGCGACCGATCGCGCCGGACGAGGAAGTGACCATCTCGTACGCGCCGCCGCTGCGGCTGCACGCGGACCGACAGGGGTATCTCCAATCGACGTTCCACTTTGGGTGCACGTGCGCGCGGTGCACGGCGACGGCGGAGCGGACGGTGGCGGACGCGGACAAGGCGACCGAGGACATGATCGCGCTGCAGTGGGCGCTGTCGCAGTGGACGGCCAACTCGACGGCCAGCGTCAAAAAGGCCGAGATGCTCGTCGCCCTGTACCGCCGCGAAGGGCTCGACGCGTTTCTCGACGACGCCTACGGCCACGCCGCCCTGACGTACAACGCCGCGGGCAGCGCCAACGGCGCCAGAAAATACGCGAGGTTGGCCGCAGAGGCCGCCCGCCTCAAGTACGGGCCCGACGCCGACATGGCCAGGGAGTGGGACAGGATCGTCAAGGATCCGACGAAGCATTCGAGCTGGAGGAAGAGGAAGTCGCCGTAGCGGGCCCGTGTAACGACGACGTCGCCGTTGCCAATACCGGAATAGTGTATTATATTATATCTTGACTGGAATATCTGGACAAAAAGCGATCGTCGAGAATGAGATGAAAGAATCTGTGGTACACAATGAACCACATAGATTGAAGGGGCGTTATGTTCGACTACAACTACTCATGAACTCTCTCTGCATTCCCGGCTCTTCATCTCAGCCTCATCCCTCACCCATTCGCTCACTGCTCCGCCCTGCTGCGATTCAGTCCTGATCCATCGGGCCGGTCAGTCCCACACATGCTTCCATTTCACTCATCCATCCGTCAATGCAGACATCCCTCATAATCCATATTTTTGTCCCCCTTTTCCCAACCTTCGCTCCCCCCTTGCTTCCTGTGCCCTGAAAGATGCGTGCGATATAATGACAGTGGGTAAACCTTGAAAACCTGCACGCAGATGCGGAGAACCGGTGAAGAGGTCCAGCGTGGCTTGACATGTTGGATGCCATTCCATCCGTCCTGAAGTCGTCCCCGGCGAACTGCTGCGACCCCCCTTATCCACACGGGTAGTGATGCAACAAATAGACAGATTGCCATCGTCGAAGAGAGCAATAACTGAATCCAATTCGGTAATGACAGACAACCACAGCTGAAACAGATGACGAACCGCAATTGAGTTTGATCGACCGGTAGACTGATAGCCGCGTGATGAAATCGTTCGAGCCCCCGATATATCATCCCACATAAGAAACAACGAGCTCAAACCAGTGATCGCAAGCCATAGGACGAACAAGCATCCCATCGTTCCAACTTCGCACCTCTTGCTCAACCCAGCTTTGGCATCATTCTGCATGAAACATGTGCTCCTACTCCACACTTCCACGGACCTCCATGTGCACATCCTTGCAAACCGCAAAAGCAATTTCAGTACACCATATCCATGCAGCTCTTAGCCAGGAAAAAGCAAACCTGTATGCATAAATTTCCAACCATGAATTGCTGCACAAGTGGCAAAGAGTTGCCCCATTCCGAATGCCGTATGCTATCTCGCCGACCCTTCGGGGTAATGGAGGGATTTATGCTGCAGTCTTTTCTGTCAAGTTTGATAAAAACCATGATATGAACAATGATATAAACATGACGTGACAAAAGTCACAACAGATGGGGTATCAGATAGCCGCCTGCTTAAACACAAAAAATAAATCAAAAAACATGTCGTCGAACCCTAGGTTTGATATTCATGGCCCTCAACATTAGCATCCAGTAACAGCATTAAGAAAAGTTCGTTATTATTTCACGCCCAAGTTGTTTAGATTCCTCCAGTGATTGAACCAGAGAAACCTGCCGAGTGTGGTGGCCTGCTGCTTTTTCCGTTATGCTGGGTGATATTCTGTACTATTTCTGCCTCGACCCTGTGTAGCGTCAAAGAAGGAGGAAAGGAATTTGTAAAGGCCTGAGCCGTCAGCTCCGCAACCTAGATCTTGGCTGCGTTGGCGACAGTTACATGCTCTCGACTGTTTTCACGATGAAGGTTGCCGTGGACGTGACCGTTGGAGCTTGCATAGAAATAACCGTTTGATGCCAGATTGGGATCGTCTCTGGCTAGACTGCCAGGGCCCACGATTTTATCTTCGTCGACGCCTCTCAGTTTGGAACAGGCATTGCCCAGTAAGCCTGCAGCTTCATGCGTGAGCTCCCATCTTGTGCTCTCGAAAGACTCCTTCAAAATCATGAGTAAGCCAAGGCATCGGTTCTTGCCTTTTACGTTTTCAAGATCATCAGGTGCCCGAACGCCGGCGACTCTTTCAAGATATTGCCTCATGTCTCGCTCCTTTTGCTCATAGGTTTTGAATTCCGCTTCGGTAGGCGGGGGCTTGATCGGGCCTTCTAGCGCGAAACCGTAACACCAGACAACGAGGGCTGATATGTACAACACCCAAGGGCGATTCAACAGAAAGTCATCACGGGCGATATATTGGTTGTGCTCGAATGCTTGAGGAAGGATTGGGCTGGCGTGGCCATACAAGCGGCCGCTGATCCCATCCAGCCCATCGCCGTCCGGTGGAATGAGAACCTGAACGATAAATTTGAGAGCATAGAATGCTGCATCTCTTGCCGAGGCTTTTGTCGCCCATCGCTCGATCTTTTCGCGAACTACACTGTAATCCTTTGGTGTGATTGAGCGCCCGAGAAGTCTATTTGCGCCAGCAAAGACTTGGCAATCGACAACATCGACATGGGCGGCAATATGTGCAAGATGGTGGAGCACTGTTCGTGACTCAAAGATGTTTTCATCATCGACCGGGCGTAAAATCGGGTGTGGAGGCGCAACTGGAGTCCGCAACGGGGAGGAAGGGGCCGGAGTGGCTTCAGCCAGAGCCTCGTCAAAATCTCGCTTCCAGTTGTCAAATGCACGCAACAGAACGCCCTTCCACTTGTCTGGTCCGCCAAAGGAGTTTGCCGTCCGCGGCCCAAGGGAGGAAATTTGTAAATCTCTTTGAGTCATATGCCACGAGACGGAGAGAAGACCCGCCATGATGATGGTACGGCCGAAAGAATTGGTGCGGACTCTCTGCCCGTTTAGCGTTCTCTTGAGGCCTTCAAGAAACATTATTGGCTTAATCCCATTGGTCTGTAACGAGGATTGAACTCGAGCAGCCTCGGAAGGGGAGACAGCCGACCAGAGGCCTTCATCACAAGGTAGAGGCAACCGCATCTCATGTGCAACCATCTTCGCGGCATGACCAAACATCGTTGCATGAATAGAATCAAGCACAAATGCTCCGAACGCGGCACGACGTGTTGCTTCGGTAGTGATCCATCGATGCCAGGAATCTTCGGATTTGGAGGCCTCCGCTCCAGTAAACGGTACCGATATCCGCCCATTGTCCTGCTCTCCTCGGAGACTAGGCGGGGAATCGGATGCTGAACGCCCGAGAAGGGAACTGCCGCGGCGCATGAGGGTCAAGGTCGAGTCGTGGTGAATATGGGCTCTTTCATGCAGCGCCCGTGTCGCATACATCTTCTCATATACCTCAATAAGTAGAAGAGTCTGGAAGACCCAGAGCTTTGCAGGAGGTCTGAAATCGACATCTCGGACAATTTCCCAACGGAGGTGCCAAACAACGAAATTGGCAAACTCCGCCGCAGAATCGGTCAAAGTCGTGCCGTACGCTTTGTCCAATGTCGCGGCGCCAATGGCGATGACCATGAGTAGCAGAAGGTTGGGCGTCAGATCGGCAGAAAAAGTCGGCTTGTGCAAAATGGGTAACTGCGCATGTTGGTGGTACCAATAGGAACCAATATAAGTGTGCATCATTCGCAAACTCAAGATATGACCGTCACTGTCAAGGTCACCCTCAAACACGGAGTCCTTTCGTTTTTTCACCGCATCGTGTGGACGTTCGACAAATTGGGTTTGCATCAGATCGAGGAGCTCGTGACGCTTGGACTCAGACATTATGTATTGACTAGTGACTGTTGAGTCTAGAATGCTGGTAACGCTCATGGGGTGTTGTAGGCCGGCGCTTGTAGAGTAGTTATTGCCAGATGATGAAGGACTTTGAGAGAAATACGGACCTTGAGCTTGCTGCTGATCGTGGCCACTATAACCAGGGACGTAATTGGGTGGCGAGAAGCCGTTAGAACCGGATTGGGCATCGTTGAAGAGCCACTGCGTAAAATCGTCCATAGCGAATGGCGTCTGAGTAAATTCATCTCCGCCAAAAACCGGAAAGCCAAAACCAGTGCTGATATCCACGTTTGACATGCTGGTATTGAGCAAAGAGTATGGGAATGGATCATTCCTCGTCAACCCATGTGAAACCGCAGCAGCAAACGCAGCGTCGGCCGTTCGCGACACGCCGGCAGATGGGTAGCCTGCAGTAGAGTACGCAGCAGCGGAAGCCATATCGACAGACTGCATATAGCCGTTATTCAATGCATTTCTGTCCATGGTACCGTCGGATTGTGTTCGCACAGGCTGCATAGGAGGCCCGGATGTGCCGGAATATTGCCGAACCGGCGATGGTGGGACATTCTGCCCCGAGTTCCTGTCTCTTCCTTGCGCCTGCTGCGCATAGGCACCCTGCTCTCCTCTCTGCTCCGCATTGCTGAAACTTTGTCTTCGGACAACCGAAGACCAGCTCTCCTGTTTCTGCGGTGGACTCATTGTGTTGCTACCCATGCTACCGGTGCGATGTACCGAGGGTTCCGGCCTGGGAACAGTATTTTGCGGCGCGGGATGATGAAATCTTTGTTCGGTGGACGCCACCGAGGTAGGCCCAGTATTATTGGCAATATGAGGTTGCTGTCCGTAGTGGTGATTATCGATTAGATGTCCCTGTGGCGGGCCGAGAGGCTGGCTCTCTTGAGCGCTCTTGACGCTAGGAGCAGCCATTGGATAAGTTTGAGGCTGGCCAAGGTGCTGTTGGGGTGCCATCGCAGGTATAATCTGGTTATTCGAGGTAGATTGAGCGAAGGCATCCCGCTTGTGGAGCTGAGAGCCATGGGTTGTATGTCGTTCCCGATGTCGAATACAAAGATCCTGACGTACAAAATACCTACTGCAATCGGGATAATCGCAACGATAGATGGTCTTGGGAGTATCTTCGAGAGACAATTAGAGGGGGTAGAACTGACCGGGCAAGATGACTTACGGTTTAGTTGGTGCCTATAGAGATGCTCAGCACGAGAGTAGCTTTTACCGCAACCCTCGTGTTTGCACTCGAATTTTTTGTCTGGGTTTGGCTTCGCAACCCTCCTCCTCTTCTTCGGCGGCGGTCCGCCTACATTTTCGGCGCCGCCGTCGGCGGCCTTGACATCGTCGGATGAGCCGTTTTGGGCGAGCGAATCATGCTCTCGTTGTTCGACAGAGTCTAGCTCTGCCATGATATGTGACGGCCAACTGTCACAACGAGCCCGGAAGCCTGGCACTGGTCCAGGCGGCGATGCAGGCAATTGATATCACGGGTTATGCAGCATGATCGGAATACCAATTATTCGCACAGCCAAGACTCACAGTGGAAGTCGACGAGGGGATTCAGACAGCCTCCTGGTTCTTACGGCTGGGCTGTCGCCGCGAAGCAGTCTGTGGGGGGTGGAGGCGCAGCTGATTTTGGCGCAGAGAGCCTGTCTTTCCCGTTGTAGACTCTGCGTAGGTGTGGTTGCGACGTCTTTGAAATTTGCCCGTGCTTGTGTATTTTCCCCTTCGGTCTCAACCAATACTTCGGAAGACAGTCAAATGAGGTATCTGCGCAGACTAAGATGGACTAGAGGGCGTTCGTGGGAGAAAGAATCGCAACAGGTTGTGGGATGCAGAAATGGCACGAGCGAGTTTTCCTTCGAATGCAGGTACCGGGTCGCCGCAGACTGAACGTTGTTCAGGTGACCTCCGGGAGTAAGGCTCGCGAAGAATGAGGAGAGGACTTATTGCTTTTGCTGCTCCTCATGGCCTGTGGCGAGGGAGAGTGGGCAGCCGAGAATCAAGGCCTGGGTCTGATGCTGGGTGGGCGTGCAGACAAGAGTCTGGAGGTCTGGAGAGCGGTACGAAGAAGGGTCTTCGAATGCAGCGGGATCTTCGTTGCTTCTGTAAGGAGGCGGTACGGGGCAATTGTTGGGGTCTAGGTTGCAGTTATGCTTGTAGCTGGTTGCAGTCCCGTCGACACTGGCATGGCGGAGTATCCTAGGCTAGATATGGATCAGGCAATGGCAAGCCCCGTCGTGCAGAGCGGAGTGCAGAAACCAGTAAGAGGCACGAGGACGGGGGATGGAGGTTGGGGGGGATGATGCAGAGAACGCGGGATGCGTGTGGATGGTGCGGCGTGGAGAGGAATAAAGTACGACGAGAGGGAGGTTTTGCGGTCAATAGAGAGGGAGGAGGGGGAATTGCGTGGTTCGTGCGAAGTGGCTGACGAGAGAGAGAGACGGTTCAAAGAGGAATTTTTGGTGGGTGATGAGTGGTGCGACGGCGATGGCGCTAAGCGTGATATGGGCGGGCCTGGCGGGCCATCACTCGACTACGAACTCGGAACGGGTAGAGGCTTGCGGGCAGCGGGCGGCAGCCCAGCCAAAAAGTGTCGCATCTGGCACAGTCATTGGTAACCTCTGTGTGCATCTGACTGGGGGCCCTGGTACTTGTGCAGGTGATTTGCTGCTTTTGCCCAACCCCGACTTTGGAGGGCTGCCTAAACCACTGTGTTTTTTCTCTTCTCGCTTCCACATTCTGCGTCTTGGACCAAAGTCTAGACAGTCGTCTGGTTCCCCTCCTGGCCACAAATTGGCCTGCAGATCAGCTTCTCCGACCTCGCGGCTCACCCCCAAGTCAGAAAGAGCTTACGCCCAGTTTCTTCTTGGGAGAGACAGACAGCGGGGGTACAGGCCTGGTCACGAAGTAGCCCTGCTCTTACAAAGACTTTGTTTTTTTGAATTCATTAACGTAAGATGCAGGAAGACTAGCCCATCGATAACCCTCCGTCCCAGCTCCGCCGTAAAGCGAAGGACGTCGCAGTCATCGTTGTCAGTCACCGAAATCACCGCGGCCAACATCCTGCGCATCCTGCACCAGGGATCCTTCGTTTCCGTTTGGCGCGCTCTCTAGTGAGCAGGGCGAGCCCATTTGTTCAATGTGTAGGATTTGATAAAAAAGCAGTCATCTGGGACACACTGGATGATCATCTGTTCTTTACCATCTGCAGATTGAGGGAGGCTGCCTGATACTTCAGAGTCCCCACGCTTTCGCCCGCTCCCATGAACCTTGCCTTGCAGGGGCGCAAGGCATCAACGCTAAATGGGTCTCTACCAGTTGTGAGACCTCCCTCTGCCAAAGTCCTCCCACACGTTTTCGGCAACCTTCATGAGAACAAGAAGCCCCGGGCCGAATCACATCATTGCGCATGCTTTGTGTCACGCACCACCATCTCGTGTAACTTGTCACCCTGTCGGCTTGTGCCGAAGCATAAGGCATGGTCAATTCTGGCGTTGGGGAGGACTACTGTTCCCCAGTTTTACGAGGAACAATGCATTACGCTCTAGGCGTTAAGCAGAAGAACTCCACGGGGGTAACACGGGGGTTTCGCTTACTCACGGGAAACTAGCTGTGATGCCATCTTGCCAGCAAACGCGAAAGTCACATTGACCAAATCTTGATACCAATCAGTCTGGGATCCTGCCACGCCATTTGTCAATCGAAGGAGATATATCTTGGGTCTCATGTCCCGCCCTCCCACAACTTGTACTCGTACAGTACTTCGCCAACAAGTCTACCTCTCACCCTCCCTTTCGAGCACAGTCGTCCTCCCCCAGCAAGCCGGAATGTGACTGTTCCGTACAAGTAGATAAGCCGACAGCAGCCGAAGCTTTGTCTCATATAAGAACATGGGGTAGGAGTCCTCGGTACGCCCACCCAGATCCTATCCATGCTGGACCCACTGTTCCTCACGTCTGTGCTTTTGACAAGCAACAGCCTGCGTCATGATGGAGAGGATGGACCCCATAAACAACGAGCAACCTGCAACGTGGATCAGACGAAAGGACCAGACAGATACCATGGCCATGGTAGGAGACGACGCCAAGGGTAGGGTGCTTCATGCGACCTGTCGGCTGTCCCTGCTTAGTCTGTAGGAAGGCTTTTTCACCCTTTCCAGACCCCTCGACCCTTGCCGCCTCAACTGAGGTTCCAAGGACGGGGTGGTGTGTTCCACCAGTTTCATCCCCCTCCTTTCTTCGACTGAGTACTCCGCTCCATTTCCCCTCCAATCATGAAATGGGCAGGCGAAGATGCTAATGCAACTGCTTTGACCATTCACACTCCTATTCATCCAGCTGTTTGTCGCCAGGTCTCCCAGGTGCCACCCATCGACGTCGCCGATAACAACAGCTTCAAGCCTTTCAATTTTCTCGCTCTCTGAGTGGCCATCCTGCGTCGGCATCCGCTCAAATATTCACCGTCGAATCTTGCCTGTATTTCTGGCAAAATCCATCAGGCTATCCATAACCTCGGAGTAATCTTTGTCCGTTGCCCGACCAGGAAGTTGAGCAACGCCGGTGACCGAAAGGGGGATCGACACCATCAAGCACACGACAGGGGGGCAATACTAGAAGGCGAGTCTTGAGTACTATATACTCGGTACACCCTCAAATACTAGCAAGGATAGCATTGAGAAGTGTTCTTCGACCCAGCTGACATTAGCTAAAGTAGCACAAGCTTGAATCTGCATACCAACAAGGCAAGATGTCAGACCTCAATAGCCCAATCAGTCCTACCGCGAAGCCAAAATCCAAGTCCTATGAAGGATCATGCCATTGTGGCAGAGTTAGGTGTGCAAGTGAATGTGCTCACAAGCGACGCCGGTATATTGACCGATACTAGATTCACCATGAAGCTCTCACCTCCTGTCGAGGATGGCCCAGTGACCAGCTGCAATTGTAGGTCTCAGGATTCCCAACTCCAATCTGGTCCCTGTAGACCAGGCTTTAAGTCTCCTGGCATGGGACTGAACTGATTGACTTGTCTGTAGGCTCTATCTGTACCATCAATGGATATCTTATGGTGTACCCATTGGAGTCCAACATCACCTGGCTCAGTGGTTTTGATGACCTCACCACTTACACCTTTGGCCCAGAGAAGATTGCACATTCCTTCTGCTCGACTTGCGGGACGAGCATTGGCGGGAAGAGCACCGATCCAAATTTCTTTGCCGACAATCGGGCTTTGAATGTAAGGGCGTTTGGTTTCCGAAATCCTGTCGTTATTGCAACCACCTCTGCAACACTAGAACAACCCCTTCCCCCCCCGATCGTCTAGTTGTTGCTATAGATACCAGACTAACCGTCCTGGCTATAGGTGCGCACGTTGAAGGGTGTCGATGTCGACGCGCTGAAATTGAGGAAAGTTGATGGTCGGAGCAAAACGATCAAGCTCCCTTCGGATGCACCTCGCAAACTGTCCCGTTGATTCCTACAAGGGGATGTTGTGCCACAGATTCGAGGGTCACTTCAAGACCAGAGTAGAGGGAGAAAAACGCATTGGGGCAACAGGCAGGGAATCAAGTGTATTTGCTGGCGTTGTACTGATATTCTTTCCCCCCCAACACCCTCCTTTCATAGGTGACATCGTTCTGGTTTTTCGTTGTGTCCATATATGCATCATGTACAGAAAAGCCAATGGCGGATTCAACTCGATCCCAATGGGAGAAGAAGAAGAGACTTCACAACCATGGTATGATTCTCCAACCGTGCCACGCGCCTTGACTCCTTTTTCCCTCGTCTCGTCCGGAAGCAAGATATGGTCTTCATCCACCCCAAGCCGCCAGGAGAAGACCATGGTATACAAGGCGGAAGGCTATGTATATGGTCTCGACAGATGACCGGATCAAAGAGTGGACTGTCGACTTCGACCCTCTGCTTTGACAGGCCCAGACAGTGCCTTTTATTGCGATGGAGGAAATGCTACGACGGACTTTCGTTCCATTGTTCTGTCTGACACGTGGACCTCTCGCTGCTAGGTAGCGACGAGGATATCACGTTTACAATTCATTGATTCTAACCACGCTGTTTCTCCCCACCACAACAGAAGGATTTCACTACATTTTCGTGATCACTTTATCCATGGCTTCCTGTCCCACGACGGGGAATATTACACACAAAACTCCTCCAGCGCCTGTCCGGAATGCTTGCCTTGTATATCACAATCCTCAATTTTTGGAGCATACATTGAACACCATTCAAAGGTCGGCCTCAAACACCTTGTAATTGACACGGACTCTTTCTATGCACTGTCCTGTCTTCGACAAAAATAATATCCTTACGCAGACGTGGGTAGCATGTACATCACTGTCCCAAGCGCCGTCAGCCCAACTCCTGCCCACCACCACCTATCGGCGTTGTAGAAATCGGTGGGTGGTTGCTTGATGATATGCGAGTCTCGGTTCAGCGGCTGGAGGATCTCTTGTTCCCCGTCTCCCCCGTCTGTTCGCTTGACCCTCGATTTTCCCGTCGCACTTGGTGCACTCGTCGGATTCAGCGTCTGCGTCGGCAGCATCTGTGGCGGGCTGTACATCAAATACATGGGCTGCAAGGGAGCTCCGTCGAACTGGTACAGGTTCAATCTGGGCACGTTGTGGAAGGGATCGGTGAGAACTTGATAGGACTGGAAGAATTCGGGCTGCTCGTAGCGGATGTAGATGGCATTGTCGTAGGAACAGTGGGCGGATGTAAGTTGGCGACCATCGACGCCGAAGGGTGTGAGGACAATGGAGCCATTGCCCGGCAAAGAGTAAGTGCCGTGCTGCCATTGCATTATCAAAGATGGGCATTGGGGAGTCGTAGCTAAAAAGAAGCGATTATCAGTATTGTTTCTTGCTTGCCATCTTCCAGAAACCAAGTGGAAAACCCCTCAGGGTGGAGGATCTTCCATGTAATGGATCACAGGGGTCCCAGCATACGATTTGAGACTGCCCGATAGTACGCCTCTTCATAATATCCATCGCTCGTAAAGGAGTAGGAGATCCCCGCGAGTTCGGGCTCGATTAATTTGTCTGCGACTGGATCATAGAAACCCTGAGAGCCAGATCAGTAATTTGAACCAACAAAAAACAGCCGTGAAACACGCATTGGCATCCATGTTGGCAAGGGAGTAAACACTTACAGGACCAGTGACGACCTTTTTGGACTTTGTGGTCCATGTTCCCACGAGTGCGGGATCAAACTGCGCTCTCACAAGGCCCGCCAGGCCAAGTGAAAGGGTAACGACAGTTTGTATCGAGGGGATCATTGTGGCATTGTTTTTAGGGGTTGTGAGAGGGCGTCGAGGATGTCGAGGCGGGACGGGAAGGGAAAGGGATGGTCGTTGTGTTCCACGGAGAGGGGTTGGAAAAGAAAAAAGAAAGATGACGGACGTCTGCGGTCGTTGGTTGTTGATACAATCTGTCTGACTTTGAATCTAGAATTCTCACCCTTTGAGGCTGGCGTGGCTGCTCGCTTTGGGAGATGTTGACGCGGAGGCTGAGGCGCATGTGCAGGGGTCTTTCGGGCAGCGGATTTGCATGCGGACTTGGAGCTTGTTTTGGGGCTGGTGCACGCGGTTTGTCAGAACCAAGTTGTTTCAAAAATAGTCTCTCTCTTACCTGCGACAGCTCTTCACCCTTGCACTCCACAAAGAATTTACGAGGTCCCTGCTTGGGATGCCTTTGCCATCATATCACCTCTCCCTCCTAGAGACAAAGCGCTTGGTGGCGAAATCGATCTAGAAACCCAGGATGCACGTATGCCGCATGTACTTTGGGATCGTTGCTCGATGATGCCGTACTCGTCATTTCGAGCTCTACGAACCATGACGACAATGGCTTTGAAGGATCAAAAGGCAGCATTGCGAAAGAGAGTCACTGGGGATATAAAAAGCCTGGACTCAAATCAAATCCAAAGGCAATGTAGGGAGTGTTCATACTGGGGATACCAACTTTAGCTGATGGTGAAAGCGGCCAACATCACGGAGCACGTGCTGCGTTTGCCAGCTTATCAAAATGCAAAGGCCGTGGCCATCTTCCTGTCAATGCCTGGTAGAGAGGCTTCGACTCAAGACATTGTCTTGCATGCCCTCGACAACGGGAAGGCGGTCTTCGTACCTTACCTACACGCAGGGGAAACTCCAAAGTCAAAGGTAATGGACATGCTGCAGTTACAGGACAAGGACGATTTTCACTCGTTATGCCCTGATGCTTGGGGCATCCCGTCGCTGTCAAAAGATTCGGTCGAGAGGAGGAGGAACGCTCTTGGTGGAATTGGGATCTCGAACCACAATTCGGGCTACCAACAAGATCCTCCAAGTCTGGATCTAATATTCATGCCTGCCATAGCTTTCGATCAGTCTCACCGTCGCCTTGGTCACGGAAAAGGCTTCTATGACCGCTATCTTTCCAAATATAAAGACACTCTCAGCGGAAGTCAAAGTGGACGACCAATGCCGCTCCTGGGTGAGTGGCCGACCCCCGAACTCTTGCCAGCTGCTTTGCGACTAAACCCCTCTGTCTTGTAGTCGGGATTGCCCTTCGCGAACAGATTCTGCCGCCCGACGAGACGATTCCTGCGGACGAACATGACTGGACGGTCGATCAAATAGTGGTTGCTGATGCCGAGTGATGCACTACCGCCATCATTCCTCGAGCACGACTTGATCTCCGTCCGAGCTGATGCCTGATAGATATGGCGCTTGGTGCTGAAGATCGCAGTAAAACAATGGTTCGTCCACTCTAGTCCAAAGACTGGATCAATGAGACATTATCGCCCTTTAATAGAATTTGTCCTGAGAGTTATCAGCAGCAATTCTTGCACGTAAAGCTCCAGTTTTGTCATACCAAGCTGCCTTCTCTTCTGTGGGGTATCTCTTGTAGCCAGCTGCACCTCGACCGCGTCATCAATTACTAGATTCATGAATTCGTCGAAGCCCTGCTCAGCGGTCAGTCGCAAGATCCCTCGAGTCCAGTATAGGCGCGCACCCTGATTTTGCCCTCAATACGCGTGCGCAAATTCTCGTAGAGCCAGATGGAGACTGTCGAGCGCTTCTGCAACAGGCTGAAAATAAAATGGATAGGTGCAAGAAGAGTTTTGCGGCCACCACCGCCGCCGCGTCCAGTCATTGTGGGCACAGTTTGCGCCTGGAGGCTGTATCCTGCGCTGGATTTGTTCGAATCGAGGGGTCGCTCGCACAGATCTGACACTCTCGGCCTCAAGACGTGCAATTGTCAAGTGTGTTGGGGGACGGGCTGTCGTGATCTTGAAAAAGAAGTTTCGGCGCAGTGACAGAAAATCGAAAATGCGGAGGAAGGCTGAAGTGGGAGGCAAGGCTCGCAACCTAATAAATCAGAAACTGAGAAACTGAGGTCATTCCCTAAACATCTGATCTCTGCGAATTTACAACCACTCTCTCCTCCTGCAATTCTTTGCTACGGCGTCTGTCTACCCGATCCTATCCCCTCCAAATCCATTCTTTGTTCACCTTGTCACCGGATGACAACGACCGCACTGACCGCTTCACTGCTCGGCCTAAACGCCTGTGTGCCCCTCATTCTCATCGCACTCATCAAGCTCGACCACCATGGCCGATAAGGCAAACCCTACCAGCGGCTATGCGCCGGTCCTTTCGGCTCTGGCAACGATGCAGAGCAATGCCGGCAAAGAAGAGAAAACCGGAGCCCATGAATTCCTTGAAAAGTTTCAAAAATCGGTCTGTGGCGACCCTCCACACCACAAATACTCGTGCTCATGTGGGAATAGCTGGAAGCATGGAACACCACTCATGCAATATTACAAGACTCGTCCGCTCCGGCAGAAGCCAGGCTGTTTGCTGCGACGACGTTAAAGGGAAAGGTCTGCACTGTCGGTCACTTGAGCAAGTTCAGCGTTGACTCTTCCAGATTACATACGACCTCCATCAGCTGCCAGCAGACGCCCTCACTCCTCTCCGAGACTCACTCCTTTCTCTGCTTCAACTCTATATCTCGGGCCCTCGGCCTGTTCGGACGCAGTTATGCGTGTGTCTGGCAATCCTGGCAATTCAGTTGACAACGTGGAAAGATGTCTTGAGAACAGTGGGTTCGGCTGTTGGCAGCAGTAGGGACGGCGGAGACTGTCTGCTCGATTTCCTGCGCATCCTACCAGAAGAAGTCACAGAAGGCCGCAAGATCAACCTTTCAGTATGTTCGACCACGCAGCATTTAATGCTCGACCTTGCCGCAGCACCACTCTGGAATCCGATCGTAGTCTAATCCAGCATTTTGCAATATAGGAAGAGGAACTTGCCGTTCGGACCAAGGAACTCCTAGAGGACAACTCCGCTCAGGTCTTGAATCTTTTGGTCTCCTACGCCCAGTCATCAAGTAAGGAATCTCCCTTGTCCAATTGGAACTGCTGACATTTTTCTTTCTTTTAGCCCAAGCTGCTCACAATCCTCATTTGTATTCGTGTATCGCATCGTGGCTTCGAGAAATCCCCACGATCGATGTTGTGAACTCGCCCCTATTGAACGAAATTATCGACGCCCTGCAGGACAGCGATTCCTTCGAAGCAGCTGTGGATTGCCTTTGCACCATGTTCAGAGATACCCGAGACGTCGACGAGTCACAAAGTGTTATTCGCATCCTCTATCCCCGAATCATCAAGCTGAGGCCTATGATCGCAGAAGCTGCTTCCACGGAAGACAACGATCTCATGAAGGGCATTACGAGACTGTTCGCAGAGGCTGGTGAAGCTTGGGTTGTTCTCATTGCACGCATGCCGGCCGAGTTCCGCGAGCTGGTCGAATGCATTCTTGAATGTTGCGTACTCGACAAAGATCGAGAAGCTATTTCGGTCACGTTCATTTTTTGGTATGAACTCAAGCTGTTACTCACTCTCGAAAAATACAGACCCGCTCGAGCTCCTCTCGCGGACCTCTATTCGAAATTGGTGGATGTCATGATCAGACACCTCGAGTTCCCCACACCAGAGAATGGTAATGAGAAGGATCTTTTCGACGGAGATCGAGAAGCAGAGGACAAATTCCGCAGTTTCCGACATAGCATAGGCGACGTCCTCAAGGACTGCTGCGAAGTTGTCGGAGTCACGGAGTGTCTAACGAAAGCCTTCGCTCTGATACAAAGTTGGGGCCAAAAATACGCTGCGCAGGTCTCAGGCACGACCGTACCACATTGGCAAGAGCTTGAAGCGCCACTTTTCAGCCTCAGGGCAATGGGCCGGATGGTCAGCCCCGAGGAAGACACGGTCCTCCCGCAAGTTATCCCGCTGCTTACGACAGTGCCAGATCATGAGAAGTTAAAGTTTCAAGCCATCATGGCGCTGGCTCGCTATACCGAATGGACCGCTCAACATCCAGAAACTCTCGAGGCACAGCTGAATTACGTTATTTCTGGATTCAATCACAGCTCTCAGGAAGTGGTACAGGCAGCAGCGCTGGCCTTCAAATTCTTGGGGACCGACTGCCACAGCTTGCTGGGGGATCACGTCCCACAACTCCACAACTTCTACGAAAGCGTCATCGACAAGCTCAAACCTACAAGCCAGGAAGAGGTAACCGAAGGAGTTGCGGCGGTCGTGGCGGCGCAACCACTTAGCAAGATCTATGAGACGATGAAGCTGTTCTGTGATCCTGTCATGAGACGGGTGGTTGCCCTCGCTGCACAAGCCACGGATGAAAATACCGAGAAAACGGTTGCTGACTACCTGGGGCTTGTGACAGTCTTCTTCGATTTCGTACAGCCCTATGTTTCGCCATCTGAAGAGAACCCGGCCGTCAAATATTGCCAGGAGGTGCTGCCGGCTCTTTCACAGATCGCAAAGCACTTCACGCGATCCATGCCGATCCTGGAAAGAGTGTGCAAGTGTTGGAGGACCATGGTGATAACCTACAGGACTGCCACAGCCCCGCTTCTGCCCACACTTGCGACGGGGATTGCTGAGGGCTTTGAGGCGTCACGACAAGGCTGTTTCCTGTGGGCGACAGACGCCGTCATTCGGGAGTTTTCGTACGGTTCAGAGTTCGTTGACGAGGCCACGAGTGACAACGTGTATCAATTCTTTGAGCAACAGGCCACAGTCTTTTTAAGGATCCTAGCCGAACTACAACCGACCGAGCTCCCGGATGTTATCGAGGACTTTTTCCGCCTAGCTTCTGATGCTCTTCGGTTCTACCCTCGGAAAACCCTTACTTCGAACCTTGCTCTGCCCATGGTCAATGCCTCGTTAACGGCGCTGACGCTGCAGTTAGTCGAGCCACTCCAAGCTACTCTGCACTTCTTGAGAGACTTTCTGGACTTTGGGTTTGAGCAACCGCCAATATCCAATTTCGAAGGGCCCAATGGTGAACCACTTGGAAATCCACCAGAGGTTCAGGCAGCGGTGAGGCAAGTGCTGAGCTCGAGGGGCCAGGAAATTGTGCACCGAGTCTTGACTGGCATGATGTTCAGCTTTCCCGAGGACTGCTATGCCGATGCCTCTAGTATTCTCCTGTCGCTGTTCAAATTGGTACCTCAAGCGGCGGCTGAATGGGTTCAAGGAACTTTGGTGGCCCTGCCTGCAGGCACACTAAAGCCAGCCGAAGCTAACAAGTTGATGAAAGGCATTGGCGACAAGCTGCAGCAGAATCAGCCGCACAAAGTGCGGGTGCTACTTCAAGACTTTACAAATTCGTATCGACGACGGAACGTGGCGCCGCGTGAAGGGTTGGGCAGGTTGGAAGCGGCGAGGTTCAAGTTCAGCGGCTGATCGACAGAACGAGGTCCCTCCTTGATGGAAAGATTTACCGCATCGACCTGGTTCAGCACAACGGAATGAATTGATGTCATTTCTCGGGCATCCTTGGGGCGTAACTCGTGCGGAGGCGGCTTTGACCGGCAAGAACCACGTCTAGAGCCCGATACCAGATTTCTTTTGCTCTTGATACCACACAATGCAATTCGATACAACATGAGTCAACCTGAAACACGCGTACATCTCTAGACCAGTACTGTTGACTTGAGCAATGTCCACCTGGAATGGGAGTTCCGGGTAGTTTAGGATCGACATCTCCGACTCATAAGGGCGCAGCAGGTGCAAGCAGCCACATCCAGAGGAGTTGGGGTTGAGGATTTATTCACGGTTCATAAAGAAGGGGAAAAAGTTAGAGCGCGGCGCAGCCAAGTATACCACTACATCACTATATCAGGTCATCAGTCATTCAGCCGATCCACAATTCACGCAGGGATTGATATCTAGGTATGTATCTACTACTGGGTAGATACATGACTAACTACCTACCTCCATACCTACCTAGAATGTACTAGGTACGTATATAGATATCAACCCTAGCAGACCTGAAGGGTTTTTTTACCCTACTCCCATTACAACTGCTATTCCGTCTCCACCCGAGCATTGTTCCTGTCGTCTCTGATATTCTCTCCTTCTCATCACCATCAATTATAATACCGCCTCCGACGCCGCCGGATAAACAGAACCATTCCCACAACCAACAGCGTCAAGGGCACCGCCACGACAAAGTACCATTTGATCGAAGGGTTGTCGGCCAGGACGTCGACGTTCATTCCGAAAAGACCCTGTATGATAGACGGCTCGAGTCTCAGCAAGGCTCTCCAAATAAAACCGGATGCTTCGAAATCTGGGATCCGGTGATGATGGCGATAGTGTAGGACAACTCACCGACACAGTGATGAGCGGGAAGAAAATAAACGTGATCCATGTAATGTTGCCCATTTCCTTGGAATAGTTTTCGGCGGCTTGGGCATTCCGGGCGCCAATGATGTTGTACACCTGTTCTCGTTGTCAGTGGCCAGTTCTATTGCTCGTTACTTGTGTGACGCAGTGCCGGAAGATCCATACAAAGTCAGAGATGTTCCTCCCGCGATTGGGAAACTCTTGGGACACAATCTGCTCCATCTCGTTGAATTCGCTGATGATCCTCTCCAGGCGCACGATCTCGTTCGAGGGCAACGTCGGAGTGGCTGGAGGTGGAAATAGGTTTGCACTGCGAGACACAGCTTCCAGGTACCCCAGAGCGTGCGCGATCGTCTTCCTTTGTGCAAGCAAGAGCTGGCTCATGGTCGACCAGTCCTGCGAGTCACGCCATGTCTGTCGGGCGAGCTCTTCGAGATCAGCAACGTCGAGATCGTCGTCCAGAGCGCGAGTCTCCTGGAACTATCGGTCAGAGGTGGCCACAAAACAACCGTTGTTGATCATACTGAAACCTTGATATGTTCTGAGCTCTGGTCAAGCACTGTCCTCCACCCCATAAGGACGCGCTCCCATATGCGGCACACCAGCCTGTAGATGAATACCACTGCTGTGGCCTCTGTGTCACGACTCGCGTTCTGCTGGTCGATGACAGTCCAAAGTCCTGGGTCCGCGAGCCAGTCCTTGAAGCCCAGACCATCTGCCTCCGAATGGAGCTCGTTGAAGAGTATCAGTGTGCGTCGGTGCCACAAGTCGACCACAGAGGCCCAGCTCGCCGGGCACAGGTCAACATTCCTGAATTTATCTGTTGACCTCATGCTGAGGATGGTGGCGACGCACGTTCTGCGACGGACGATGAACTTCTTCTCGGCCTGGCAGCTCACTTTAGTCCCTATTCCTCGCTTCCAGGCCGAGCCGTACTACCTTGAGCGTGTAAAGCTCTTTGAATTTGGTGTCCAGCGCGGCAATGCCAGGCCTTCTGTGCAGAGAAATCCAGTCAAAGCCAAAGTGTACTAGAAGACGGTCTACCAGCATGAAGGTCAGCGTTCAATCAAACCTGGGCACTCGTCGTCAGGGCCAAACAGGCCAGGATGATTTGGACCCACGTCTCCCAGCAAGCATCGATAGGTTTGAAGTAGGGCCGATCCCGGAATAGTAGAACTCCAAATCGTTTCGTTTATCGCCCTCGAAGAGGAATTGCTGAAATCGGACCAGTGACGCATCCTCTCGATCGCCTACAGCCGGTGGGTTCTGGAGATTGTCGACCAGGCCTTTGACAAACCTCCGGCACAAGAAACTGCGGGCATAGGGCCAGTTGTTCTCGTAGCTGTCGGCCCTCGTCAGTGTTCGACAGAGAAATCCTGCTCAGGCCCGTTCTTGATACACAGGGACTCTTGCCTTGGCTTACTAGACACGATCCAGTGGCTCTTCTCCGCCGACGGGCGTGTTTGGGTGGCCTGGCACACCTGGTGAAAACAAGCCCTGGTTGACCGAGTTCTGTAGGTCCCGCGATGTGCTGATCTGGTTTTCGTTGTATGTCACAAGATACTGTCCGCCGTTGAGTCTGCAGAGGAAATCAACGACCCTGCTGTGCGTTCCTAGGAAGCGGGGAAACCGCTGTGCAGGTGCGTTTTCTGCTGGCAACGGTTGTGAGAAGAACTCGCTGTCTACCAGAAGGAAGTCCATAGCAAAGGAATCTCAATTGAAAATGGTGCACAGTCGCAGTAGCAAGCGCCTTGGGTTCAGGCTCGAGACGAAGCATTTGGCAAAATTCTGTGCTAACCCTCGAGAAGTTCGGACGGAGGGCCTGAGCATATGCAGCTTCCGTTGACAGGTGCCACAGTCTCGTAGCGAGTTTTCTGCCTTGCGTGACAAGGCAAACACTGTGACCAGCTGAGAAGAGCTAGTTGATGCACAATGATATAACGAGTCCTGGCGATGCTCAGCCCCGCTCAGCCCCCTTCCCCAAAAGCCCTTTTGTTCTGGGGTATTTAGAGGAAGCCCAAGGCTCGCAAAGAACTCGACGTGGTGTAGATTCTGAGCCGTTGAACAGTCCAGTTCAGTCGAACAAAATACCAGAGAAGTGACAGCAACGAGCACTATCCATCTGATCTATCCTACCACCATGAGTAAGTGACACAAGACAAGACTGGGTAGAAGACTGAAGTCTAACTTGACCCTGGAATGATAGCGCGAGATTGTGTGGTGGTAATGACGCCTTTTGTACACTCAGGCTGTCGGTACATTGACAATGAGGACAAACAGCACACGTCCTATAAGTATAAGTACCACAACAGCCATTGTCGCCTGCACAGAGATACACACGATGCCTGTTCTATCCACAAGAAAGAAGAAGAATCGATGGCGTATGAGCCTGGCTCGGATCCTTGCCCCAAGTGTATAGCTCAGGTGAGTGTCGCAGGCAGCGGCGGGAGGCCATAGCATACATGTACAGGCACGGCGTGTGTATGTGGTGCTGGTACAGAAGATGCTAATTCAGCCTTGGTGGTATAGGACCGAGACCGCGCCAACAGGCAAGCCCATGGGCGTCCCAGGGTTGACGGCCAGGAAAAGAGGCGAAGGCATCCGCAGCCACGGTCAGATGCTCCTCGGCATAAAAGGAAAGACCACCATGAGGTCGACCCATTTTGTTGCGCGGTGATGTAGGAAAAGTCGTCTGTTTAAGCTCGTTCGTCTCCATCGCAGGCGAGCCACAGAGTTTCCAACACATGTACCCGACTCGATAAGTGCGGAATAAGCCGACCCGAAACGAGAGACTGGTCGAATGCTCGGAGGGCTCATTCGGGTTCTAGGAGGTGTTCACCATCTCTTAATGCCTGCTTGAACTTCAGACTCAGTGACTCGGTTCCCAGCAGAAGGAGGGCTCAGCATTAGCAGAATGAGCCAGCCAGCCAGCCAGGCAGGAACCACTGCGCTGACGACAGAAGTGGGTGACCAGCGCTGTGACACGCCTGAACCCGCCTTCGGGACTGACAGGACTTGCAGAATGTGCACCCTGCCTGCTAGCTCTCCACCGTCCACACACCCACACACCCGAAGTCGAAGTCCTGTCCCCTTCTTATACAAAGAAGCGAGCCCATCGAGCAAGCAAGAGACCTACCGCCACTCTCAATCCCTCCTGCGGTCCGGGTTTCTCCTTTAGAGAAGTGGTCAACTGCGACAACCCGATGGGAGTGGGGATTTCTCGGGTCCGCGCGACTGCTCCAGATATACATACAGAGTGTATAGCAGGATACGCCACTTCGTCGCTGGCTGGGTTGGGTGTGGTGTTGGCCGTCGAGATGGGTGGGAGACAGGGGGTCAACAGAGGCAGAGAGGCAGAAATGTGAAGAAATAGGAGGAACTTGAGGAACCTGGACAGACAGGAGGACAACCGACCCGTAATACCCGCAGAATGCATGGTTGCAGATATATTGTCGATTCTCCTTTCCTCACGCCGGGTCCACGGGATTGTGTGATAGCATCGCTTTTGCATTTCGCTCTTCTGTGTTCCCCCTCCCCAAAACTCCCCTATCTTCGCCACTGGACTGTACTGTTGCCTGGTCGTCCTCCCGTGTAAAGCATGCGCCAGATCGCTCACGATTACAAAACAAAGTATTCACCAAAGCGACCGCCCCTCCGACCTTGGATGGCCGAGTGTTTTGATCCTCTGTACAATTGTATGCCACCAGCTGGCATATTCCAACTGGAACAAGGTATCAGAATTCGTGTCATGACTCCGTCTTCCTCACGACTCCAATGATAACCGAGATATCGTCCAACTTGCCCCCTTCAGCCGCAATACCCTCATCAAACGCCCTCTCCATGTAAGGCGACTCGGCGTTGGGATCCATGGCAATCTCCCTGGCGGCGTTCATCAGCCGTCGCGCCACATAGATCACGCCATCCTTTTTGGCCTCCTCGAGCTCTTGCTCCTCCTTGTGGGTGGCTGTCTGCGACTGGTCCTCCCAACCGTTCCAGCGAGAGATGCTCTCGCAGATATTATCGCAGATCTCATGTTCCCACAGGTTGTCGGTCACACCGTCACTCAGAACGGCAACCACATCACCGATGCGGACATTATCGACCAAGTCACAGACGGCATTCTTGAGGGGCGTATCCGGCGAGTTGGTGCCCAACTGGCGGGGACAGTCGAACCAGTGCCATTGTTCCTTGGACCGGTAGAGGATGCGATCGGATTTGTCATCCTTGCTTTCTTTCTCGGACGGCGATGAAGTCGGAGAGGGTCGTATAAGGAGGATTTTGCAATCACCCAGCGTCGTGGCGAAGATTACTGGCGTGGGTTCGGACTGTGATCCAGAAGGTGGTTTGTAGTAGAGAAGGGCCGAAGAGGCCGTCGTCGTCCCGAGAATGTCATTTTTGGTGGAATCCTTGGAATCCTTGCTTTCTTGCGAAGTCGAGGGAGCAGATGGATCTTCATCATCTCCTCGCTTGCGATCGCCCTCTTCACCCTCCGAATAGACTTCATTATCACGATCCTTGTTCAATGTCCCCTTGGTGGCTTTCTTGGTCGCATCGTACGCATCCTGGAGATTCTGCACGGGGTCGATATCTCCCAAATCCACCGAGTTCTTCCCGTCGGGTCCTGCGAGAGACTTCTCAACTTCGACATCCCAGAAATGTGCAATCAGTCGACTCCAAAGGGCTGCGTGGCCCCTCTCTTTCTGAGCCCATGCTCCCACGCCATCATTGACGGCAACGAAGGTCCGATCCGCCGATATAATAATCGCGTCATCGCCGTTTGTTATGCCACGAACAGGTTCTCCATTCACGGTGGGACGGCGGGCGCCACGCGCAACGGAGGAGGGATTGTGCGTTGTGAGAGGGTCGGAGAAGGAGCCGGAAGGGAGGAAGACGAACGGAGGCGGAAACGGGCGGGATGGTCGTTTGGCAAAGATGGAATAGCCAGTTTCGAAATAGAAGGGATAGGACGGCCTCGGAGGGGATGTGGTGGACGAATTCGAGTCCGCTGAGGTCTTGCCCGCTGCGGGTGTGGTTGCACGGCCTTCAGATATGAGATAACGGCGCAGGTGGGAGGCCGAGGTGCCAATGCCTCGTACGCAGACACCCTTGAGTCGACATACTACCGTTTGCTGTCGAGATGGAGGAGCCCGCACAAGCAGAAGAAAGCAGCGGCTATCGAATAGTCGTGCTACAGCATGTCTGGATGGTCGGGCCACCTGAGCGAGCATGGAAAGGGCCAGAGCGCTCTCATAATAAGAGCAGCATGAGACTAAAAGGTTTCCAGAGGAAGCGTGTTGCTCAACAAATGGTTACAGGCCAAGTATTGAGGAGAAATCGTCGACAGTAAGGTCAAGTTGTGTGTCATATGGTAGAAAGATAGTCCGTGCCTGTTGAGCTATCACCTCTATGCGTCAAGAGTGGAACAATAATAATACGAGGCCTCGTAGACGGTGGGGGAAGCGGTGGAGGAGCCACGAGAGCTTAGCGATCGGCGACTCTGCGGAAGTGCCAGTTGGTGTCAAATCCACTTTTCTCCACCTCCAACATTAGGGATCTATTTCCTCCCGCACCAGCCCGTGGTCTAGACAAACACTACTAGCAGGAGACAATCCCAGAGAGCAAGAAGCGGGAAAACATTGGAATCTCGAGCTGGGAGGAGATGATCAGGTTTCTCTGCCTTGTGGCCGGAGATATATACAAGTATAGATATATACACTATCTTGGCTATTCGCCCTCGAGTATGGTACATTATAGCACATGTTGGTGAGTGGTGAGTGACTGCGACAATCTCACATGCAGAGCTGCGCCATTTGCCACAAAGCGAATTGGAGTGGCGGCATTGTAGCAACAGAAAGTTGGTTTGACGTCGACCTCCAGAAGCACAACGGTGATCCAAAGGTGATGCCATCGTGGTGTGGTTGAAGTTGGCCCGGTGGGATGGCTGATGAGCATGTCAAGTGAGCGGCTTCAACGTCGTGCGCCTCACACTGCCGCCCTCTCCTCATCATGCCTCGCGACAAAGCGCTCTGCTCGTCCTATAAGCTCCTCATACACGGTCCATGCCAGCGCGGAGCTCATTGCCTTCCTGCCCATCCTCAATGCGAGTCCATCAAAAAAACTTTTTATTCCATCCTCTTTGAGCATCAACCGTGCCGCTTTCCACGTATTCCCATACTTGTGTGGCATCAGCTGCAACCTCGTCTTCACAGCATCGAAAGGATTGGTGATGCTCGTCGCTAGCCCTGCCGCGATGACGCCGCTTGTAGCGTTGATCGATGCCGCAGTCGATGCTGAAGGACGTGTATGGTCGTGACTCGTCGCCGCGGTATGGAGCGGGAAGACTTTGTTCAGATGTGTTTTGCTTGCTTCATAGAAGAGCACGTATAAGCCTGCATACGGCGCGTCCCGGATGGCTGTGGCGCCAAAGCCAGAGAAGAATCCCTTCAGGCCTTCCTGCGCAAAAATCGATCTTGTCGCAGAAGCCACAGACTTGTATGCATACAGGTCTGATTCGTAGCGCACCTTAATCACAGTCACCGGCATGATAATGAGTCCCGCAAACACTCTCGCGGTTGCGCCCGTTATGAGATTTTGTATATTCGAAAGCTTTGGCAGTACTGAGCTGCTCTTTCTCTGTAGGGATGCTCCATCTCCGGTTCCCCTCACAGTGTTGTTGGCAAGTATTTGACGCAAAGAGCTGAGCGAGGTGAAATACAAGGCAGATCCGAAGCCTGTCCGTAGCGCAGAAGGGACGGTCCCTCGCCACAAACCGGCTACAGGATGAGGACCAGAGAGGATCGATCGCAAGACGGTGAGGAGGGACGAGGAGTGTGATTGCTGGACTCTGGTCTTTAGCAGGTCGGCTGGTTGCAGTAGGACGGCGCTTGATACGCCAGAGGTCAGGCCGGCAAAAAAATGAAAGGTCGGATGTGCCCTTCTGGAGCTCTGGACCTTGTGAACACTGCCATCGGACATATTCCAAGGGATCCGAAAGCCTTGCGTTCACTGGGGGACTAAAGACTGGAAGATGAAAGAGCTGCCGTCCCGAAATGACTGAGCATGGTGGTGATGTCGGGGTCGATGAGAGCGCGCGAAAGCGATACAGTACCGAGTAGTACCAACAAAATCTTTCAACCTGGTGAGACTGGCTGCTCAGCGAGATGCATGAATAAGCGCACAACACGGATGTGCCTGGTTACGAGTACGAACAGGAACAAACCAGCAAATACGAGCCGAAAAGCTGTGTTGATGAAGTCATTTCCCAACCGAGAAATTCACGCACCTTTTCTGCATCACGCTAGGCTGGTGTCGCACCCAGTGACCAGCAACCACTCAAGAAGACTTGAACAGACTACATAACCGGCAAGTCGCATTTTATCCTGTCCGAAAGGAGTGATCACTGACTCATAGTCGCTCACTTAATTATGGCGAATTATTTAGGCCATCATACTTCTGCACCCTTGTTTCTTCCCGCGGCATCGACATCTCTTCCAGAGCGACCTGCGGAATCCCTGTCGAGTCTCGCCAGTGTCTGAACCCTCGCCCATCCCCGACCAAGAAGATGTTAGACCATACCGAGTACACCCCAACCACAAAAAGGGCGGCTCCTAGGAAATCAGGGACAGGAACTATGAGCCCCTCTGCCCACCTGTGTCGTTGCCCTCTGGCTGACCGAAAAGAGGATCCCGCACCAATAGTTCACTCAAACAGCTCTGCATCCCCATGAATCCATCCTCGACTGTCCCATGAGCAAAGTTAAACAGCCACCGACAGAGTTGGTCTTGGGTTGAAGACCTTGCCCGATGTAAAACTTTCAGGATTTCGATGGTTTGCCAATTGCTCTTTGCGTTCCCTACTCGTGAGGACACAATCGCCCACGAGAAATCAGGCAGTGCTCGGTGCGGCAGACTCTGAAATTGACGCTCGAGAGTCTGGAGGGTATCTTGGTACTGTCCAGGAATTATTCTCGAATGCCACCGCGTCAAACTGAGCCACACTAAGACAAATAGCTTGTGACAATGGTTGCAGATCCCAGTAGTCCCAGCGATAAGCCGTGCAAGTTCGTCCAGTAGGGGCTCGGGATCTTTCTGGGAGGATCCGGGGTCGTGCTGCAGAGCCCAGGCCTCCATCTGCGTGAACAGCGAGACCACCTGATCAATCTCGGCGTGCCAACCAAGGAGGGACTCGCTGCCACGACTGCTTTCCCTGTGGTCGTCGAGATATGAAGCAAGTCGAAGGCTCGTCATGATCATGGCCATCCTGACATATTGTTCGACTTGCGTGGTGAGGGTAAGCTTGTCCCAGCCTCCAACATTCGAAACAAAGTCCCTCAGACCGGCCGAGTGAGGTCCAACTATCATCACTGACCCCTTGTCATCCCCTCGGTACCGGTGCAGATACCCATGCAGCAGAGCAATGATGCCAGATAACACCTCCTCGCCATGCCTCGTATGTGGATCAGATATGAGTGTCGCCAAACGCTGTATTGAGGCCTGACGCCAGAAAATGGTCCGCTGACTGGTTTCAATGCCCTGGACCGTATCGATGTAAGCACTTACTCGCTCGAGAAGGTTGAGAAGCTTTACAGGATATGAAAAGCTCCATGAAAGGCCGAGAGCCGCTACGCATGACTTGCCCCAGTGAGATGATATGGTGTCTGTGTTCAAAGCCAGAGTTTGTGCAAAATTGAGCAGATTCCCGGCATGATTGTTCAACGTTCTTGATAGACGGTCAAAGGGGTCAAGGTCAAGAAGAAGGATGCTTGAGAATGGCGCAGGACTGAGCGAGGTGCACAATGTAGAATTCTCTTCGATCTTGAGAGCATTCTCGAGGGATCTCGCTTCCTTCGTCAGTGCAATACACTGCGAGTCACCCGATGCCGCGGGAGCCTTGTCATCAAGAGTATCGTACTTTGTACAGCACCTCAACTCTGCCATCATGTCAGAATTCCGCTCCGCAAAGTGGGAAGAGGCGTGGTTCAAGCGCTTGAGCCGACGCGATCTTTTCTGCGTATGGGTGTTGATCAGCTTCCGGCGATGCTTGCTCCCAGCCTGGTCAATCCAGAACAGTTCAACTGGAGCAGCAGGGAGTTGTTGAGTGTCGATCTTGAGAACGACATTGGGCGTCATCGCCCACGGTTTCACTGGCACAATTCGCGGGTGAAGTATCTCGCACAAGGCACGAGCAATAAGTTTTGTTCCCGATATCGTGCAGCTGGGTAGGATGCAGACTTCTACCAGACCTTGCAGAGAGGAGGTTCTTGTAGTTGCTCAAATAGAAAAAATAGGACGCAATTGCATTTCTTAAAGCAACCCCGAGCAGCTGGTTACAGGGCAGAGCTCATTGGTCAGACATGCCACATTAGGGTGCGCCACTCGTGTAGAATGATAGCGAAGGCCATGCCACAGCTTGTGCAACAGGAGAGACGGCACGGCTGCAATAGGGAAAACGAAGCCCTCATTGGTAAGCAGCTGACTTGAGAGTGCCGCCTCCTGAAAGATAGGACAGCGACGTTGCATTAACCCCGTCGCCAGACTGAGTGTCAAGATACAAGGTTCTTGGCTGCATTTCCCTGCCTCAGATCTGAGAGGCCGAGACACCATGACAAATAGTGCGAAATCGTTGCAGACATCTTCGTGGTAGTAATCTTCTGAGATCGGCAAGAACCATCACAAATGGAACACTGTCGCTATCCAAGACATCTAGATCCTGCCTGTAGCTGGTTGAATGCCGGTCTTACCTTTACATCTGACGTACGAATCCTCGGAATGTCGTATCGAGCCGTGTCAGATTGGACTGTCTGGGTTGGCAGCGAAACACCCCGTACTCATCTGAACGCATCGGATCTCTGTGCATAGCCATCACCGGCATCGTCAATTGATTGATTCGTTTCCTCCCATGACGGATCTCCGCTGCCGAGTCATGTCCTTGGACTAGCAAGCCAGAGTCCAGAGCTGACAAAGTCGAAACGTCAAAATCGCATTGTTCAGACTCCCTGTTGTCAAGGGGATGATGTTAGCTGCCGGAAGACGAGTGTAGCCGCTGCTCATGGTTGTTGGCCTTCCTTCTCATATCCCTCGGTTTTCATATCTTTCAGGCCTAGCTCCTCCATTTCCTCGTCCGTTCGCTCGTACTCCTCGACCTTGACCTGTGGATCTTTGCCGGGATCCGCATTCAATTGCACAAATGAGTTTGCCAGAGGATCCTCAAGGGTAATGGAAAAGGGGAATTTGGCTGCGATCGCGGCGTCGAGTTTGGCGAAAAAGTTGTCCCACCTCGACCGCGTGTCTGTTGTCATTGAATCTCCTCCCGCAAGGTCTGCATCTCCAACGTCAAAAATCTGACTATGAAGCTGATCACGCACTTGGGTGAGAAGTCCCTCGACAGTAGTGAAACGGCCTCCAAGCGTGCCGGGTTGGACTTCCAACCCGAGGTCCTGACTTTTTAGAGCGCAGGACTCTGATTTTAAGATATCCCTGGACATGTCCTCGATCGTCTTGACGTCCAGCGTGATGCGTTTTCCTTTATCTGGTATTGCACCGCCGGTTTTGACATCACTGGTCCTGAAGCCACAGTGTTCACAGACCGTCGCCATGATGATGACCTCCTTGAAATGCGGAATGTTGGTCTTTTTCATGTTGACCGTGCAGGGCTTTCCACAAGCAGGGCACTCGGCGTGTAGTTCGTAAACTTCATTGTCAACAATATCGACGCCTTCCATCCCACCGTTGTCTTGTGTTTCCTCATCATCCACCACTAGACCCAGCTGCACGTTCTGTTCGTGGCTTCGGAGATAGTCAGTCCGAGAATATTTCGAGCCCTTGTCGTCTGGAGAAGGTTCGATAAACGAGTTTCCCGATATATCGTCGACCGAAACGGTGAACGGGAAACTGTTGCCTTGTAGCATACTGCCCAGCTTTTGAATGACTGTTTCTAAGGAGTTGTAGAGCGCAGGATTCACCTCCTTCCTAGCAGGTTGATCACTCTCCAAATCCGTTTTGATCTTCGTGATCATGCCTTCGAGGTTCGTGAATTGGCCTGGAGCAGGCGGCGTCTCGAGACCTAGGTCTTCAATGCGGAAAACGCCCGTATCGCCGCGAACAATCTGTCTCTGAAAGTCGGCCATGTTGTCTAACCTGAAAATAAACTTTGCTCCCTTCTCTTGGATTTGTCCGGCGCTTTTGACGGTGTTGTTCTTCCAGCCGCAGTGATCGCAGGAGAAAGACTCGAGAAGGATCTCTTTGAAATACGGGATTTTAATAGGAAGGATCCTTGTTATGCCCTGAGGGAGTTAGCCTGCTTTTCTGAACTATCATATTTGTATGCGTACCTCATCGCGACAATTCATGCATAGACTCTCGATCTCGTAGACACCGGTCTCATTGGGGTCGGCATGAACGACTGTGGGTGTTTCGGAATCTGCCATGTTGTTGATGGAATGTGTGTTTCGGTATGTGTGCAAGTACAGGTGAGTGTCACAATCTCTAACTTCGCAAAGGTTGTTCTTTTTCTCGCAGTCCGCCGTCGTCTTAAAGCGAGGGGAAAAAGACTTCAGAATCTTTTCGAGGGACCCAGAACGATCGACGTCTGCCAAGGAAAACGAGGGGCACTAATGCAAGGCCCGTAGGCTTTTCGCCTCCGAAGCTCGGAGCCTTGCCCAGCCACTCAGCCTCGTGGCAAGCTTTGGTTGTGCTTGTGCGGCTCTTGTACCTCGTACATATACTCGGTACCCGTCCATCATTTTTTCATCAGGTCCATCAAGTTGAGGCTAGGTGTGCTTTTGGACTGCATGCTTTTATTAAGAAGCGCCTGTAGCCCTTCCCGGCCTTTTCGTGCTTTTGCCCTTTTCTTGCTGGACGACTTGATGGGTTTTTCCAGAACCGGATCAGTTGATTCAGAATCCACCGCTCCAGAGCGCTCGACAGGTACGTCGAGAGATTGCTGACTCTCCTCCATGTGAGTGGATTTCAGTGTGGCGATATCTCTAGTGATGTGGTAGCACAGCGAGCATCGCCTAGATCGTACCATTTTCCGGGAGGTTGTCTTCTGCGAATGACTCTTCCTGCTGGTCTTCCTGTTGGTCTTGATCTTCCTGGTTGCGATCCTTGTAGATATTGTCCATTCTGGTAGCATCAGATTTCCACATGTCATACATGTATCCCCTGACCTATGGGCACCATGCGATGAGGCTGCGTGATCGAGTTCTACACCTTCGCGCAAGAGCTGCCGTGATGTAGTTGGTGCGGCGAGGAAGATCATGCGCGCCGCTTGCTGCAAATACCTCGCTCGGGCTGCGTGAGGTTCGGCCATTGCACCATAAAAGCTACTAGTTGTTCACGGGGGAATGTGTCTTCACCTCAGTTGATGACACCGATATAACACCAGAATCGCGTGGGTAGACTTGGACCAGAGTCAGCATGGATTTCGGCCAATACCGCAGTTCCTGTACTTGTAGCAAGACCAATCGGGAACACATGCCCCTGGTTGAATCACGACGAGATGCGGAACATCAAGAGAAGCGTAACTTGTTTAAGAAATCAAGGGCGATGATATCCGAGGGAAATCTGATGCCAAGATCTGGCCCCATCCCCCGACACACAAAACTGCCCCCCACGGAAGGCCAGAACCTTTGACCGTTGGAGAACCTTGGGAACCAAAGAACCCGACCCGCAGTTACATTCCCGTACCATATGATGACAGCCAACGAACAAAGACACATCTGGGTAATCCGACGACGTGCAAATGACGACCACGACCTCACTCTGAGACTGCGACAGCTTGACACCACGCGTTTTACTGGACATACCTCCTAGCCGATGAGTCCTCCTCAAAGGTACTCGTTCGTCAATGCGCGTCCCCAGACAAAGGCCGAGAAGCGGCAAACTCGGACGGCGATCCGCTCGCACATTGGACGATGGACGCAGGAGAACCAGCAAAAGATCGAGGGCACCAAGACTACAACAGGTGCCAGTACGAGAAGCTCACCGGAATCATCACGCACAGATTCACTCTCACCGGTCGAGCCGACTCAGTCACGATCGCAACATCCGTTGCGGGTAAGCTTGGCAAGGCCGGCTGACAACACGGACAGTCCAAGTAGCGCAAGTAATATCGATCAAGACAGCATGAGCGACGAGATTGAAGATGACACCGGGCTTATAGTCACAGCACCAAGCCACCTTCGTCAAAGACTCTCTCCTGCTGCGCGCGGCGCTGCTCGTCCCTTTATCCGGACATTAGGATCCGGAGTGCTGGACCCTTTTCAGACCTATCCATCGACATTCCCTTCGTCGTTGATATCACAATGTCATGAATATTGTAAGTTGGTCGATTCCCTCCTTGCCACATTGGCCCTTTTGGGGTGCAGAATGTACAGTGGCTGACAGGGCCCCTCGCCCGACCCAATAGCATTGCAGGTCGTGTGGCCTGGATTGACACCCCGACCCCTGAGCGGATCTGAAGCGGCCGCCATACAAGGATGGTTTCCAATGGCACTCAACGACACTGTTGCGCTGCACTCACTTCTGTTTGGGGCGCTGAGCCACAAGAGGCTAAACTTGTTGAAAGGCTCGGCCCAACCCGATGACCCTGCCGTGGCTCATCTGGAAATGGATATGCGACGCTGCGAGGCCGAGTCAATCTCCCTGATCAATAAAGCACTCCGCGATTCCAAGAATGTTATAACAGATGCAGTAATAGTTTCGGTCCTTGCGATGGCGACAAACGCCTGGGACTCGACCCTGCAGCGCTTCCAGACCCAGCCTGCAACTCAGCCAATATTCGATCCTTTATTGAAAAGTCTTCAGTGGCTGGACGTTTATGGACTCCTCAGCGCCCATCCTGTCCATGCAGCTGGCCTCGTTCAACTGATTGCGTTGAGGGGTGGCTTAAACAATATCCAGACCACTGGTCTCGCGGCTATCATATCATAGTAAGTTCGCCCTTCGCAGATCATTTGTCTGTCGACTTTCGCAGCTGACCGTTGGATTTCCCATGCTACCGTAGCTCCGGAGTTATCCAAGCAAGCAGGACGTTAACGCAACCAGTGTTTCCCTTTGTACCGCTGGCTGATGATGGCGACCGAACCGCAACGCTCTGGGGGATGCTGGGCACCTGCCCAAACGAGCTTAGGGACGAGTTCACTTATAGTAGTCTGTTTGATCTGGGTCTCACGACTGAGCTCGCTGTGGTGTGGGTCGCTATGCAACGATACGAACATGGGGTTGAAAGATTTGTCGACGGTGCACTCCCAGATTTGGATCTCGCACGGTTGTGCGACCGGCGCAACCTCATCCAACATACCCTTCTATCTCTTCCATCACATGCCGACTTACCATCTGCCACTCGACCACGACCCATCTACGAACCGACCCGCCTTGCCATGCTAATATACGCCCTCACCGTGATCTTCCCACTTCCAGCCCAGACTGCCCCAATCCCCACGTTAGTTCGACAACTCAAATCTGCACTCCGACAGTCCGACATGCGCTCTATCTCATCATCACCTCAAGCCGAACGTCTTTTGATGTGGATTCTAGTCATTGGTGGTGCCGCGGCCAGAGATGTACCGGAAGAGCGAGTGTGGTTCGTTGCTGCCCTTAGAAGACTGTCTTCGCCGCTCGGGATCAAGAAGTTTGAGGATCTGAAGAAAGCAGTTTTAAAGCGTATCCTGTGGCTGGATCGGGCATGTGACGCCGCAGGAAAATCGCTGTGGGCGGAGGTTTCGGCCCTGGGTGGTTGATGGACAGTGGGAGAAGAGGGAATAGAGGGCACAAGAGCCTTGAACAAAGAAATCTCAACCAGATATCCTCAGATCTTTGGGGCCTTGGCAAATACCATCCTCGGCCATATTGATGCATCAAGTTAGAGTTGACTGCTGTGGTCTATACGTGCGAGCCTAAAGGGAGATCTAAAGCAGATCCTGCTAGGGATGATGCGTCAATTACTCTTTTCGGGCACCACGCAGGACTACTAGCAACCCACAAGGCGATGATGACTGAGCCGGACAATGGTATAGGTTCGTTTGCCTGGGGGGATTTGTGCAATCCTGGCGGCATAGATGAAGTGTTCCACAATGATAGGCACCCGTGACACCGAAAAGAGCGACGACCCTATATGGTTGTAACCCGATTGGGTTGGGACGGTGACTCCTTCCAAATTGAGACGGAGCGCAGCCACAAGACGCGGCGCCAGATCGAAAATGGCGTTTGCAGAATCTCCCACCCTGTCGGAGAACAAGTCCATTCGCAACCTGCATCACCCGCATCGCCCTACGGGGATCAGAAGTCCTCGTACTCGTATACCGAGTACAGCAGGTGAGTAGCCAGGGTGTTAGTCAACGAAGAGAGCCTTGCTGACGCACCACAGTCTACGCGACCCCTGAATCTCGGATCAAACCAACCGTCGCACGGCGGATATCCTTCCAAGGCACACATTTACAGAGACACACAATACACCCATCAGACGAACCCCCTCTCCACCAAGTGTCACTCCTAGGCGAGATGAGTCAACTATCGAGCTTACCAGATCAGGCATGCACCGAGATATTGATCTGCCTCGAACCTCGCTTGGTTCCGACACTCTTGCTCTGGGGTTGTCTTCCCTCATAATACAGTACATGCTCGTTTCGGCTAGTCGCACAGTTAGAACAAGCAGGCTCACAACATCAGCATAATCTACCATGCGTAACCGCACGACGCCCAGATGCCATCTGAATGTTACAACTACCTTCGGTCATGGAGCGTGGCCGGGCCAGTCCCGACGGTGGCGAAATATAAAGCCCTACTCCCCCTTGTCTACGTGGTCATCAGCTGCGTCGTCAATTGAATCCCGGAGTCGATGATCGCACAAGGTCTATCTGGGGGTGGGACATAGGACATACAATGTATCTTTCACAGGCGCCCTGCGCCCGGATCCACGCTCGAGGCTTCCATGATCCGATCCCTGCCAAGGATGTGACTGGCTCAGACATGGTCGCTGGCTGTGGCTTTGATTCGTACTCTGTTGCCGACATGCCTTGGTGTGATAAGGAACATGGCTTGCAAATTGTCCCCGCTACGGAGAGTCGATACCCGGAACTTGATTTTCCCGTGACGGTATGCAAGTCCTTTGCTCTGAGTCCTGTTGTTGGGTCCTAAGCTAACTTCAGATCCAGTATACGCAGGCATGGAGTGACATTAATTGGGGTGGGATACCCCAATCTATTGTTCTCCCACCGAGTGAACCCATTCAGGAACCATCTTCAGTGTCTGTCAACGGAAGTGATCCAAATTCGGCGACGGCCACTGGCGTAGGACCTAGTGATAAAGCGACTGAGGAACTGGGAGCTCAGGCAAGATTGGTAGGTCCAGACAGAGGTACGATATCATTGGGAGTCGCCGAGATTGATCATGGATTTCCGTCACTCTAGGAGCGCCGTCGTGCCCAAAATCGTGTATCGCAACAGGCATTCCGTGCTCGCAAAGAAAGCCACATCAAGGCGCTTGAACGCGGCCTTGAGGCAATGAACATCGAACACGATACTTTGCTCAAGAAGTATGCGCGCAGACGAGCCGAGATCGATCGATTGAAGACAAGAATTGCGGAACTTGGTCTTGAGATCGATCTCGTGTTAGGCACTCAAAGATATGTTGAAGCTACAGCAAACTTGAGTCTGAATTGTGTCGGGGACGACGTTTAATGATTCACCCTTTATGAATAGTGGCGGGCCTAACGTATGAAGGGGATGCACAGAGACCTCTGATGTCAAGACAATCAGGATTGAAACCCCCTCAACCGAGAGACATTGCTGATACATGACGATGAGGCCACCCGTCCGTGTCTCTGCACACACCACCCTTTGCAAAACGTCTGCACTTTCGCAAGGTTTGCGGGTGTTTGTGCCAGTCTGATCATGGGTCATTTCCCGAGCCGAGCAAACTGCAAGTCAATTGCTGTCAAGTACAGTTGTCATCAGTTCAGCCTTTCACTCATTTGACGGACGAAGCAAGAGGCGAGACACGAACCTTCGTGGATCAAAACTGCCGTAAGTTGAAAAGAGCAGAAACATCGCGAGGCTAGACGCCGGGGTTAGGAGATAGTGGAGCCCGCATTGCCAAACGCCGAATTTGCGGCCTTCATCAGGGGCATTTCATCCATTGAGGTGGCAGGGACAGAAGAGAAAGGTACAAATACTCATCATGGACCAGACCAAACGAAAGCGAAGGGCTTTTAGCTCTGGACGGCATTTTTTGGGCTTACCTACTGTCACCTATCCACGATGACTGCAACAACCCATCCGGAATACAACAAGGATACGGAAGCCTTGGATGTCGCGAAAGCATTCCCTGAAGCCATTCGAGGAAAAACAATCCTCATTACTGGAGTGAACCGCAAGGGCATTGGCTTCGCCACCGCACAAGCTTTTGCGTCGCAGTCCCCCGCTCATCTTATCCTTGCAGGACGCAATATTTCCAAACTTCAAGAGTGTCTAGACGAGCTCAAGCAACGATGGCCGGACGTCGATTATCGCCCGCTGATACTCGACCTTTCTAGGCAGAAGGCTGTTCGAACTGCGGCAGAGGAAGTCCTTTCGTGGAGCGACATCCCATTCATCAATGTGGTTGTGAACAACGCGGCCGTTGCGGCAATACCGGAGCGCACGATCACTGAAGATGGCATTGAGATTAACTTCGCCACAAACCACATCGGGCACTTCCTGTTCATTTGCCTCATTATGCCAAAGCTCCTCGAAGCAGCAAATACCGAGCCGAAAGGAACAACGCGTGTGGTCAACGTGAGTTCTGGGGCCGCCGAATATAACGGTGTTCGATGGACCGACGTCAACTTCAACAAGAGATCCACAGACCTTCCCATGGAAGAGCGCCCGAACTACACGGTTCTCGAACGATGGGGAATCCATGACGGCCCAGACAGGTCGTATGTCCCGATCGAGGCATATGTTCAGAGCAAAGCAGCCAATGTACTTTTCGGTATCGGGCTTACCAAACGGTTGTACGAAAGTCACGGCATATTGAGTCTCAGCCTTCACCCTGGAGTAATTAAAACGGAGCTGTCGAGACATTCTTCCAAGGAAGAGAAGGATGCCATCTCAGCGAGGGCACAGAAGGGCGAGTTTGAGTACAAAACGTTAGGGGCAGGGGCCGCAACGAGCCTTGTTGCAGCCTTAGATCCCAAACTAGGCGTCAGTGAGATCAAAGATGGCAAAGAGGGAAGGGGAGCGTATCTTAAGGACTGTCAAATATCCCATGATGCGCATCCTCGAGCTGTATCGAGCGAGGAGGCGGAAAGGTTGTGGAAGTTATCAGAAGACCTTGTTGGGGAGAAGTTTTCCTGGTGACGGCGACATGTTGGGTAAGGCGATGACGTTCACAGCATCGTCTACTGCCACAGAATTGTACTTGTTCTCGATACCTTTCTCGTTGATCACATTGAAGAATGAGTTCGAGTAGAAAGCGGATCTTGGTCGAGGTGTTGATGTGTCTAATCTGTAAAAGCGGCGGAATTTGCCAAGCCAAAAAAGGCGATGACCATCTGGAACATTTCGTTGGTCGATTTCCCCTTCCAACTCTGCTTCTTCATACTGTGTACCTAAATGCACAAGGCATGCTTATTCACATCTCAGTCCTTTCCAAGACCACTGCACTCTCTGCCACGGACTCCACAGGTGAATAGACTCGTCAGTCTCTCCTTCCCAGCAACATTTCTCCGCGGCCTTCATCGCTGTGGCTCTAGCACTCCCACATTGAACTGGCCACCAGAAAATGCAGTAGCGATTCGCCGCGCTTTTTCATCACGCGGATCAGTTGGCGCGAGGAGCAATATGTCAGTAGCTGAAGAGGAGAAGAAAAGAGGCATCAGGGTCGCTGTCGAGGGTTGCGTGAGTGACTTGGAAGTGGAGTTTTGTGACCAGGTTCCTAACATTCCGATCTAGGGCCATGGAACACTTCATGCCATCTACGCTTCGGTAGAAGAGTCTTGTCGTGTAAAGGGTTGGGATGGTGTTGATTTGCTGATAATCGGGGGTGATTTTCAGGTCAGAATCGCCATATGCATAATCCTCAGTGTGGCTAATGGATATTAGGCAGTAAGAAACCAACATGACCTCAATGTGACGGCCATGCCCGTGAAATACCGACGCATGGCGGACTTCCATGAGTACTACAGTGGTACCCGAACTGCGCCGTACCTTACCATCTTCATTGGAGGGAATCATGAAGCAAGCAACCATCTCTTTGAACTCTATTATGGCGGATGGGTCGCACCAAACATCTACTACTTGGGAGCTGCCAATGTCATCCGATTGGGGCCCCTCAGAATCGCTGGGCTGACTGGAATTTGGAAAGGATACGACTACCGCAAACCTCATTTCGAGCGCCTTCCATACAATCAGGAGGATATAAACAGCATCTATCATGTTCGAGAGATCGATGTCAGAAAACTGGTATCTCTCCGGTCCCAGATCGATATTGGCCTTTCGCATGACTGGCCACAAGGAGTCGAACACCACGGAGACTATAAATGGCTCTTCCGGAAAAGACGCGACTTCGAGGCCGACTCATCGGTTGGGAAGCTTGGGAGCGTAGCTGCACGACAGTGTTTGGATCGACTGCGGCCGCCGTATTGGTTCTCGGCACATCTCCACACTAAGTATGCTGCCGTATACTCGCACGAGGAGAGTGAGGTATCCCAGCATGGAAGCTCTCGTTCGGCTGGCGGGTTCATCGAAGAACTCTCAGGCAATGTCACTCCACGCCCAGAAGACCGAAAACAAGTGTCAGCATGGCAACAATTTCAGGATCCTGCTCAGCAAGACGATGCCGAACAAAGAGCCACGATTTCACAGGGCCAAGGGACGGAACTGCAACAAGAAGGACAACCTGGTGCCGCTTCTACTCCCCAATACTCATATGATGAGACGTTCAACAAAATCGGCAGGGAAAACGGTCTCGAGCGTACGGTGCTGACGACAACTCGAAGTCAATTCTCTTCGGAGGATCCGGAACCGATTCCCAATCTCGATGGTTGCTTCTACTCAAGACCTTCCAAGAGACAGCGCCTAGAGACTGGGTCATCAGATCCTGCGCCCGATCTGCCTAGCACCGAAAATCGAGCAGACACCACTGGGGATCAATTGGATGGCGCTAAAGCGAGCGTGCCTGCAGCCGCCAAACCCGTGGTCGCCAACCCAGACGCCATCGATATTGACATGAGCGACGACGAGTCTACCACGGTAGCCATTGAGGACACAGCTGCACCTCGAAGCAAGCCTCTTCAAATCTCTAGTGAGCCAGCCAAAAACGCCGATATTGTTACAGTTAAGAAACATGACATCTCCCACAGCCTATCAGAAGAGAGCGAGGATGGTGGCGTCAAGCTGAATACGCCAACCTCACCCTTCACTCCAATGCCCAGCATCTCGTCCCTGCGACACGAAGTACACAGCTCACATGACTCGATCGAGTCATCCACGACATTGTCTGGCGCCGAACAGAAGCCACCTTCCGCACCGTTCGATCCACAACCGCTTCCCAGCCGAAGTGCCGGAGGCCCTTCAGAACAGTCTCACAGTGACAAGAAACCAGACACGGAGCCGCAGGTGGTGCAAAGCAACGACGATGTACCCCAGGAAATAAAAGACCAGCTGGCGGCGCTATCACACAATTTCGTCAAGAAGGCACCAGTTGAAGTCTCTGCACCACTACCATTTCCGGAGGACATCACCAATAAAACGACCTACTTCCTGGCCCTTGGAAAATGCGAAATGTACCAGGAATTTCTCCAGCTTCTTGAAATCCAATCGATAACATCTCCTGAGGAAGAGATCAAACGCCCTCTCAAGCTTTCCTACGACCCAGAATGGCTCGCGATCCAACGAGTGTTTGCCTCTGAGCTCCAACTCGGCGGGTCTCCCAAAGACAGAGTTCCACAACACCGTGGGGACACGTACTACCGTGACCGAATCACGGAGGAGCAGGAATGGGTCACTGAGCATGTAGTAAAGCCAGGTAAACTGCAAGTTCCGGAGAACTTCAGTGTAACAGCCCCCTTCTATGACCCACGTCTTCAGGTCGCGCCAGAGGAGATGCCGCGCGAGGTGACGAACCCGCAGACGAGCACGTACTGCGACTTGATTGGGATCGAAAACAAATTCGACATGAGTGAACAAGAGAGAGATTCCCGGGTGCAGCAGGGCCCGAGACCCGAGAGTTCTGAGTTCCAGGCATACCACAACCGCCCGCGTCAGCATGGACAGGGCGGTGGGAGGGGTCGTGGAAATCATCGCGGCGGCGGCGGCGGCGGCGGAGGAGGCAACAGAGCGAGAGGGAGAGGGAGGGGAAGAGGACGACGATTTTAGAGTGGGGACAGAGAAAAATTGGGGGAGTGAAAGGCGAAGGACGTGTTCAATGCTGGACGGACCGACTGACTGACCGACGATGAAGGAGTTTTATTTGGTCAGCCGCTGGCCTTATTCTTCGTTTGAACAGAAACTAAAGGCCAGATTCGGCCACCGCACTGCATTGCCTTGCATTGCATTGCAGGTTGCACCTTTTGTCATTCGATTTCGTGTATAATAGAAAAGACACTTCAGAATCTGATACCCAAGACAACGAGAGCAGAATGGGGATTGATTGATGATTCATTCTTACACCATCGGAATAGAGTTGCGAAGGCGGGCGTATTTGATCTCCATAGTCTCCCTAGCTAGATCAAATGCTCGCTTCCGATCTGCGGACTATAGTCTCTCGTACAGCCCAAGATAGAAGCTGACTTTTTGTGATGAATGATATACATCAATCGATCAATTCATTCCGCGGCTATGGCCAGAGGGACATCAACAACGGTATCAACGGCGCCATCACTCACCGGCGCAGCGACACGAGCATGCTTTCTCCCCCTCGTACCACCACCACCTTGCACAGGCGTCTTGTCCAGCTTCTCCAGCCGGCGCAGCAACTGCTTCTTCCATGTCTCGAAGTCGCGCGTGCGCTCGGCGCTCAGCAGGTCGAGCGCGTCTTGCATCATGGTCGCCAGGCCCGGGAGGAGGACGCCGTCTGGGTCGTCGTCTTCTTTGTCTTCCTCGTTTATTGTGTTATCCGCTTTCCTTCCTCGTGCGGTATCTGCGGGGATCCTGCGTCTTCTGCGACTCGAGAGGATCGGATCTTCTTGATCGTCGTCGTCGTCGTCGTCATCGCTCTCATCTGCGTCGAGTCGACCTCTGAAGTTTCGTGCCGCACGGTGACCACCGCCATCGTCGTCGACGACGGTAGGATCAAAGTCAAAGACTTTCTCCGGCACGCTGGCCCACCAGTCTTGGCCGCGACAGAATCCCTCGCGGTTGATCCGGCGGATCCACTCCTCCACGCCTTTCGTCCCTGGATTGTATCCCAGGACCTGCACGGCCCGCGCACACGTGGTCTTGTACACGGACGTGGTCATCTTTGCGGTCTGCATGCGCGTCAACGTCATGAGGAACAGCGCTGTCAGGAGGCCCGTCACGGTTTCTTGGAGGGTGCTCTCGTCCACTGGTGCTGCTGGGTCGTCCTCGTCCGGTGGTGGCCACAGACCGCTCAGTTTCAGCACGATGCAGGTGCCGGTGTAGACGTGCGGAGCGAGCAGAGGTGTCGAGAAGGTTTTGCACAGTTTGCGGATCGAGGGCATTGTGTAGGCTGGCGCTTCGCCGTCGTTCTCGCCCTCGCCCTCGCCCTTGCGCTTCGCGCTCGCCTTGATCTTGCCCAAAAAATCGCTTCGTCGTCCCGGAGACTTCGTCGGTGTAGCCGCCGTCTCACTCTCCAGTCCCGTCTGCTTTAGCGATCCATCTGCATTCCTCTTCCTCCCACCCGGCGTCGATTTGGGCGTTGTTGTTGTTGTTGCGGTACCATCCTCATCCAACACCCTCTCCAAGAACGCCACCAACTTTTTATACGCCGCCGGCTTGCAGGGCGCACCGCCCGTCTTGACCGCCGGCAAGCGACACTTGGCCCTGAGCCGGGTGCAGGCGATCTCGCAGCACGCGTACGCCCGGGCGATCTCCTCGTCGGGCTTCAGGTGCGAGGCCCGCTGGCGGGACTGCGCGAGGAGCGATTCGCACAGGTGCACGAGCGGCGCGGCGTGGGCGTGCGTGGGGAGCAGGCTGTTGAGGGATTGTTGGACGGCGGCGGAGGAGGAGGACGAAGGCATCGTCTAGTCTCTAGTAGAGACTCTACCTAGGGTACTAGGTAGGTTTTGTCGGCTGGTGACACGACGGGACGGTGCAGAGCAGAACTGGGGAAATGCAGGAATTGGAAGGGATAGGATGATGGTTAATTCCTAGGTAACTAGCTAGATTGATTGCGCTGGTGCTTTTTCCACTAAGACACATTTCGTGTAGGATCGGAAGACGTCACTCCTAAATGCAGACGCGTCGTGAGCATCCTAAAGCGCGTCTACGTAAGGAGGATTTTGTGCGGAAATTTTGCCGCTATTATTACACCACAACGGTACCTAGCGGGTAGCTCCTCACGTCGTCTATCCACAACTCGGGCACTCGAGGTACAGTCTTCGAAGTGACAGGTCATCCCCAGCTTCCATGGTTTATCCCACGTCTTAAACGCTCTACCTTCGAACTAGGCCATTCCATTTATTCAACACGGTGCGCAATGAAGAAACAATTGCGTGCACTAAACAGTCACCGCTGGTGTCTGAGGGCTAGACCTATCTCGAATCAAGGATCCCAGTGAACATTGTAGCGCCCACCACCTGGAGACTCCATGTTTGGTGTACCTTGTACAAGAACATGTACGTCCAACTTCTCTCTTTATTTCTCGGGTGGATTGTCTTTCATAGCGCTCTAAAAACTGCGCCAAACACATCCCCTGTCACGGGGGGAAGGCCTCGAGCCGCAACCTGTGCAGGGACGTTGTCGGAGCCTGGATTGACCAGGCCTTTCCAGAACGGTTGTTGGCACGCGGTATCCCTGTTTGAAAACACCGTTATGAGTGCTGAAATTAGCTCGAATTCTCGACTCATGCAGCGGCAGCAGGGCACATCTACCTCGTAGATTGAAAGCCGGGCAAAAATATGATGGGGAAAGAAAGGAGGTATTGAGGGATGAGAATAAAAACGTACCGGTAAAGATCGACCTTAACATCCTTGTCGGGTCCAATTGACGCCCAACCGCCGTGTGATGTGACGATGCCACATTGATTGTAGGAGGAGGAGCTAATGGGTGTCCAGAAACAAGTGCCTCCCCAGTGCGGATATTGGCAGATGTAGATCTAACAATGACAGTTAGTCAGTCGGCATTCCAGACTCTGGCGACCTTCTCAGGAGTGTCTCGACTTGTGGTTGCGCAACAAAAGCCGAAAGGATTCCGCAAGAGTCTGGGGACCAAGATAGGGGGGTAGTGGTCAACTTACACCGTTGACGGCTCGATCACCCAGTTTCCGTGGTGAATTCTCGCCGGTGAGCGCGTCGGTGACATTGAAGAGGATTCCATTTTCGGCGGCAGAGAATGGTGCAGAACTTATCAGGCTGAGCACGAAGGTGCAAAGCGAGAAATAGAGGGATCTCATCGTTGAAGTCGAGTGAAACTGGAAGGACTCGCACAGAATATGACAAGAGTCAGGTGGACATTCTCACTCGAAATTCAAGGAGTTGACGATGCCAGCCTGGAGCGGGAGGGAGGGAGACAATGGGAAACAAAGAGAAAGGGAGGAGAAGAACAAGAACACGAATTTAGTTATGAGCCTCATTGTTTCCTGCATGCGTTACTGCGAAATTCACCCTGAGGAGACAAAGAGGCACGAGGTGAATTGGGGATTCAGTGAAAAAACAAGTCACACAGTGAGCGCATGTTGGATGACTCAGTGTATATTTCCTCCCTGTCGCCATGCCACTTTGATCCCGCCAAACAGTTACCGACGGGAGTCAAATATTGACACGTTCCTTCTGGTCTGCCGATGAGTATCCTTCCTCATTTGATAACACTTTGACAGTGCATCATTGATACCCCTTGGTTTATGGCATGTAGACACTCATCTCCAGCCCATTCGTGTACGGCAAGGTCAGATTCCTGAACCCACTGGCCGGATCCCGCATGTACTCCAGCAGCTCCTTGTATCTGTCAGCCGCACTGATCGTATTGTCTGCGATGACCACGGCGCCGCGGCGCATCCGGGGCTGGCACAATTTCACGACGGGCAACGCCATGGGAGTCCAGACTGGTGCCGGCGGCGTGGATCTTGTCAGTTTGTGTGTCCACGATGCAGGAAACATGCTAACAAATCACAAGTTGTTGGGGGCGGGATTTGAAGATGGCATTGCAAGGCTGACTCCGACCAGCGAGCTTGCCTCAGAATAAAGAGAGAGATACAGAGAGGGAGCAAAAGAGAGATGAAGGAGAGAAGAGATACGCGAGAGAACGAGAGAAGAGCTTACTGTCCAACAAAAGCAGGTCAATCTCAGGCAATCCCTCTTTGAGCGTCTCGCGGATATCGCCCTCGCGCAGCTCAATGCAGCTCGTCACCTCATCACCCGCCTCTTTCCAATGTTGGCGCGCCTTGTCCGCCTTGGTCTTTTCATACTCTGTCGCAATGACGACTCCTCCTTTACCATCGCCGGCAGCTTTCTTGACATTCTCCGACACCGCTAGCGCAAGGTAGATGGTGCTGACGCCGAAGCTGGTCCCGGCCTCGACGACGTTCCTGGCCCCAATGGCACAGCAGAGCTGGTACACGAACTCGGACTTGTCGCGATCCAGCGCGATGAACTTGTCCCTCATGTAGTTGTGGAAGCCTTGCGCCTCGAGATCCGCAGGCTCGATCGCGTCTTCCTGCACCCGCGATTCCCGGTGCAGTCGATCCAGCAGCGCCAGGACGTGCGGCGGGGCTCGGACCGGCGAGGGATATGTGACCGAAGGAGAATCAGAAGAAGATGCCATATTTGCCTGGTGCCCGTTTATCCCTTTATCGATAGCGCTCTCCCTCTCACTCACTCTCAGACAGATGAAAGCACTCACGGGGTGAAAAATATGGCAAAGCAATGGAACTTTTCACTCATGAGTCATCTAGGCAGTGTACTGGGGAAAATGCTGCATCGTCTCGATCTTTCGACTGCTCGTTCCACATGGTTCTGCTTTGATAACTCCTCGGACGACCGAGTATCGGAGCGTGGCCAGAGACTACTAGCCACATTCGGGAAAACATTAGGCAATTGTTTAGGTAAAAAGGAGGGCTAGGCGAAGGAGAAGAGGGTTGACTTCACAGCCTTGTGTGGGGTAAGCATCCCGTTTGTGCTACGTACAAACCCGGTACAACGTGCACCTTGTATACTGCGCTCCCTTCTACCAGTCTTGGGCTGTTTCCGAGGCGCATGGGATCGAAGGGTCTTTTGCACCCTGTTCGTCCGCTCGTTTTGCCCTCCTCATTGTATCACATATTGCAAGCGCAGCGCCTGGTCTTGGATTCGAGCTGGCATCCTGTCATCATTGCAGGGGACACCGTACCTGCGCAATTGAGCCATGATCGGGTCATACTGCCATTTCCACAACCGGATCCAGGTCTGGCGCGCCTTCGAGGCTGATTCGGGGAACACAACCCTGCGCACTCTCCTTCAACTCCGCCTCCGAACACTTTCTCCAGGTTGCGAACAGGAGGATGATTGATGTCGAAGGGTGAATTTATAGATTGCAGGTAAAAGTCTATAAAGAGATAATTTGACATAGGTCGACTCGCGAAATCAGAGTGCTCGAGGGTTGAGCTAGTAGTGATACGGATAGCTTATGAACACTGTTAAGTAAAAGCCGTCTCTGACAACGCGAGCGCCAATCGTCTTGTTAATACACACGCCCTCGGGAAAGAGCGCAACGCCGTTCAACTTGCAGGCGTGATTTAGTTCTTCGAGCTACGGACCGTCTCGCGAACCTTTGGCAAATCCCCTCAGGAACGCATCGACCATATGACGATAGATCAGGACGGGTTCATGAGCAAAGCACCAAGGGGCGCGATCAATCACTTGGAGTAAGGTTGCTGTGATTTGGTCAAGATGCAGCTGGGGTCCGCAGGTGATGATCAAGACATGCTCCAGCGCGGTCACACTAATTACTCGGTAGACCTTATCTCACTTTCACTTATCAACCGACTGGCCAAGGTGCCCAGCGGTGCCCAGAGGTGCCCAGACTTGGTGCTTCGGCAGGCCATGCTTGTCTAGATCTTTCTTTGTACAACATCAAACACTTCAACTCGATGCTGACTGATCTCACAATGAAGCATTGATCACTGCGATATCCTCTCATCGGCAGTCTTCGTACATTGCTCCAAAACGTCCCAGAATGTATGTGTATGCAGTTTCCTAGGGATCCTCACGCCTCTCGCGACACCATCTGGCCCCGCCTCTACTTTCTCCACAATGGTCCTGCCTACTTGTCCTCTGATCGAATCCAATGGGCTGTGTGCTCCATCTGTCACGACCTTGACCTTGTAGCGATCGCCATCCTCCTCGAATATGCCACTGGAATAGCCAAACAGCGCCGCAACCGCCAGGGGATCATGCAATGGAGGGCCTTCATACACATCAAACCACTCAACATAACTCTGGGCGAAGAAGGTCAGGATCTCGTGAAGAAAGAGGCGGAGCTCACTTGGCTTCTCGGACCCCAGGAACCGCTCTCGGATCTCCTTGGTCGCAAGGCATTGATGCGTGAGATCGAGTGTGACAAGGGTGGTTTTTGCTGCCACGACCGGGTTCGAAAAGACTGCTTGAGCGGCTTCGGGATCACAATAGATGTTGAATTCTGCCCAAGGAGTCTCGTTGCCAAACCCCTCGCCTTGACCTAGGGTTTTGCCAAACTCTTTCGAGATCTGAGGGCAGAAATCGCCCCCTACTGCCCCTCCCATGATGCTCATTCTACCAAAGCACAGTGTCAGCTGCAAATTCCGTTTCAATTCGAGGACCTGATATCACTGTTTCTCTCCTCGCAATAAGCACGGAGACACAGCTGACTTACCCAGCAAGGTGGTGAGCTACCTCAGGATAGGCTGAGAAGAGCAGGGCAGCGTTTGTACAAGGCCCAGTCGCCACATACCACGCTGTCTGAGGTGGCTGAGCCATGATGGCGTCGCGAGTGGCAACGAGAAAATTCACATCCTTGACGATGTTTGTCGTCGGCTGTGGAAGGAGACTCGTACCACCCAAGCCCGTGGGACCTGGTTATGATCAGCGTTGAGCAACTTTTCTTCGCAGAGAACGTGGTCACCGTGGATGTCAGGCGTCTCAACTTCTTCTCGACAGAACGGCTTCAGCGACCCAGGATAGACCTTGACATCTGTCCTTCCTACGGCATTTAGGACCGCGCTTGAGTTGTTCGTGGTGTGGACTTGAGGTGCATTGCCGTGGGTTGAGCTGACACCCAAGAACTTCAACTGCGGATGATGTGCCGCAATGAGAATGGCAAAGACGTCCTGCAGTCCAGGTTGGCCGTGTTTTCGCTGTTATGATGAAGGGAAGGGATCTCCTACATCATGCCCTGAGCAAGGTCAGTACTTATAATGTTCGCGGTGCAGAGACCAAGTCTGGCTCAGCTTACTTACCGGTGTCAACATCCAACCAGACTGGTATCTGCTTAGCTATGCCGTCTATCATTGTGTCGTTCTAACACTATTTTGGGCTTCAAGCGAGACCTCTTCTCTTGAGCCTCCTGCGAGCCTGTATAGAAGAAGCCGTCCCAGATCTGGATATGTCGGTGCTCGCTTAGGCCCCCCTGTCTCAAGTGCAGCACTGAGCAATCTATTCAAGCTTTTCCCCCTTCTATATGAACTGATTTGGTGCTAGTCCCTGGTATTTCAGCAGAAACCAGCAGTTCCCAATGGCCACAACCTATTCTCGCTTAGTGGACATTCCCGCGTGCGGTACTCCGAAAGAGAGATCTAATGAAATGCTAGGTGCTTCAACAAATCCTTCCGTGTCGCCTCGCCAGTTAGGGTTTTCCGTTTTCGCACATTGCCGAACTCCTTATCTCGAGGGCAGCAAGCTTACGCAGGTATCACCATCGTTCAAAGTTGGGCGCCAATGATAGCGACTTTTGTTCTCAGCAATCTCATGGCCATGTGGTACCCTGGCTTATCGCGGGGTTGACACCTTCTTAAGCTGGCAAAGCCTGACAACTTGAGGCCTAGGCTCAGTGTCTATCAATCTCTTGGAGATAAGGATGGAGAAGGAGTGGCAAGGTCTCTTTGTCACTTGCATTGATATGCCTCAAGACCGCCTCAAGCAGTTGAGACGTCTGGCAGGAAATCCCCTCAGTATCCTCACAGCATGACAACTAACAGCATGGCTACCCACGAATCGAGCAACAACACGACAGCGTTGGCCGACGATGTCCTCAACCTGGAGAGCTTCGGCTACAAGCAGGAGCTCAAACGAGACTTCTCACTGTTCGGCATGATCGGCTTCGCCTTTTCAGTCCTGACATGCTGGACCGCGCTGGGAGGTTCTCTAGTGGCTGCCATTCAAGCAGGAGGTCCGCCGGTCATCATCTACAGCTGGATCGGCGTTTCCTTCTTCTCGCTCTTTGTGGCCTACTCATTCGCCGAAATCTGCAGTGCCTTTCCCGTGGCTGGAGGGCAGTACTCGTGGGTCGCCATCTTGACGCCTCCGAAATGGGCAAGACTCACCTCCTACTTATGTGGCTGGTTCATTGTCATTGGTTTCTTGTCTGCTGGAGCTGCGAACGGTTTCATTGGCGCCAGCTTCGTGCTCGGGATGGCTCAGATCGCCCATCCAGACTTTGTGATTGAGAGATGGCACACATGTCTGGTGTGCTACCTGGTCCTGATACTAGCCGCTGCAGTCAATGTCTGGGGCCGCCATCTATTGAACAAGATGGGAAAGGTCATGATCACCTTCAACCTACTCTCCTTTGTGGTCGTTATCATCGTCATGTTAGCCAAGGATCACGAGAAGGCGAGCGCTGCGTTCGTTTTCAAAGACTTCAACAACAATACCGGGTTTGGCAACTCGTACGCAAGCTTGTTGGGCATCCTACAGGCAGCGTTTGGGATGACAGGCTACGACGCAACAGCACACATGACGGAAGAGATGCGCAATGCCAGGCATCATGCTCCGAAGGCAATCATCTGGTCGGTTTGGATTGGTGCATTCACTGGGTTCGCGTTCCTGATTGCATCGTTCTTCTGCATCCGCAACCTTACAGAGATCGAGACGTCCTCAACGGGTGTGCCTTTGATCGCCATATTCTACGAAGCCACTGGCAGCGTGGGAGGTGCAATTGGTCTAACCGTCCTGATCACCATCATCGCCTTGGTCAGTTTGTGCTTCCTTATGGCGCAAAGTTCGAGAGTTGTATTCTCTTTTGCCCGCGACCATGGACTGCCCTTTTCTGGGATCATCAGCAAGGTTCATCCTACGCTGCACGTCCCCACCTACAGCATCTTGACCGTGCTGGTGGTCAACATGGCTCTAATGGCGATCTACTTCGGATCGGTGACTGGATTCAACACCGTGCTCGGAATTTCCACGGAAGGCTTTTATCTGTCTTACATCATGCCACTCCTCGTTCGCATTTGGGGCCGACTGCAAGGACGAGAGGAAATCGACAGTGCCTATTCCCTTGGTCGCTTCGGCATGCTCTTCAACATTATTGGCATTGCCTACCTCACGTTCGCCGCTGTCGTCTTTAACTTCCCGTCAGTCAGCCCTGTTAATGCCGACAACATGAACTACACTTCGGCTGCTGTCGGCGTCTGCGGTCTGATTGCGGCGATTACATGGGTGACGACTGGTCGTACTCATTTCACAGGTCCTCAGAGAGGTGGAATCTTGGACGGAACGGTGGCCAGGCTCGACGACGACGTGCATCATGTCAAGCCTGCCGCGACCTCCAAGAATCTCGAGGACTAAAAAGGTTTTTCTAAATTCAGCGCTCACTTGTACAATAACACCCAGGTATGTACAAGCACTTGTCCGGAATGGACTGGCGTATTATTTGTGGGATTTTTGCGGGTGGATCGTTCACCTCCTTTGTACACCGACATCAAGGAGGCCCTTGTTCGGAATGAACTGACGACGATATGATGACAAGTTGGATTTTGATGACATATGATACCCTCACCTTGTACTATTATGATTGAGCGATATGGTACGGGCACTTGACCGGAATGGTCTGGGGTACAGCGCCTTTTGTTTTTGTTTTCTTGCTATTTACAAATTCTATATCGTCTCAGACGTCCAAGTAGCGTCGGGGCCGACGAAGTAGCTGGCTCGCTGGCTTAGCTAGCTAGCTACTAGTAGTAGTAGTAGTGCATACTGAATCTATACACTCATTGGCACACATCTCGCATCTCGCATCTTGTCGTCGTCATCTCATCTTACCCATATGCTTTTCGTTTGTGAAACTCAAGACGTCGACACGCCCTTGGTGACACCCTTGAGATCCTTTCCCGCGACCAGTCGTCCGCCCACAAAGACCTTTCGTATCGACCGGTCGTCGCCCATAAAGACCCACTTCTTCAACAGGGCCATGTCGTCGTGCTCGAAGCCGTTGGTGTTGATGTTGTCGTCGTCGAGGCCGACGTCGACGAGCAGGGCGTCGAAGGCCTTGCCGACCTGGAAATTGCCGACCTTGTGGTCCAGGGCGCAGACCTCGGCGCCGCCCATGGTGGCCAAATACACCAGCTCGTCGAAGCCGAGTTTCCAGCCCGGGTCGCCCGTGTGGATGGTCAGGTGGCGCGAGACGTTGCTGGCCTGCCGCATCGAGTTGAGGATCGAGATCGAGTATCCCGCCGAGCAGTCGGTGCCCAGGCCGACCTTGATGCCGCGGTCGAGCAGCTCGCGCACCCGGCACCACCCGTCGGTGAGGCAGGTGTTGCTGTTGGCGTTGTGGGCGACGCCGACTTTCCGGACCGCCATGACCTGCATGTCCCGCTCCGTCAGGTGGATGCAGTGCGCCAGGATCGTGCGCGGGCCGAACAGCCCGTAGTGGTCGTACATGTCGGCGTAGCTCTCGAAGCCCGCGTGCAGGGCGTGCATGTCGGCCACCTCGAGCGGCGTCTCGCACATGTGCGCCTGGACCCGGACCGGGTTGTTGGTGTCGCTATTGCTCTCGCGGGAGTACAGTTCGCCCAGCCCGGCCATCAGCTCCGGCGGCACGTACGAGCCCGCGCGAGGCTGGATGCACGGCATCACCAGCTCGCCGGCCGGGTCGATCTGGCGGATGTGCCGGACGACCTTGGCCTCGTTGGCCAGGCTCTGCGCGGCGCTGGCCTCCCAGTTCCCGTGCGTGCTGCCGACGAGGATGCACAGCTTGCCGATGACGGCGCGCTGGCCGAACTCCAGACACGTGTCGGCCAACACGTTGGTCGCGTCCGGGTGGATGCTCGAGTTGTAGGCGACTGTGGTGCTGCCATTCTCGAGCTCCCGCTGCACCATCTCGCGGTACACGCGGTGCGCCTTGGCCGTGTCGGCGTACGACGCCTCCATCGGGTCCGTCCAGTTCTCGCACCACTCCTTCAGGTCGCCCTCCATGCCCAGCGCCATGTTGGGGTACTGCGGCGCGTGCATGTGCGTGTCGATGAGGCCCGGGAAGAGGAACTGCATCGGCCCCAGCGTCACCGTCTCCGCGTGGGCGAAGCCCGCGTGTTTGGCACATGCCTCGGCGGCGGAAGCGACGCTCGAGTCCACGAAGAGAATGGTGCCCTTGTCGTCGATGCCCAGGCTGGCTTTGTGGAGGATCTCGACCTCCTTGAGAGACTTGCTGTGGATGATGCGTCCGAAGAAGACTTTGCGGGTGCTTTTCTTCTTCGTCTCTATCCCCGGTGCTCCAGCCTCGGACGCTGTATACGGTGGAGGTGAAGCCGCATCTCCCACGCTCTCCCTCCTGGCACGGCCACGGAACATGGAAAGAGAAAGACACCGCATCCTGTTATGATATCGTCACTTCCACGTGCGTGAGGGTGGCAATAATTAGTGGACAGATGGGAATGCCCTCGCTATTGTAGTTGTAGCGTGAATCTCTAGTCCGCGAGACTATATCGCAGGACCCTTTTAGTCATGGCTACTCGTCAGAAGGGTGCTTTCGTGTCCAGATAAAGAGATAGGTCAGCACTTAGCGTGTCTTCTCGTATAGGAAGGTCATTTTGGCAGACGTCGAAAGGCCGCGCATCTCCGACACACTGGAGGACAGTCTCGGAGGTACTGATATCTCGTACGGCTGTTATTGAAGTGGCGACAGGCCCTGGACCAGGGCTGAAGGATGGTCAGAATCCATGCATCATCCGTGTGAATCTTGACTTCAAAAACTGCTTATTCGTGCGGAGTCTGACAGCAGAGTTGCGAGGTATACATTGGAGGCGACAGGACAGGTCATCGCAGCGCTATCGTTTGGGGCAAAACAATGAAGGCGACGACAGTCAGTCTGAAGCAGCTGGCAGAAGGGACAGTGGCCTTCACAGCACTCGAAGAGGCATTCGGCGAATCCTCACTCGGAATCCTAGTTGTTGACGACCTCCCAGCCAGATACCTGGAGCTGCGCGAGAAACTGCTGTCGTACGCATCGTATCTGGCGCAACTTCCGCCGCAGGACCTGGACGCTCTCACCGATGTAGCATCGCATTACGAGGTCGGATGGAGTCATGGCAAAGAGGCCCTCAAGGACGGACAGTACGACACCATGAAAGGATCCTACTATGTGGACTGTCAGTCGTTCTTCCTGGAGAACCCCATCGTCCCGGTGCCTGGTCAACCCGCCACGAGGGGCTCAGGGACAAACTTGTGGCCGTCTGAATCTGCGATGCCTGGGTTCCGAGCGACCTTCGAAGAGCTGTGCACGATGTTGATCGACATCGGAGCGCTCGTCGCCCGAGCGATCGACCTGTACGCCAGTAAGCACATCCCACAGTACCGGCAGGGATACCTCGAACATGTGGTCAAGACCAGCCACACGCCCAAAGCTCGTTTGCTGCACTATTTTCCCCCAGTCGAAGCGGCCAGTGCAACATCGTCCCCGTCCGACAGATCGGCGGACCCTTCAGATTCTGAGGAGGACTCATGGTGTGCCACTCACCTTGATGATGGGTGTTTGACGGCACTGACATCGGCCCTGTACATGGACGAGTCCGCCCCCCTGCCATCACTTACAACGCACTCCTTTCCATCTCTGCCTATCCTACCTTCTTCTCCCGACCCCAAAACAGGACTCTACATCCGCTCACGGGGCAACAAGGTCGTGAAAGTCGATATCCCCACCAACTGCATCGCCTTTCAGACCGGCGAGGCCCTGCAGATGATTACGGATGGAAAGTTCAAGGCCGTGCCGCATTTTGTCCGTGGGCCGAGCGGTGCGAGCAAAGTAGCCAGGAACACGTTGGCACTCTTCATGCAGCCGGACCTTGATGAGGTTATCGACAAGGACAAGGGGACGACCTATAGAGAGTTTGTGGACATGATTGTGAAGAGACATTCATGACCCAGTTCGAGTTGCATTGGGCTGGATTGGAAAGGTGGCTTCTTCCGACTAGCCAGCACTTAGGAACAACCACGGCTCCCTACACCTTGCGCCTCATTCTGTCGACACTGTGAGATGAATTCATCATCAGCATCGATCGGGCATTCGCATGGGACGCTCCTAGCAGCAGAATGTTGGGGTCCAAACTCTACCCTGTAATGCTACTCCTCTTTGCTGTTCATCAACTGAACTTGGCTGCTTTCTGGCTGAGAGGCCGAGATGTACCAGTGCGAACCACCTGTCAACGATAGTCCACGGGAACGAAATGGTCGCAAGACTCAGATAGAGAGACCTTTGGGGGCCAAAAAGGAGAGTCCTCTTGAGCCTCGCTAAATAGCAGAATCTCGGTCGATGTTACCTACTCCTCACTGAGTGGCGGCGCAAGGATGAAGATCAGGGACAAAAAGGGCTGGGTAGAAGGACTTGAGAGGGACTCGCACGTTCGTCGCTAGTGAAAAAGGACTCGCACACTTTGAAGCTAGTGAAAGAGAAGAGGACTCGCACATTTGAAGCTAATTAGCGAAAGCAGCGAGGAGGCCATTGCACTTCTTGTGCCAACTACGGCTCTTTGTCATCGCTGCTTTTATATCCTGCCATGTCAGTTGACTTTGAGGGCCAAGTATCACCATTGTGATTGGTCCCCACGAAGATGACAAAGCACACTCAGGTCGCAATTCACTCCTAGTACTACTAGCCCGCACGCGGGACAGGGTGAGAATAGGGCGGCATCACCCTACACCGGGTACAAAGTGAGGCGCGGGCAGTTTGGCGCGCGCTGCCTCGAGGGGGCTTGGGGGGGCAAGGGGGACTAGCAATACACAATGCCCAAGACAATGCACAAACGCTGAAAATCTGCCTTATCTGTAACCGAGCAGTTTGCGCCTCGAGGGTTTTATCCCCAGTGGGAATAGAACACGCATGATGGCGGCAGGGCGGTTCCAGGCACGGGCAATCTTAAACAGTTTCGTTCCCCATGGTCTTGAGAGAAAAACTGAACCAAAGATAGACAACTATCATCAGGTGAGAGGTCGTCCGCCGGGTCGCCAAAAGCCTCGTCCAGCAGTTTGGCTCACCCCGGAGCTCTAGGATGTTGGCCAACTCGTCTTACACGGTCAGACGGTGTGAATATGGCCACCCCCGACTATGCCCTCGGGGCTCCCACCTCATACAAGCCCAATGATACTGTCAACGAGCAGCAACCTTTGAAATCGAGCCCGATATCACGCCTGTCCGAGGTACGGGTCGACCAGCCTCGACCATGGAGGCCTCTTGCTGTACCGACCCTGGTTTTGGTCGTCACCTACTGTGTTTTGGCTGGTGCATACGCCTTTTTGGCGTTCCTGTGGTACTCCGGCCCAGAGCAGAGGACCTGGCACAGCATCGTGCTCTCGGGTTGGGCGGCGAGGAGCGTCGCATTGTGTTCGGTGTGCATTCGCTGGGCTGTCTCGATACAGGCTACCCTCTGCACCTCGATCCTCGCCTCGAGCTTTCTGGCGAAAGGAGCTCCCCTTTCAAGCATCCTCCAGCTCTCCACCATGCGCTATCTCAACTCGGGTCCAGGGGATATTGCGATCCTCGTGGCTCAGAAATGGCGCCACTTGGAGATCCCTCTCGTCCTCGTCGCTCTTACCTCCCTGCTAGGATGCACCACTCTGCTATCCCAGTTCAGCTCTACACTGCTGCTGTCGGATCTGTCTGCGGCCCCAATCCCAACATCCTTCAATATGACCGCCAGCTCACTGGGCTTCATCAACGACACATACGGCATGGTCTGGCTGAACGAGATACCCAGGTACAACGACGCATTCCTTAGTGGACAGCCGTCGTATCCCATCTTCGCAGAGTCTTCTCGCCCTGAAGAGGCAGTGAAAGAGCCCGAAATTGATGACACAGGCCCCGTCATTCGGTCATTTCTGCCCATAACGGCCGAACAAGGTCGTACTGATCTCTTGGGATTTCGGGGGAATGCCACGATATATGACGCCCGCGTCGTCTGCATCCGACCAGAGTTCCGAGATCTGAGCTTGCTAGGGAGCAGCCGGGGAGGCAACAATCTCAGCTTTATGGGAACAGTCCGTCCCGTCAAGTCGCTCGGGCCAATGCTCATCCTACCCCCAGATGGCAACCTGACTGCATTCAACTGTTCAGTACCCGAGGTGTCCCCGATCGCCGTCACAGCAGGATCGGATCAATGGTCAACGAGTGTTTGTCAGATCGACCCCCATGCTGGCGGTCTCCTAAGTGCCGTCGACCCGGCATACAATACATCGCTGCAGTACTACGTGATTGATTCCGACAGCCCATTCGACGGAAAGTGGTGGGCCCGCGAATTTGAAAACATGACCTTTGTGACATGGATCCCGCTTGGACATGCTTATCTCGTCTTGAATTTCACCAACACAGCGTTCGACGTTGGTACAGTTGGATTCTCGACGATTTTCTGGAATGCAACAACGGATTGGCAGTTCGACCCTCGCAACCAGTGGGTTCGAATCACGTCCGCTCAGCCCGACGGGGCGCTACAATACGACTCCAGCGGTCATCTCGTCCCCGTACCTCCCTCGAGGCAGGCCCGGTCCATCGATGCCAGTATCTGCTACGACGGCTTCTTTGACACCAAAAACATCGTCATCGAGGCCAATCGCAGCAGGTCGACTCCCGAGCCGGCGGGGCTCAGTGGAGGACTGCGACAAATCGGCGCTTCTTCTTCTTCCTTGGAACGTGAATCCCTGGAGGACCGAGGCGTTTTGCGACTCTCGGAAAGCGAGCTCAAGCGCCAGTTCGACATGGACCGCGACGCCGTGTATCGGAACAACAGCTACTACGACCAAGATTCATTGGCAACGCCGAACCCCTTTTCGCTCACGCTCAACTTCTACCGCGTGTGGTCCTCGACATACTTTGGCGGGACGTGGGCCCCGAACGTCTCCCGAATCCTTTTTTACCAGGATCCGTCGCTCGTGGGCAGCATGCGCAGCGTGAGCGAGGAGCGCGTCGACCTCTTCCAGCAAGTCCTGAAAACCACCGAATCACCCGCACACGCGCTCCAGGCGCTCCTGCACACGGTGACGGCGGACGGCTTCTACCGGTTTCTGCCGTACTGGGACGTCCCGTCCAACTACTCGGCGAGCTTTTCCGTGGCGGCCCTGCAGCCGACGCGGTCGCTCGGCTTCTTCGTCGTGCTCGGGTGCCTGGTCGTCCACGTCGCCCTCGTCGGCTTCATCGCCCTCTCCCTGTCCGGCGTCCTCAGCTTCCGCGCCCAGTCGGCCTACGCCTCCATCAACAACGTCTGGCAGGCGCACGCCCAGGTCCTGAGCCCGCAGGTCGAGGAGATCCTGCGCGACCCCGCCACGACAAAGACGTCCGACCGCGAGATCAACAGGTCTCTCAAGCGCCAGAAGTTCCACGACGAGGCGTGGGTCTTGTCACTCAACGAAGAGGACGAGCAGGGCGCGGTGCGTCTGAGACGGAAGCGTACATGACTACGAGGTACATGAGAGGAGTGCTCTATTTTCGAGGCGTATATTTTTCGACATATAATTCTCAAAATAATCTAAAAAGTCCCACCGAGGAATTCCCAGTGTAGGAGGTCCGAAAGACTCGACTCACGGTCGTAACACTATACTTACCTCGTACTGAAAGAAGTAAAACAAGCATACGAGCATAAGGGCACAAGAGAGGGGATTCTATCCATGATTGGTTCGTATCGATACAAGCATTTGGTATTTTGTATTTTGTCCATTTTAGGCTCAAGATATTATGAGTTTATTCGAATACCCAGAAACGATCTGCACCTCTAGAAGATTAAACTATGATCAAGTGTAGGGAACCGACGAAGTACATAACAGGATGGATCCCGTAGAGTATCATGTTCATGTCAACGATAACTCGTCTTTCTTGACATTATGTAAAAGGTTTTCTTCTTGCTATATCTCGGTATTCCTCGCGCTATACATAAAATGTCTGGGTCGATTGTATATTCTCCTCTTTCTCTTCCTGGCCATTCAGGTACAAACTGGGAGCACGATGCATTCACTTGTACTGACTTAGAGTCTGCGTATGATCGACACCTCGCCAGATCTCAAACCCTAAGGTCGAGTCAAGATGTGTGACGGGGATGCATGCGAGGCACCTGACGACGGTATGCCGCATCTGTATAAGGGCCGTCCGTGATGTTCGACCCGCCAGATATTGGCTGATAGACCTGAATACCTCCAATAAGCCAGTAAGCCTCTTTGAAAGCTTGCGGGTTATTGGCAACATAGTCCTGGCAAGTCGGGGCCAATGTCGCGCATTCCGAGTTGGCCCAGTCCGCGTTCGTCCAGTCTCCGCACAGAGCGGTGTTGATGACGATTCTGAGATTGGAAAAGTATTCGGACAGCGGGCCACCGTCTGCGGACATGAAGTGAGCGTCAGGGGTTCTCCAGGTCTCTGGGTTGGGACTGCCACTGAAAGCGTCGGCGGGAATCTCGCCACGCCCAAAATTCCAGATGGATATCCACTGCGGGCCGTATTCGGTAGCCACAACACCTCCGCCATTGTCGTTGAAGGCCTTGCCGAACGAGTTGTTGGTGCCTGACGCCGCGCAGCCGGGGTTTCCGGTGATGTCAGTACTGCAATCAAGGCTGGCCAAAGTGCCTTGCATTTGCATTCCGGTGACATTCGCAACACTGGGGTCTGAGATGTTGGAGACCATCAAGTGGGCTTTCGTATGAAGGACCATCTTGTTGACGGGTTGAAGTGAGATTCCTTCCAGAATGTCAATCTCCCCGTTATCGGGCCACTGTGGCCCTACTAGCCAGTATGCCGGCCATGACCCGCAGATGCCTCCTGGCATATGTCTAATATCAGCGATATGCAAGGATTGGTTGAAGACTTCCTTGGATTCAATGCGGGTGGACTGCCTCCCGCCTGGGGCAACACTGGACGAGTCGACTCCGAGATAAACCACATTCTGGAAAGCGTCGTTCGAGGCGAACCCTGCCAATCCAGTATTATTAGCTCCAGCCAAATCCTGGTACTTCACAAAGCCATGTGTTGGATCGGGGTCTGAGAAGAAGTCGAAGTGATCGAAAAAGTCGGAACCGGAGTAGTTTTGGGAGATTTGATACTGCAGAGCTTGAGAAACTCCGACGAAGAGTCCCACGAGCCCAGGTACAGTGAGTGACATTGTGTTATGAATTCGGTGGAAGGGTAGGGTTGATAGGAGCGCCGATAGTTGATTAAGCAACGGTGATAGGTTGTATGTGCGGTTTGAAAGTGGCTGAAGGTGATCTCGGCAGTGTTGGTCTTTGGAGAGGTAAAAAGAACTGCAACATACCTTTAGAATAGCCGCAGGCATATAAAGGCTGCAAAGACAAACAAAGGGTTATCGTTGTCACAAGGCAGTCCAAAGGAATGGGGCACATGATAATGTGTGATATAGTGATAATGAAAGAGGTGCCATTGTTGTCGCGTTTTGTCGAGGGCTTTATATCGGATAAAAGGTCGTCTGAACAAAACACCTGTTGTCCAAAGCAAACGGGATAGTTCGTGTGACCCAACACAAGACCACAAGCGGTTTGCAAAAGGGGGTGTTGTTTCCAAGGAGGATAGCTCATTAGTTTGTCCCTCGCCGCCCACATCCAAGTTTAGAAGACCAACGTTTGCACTGATCATCAACCTGCTCCTGGGTATCTGCAGCCGAGCAATCTTATGGCATCAGCCTTTAGCTCTAGCTACAGAGACATAAACGCGTGGCATGTGGCGGTTGAGGCCCTGTAGACTGTGTCACCGGCGTTGAAGCTTGGATCATATCTCGCAAGTCTGTTTGATATCGAACGGGAATAGGTCTCGAGGAGTGGATATAGAGAGTGTGACACCGTCTTTGGCGATTTCATGGCGCATCGGCCCCATCATACTGCGCAGCCATATACTGTAAGTTGATGGAGAGTGGTGGCGCCTAAGATATCATTCCTGAGTGAGCTCAATGTGGAATGCCTCACCGATCCAGTTAGAGCAATGGTGAGGGACTAGTTCGTAGTAATTCTGCCATCATCTCCTGCGACGACTATGTCTGGTTGCATTGATTCAGCCCTCGACAATTGTGACTATTCCCACACAGACTGAATTCCCGAATTCAACTGCGTGATGACATGCCAGCGATGGCGTGACTCAACCTCGTTGATAGTCTGTCGTGGCTCCCCCTTGCGGTTTGCGGTTGACGTCCGGTGGCTCGAGATCGTAGGCATACATGTTCTCTGGATCAAACTTCTCTTTTCCTGCACCGTAGGACATATTTGCTGCTCTTTGTTCTGGAGGTAATGATGATCCGGACGACGTTGAGGGGAGGGAAAACTCAAATTTGGCCGCTGCTTCTTCCACCCAGACTTCCATTTGCAGCTCTCCTACCTCAACACGGCGAACTGCATGTGTTCGTGGGGACGTAGTGGTCGATCCTCTTTCATCTTTTGCGGATCCTGGGGTCGCAGACGACGGGTTTGGCTGTGGTTCTGCCGCAATCCACTTGCGCTCTTCCTTCTCAATTCGCCCTACGGGACGATCCGCCCTGTCCTTGACCTCAATAGCTAGCGTGAAGCTGCATTCAGGAGCACCAGGGCCCTCAGGGAGGGGTCTAAGTCGGGCTGCCGATGTGCTAATCCGAGACAAGGTAGCGCGAAAGTTGGCTTCTAAATCAGCCAGGTTGACTTGGTCACTCAGCAGGTCGCCATCATCGGGCGGGGAGGACTCGAGATGGATATTGGAGGCATCTAGACCAGTCGAAGAAAAAGAGCCGAGGTCAAATGTCCAGCGTTCGAGGACACGGTTGCTTTCACATTCATAGATGCACAGCAAAACCTTTTCGACAGTGTTCTTGTCGAGTTGATCACGGACTGCAGCGACGGCGTCGTTGACCCACGTACAGACTGCAGGATGACGATTCTGGCGAACGGGACAGTTATATGCCCTGGCGGCGAGAAATGAAACCGGTGGATAGATTCGACGTAGATAGAGGATGTGATGAGTTGCCACAGTCAGGAAAGAGGCGAGGGTGTCGAAGAGGGCTCGACGCGTAGAGAGGAAGTTCGAAGATGTAGCTGGGTTTGGTAGAGGTCCGGCCATTAGGGATGCGCCAGTCGATTGTGCCTCACAAGTCTCAAAGGTACAAACTGTGGCGGGAAGGTCGACTGAGATAGTGAAATGGGAGTATGTCTGGGAAGTGGGTGATACGGACGAGGTGAAGTGGCATAGAAATGTGCCCTTGCTGAGCTCACGTCGCCATTACTCTACCTATCGTAGGAACAGCGACCCCCTTTATGCCCACTGCTGAAGGGGTGTAGGTCAGGCATATCTGAGATACATGTAGTTACTCGGTACATATCAATAGATGGCATCAGGCAACAGAGCGCCAAGACGCGGAAAGACGCGCCAAGCCAGTCACGCTCTTTGAACTCTCCGCTTCCCGCATTTTGTTCTTCTCTCAACTACACTCGCCACCAGGACTGACCTTCATACCTTCATACCATTTTACGATCTCACGAGAAGGCTGTAGCTTGTCCATGGGATGCGGAGGGGCATGTCCCTGCTCAGTTTCGTCTATCATACTTTCGGTGCATGGCGCGTGCCGCCTGCCCAATGCGCGTTCCTCCCGCAACACATGCATTCCAGCTTTCAACGCAATATGGGAGGGTGATGATCGGATGAAGATCCCTCTAGGCTCTGATAGAGTCGAAGTGAATCATGATGGCCGCATCATTGACCATAGTTCCATTCTTCATTTGGAACGCCTTCGGGTTGTCCGGGCCACGAGGCTCCAGCCTCTGTCAGGCCGTTTATTGGTATCCTGCCGAATATATTCAGCTCTTATATCAGGTTCTTCTGTCTGCGCTTGTTTCCTCTCTAGCAGTTGTTGTATCTTTTAGTCATTCGTTTCAGTCATTCATTTGCTCTTGAGTGAGGCTTTGCATCCATCCACAATGCTTCTGCTGGAGATTATCACTGTCTGGGTCTTGACTCTGCTTTCCTTACTAACCAGAAATACTTCCGCAACTTATATTCCCAGTGCTGTGGAGAACAGAATCGTGAAGAAGTCAACGCAGCCTATTCCCCGAAATGTGCTACGGCGAGCAGATCAGAACTGATCGGTTGAAGTGGTTGTCACAGAAGTTCTGGTCTTGGTCCCTGTGAGTAAGTTCCATGTATTCTTTTCCCAGTTGCTAAAGGGGTTTCATAAATACACATTGATTATTATTTTTACGCAAATACCACTCTAAAGGTCTATGACTACCTGACGCTGGACATCACCAACGCTCCCACAAGCTCGATGTTCATAACACAGTCAAACCAAATTCCCCAACTCCCTTTGGCGCATACCACGTGAGTATTTGATTCCTTCACCTCCAACGCCTACTGACTGCCTAAGCCACTCATCTCCCTCTTTCTCCTGCGTGGAGAGTTATTCATTCATGCTGTCTCAGATGGTGCTCCAACCTCAGGGTAATAATCGCTTCAGAAAGCGTCAGGGAAACGTATTCCTCGGGGGAACCGGTCAGGCTACAGATAGCTGCCAGAATGCCGTGGTCTACAATCTGGTCAATGGGCAGCTGTTTGCGAACTCCAGTGCCGGAGCCTTGCAATTCGGCACCACTTCTGGAACGACGTATGCAAATTTTACAGCCAGTGCCAGTCCCGGAGACATAACCACTGCCTTTTCTGTTGACACTCAAAACAATCTTATGTGGAGCAATGCCGCGTTTTACAACAACAGGGCAAGATTTTGTGTCCTTCCGGACAACACAATTGTGGCCGTCTTTAGCGACCCGTTGGTGGCGCCATCCGATTGTCTTTTTGTAAGCCTGAGTATGACACGAGTTAGTAGCTGCGCTGCAGCTGTGGGAGCTCCACAACTAAGTGGTTCATCAGGTAAGTCTCGAACATACCGGCTACGCTTTGGACGCTGACAGTTTGTAGGGCCGTCGGGGTAAGTGGAGTGTTGTCGACTTTCGTTCCGTGGTTGGACTTTGTACAGTCTCGCTTCGGCCGAAAGTGCCCTGCAATGTCGACGTCGGTTGACCTTCAAGCTATCCTTAATGCTCTGGATGTTCTCATACTGATTTTGGTCGTCTTTAGCCCTTCGGGCCCGACAGGTCCCACAGGCGCAACTGGTAAGCAGGCAGTCCTCTTTTGCGCATTTCAGGCGTGTACGGGGCCACCTAAATTAACAATATCTTCCCAGGCGCGCAAGGAGTACAAGGAGTTCAAGGGTTACAGGGTAGTATTACCCACATTCCAAGTTATCCAAGTCCCGTTTTGAACCAATTCACACGAGACCGAGTCCAATTCTATCTGCTACAGACGAAAGAGTCCTGTTTGGACTTGCCGAAGGGCCATCGTCAGTGGAAAAGGTCGGATGAACGAGGACCATTCCGCACCTGTGATGTTTACCCGAGATTTGTCGAAAGGAGACATACTGACGAACACTTCAATATTTAGGAGTACAGGGGGACCAGGGTGCCCCAGGTCCGACCGGAGCTACTGGTAAGTCACTCGGGGAAAACGTTTTGGCGATGTGCCTGAAAAACCTTCCATTCTCTTCTTGATCGTCACTCACGGATCTTATTGCAGGACCAACAGGTGCCACCGGTGCTCAAGGGCCCTCTGGTCCCTCTGGTCCAGCAGGAGCTGCTGGCCCTACCGGAGCTACAGGTGTCACGGGTGCAACGGGGCCAACCGGACCCGCGGGTCCTTCTGGACCATCAGGACCATCGGGCCCCTCAGGCCCTGCCGGGGCGACAGGTGCAACAGGGCCCAAGGGCGCAGACTCGATCCAATTCGCCTACCTGGGATGCTGGGCGCAGGGATGCAACTCAGCCGGCACGTGCGTCGCGCTGGGGAACTACGGATTCGACAGCCCGAGCACCAACGGCGGCTTCAACGCCACGCTGACGGGCAGCGCGACGGCCAACATCGACGCGCAGTGCGCCCGGATCTGCATCACCAAAAACGGCGCCAACTTTCTCGGCACCGTCAGCGCCGCCTCCGGGGCCACCGCCGACTGTTACTGTGGCGCGGCCATCACCGGCACCGTCACCCTGCTGTCCAACTGCGTTCCGTGCTACGGGCAGAGCGTGGGCCTTTGCGGCAGGTCTCAGATGTCGATCGCCGTGTATGCGAGGGCGTTTTGACACCGTAGAGATATTCTGACGACTACCTTCTTCCTGGGCGATGAGTTTGGTATATAGTACCTCGGTCCACCTTTTTTACCTTTGCCACGCTGGGGTGCTCGAGAGGATTCTTCTGCCTTTCGGAGATGTGAACATTGCGCAGCATCGTGTATGATTCCGACCTCGCAAAATCGGAGATGGCTGATGGAAACGGTTTTATGATCTGGGACTTGTCGACAGCATTTGCGTCCAAGAAGGGGGGTTATATAGGACCAATACGATCAGGCGCATTCGAACAGAATTGTCTGTCAGAGCTCTAGTTCTTCTTTTTCACTCTTTGGATATAGTTAGCCCCCCATTCAGAATAAGTTACCACGCGGGATGAATCTTCCGAGTCAATTCAGGAGTGAAGCGACAGCCTCGCGCTGGTTCGTTCGGAGATCGGGGACCGTGGGCACTTGTGGGGTTTCCCTCTTCGCTCTAGGTCCGGCGCAGAGTTGTGCATGCTGTATGTACAGTATCCCACGGCACGGACACAACACATGCACTTGGGAATGAGGTCAAGGTGCTTGTGTATTTCGTCAAGCCGCATCCGAGGATTCCGGTCGAAGGGTCCTACACAGCAGCACATCGCCGGCACTTCACTATTCAGAAAAGAGGGGAGGGAGAAGGGTGGGTGGAAGAAAGAGCGAAGAGGGATCCTCTCGGAATCCAGGTCAACAGCTCAGCTCATCCATTGCGTGTCTTGATATGTTCATATACATCATTTGGTCTTTTTGCTGTAACCATTTGCGCTCCCATTGACACTCCCATTGGCAGCTTCATGGGCACTCCCGTTGGCAGTTGCAGCACCGTTTGCCTTGCTGCTCTCCTTCTCCGGCGGATCTGATACTCTCACGATTTCTGGCAGCGTGAAAATGCTCGGCCAGACCATCTGGAAGTGCTCTTGATCTCCGTTTAGAATGTGTCGAAGGTGTATGCCCCACACAATATAGCAATAAGCGCCAATGCCGGTCATGAGATGCCACCAGCCATGTCCCTCGAGGAAGAAACCCCACGGCATGCCGATACTCCGCCTCCAACGTCTGAGCGTGGAACAGTACTGATTATCCAGATTCCAGATGTAGAAGCCGCCAAGGAAGACGCTCACTCCAAACGCCACCAAGCACCACATGGTTCTTAGGATTTCCAGGTCTCGTTTATTCTCATATTCTTGTTGTTCTCTTGAAACCTCCACCGAGAGGCCTAACCTCTCTCGTTCGAGACGGTGCTTTTCTTCGGATTTCCTCAACGACGGTCGCAGACTCGTTTCCATGCTGTAGACACTGCGCACGACGATAAATACGGTCAACAAGGCGTAGACAATCTGGTGAAAGGCGGGGTCTTGGAGGTAATGGTAGTAGGCGGTAATAAAGGCGCAGAATAGCACTAAGAAGACGCCGAGATAGACTTGTATCTGTCTAGGTTGCGAGTAGGATAGGGAAGCAAAGGCCATGAGGCAGGTAGTGTATATCATGTTGAGCTCGTCAACCAACTGCCACGGATCTGGGGATCAAGGTTGGGTCAGATCCAGCAATCGAAGAGGGGGGATGTACTTGATCTTTGCATGCACCAACGTACATTTCAAGGTGGTGTGAAACATGAAGCTGCCAAATCCAACCAGGAAATATCCAAAATATGCCACTTGAAATACGGTATCGTGTCCATGTTTTCTGCAGCTCTGAACTCCCTTGTATGCCAGGTAGATGAACATGAGGTTGGTTAGAGTGTTGATGATCTCGGCGGAGTAGTACGTGGCGTAATAATCCTTCTCGTGTCAGCCTCGACAACTCAGTACTTCAAGAGAATAGCGTCCGCCGTACCTCTTCACACCACTGTAAAGTGCTCGTGACGGGATGCCAGTACCCCGGCTGGCCTGGCGGGGGATATGGGATGGAGGGAAGCCATGCGGGCATTCTGGTAACGAGACAGATGCTGTACAGATTCTCGGTTGTTTCGAGCCTGGGAGTTAAGTCGAAAACATAGCGCCCAGGAGGTAGTTCCCAGGATTATAAGAGGCACCGGTCCTCAGTCAGGGAATTAATGGTGGCTACGGATGCGGATGGAAAAGGTGGGTTTCACAGTTGAGTAAAGCGAGGGCTTACAACGCACAAAAACGTTCGCGGTGGAGCTGCGGTGATAAACTTGTTTATCTCGCAAGCGGGCAAATGACACCCAAATGACGTCGCCGGGCCCGATGCAGCTTAACTAGGGCTTAGCTAGGTAGCTAAAGGGCCTAAGGAGGAAGCCTCAGGCAGATCATTTGCTGCCCTGACACGTGAAGCAATGCCTGGAAGTCCAGGTCCTGAACGGCTCAAGACCCCCAGGGGCGATCGCAGCCAACCCCTCGCCACCTAAACTTCGGAAAGCCGACGCCTGCATCGGGTCTAAGCAGCCCCTCGGTAGTTACCTGGGCCCTTGGTACCCCTCGAATGCTTGTGGGCGTTGGCTGGGCGCGTGTACTCCAAGTTGCCTAGAACGGTAACCCTGAAGCGCGGATGTTGTAATCTTCCAATCTAGTCAAACTGAGGCTCAAAAACTGTACATCATCTTCCACTGGCTAGCACGTTGTATTCATCCAAGATGGCCATTCCCAATGCTGCGTTGCAAAAGGTCTGATCCCTCTTCACCAAATCGTCCATCTCTACTCACCACTAGCAGTTGCTTCAAGAAGTCGAGACTCAAGCGCTGCTTTCCCAACAAAAGATCACGCAAACGCAGGCAGAATTGAGTGCCAAACGGAGAGATGCTCGACTCAACCAACTGACAGCCAATGAGCTGAAATCCTTGTCACAAGACACAAATGTCTATGAAGGGGTTGGGAAAATGTATGAAATTCCTTCGCCAACGGCCTGCGCTTTCTCTGACAACTCTGGCTCTCAGGTTCATCGCCGTTCCTCCGTCGACTCTGAACAAGCGCTTGGCTTCCGAGGCAGCATCTCTGAGCAAGGACATCACGGATCTGGAGAAGAAGTTACATTACCAAGAGACTACATACAAGAACAGTCGACAGCACATTGAGAAGATCTTACAGACTGGTGGTCGATCGTGATGGGCCCTTTCAATTGAAGACCGTGTGGGTTCCACGCAGGCTAGATTGTTCGAATGCTAACACACCCGCTGCACGAGGAGGGCATTCCTGGATCAAGCTGCGCTCCGGCATTTTCCTGGGCGTCACTTCCGCGACGATGGGGTCTTGGTTTCAACTGAATACATTGGCAATGTCGCTCGAGCCCGTAGCTTTCAGACAATCACGAAAACATCACGAGACGAATTCTTGCGCCAATATCCTGATTCAAGAATACGTCTTCATCGGTGTGATCGCTACTCAGGCTGATCGCCGATATCTGGATATCTTGCCGCTGGAGGGATGATTTTGTCATAAACATACGCATCTCCTCCAGAATCCTGGCAACGGATCACGCCTACAAGCACGTCGCTGACATAATAGCTAAAAGACCAACACCACTGCTGGCCAACGGGATACGCCCGCCATTCCCCAGCGAACATGCCTGAATATGCCCGAGGCGGCGGTGGCAACTCTGACAAGATGTGGAGAGTCAACTGCTGCTTTACTCGTCCATGCACCACGGGGACTGCTTGTAATATCGGATGCTCCTGGCACCTGTCGGGCCTCAAGACGAGCAAGCAAAAGACCACCTTTTGCACCAAACCTAAGCATGTCAAATGACGCAGGCTTGAGCAGACGTGCATTCAGGCCTCCATAGGCCCACCAAACCACGGCGGTCCATTGCCGCCAGATTGGTTTGACTTAGGGGTGGAAATTGACACCAACCTTTTATGCAATCGATATACTTGGCATAGATATCCTCCGTTTTTCAGATCGTCAGGTATTCGTATAGCCATCAGGCGGCCTTGGTGTCCAGGAGACTGCTCAAACAAATCTCAGACCTATTTCACACAAGAGGCCTGGCGGTACGACCTCGTGATTTGTTTCAGACAAAAGGGCCATGGCGTTACGAACCTGAAATTTCGTTTGACAGGCGATCATTGGATCGACCGGGGTTTCGATTGACTCAGCTCTCGCCAGCATACCATACATGACAGTCGACCTTTTTAGTCCTCCCGGCCCCCAAGTTTTGTTTTGTGGGTTGCGATCCAGGCTCAAATTGGCCGCACTGGCTTGCTGCACGAAAACGATAAAAGCGAGCAGCCTCCCCACTACAGAGCTGAATTACCGTGATTGATTTTTTTTCTTCTCTTCTCCTCACAACTCCCCAGCGAACAAGATCGACACCGATATCACCAGATCGAAAGTTTGTTTAGTGGTTTGGACGTTATCCTTCCAACTATACACCGTTGTGACCGTTGCGCCCCGGATATCCATCAGCAATCGGGCGTTTACCCCACCGCCACCGCTCCTACGATCTGATCCGTGCCTCTTGTGTCAGGGCTGAAAGTACGCTAGTAGTTGGAGGGGTACTACGGCAGTACGGCTGCAATTATCGAGACCATTATGCCCTACTCCCGACGCTCGTCGGGGTCTGACCGGGAATATGTGTTGATGCCAGTCCACAGTGTCGCAGGCAGCGAATATGGAGGACGAGGTCGCCGTACCTACGAGCCGCCCATTGAGGTGAATAATTTCCTCGAGGTGCCACAAAGCCGCCCTCGTGCATCCAGCCAAGGCGCAGGCGTGGCACCTACGATTGTCAATATAGGTGCAGGTGCCCTCTCTGAGCGAGGTGATCGTGATCGTGATCACAGTCGGAGTCGCAGTCGACACCGCGAATATCGTCACCACCGTTACCGCGACGGGTCTTCCAGTTCCAGCTGCTCGAGCGACCGATCAAGATCACGACACCGTCGTCACTCCAGTCATAAACCAGCCAAAACCAAGCCGATCGAAGAAGACGATCTACCATACAAATTCCGAAAGGAACTCGACTTTGCCCGCATGTCACACCGAGAGGAGGAGGAGAAGCGGATCCTCGATCGGATAAAGAAAGACCGCGAGGAAGAGCGAAGACGATGGAAGTTGGAAGAGGAGGAAGAGGCTCTACGGAGAAAAAAGGAGCGTGAGGCGATTCTCTACGAGGCTAAGCTGGAGGAGGAGCGCAAGAAGAAGGAGCAGGAGGAATTGAGGAAGAAGATTCTGCGGGACGAGGAGGAACGTCAACAGAAGGAGAAGGAGAAGAAGAAGGCCGAGGAGGAGGAATTCGAGAGGAAGGTCAAGGAGAAGTTCATGAATGCTGGTATGCGCAGACCCTATCGCCGTTACTATTACTATTAGTCGTCCCTAGCCACGCATGGTCTCTACGAGCCTTGCCATGGTTCAGGACGAAGCCCTCCCTGTTGGGGGGTGGCTTGGGATTGGGTTGATTTTGGATTGAGCACGAGGCTAATCTGTGTCACTCTTTCTGGAATTACAGGTTACAGTCCAGAGTACATTGACGAGGTGCTCCACAAGAAGAAAGCCGAGCGTGCAACACTGGCCATCGACCTCCACCGCCCGACTTACATCAAGGTCAACCGCAAGTATCTCCTTCCGGATACGCTGGATCATTATGGGTTGCCTTGGGAATGGGATCCGGTATGTACCACTCATCTTTTCCCACATGTTACACGCTGTGTCTTGCCCAGGCTGCTGTTGTCCGGTCTGTGCTCTGCTCAGCATCGCCGACAGAGCCGTGTAACCAATTTGGAGGTGTTGTCTTGCTAACTCATCCGTTTTTCACATGGGTGATGTGCAGCGCGACGAAGAATTTATCATTATCAAGAAATACATCGACCACTCGCTACAAGACGAACTCTTTGAGCACACGCGGAAAATCAAGGAGCGGAAACTCATCACGGGGCCGTATGTCAAGGAGACCAAGACGATCACGACACTCACGCCAAACGACCACGCGTTTGTGAAGAAGGGAGACAAGATGTACGTGGTGCGGGAGAAGAGTAAGAGCCGCAGTCCGGCGGGGAAGAGGACGAGCTGGATGTTTACTTGAGAGGTGAGAGAAGCAGCAAGCGTGGAATGTGGTGAATGGGAATAGACGGGTTGGGATTGGGATGGAGATTGGTATTCTGGGTACACTTTGACCTACGGGCCACCGAGCACTGTTGTTGACATGATTTATGGACGCCTCTCGACTTGTGTGTTGTGTGCCAACAACCAAAGGACGACGTAATGACATATACGAATTGCATTGGGGAGAAATTGGGATTTTTGTTATTATTCGGGACCCAGACAGGCCCATGTTCAATGTACTCGGGTACTCGCTCTTCTCAGATAGTGACGATGGTACCACAGGGTGTTTTTGCTGTCTTTCTTTCGCATATACGGTTGAAGAATGTTTTCAAACACCACACCTACCCTCCCTTGACATGAATACAGAAAGATCAGGAGTGGCACGAGGACTGACACCAGTATTGACATCGCTGGTAGGGATACCACAAAGTGTACCAGGTTGCATGTCGGGATGCAGGGCTCTACTCGGTACAAGGTTTAGATTACATGGATACACACAAGACAGATACATGGACAGAGAGGGAAGTGAGAAGGGAGAGCAGCGGGGCGGGAGATGAGGACGGATACTGGAGTACGTACGGAGTACTTACGTACCGAGTGCCTACCGAGTGTCTACTGAGAAACTTGCTATCGTATCTACCTATCACGTCTGTCCACGTACATGTACACATCCACATCGGGTAACAGGGAGGGTCTTCAGAAGATGCGGCTCTTTTTCCTACCTTTAGTGCCCTACCAGCCTACCTAGGTAGGTACGTACCTCGCCACCCACTCGCCAGATGTCTTCCCTCCAGCGAAAGCCGAGAAAGGGAAACAGTTTCTACACAGTCCGTCCATCACTCCTTTTCATGCACTAGGTAGTATCATTACTGGGCATGATCACTAGCCATGCCATGTGCTGACATTGCCCACCCACTCGACCTATGTACCTCCAAGGCTACGAGTATCTGGTCCATAATATCCCATCCGGGGGGTGACTTGTCCGCCTCGCTCTCTCACCGTGGCAGTCTGGTTGAAAACTCAACCCTGTGGACAAGTTATGGCAGTGGTGGTAATGGCAACGGCTACGAGGGGCTGGAGGGGCAAGAAGGGCGGCCGGCGAGCGGGTGTGTGATGGCTGAAGAGGGAGTGATAAGCGGCAAGCCGCGAGGGCCAAGGGAGATAAGAGTAGATGCACAAGGACACGGACGAGGGGCAAGTAGGCAGGTAGGGAGGTAGAGAGAATGAGGAGGGAAGGATGGGAAGAGGAGCTGAGAGCTGAAAGCTCAGCTGCTCCTCTCTACCTCAGCCTTACTTTTCAAGTACAAGTACAAGTACAAGTATGCAAGGAAAATATATCCGCCGGGCCGCAAGCCTTGTAAGCACGGCTGAGTACCAAGTACTTACTCTCTTGTAGGTACCTACATAGATACCTACTAGGTAGGTAGGTAGGGTGAGGGGGTGGTGGCTTTCCAAAAGCTTACAACACAACAACCCCACCCGAGTGGCGATTTTCGCAATTGCTGGACCACGAAATCGACCTGCGACTTGCCTTGCTGGGTATCCAGATGTCCTGATCGAGGTAAGGCACAGATGGTACATGAGCCACGGACGATTTAGGGGACAAGGTACTCGGTAAGTACCTTGGTGTGCATGGCATGGGGGCGTAAAGAGGAGGAGGAGGAGGGGTCAGGAGTCAGGTAGGGGGGTGGATGGTTGGACTTTGGTTCGCGCAGCGTAGCGTGCGTTTGGTGGCTTGTCTTGTCTTGTCTTCTCTCCTAACGCGAAGGCAACAAGGTAGACCGGAAAAGGGGAGTGGGGGTTGGAAAATGATTCCAAAGAGGTTGAAACCAGACGTGGCCTAGTACAACTACAAGTACATAGACATAGACATACATCCAGGAAGGGTACGCATGGCAACGAGCAAAAGTACAGCTACAGGGACAAGTACAAGTAAAGAAAAGTCGACAAGGCATATCAATACCCGTAGGATACGAATCCATAGAGTGGTGACGGGGTACACAGCGAGATAGGTGCACAGAAGGGACAGAGGTACAAGGAGAAAAGGTGGGCTAGGATGAGATGGGTGGACGAGGGGTGGACAAGGGAGATGGGACAAAAGGCCCAGAGCGACAGTGGCAAATTGCCGCAAGAGATACAGTCGGAAACAACACACATGTCAAACAGATAGGCTGGTCGAGACCCTAGACTCGTGCGTCCCTCTTCCCCTACTGGTATAACCGAACGGTGTCACGGCGTCGCTCTCCGTCTGACTGGCTGGGGTGTGAATCCTCTGCCTCTTGGAATCAAGCTTTGAAAAAGAAACACTGCGGACCGAGCACCGCTGCATGACAGACAGACATCAAACACTGTTCAGGGGTCGATTGATTGCTGTTCATAACTCATCACTGTCTGATTATTTCTTGCCATCTGGGTCTGGGTATCTGTTGCAAGATTTAAGAAAAGCAAAACATCCACGGCTCCCATTGTTGGTCCCTTTGAAGCTCCTGGTCACCACTGACTGAAGTACTCAAAAGTGTAGTGGCATGAGATCAACCATATCATCATCGTTTCCCTCACTAACCCTCAGATATGTTTCCCTTCCTGTTTTTTGTCCACACTTCAGATAGCATGGCCTTGTGTCATGGCAGGGTGATGTGCCAAATCTGGCCGGTTGAGTTCAGGGCTCATGGCATATCGCTCACTCTTAGGGCTTTGGCTGTACTTGGAGCTGGCTCCACCAGGGCTCTGCACACTGCGGACTAGAGGTTGATCTTGTGGGAAAGGACTCGAAATGGCCAGGTGCATCTTGGGCGTCTCGGCCATGTTGGCACGATCCGTGTTCTTGCGAGAATAATACGAGGGCAATGAGTCTCGCTTGCCTAGGAAGAATGATCGGTAATGACTTTTGCGGCTCGGTGGTTTTGGAGTAGAAGCTTCGACGTCTGCTTTGTGTGATGCGACCGCGCCGTGAGATCGGACTTGTCGCGCTGTGAGATGCGCCTTGGTGTCTCTGAAAATATAGCTCTGCAAGTTTGGGTCAGCGTCTAACTCTGATTTTCCATGCCTATCTGCTTACTGCAAAGAGGTTGATGAAGCCCATCACAAACACAATGATTCCGGCTGCTATCACCAGCCGCCAGAATGGCAGACCCAGGCTTTCCTGACTGGTGGCGTGCTTGTTCAGATTCCCAAGAAGACTGTTCCCCAGGAAGATCATTGCAAGCCCGAGCATCACAAAACTCGACCGGGCGCTGAAGAGAGGCCAATTCTTGGAAAAGAATGACTTGAAAAGAGAGAGTTCGGTGAGGATGAGGAATCCTGACACATCTTAGCACCACATCCCAGCCGCCACATTACAGTCTGGGAACTTACCACTCATGACGACTCGGAGAACGTGCTCGCAGGCATCGAAAAAGAAAAACTTGGACACAATAAAGGTCTTGACCAGCATGACCGAACTTGCCGCGATGACGGCCAAAAGAGCAGTTATGTTCATCGCTCGGATGATGTTGAGCACAATGTAGCCAGCGCCGGCCAGGGTTCTGCCGAAGAAGCGCATGTTGCAGTTTGCTTTGGATTAAGTCGAATGAATACCTGTCGTGTAGGTTTTGGGAGATGATGATTATTTCCAGGTCAGGGTATCATGAAAATGTTCAGGGTTTGTGTAAGAAAAGATATTTGTAGGCTCAATTAACAGGCTCGAACGCTTTGATGAATAGAACAATACGATGACAGCAGGCTATTGAACAGCCAGACCATCAATAGAAGTGAATGTACATGGGAAAAGAGGAATAGTGGCCAACACTCGAGGAGGGAGCGGCAGAAATGAATTATTCTTCAGCGGTCTTTTTCCATCTTTTTACCCATTGATCTGGTCTGGAGAGAAATAGGGTCTCAGAGTCACCACCGTCATAAGCGCGAGCGCGAGATGAAGCTGTAGTATCTGGTTCGCATCACTCACGGGAAGGACGTGTCCATTGGTCAAGTTGGTGTGCCGTCGGAGAAGTCTTCAAACTCGGTTTCAGAAACGAAGACGCTCCCACCAGTGGCGTTATCCCGAGAGATCGAGTCAAGTGATGCCCAATTCGGTCCAAAATCATGCAGCTGTTGCAGATGCCATGTCTTCCTCAGGCTGGGGAGAGACGAAAAGAAAGAGTGGCTGAGGTTGAACGACGATTCAGGGTTGACCAAACCTGAAACGCACTTGAGAGCGCGTTTCCATTTTGGGGACCCTTGACGCCAAGTGCATCTCAGGTATGCGACAACCTTGTATAGGATCTTGGGAGAAACAGTCTGTCGCCGATCAGAATGACACTTTACTGACAAAGAGACCGAGATTGTCGTGTAAGTGAAGAATGTGGAGGTGGGAGAGCGAAACAAAGGTGCCTGTGGTGTAGAGCTGCCTGCGGATGAGGCCGAGTCGGTGCGCGATTTCTTTTTTCCGTCCGAGAAACTGCGGCTCTGTGCGAGGCTCATCTCACTCAGACTTGCGGCCTTCACCAACTAATTTTGGTCTCCCTCTCGCGCTCCCACTCCTTCACCCTCATACTTCTCGCAGCTACTTAGCGACAACGCAACTGCACCGTCTCTCGTATCCCACTCCAACTCAAACCAAAGAGTTGCCTCTGTCTCACCCATCACAGCCATGACTCGAGGAAACCAAAGAGAAAAGGCTCGCGAGAAGAACATCAAGGAACAGTCTGGACAGGTGCGAATTGACACACCTTCAGATTTGCGCCCTGCATTGTCGAATCAAGACTGCGGAGCTGTGTGGAGTTGGACTAACAAGTATCCGATTACAGAAAAAGAAAAATACACAGTCCGGCACCGAGTTTCAGCGGACGAAAGAAGCCCAAGCAGCCATTATGCGAGAAAAACAAGCAAAAGGTGGGCACACAGCGACATTCCAGCTTGTGTACACGAGACAACCGACTGACCAGTCCGACAGCGGCAGCTAAAAAGACCGAAGAAGGGTCAGGCAATGCAAAGAATAAATGACACGGCCTGAAGAAGGGTGGTGCTACTGCAATTTGCTACCTGAGAAGACTGCAAGAGCTCTTTGGCACACCCTTGACGAACTTGAAAGGCTTAGCGAGGAGTCTGTGTGAGGCGCAGGTAGCGAAGAGCGTTTGGAATCTGGAGTTGGCTGTACAGCTGGGCAGCGCTCCCTCATCTTGTGCAGGGTCAATCATCAAACCAGGCAAAGAAACACTTGATGGATTCTCCATGCTCTCTACATATCTAGCCGCATGTTGGCATCTCCCAATTCCAAGACGTGATTTATTGTGAGGTATTCATGCATGGACCCAGTTCGAGTTCGCTCTTCAACACAACGGAACAGAAAGGCAGAGGGACACAGGGTAAGGCTTTTTGCTATCTTGAGAGAATTATTTCTACAAGAGAATTCCACAAAAAGGTGCATTTGGGCACATGCAACTAATCATCATGTGACTGGGACAGTTTCCCCGCCAAGGCCCCAGATATCACAGATTCCAGCATTCGTCTCAGGCAGCTCAGCCTCGAGTTGATCGACATATGTGCGGTGACACACCCTTCTACCAAGTGGTCTTTTCAGAACGATGCCTTTCTCGACCACCGAGCCGACAGGTCTGAGCCGTCTCAGACAAATCAACAGGAAAAGCTCGTCGCTCAAAGAACAGGCATATACACCCAGATTTGTATCGGGACATCTTGAGGCACTCTATCGGTTCCTGCGGCTCCGTCCACGCGTCTGGGTCTATACCCAGGATGACTGTGAGATTTGTCGTTCTTACTTTCCGTATCCCAATAACAATATAAGTGGAAGGCTCGGGAGACTTGATAAAAGTGATTGGGAACAGCATAACCCCGATACACGACTGACTGAGCCGCGCCAGCAAGACATCTGCTGCGGCTGTCGAACATTATGCTTTTTCATGGCTTTCCTCGGCTTCTTACGGGACAAAAAAGGCATTACCGCAGCCAAAAATGTCATGTTCAACCGTGAACGCAATGCCCGCGGTGCGTACATTCATGCATATATCCAAACCACACCGTCTGAGGCGGTACATATCGAGCTGGAAATCTTCAAGATGCCTGCAGCACGTCAAAAGACCGTCTTGGCTCCAGTGGTTGTCTAACTTTTCCGAACCCGGCCATGGTGATGACTTGCCTTTCTTCCTCCAAAACTCCCCTCGGCAGACTCAAATTTCCGCAAACACTGGTTCTCCAGAAGCATTCTCGAGGGTCTTCTCATGGTTCAAAACATGCAATGCCGATCATCTAGCCTGTGGGAATGGCGCTGTCGCACCTTTGTTGCCCACTCGAGTGATCGATATTTCAAAGGCAGATCAGCTAGCATTGGTGGAAAGCAATGGAGCTCGAGGGCATTATCTCTGTCTCAGCCACCGATGGATTGATGCAGAACACATACCACGATGTACCCTGCGCAATATAGACTCTCTCAAAGAAAATATTCCTTGGACTTGGATAACGCCGACTTTTCAGGACGCCATCACGTTTGCCAGGCAGTTTTCAACCTGGCATCGGACCGAATATGCTGACCCGATGCCGATCCGATATATCTGGATTGACAGCCTCTGCATCATCCAGGATAGTGTCGAGGATTGGGAGAAGGAGTCAAAATTAATGGGTTCGGTCTATGAAGGAGCCATTCTGACGGTAGCGGCAGCTACTGGGCAAAATGCATGCTTCTCGGTAGCTGATCCAACCCACAGGGGGTTTTGCGTCTCTGGCATTCAACACGACAAAACCAGAATCTACGTAAGAGAGGTCCTAACACACCCCGACTTGAACTGTCCGTCTATACGATCCCTTACGTCCAAAGCGTCTACATTTTCGTTGGACTTGCTCACTCGAGGCTGGGTACTGCAAGAGAGACTCTTGTCTCGGCGATTTGTCCTCTTTACGCCGCTAGAAATCATGTGGGAGTGCCTCGAGAGTTCGAATTGTGAATGTGGGTTTCACCAAGTCCCTAGGGCTACAGACCCGGACATCACGAGAACCGAACCAGCCCTCAACTTTTCTCATGACGTACAAACTTGGAGAGAATTAATAGCATTGGACGATCCCAGCCATCCCAATGCAAACATGCCTTTCAAGATCGCGTATCACCGCGCTTTGAGCGGCGGAAGTGCCCAAAGAGAGCGGAACATCCGAAACTGGTGGCGTGCCCTGGTTGAGATTCACTCCAACTTGGGTCTGACAAAGGATTCTGATAGAATACCTGCGCTCATCGGACTTGGTAGTCAGGTATCGAGGATCTGTGGTAAGCCGGAACCACGATTTGGGCATTTTCTAGACGGTCTTCCATTGGATTTGGGATGGTACGTCGCCCCTGCAGACAAGCAAAGACAATGTCCTCTGGATTCTGTACCATCTTGGTCTTGGGCACACAGCATAAATCCGGTTCAGATGCCACGGGAAGTTGCCGACGGCATAAAGGTACACCCGGTATTGTTGCTTGAGCCATCACAACTCCTCCCGACCACACTGAGACTTCAATGCACCGTCTTTAAAGGCTTCAGCGACAAATTCAACACCCCCAACTTCCCCTTGACTAGAAGGTACTTGGCGGACAACACCTCGTCCAGCGCAGTAACGGAACAGGAGCCACACTATATCCTGCTGGTGTCAAGGGAAGAAGACCACACATGGCTTTTCATCCATGTCAAACCTGTCGACCCGGGAAAAACGCAATTTTACCGTCTAGGGCAATTGGAGGTCCTGGCACCAGAAGTAGGTTCATCTAACAGAGTCCAAATACCTGATGCCGAAGCTCTGATGCGCGCTTGTTTCATTTCGATAGAAACCATGGAGATTGATTTAGTCTGAAGGTTTACAGTCTCCTGTTGTTCAGTAGGTGCTCAGCGTGACTCGGAGTGGCTTAGATAATGGATTCAGTTACACCCACCCTCTGGGATCGGACTGGATTTGAGGAATATGTGTCTATAGCATATGTGATATAGGTGGAAAAACGCTTAGTCACGACTATAAGGCTACTGCGCTATGATCCAGCCTTGCTAGCGACTCAGGTACCAGCCTCGTCGGACTTCGGAGCATTGTTGTTCCGTATCTGTTCTTGACACTCCTAGTCTCAAACATCAATATCACCCCTACATACCAACAGACCCAGATACGCACGCCTTGCCACTCATTGGACACGCAGGCAGTAGAAACCGAGACACAGTTGAAATCTTGTCTAAACACAATCCCTTTACTCATAGCATGAGTCTCGACTGTCCGCTTTCAGAGCCATGACGCTGTGGAGCAGGTAAGCCTCCCACTCTTACAAACACACGTACACCCCCTTCAAGCCTCTATCCCTATTCCTTTCCGTACCCTCGAAAGGGGTTTTCGTCACCTCACCGCCCGCGAGAAGGAATAAAAAGTCCAGATTGATTAACATATCCACTGGTGGTTTCTGCCTGAGGAAAACAGCGTAAAGCCATTCTGGCCTCTCCTGTTCACATTCATCCTCCCACGCGCCATCAACTACTACGCCGCCCTTAAGACCGCCTACCGCACCAGACCGCCGCCGCGCCCTCTGCCGAAGCGGACCAGTCGCGGGCTGAACGCGCTCTTCGTGTCGATTTGCGTCTTTCTGTACGCGTCGTGGCCCCTGAGGGGCGATATCGCCGACCACAATGTCTTTGTGGCCACGCAGTCACGGCTGTCGGTGCCGACCGACGTGCTGTTTGAGCGGTTGGCCATGTTGCGCGAGAACGGGGTGCTCTCGGCCGCGGACGAGGCGTTGAGAGCAAAGCTGACTTCTCCCGCGTGAGTTTCCCTGTCCTCCCTATTTCGCGGAACAAATCACGGCGGTGACAAGGAAACCATCGCCTCCACGATCCACCGCCACTCAATCTAGATTCCTCAGCCAAAAAGAATGACAGATGGATTATGATCTATGATATGGAATCTAACAGTTATACATTGTGACAGCCTTCGCCAACTCTACCTCCGCTTCGGGCCCTCGACCCTCCGAGACTGCCTGTTCTGCCACCCCGACGACCAAATCTCGTACCTGCTGTACCACCTCCCGACCAACACGGTGCTCCCGCACCTCTTCCACGTTTTGTGCCTGGGCCTCGCGACCTCGGAGACCGTGGGCGGGTACGAGGCGTCGACGTGGCGCCGCGCCGCCGTCTTTGGCGCGCTCGTCCTCGCGGGCGCGGACGTGTTTTTGACAGCGACATACGCGCCGCCCGTGGCGATCAGCACCGTCGCGCCCGCGGGGACGTTCTGGCTCGGCACCACGGCGCGGTACCTGGGCCTGTGCGCCTTCGACATCGCGGTGGCGCTGTGCATCTACGTGTCGGCGACGGGGCGGTTCTACCTCTTCCCCTCCACATCAGCAGGTGGGCCTGGTTCAGCGGACGCGGAACTCGCGCGCCGCCGCGCCGACGAGCTCCTCACGCAAGCCAACCTGGCGCTGCAGATGGCCGCGACGAATCTGCGCGCGTACTCGATCGCACGTAACGCCGTGGTGCGCAACCCGGCCCTCAAGGACCGCGACGACGCGTACTGGCGCGCCGTGGTCGCCGTTGAGCGTGAGCGTGAGGGCGAAGGCACGGGTGTTGGTGGTGGTGACGACGACAACGACGACACCCTCTACGAGGACGAGGAGGTCCAGGCCGCGGTGGCACGCGCGTACGGCACCGGCGCGATCAATATCGCCAGTGTGAGGAGGGAGGCTGAGGCGTTTGTCCGCCACGCGACGAGGGGGTTGGATGGGTGATACCCACGAAAAAGAGATCAAGATTTATTCATTCATTGCGTGGTTAGATGGCAAATGACCTCGATGGACAGATCAGATCATCTACACTACATGGCTGATGGCTGGTCGAGGGTTGATGGTCGACCCCCTACAATCGATGTGAATCCGCAAACTCTCTCAAAGAAGAAGAAAAAAGCCAGATTTGAAAATCATAGAGTCTCTTTCTGTTGTGCTCAATTGACTCATTCGCTCACAAGATACATAACTACCTACCTACCTACTGTTGATTGTAGATTGTAGCTTGTATGCTGTAAATCTTTGTCACGTCATTCATTCCTCGTTCCTCATTTCGTATATACATACAAACTTACAGACATTCTAGGTATCCATACATGATAAAGTATGTAAAAGGCCAGCCTTCATGGAAATCAGTCCTCAGGCTCATCTTTGATAATGATGGCATCGTCATCGCTCTTTTCCTTCTTGATAAAGTCCTTCTCGGGCACTCTCCGTCCATCCCGGCCCATGACTTCGGTGGCAAACACGACGGTCTCGACGCCGGCAGGAACGCGCTCCTCCTCGCCGTCCGGGAGGGCGTCGACGTCGATGTCCATGCCCAGCAGAGACTTGAGGATCACTTCGGCGCCGGCCTTACTCATGACCATGTTCTTCTCCTTGCATCTCTCGTCGCAGATGCATTCCGTGCAGCCCTCGAGGCAGTGGCACGCCGAGACCCGCGCGACGGCACGTTCGAGAAGCATGTCGATAAACTCGAATGCTTTCGCTGCGATCCCCGAGCCCGCGGGTCCACCCTTTGCGTCGTAAAACGTCAACCGTGCAGGTCTCTTCCGCTGAGTCTCCTTCTTTGCGAATTCCTTCAGCGCGTTCTTGCATTCGGTTCGCACATCGCCGGGCATGCTGACCACAAACTGTGGCATCAGGGACATCAATGCATGCTCGGCCGCGTGGATCCCTGCCGCAAGATTCAAGCGTTTGTCCTTGAGAATCTGCATCGCCGACTTGGGGACATCCAACCATAGACCTTTGGAGTGGATGATGATCGGTGGGTTGTCCACAGCCACTGCGTCGAGAATCCGACCCTTCTGGTCGACTTTGAAAAACCCAAATACCACGGCGTGTACCTTGATGCGGCCAAAATATGCTTTGGTGAGAGAGTTGGCCGACACCCGACGGACCTGCTCGGTTTCGATTGGATCCACGTCTGTGTAATCTCTTTGCTGCGTAGTCCAGTCCACCTTGACGAGTTGAACACGGGCAATCTTGCGCTCAGGTGAGAACTCTTTCACGATATATGTCCGACCTTGGTGCAAGAATATTCCCCCATCGTACAGGGTGAAGAAGGCTCGCGAAGCCTCGACTTCTTCAAGGACCACATTACGACCATGTGTGATATCAACCACAGCAAAGTGATTGTCCTCGGTATCTCTGATGGGGACACACCGAGAAGGCAGCGGTCGAAATCTCTCGTTGCAGTGATAGAATCCCAGAGGGTCATACGACAACCGTTCCGTGCATATCTCCGGCAACATCTTGCCTAGGAACTTCTCATCTTCGTCTGCCTTGATGGGCATCTCGAAAGCAGCGCACTGAATATGCCCTTCCACCACAAGTTCGTTTTGCAGATCGACCTGGAGTTCACAATTAGGCTTCGTGAAGATCTCGTCGGGATTCTGCATGTAGTGTTGATCGACAGCAAAGCAGTCACCGACCAGAACAGAAAGCGAGTCTCTGTTCCGTCGACCTGCACGACCGCTCTGTTGTCTTAGATTGGCGATCGTATATGGGAACCCCATCGTAACAACGGCATCTAGGGACCCAATATCCACGCCCAGCTCCAGAGCCGTGGTGGCAATGATACCCATGAGCTTGCCACCAAACATTTCTGACTCTATTTGCCGACGGTCTTGCGCCGAATATCCGCCACGATAACCCATGACCAAAGCAGCACATTCTGGTCTCTCGAGGTTTGTGAATTCCGTCTTGACCGCCGCCAGTAGGACCTCACATTGCTTTCGTACGCGACAAAAGGCAATGGTTCGAACCCCTCGCAAAATGAGCTGGCATATTAACCTCGCTGTCTCTGCAAAAGCATCACCACGACCTGATGAGGGATCGCCTGGATCTTTGTATGGTGTATTCCAACAAATAAACTCCTTCCGGCCAGACGGAGAACCATCAAAATCCGTTAGCTTGACATTTTCCACGCCAAATATGGTCTTCATATGCTCTTCTGGATTGGCCACTGTTGCAGAGCACGAAATAAACTTGACCTTGCGGTTTCCCACGGCGGCACATATGCGCCGCAGCCGGCGCATGATAAAGGCCACATGAGCGCCAAACAAACCATTATACACGTGCAACTCGTCCACGACCACGAATTTGAGATTCCGAAGGAATTCTCGCCATCCGCTCTCCTGAGGTAGAATAGTAATGTGTAACATGTCTGGGTTCGTGAAGATAATGCGGCCTTCATCTCGGATTTGGTTGCGTGCCCGCATAGGCGTGTCGCCATCAAATGTCTCGACAACGACGTCCTCCAAGCCTGGGATGTACTTCAAGAGCTCTTTCATGCTTCTACGCTGATCTTGGGCGAGTGCTTTGGTGGGGAAGATATAGAGCCCGCGGCTTTGGGGATCCTTTTCGAGTTCGTGAAGCATTGGTATCTGATAGATCAGCGATTTGCCCGAGCTGGTTGACGTAGACACGATTACATGATGGCCATCATGCAGGTTATTGATGGCCTCGGCTTGATGCGAGTATAACTGAGTTATCCCTCTGCTGTTGTACAGCGCGTTCACCAGATTTTGGGACAACTGAAAATTGAGGTCACCATATATGGCTGGCTGAGGATCGAATACACGGTGTCCATCGGGGACAATCTGTCCAGTATACCACTCGAGCTCGCTAATCTCTTTGACAATCTCCGTTATTGACTTTCGCTCCTTGGGGATCGCTTTTTGCAGCCGATTATCTGGGCCAGGGGTTGCGGGACGACTGGTAGAGGGGTAGGGTAAATACTGCTGTTTAAGGTCCAATATTTTCCCCACCGGGTCTGTTTGCTCCTCAGCACATTGGTTGAGGAATGTGTTTATGGCTGAAGTGAACTTGGCATTGCGCTTTTCAATGAGATTGAGCATCGATTTCTGACTAAAGACAGGCATTTTGAGATCTTCATTGCGTAGTTTCTGGGTGGCTTTGGTGGGTTGCCCTGTCTTGGGGTCGACGACCTGTCTTTTCAGGTCGCCATCCACAAACTCGAACAGAAGAAGTTCTTTGGATGGCTCCGATTTGTCTCTGGGTGCGCTCTCATCCTCTTCCAGAGACCGAAAATGGTCGGCTCTGCCACCTCTGACGCCATCTTCTTCGCCCATAAGCGTTACCATAAGGTGTTCCTCATCGACATAGGCAAAGTTGATCGCCCGCGGCAATAACGCCTTGACCTGCGCCACGTCGTCCTCGACCAACGGCTTTTTGATGTGCCCTTCCACCGCACTCTTGATGTTGTCCCATGTCGTTGCGAAATGCTTCCTGGTGCAGCAAAATGTGTATACGACATTCAAGGCGCGGTGCAACTGGGATAGATACTTGAAGTGATCCGGCCAAGGTACGTCTGATTCTACCAGACTCGAGGACGAACTAGTTCGGCTCAGGGCAGGTTTCGATGTACCTTTCGTCCTCCTAGGTTTGGAACCTCCATCATGAGTCTTGGTGGGGACTTTCGTGGTGGCCGCGACGGAGGAAACGAGGCCAGACTCAGTCGGTGCTGGCTCCTGATCTTTGGGAAAGCGTTTCCGCTTGCGATTGACGGGGATGCGAGAAACGGTGGCTGCCTGCAACTTGGCCATGGGATAATGGCTCAGGTCTCGGGACTTATGGGCCGACCAGATGGATGGTTAGAGGATCAGAACGCAGACAATATCATGGCAGCTTTGCACTTTTGGGACAATGGACAATGAGTAAAAGTGTGCAGACTCAATCTGGCCAATCATGACGTATGCACAACTCGCACGCGCAGTTTGACAGATGCGCGAAGTCAGGTGACAAATTTACCCAATTTGGTTCTTTACTGTCCATATTCGGTATTACTTGGAATGGTCTGTTACCTCAGTCCAGTGCTGAGATACTAGCTAATGTTCTACTCACAATGAATGAGGGTGAGCAGGTGTGCAAATAGTCCTTCTGTCTCCCAGGCTAACGCATACATCTAGAGCTCTTCCTGCGCCATCACAGCTCACTTTTGATTCTGATAACCATGATACCTCAAGACCATTCCCACTAGACCAAACCACATCATTCAGACCTGTATGCCCATAGCAGTGATCCAAGGAGGCTCGTATCCTGTCCAAGCAAGCAGAACATAAAACCAAGCCCGACCTTAGCAGATGTGACCCAAAGTCCAATTCAGTCGATCTCGGACTAAAGAAGTGCAACGAGACCCTTTAGAACATCAGGCCTGCCCGTCTTGCAGCTCATGTGTAAGGCACATATGTGCCAATGTCTAAGCAGCCTCGCGTCTGCTAGCAAGTTTGCATATTTTTCGACGACCCTCGTGTCATCGGAGTTGGTATTCGTAATGAGGTTTGCCTCTACTTTATGAGAGGGCCAGTACTAATACGGAAAGCTCGGTTCGCGCTGTCCAAATGTGTCGTTGATGTCGGCTTGATACTGCCAGATTGAGCAGAGATCACTCAATCGCACGCCAAGGTTCACCAAAACGGAGTTGTGTACTTCCAATTCGAAGGTCAATAGCGGGGCACATCCCGCACTCCATCGTTGGTAATACCAATGGCAGCGTTGCGAGCGGCTAAGGGAATGGTAAAGGAAGGTGTTCGTTTTGAAGGCCGTGCGGAGGCATTGCAGCACCAGCTGGGCCGCGGACAATGTTCGATCCCATGCTTGTGCCAGCTGTGTGGCTAGCATGCGGGGCGTCCAGGTATTGACTGTATGACAGATTATTTGCTTGGGGAAGTGGTTGATTTACCTGTCGATGCTCTTGGGCCAGACGGGTCACTGGAACAAGACCAGTCGGGGTTGGCAAGGCCGCTTGTGCTCTAGCAAAGTCGAAGTCAAGGTTTGAATTGCCAAAGTGGCGGTCCTCAATTATTACATTGGGGATGTTGCTGCGTGCCCTCGCGAGGTCACCAAATGCTGTTGCTGCAGGAGCCGGCCTATTGGGAATAGGAGGAATAAGACTCGGAGGGTTGACAGCTGGGTTGAACGGCGCAGTGAGCAGCGCTTGATGTTGGCCATGCGCGAGTGCGTGGCGACCCAGCGGTGGCGGTGGCTGCTGTAGTTGTTCACCAAAACGAGGTGGATGCTGGATAATATTCAGGCGTGCTCGCTGGTAGAGCTCCATCAACTGAGTTAGGTGCTCTCTTGTTTCATTTGGTTGTGGTCTCTCCGCGTGTCTGCGAGCGCGATCCAATCGATGGACTCCTGCCAGAATATCCTCGAGTTCTCGATCTGGGCGTAGAGCTTGCAAACGATCGACACGAGTCTGCAAGTTGTGAAGGTATGCCTGACGATTATTCAGACGAGCAGCTCGATTATTCAGATCACGAAGGAAGACCTCGGCGGCAGGGTGATTTAGCAAGGCTGAAGGTCGTCGGTACGCAGGTTTCTCAGTGTCGATGCGCAACTTGGTTTCATCAAGCTCGGCATCTATCTCTTTGGCCTTGGTGATGGCACCTTTTTCTGCCGCGTTCGCTTCACTCTCGTGTCGATTGATACCCAGCTCATCATACAGTACACATTTGTCGCCGAAATGGGAATAGGCATTGCTTCCGAGAGGGGTTATATCTGCATTGCAAACATAACACATGCGACAGCCGCATCTGGTGCAAACCATTTTGTTGCATCCAAAGTCCTTGAGAATTTTGGCTTTGCATTTGGGACATGTTCGAATAATGGCTTCCGAGCGGGCCTCTTCCACCAGATGGCGTGCAGACAAAGTCTTGTCGAGAGAATTCTCTTCGCAAGATTTGGGAATATGGCTGTCCTTCCCGCATTTCCTGCAGGTTGCACGAGAACACTCTGGATTCTGGCACAGGAAGATGGGCTCCTGTCCCACATCCAGGCAAATTGCCTTGTATTCACAGTGGGGACACTGCTCTAGGCCTTCGATGTTGGCAGCCATGATGTCGGCTTGTTGCTTGTTGAGTTCAAGACGATCAAATGTGGTGATCGGGACTGCTCTTCCAACGTCCTCGTGAGAAAGCTCCGCCGTGCAGCCATCACCGTCCATGCAGCGCATCTCATACTTCAACATGCCAACCTGATTGTCGGCTAGGCCTTCGACACAGGTGAAGCAGAAGAAATGCGGGACATCTGCCATACAAGAAACAATGCGGTTGAGAGGAGTCTCTGAGTCGAAGCAGCACTGGCATTCCATGACGGCCCCGGTCTTGACATGTTCTGCCAAGTTCAAAGCTTCAGCTTCCTCCTTGGCCGTCTTGACAGCCTCCTTGATTGCCTCGCGAGCTGAGAACTGCTTCGCCGCCTGCAATTCATTGACTCTATTGGCGTATTCTGCTGGAATGCGGCGGTCTCCTATTGCCAGCTGATATGTCTGCTCCACCTCAGTTCTTGGCTTAATGTGACGTTTGTATGGTCTGGGCGTGAGCGAGTAATATCGATCCTCTTGTCCCTGGATGGTGACATAGGAGTCGAAGATGGATTTTTTGTCTTCTACCACTTTGGCGATGTAGTGGGTAGGGACATTCACAAAGTGCTTCGCGAGTAGAATGATGGCATCTTTTGTGTACATTTTGTCCTTTGGGAGACCTCTGTCCCAGGTGATGGTAACGCCAGTGCCGTCGTTCGCAGCCCCTTTGCAGGTGGTCTTTGAGGGAGCAGGACGTTGTTTAGGATATGCCTGCATCTCTAGGATGTCGGCAATGATTTTTTGGGCAAGTGGCGGGGCGCTGGTATCGATCATCTCCTGGTCATCTTCGTCGAAATATTGGGGCTGTGGGGGTGCATCTTGAATCTTCTTTTCGACAAAGGCGCGTTCAATGTCTGGAAAGACTTCGATAACACAAGCAAGACACCTCTTTTCGAATGTCTTCTCCCCCTGAACTTCCTCTGTCTCGTCATTGCTTGTCTCAGAATCGGAGCCATGGATAGTGTAAGGAGTTCGGATTGCCTGCCGCAACTTGAACGCCTTTCTCTCCAGCTTGAGAACCTGTTCTGCGTCCCAGCTATCACACAGCTCTTGGTGTCCTTCAACAGTGCCAAGCACTACCGGGAAGCGCTCGTAACCTGGCCCTCGATACATCTTGACATCGAGCCGACCATCGACGTAGTACGGTGGCTGTGGCGCTGTCTTCTTCTCAGACTTTGCGTAGTGTTGTGTGGCATTTTTGGCACCGACAGTTGGTTGTTTGGACACGGTAACATCTCGTTTGTGTCTGTGATGCCAGAGTTGCAGACCAGAACCAGCTTCATTGCGTCGCGTCGAGATCATGGCGTCAGAGGGTGCGTTGACACGACGTTTTCCACGATCTTCAGGCGCAATTTGTGGTGAGTCGTCTAGGGAGGTGCTGGGAGTCCATGTTCTCTTGAGGGCTCGGGCTGGATGAGTTAGATGGCCTTCTACAGCAGATTCCAGCTCGGAGACATCGGCATCACTAGCCGAAGTGGTTGACAAAGCTTTGTTGACTGGGTATCGACGAAGGGATTTCCGCAACTGATGGGGTGGAGCAGCATCAGATTCATCATCAGAGACTTCGATAATGGTGTCTTTGTCACGGTCTGCCACTCGCGAGAGACGTGGGGGAGACCGGTATGTCATAGTGTGAGCCAAATCTCGACGGTCGGTGGGGATGTCCTCCAGCCTAGTGAATAGATCATTAGCATACAGGATAATGAACATGTATTCAGACTTTGCATGACAGAAGCTATTTGACAGTGTGAAGTCTGTCGCGAATAAGGCGCCTCAGGGCCTGGCACAAGGCGGTTGGGGGGACAAGACTGGCGCAGTGTGTGGAGGCCAAAGACGGCTGCTTACCGAGGGGTCATAGGCTGATAGGACATGTTGATGGACGCTGCAAAATGGTTGTGTGAGGACGATCCGTTCATTCAGAGAGCCTGTGGGTGTTTGCAAGTCTGGAATCGGTGAAGGTTGTTCGGTTGTGCTGGTAGAAATGACCTCCTCTAGCGTGCCGCAGGAGGCAGCGCCCCAGCGTGACTCGAATTCACGGAGAGGTTTGAGGCCGGCCTCGTGAGTGAGGATGCGAATGAGATAGAATACTGCTGCGGCCTGCGCTACTTCAAGTATCTTCGGCTACGGGGGAGCCAGACGCAGTGATGAAGTGTATGTGAAGTCTAAAAGGCGGACCAGCCAGGAGAAGGAAGTGGGATTGGATCGGGGTGAAAGAGTGGAAGCTGAGAGGAGAATTAACAAGAAAAAAAAGAGTCGCGGCAGAAAGACAGAATGCGTGAAGTGGACAATCTAAGCTGGACAGCCTTGTCTGTTTATTTGGTTCCTGTGCAGATCCAATATAGTCAAGTTACGCGATGAGGTGCGGTCGAACTGGATAGTGTGCGATCCACGGCATCCACCAGGTGTTGGGAGGACTGGATTGGATGGAGAACGGGTACCAGCTCCTCAGTGAACTGGAACCCATGGGAACAAGAGCGCGGCACCATTGGAGGGCGTCAAGAGCATCGATTGCAGGAGGTCATAGCAAACGAGATGCACTGACCAGGGGGCGCAAGGAGTGAAGGGAGTGGAAGAGCGAGAAGGCGACCACAGAGGAGGCTGAGTGGCGCTGAGGAGAGGCGGCAGTAGAGTCCCTGCGTCCGGTCAGTTAGTTTCACTTCTGTACGGCACCCAATCATTCTGTCCTGCAGACTTGGACTGTGATTTCGAACAAAGCGAGAGATACACGAGGCGACGAGGCTGACGGTGAAGCTGGTGACGAGGCTGCAGTTGAACCTCCTGCCCCATTTTCCATCTCCTTTTCGACGTTTCATGATGATCAACTGCACCAACGGGTTTGTATTGAGATGAGCGGGTCTATCTCGGTTAATCCCTTGACGAAGAAGCGCAGTTTGCCTGCCCCTCAGCCCCTCCTCCACACTATGGACGTATTTTTCTGGCAAAGACTCATTCACACTCTTACGAATTACGAATTACGAATTGAATGACTCTACATATGCGGCTCTTGTTGCCTTGCCCAAAGGTTTGTCCCTCTTACTCTCCACAGCAGGTAAATGCGCCTTGTGACAAGACGGCATGAATATTCTTAAGCCGATCTCCTCCACCTTCATTTCCCCATTGATTGCTCATTAGCACAGGCTTCGTTAGACAAGAGACATCATGACTTCCGCAGACGTGCATCCAACTGCGACCGACTTGGCTTCCAAGCCTCCCCCGCTCGACCCTGCCTCTCAACCATCAGCTCAGTCTCCGGACCTGAAACTTGTGTCTGCCTCAGCGCTCGAATACGTCCAGACTGCGTATCTTAATGCCGAAGCATGGCAAGGCCCTCTCACCCTCGAGCAATACCTGGAACGCGAAGTCATCCTTCAGGCAGTCGATTTGACAAGAGATGGTCGGATCACTGGATGGATTTTGACCTCTGACTCTTTACCCCCAAACCCCGATGGTTCGCGGCCCATCCTTGCCTGTTGCGAGAGCCTTCTGGTTCAAGCCTATGTGGCAAAAGACGGCGTGCTGAAGAAAACCCAAGCTCATGGCATCGCCTCGGTCTACACTCGTCCCGAATACCGTGGAAAAGGATACGCTGGCAGAATGATGGCGGAATTGGGAAAAAGATTGGAGTCGTGGCAGACTGTATCTGGCGCCACTAATCCATTCTCCGTTCTATACTCTGATATCGGCCAGACGTTTTACGCCAGATTCGGCTGGAAAGTATTCCCTAGCAACCACATCCATCTCCCTCCACTGGACCAATCAGTGTACAAATCAGCCAGTTCTATGTTTCCTGTCGTCGATGATTTGACAATGGAGGATCTGAAGGATATTCCGACTGTTGAGTACCTTGAACATCGCTTGCGTACGGTATCCAAGGCTACCCCAGGTATTAATCATGTTTTAATTCGCCCGGATGTCGAGCATTTTGAATGGCACTTTGCTCGAGAGGAGTTCCAGACCAAGGTCCTGAACAGAGGATTCCCAAAAGTCAAGGGCGCGATCCATCGAGCCAGCGGCCTAGCTCTGATCTGGTGCCGTATTTACGCAGCCAAGGAGTCAGAGTGGCAATTACATATCCTTCACACAGTTGTCCCGCCGTCGCTGGAGAATTCATTAGACGCCCAACAAGCAATGTCGGCACTTCTCTTAAGAGCACAGCTTGAGGCACATGAATGGGAAATGGCTGCAGGTGTGGAGGTCTGGGATCCACTGGAATTGGTAGTCGCTGCGGCTCAGAGGCTGAGGACGGAAGAGCAGGGCAGAGTGGAGATCATCACCCGCGACAAAGAGCATTTGTGCAGTCTCAGATGGGCAGCGAAACCAGCCGATGAAGTCGTTTGGCTTGCCAAGGAGAAATACGCCTGGTGCTGAAGGACGAGGCTTTGAAAAGACGCAGCCCCAGCGCGCCTCGCTCTTGACTGTGGGAGCAGATGCAAATATCCTAGCCTCGGCCGATTTCGACGTGAGTTTGAACAATGTTACCACAATCGCAGCCGAGTCCGGGGATGCATGCACTACCGGAGATATCGAGATGTCTTCTGGATGTATTACATATATAGCAAACCACAGAGCATCAGTCATCTCTGGTTTGATCGACCCTCTTCCCACCTAATACCATTGTGCCTCGCTCGACATATTCTAGGTGAAAGTCCAGGGTTTGTGGTATCCACCCTCCAAAAGAGGTTATAACTATGTTTGTTTGTTTGTCTGTACAGCCTTGCATGTAACAACTGGGAATGGATATTCCAACCTCGGTCTATTTCACAACGAAGTGAAGCCCAAACTTGTGGAATGATACCTCGTTTAGAAGAGAGTCAAAGGGGGCCCGGTTATCTCTTGGAAATTGACTCCCGTTCGGCTGTTCCTGGTCAGCTGTACTTTGTTGCGAGTGAGGGTGAGCGAGGGGTTGTAGTTTAGTGGCCTGATTGATTGATGATAGAGCCGGACTTCTCTCTCCTCGACATCCCTACACCTTGCACTTGTATTGGCTTTGGAGTTTATCGTGCCGCGTTACCCCGTCTTAGCCACTCTTACTGTTTGGTGGTCCACGAGTAATATTCCGCAATAGCCCACCTGAGTCAGTCGTCCCGGTCTCTCGCTGCGTGTGGCAATATCCCCGCAGACCGCAGACAAGGCCCTTGGAGATGGAATCCTGGGAACCGAGGTCTACCTCCAAAAACGGCTTCAACTCATACCTCCTGCTGACCAAATCAGGGAGTTTTGGACCTTCGTAGATGGGGAGTGGGCGTTCGTGGTGCCACTCAACAAAGCCCATTTAATCTGGGTTTCGTTTGAAAAGAGGATCTTATATACCCTGCGTGTGTATCTTCCAGATCCACACTTTTGGTGATCCGTAGATAGACCCTTGAGTGCACGATACAGATACAAAGTATCCAAGGGTGGTTTGGTAATTCCTTCACTCGCGATATCAGATTCCGACTTTTGTAAAGTCGCTCGCAAAGCGTCATCACTTGGACTTGTTCCACTCCAAAAAATGGCGCCCTCGAAAGATGGCGAAGGTTTCTCTTCCAACGCGACGGGCGAGGTCTTCAACGAGCTTGGATGGATGATCCAGAATGCTCGGGGTTACAGGATCCACGAGGAACCATATGCCACTCCGCGCAAGATAAGAGTGATCCACATCGGCGCGGGCGCGTCAGGCATCACGCTTTCCAAGTTCATCGAGGATCGGTGCGAGAATGTCGAGTTGCAGCTTTACGAGAAGAACAAGGACGTCGGAGGAACGTGGTTGGAGAACAGGTATGGTGCTCGCGCCCTAACTCCTCGTGGTGTTCCTTGTTTCGGGAGAGGCAGACAGAGATTGCTGACAAGGAAACTCCATTCAATAGATATCCCGGCTGCGCTTGTGATATTCCTTCCGCTGCATATCAGTTCACCTGGGAAAGAAATCCCAACTGGTCCCAGTACTACTCGGAATCGCCCGAGATCTGGCAATATTTCAAAGACGTCGTCGACAAGCACGGTTTGATCAAGTACGTCAAACTTGAGCATACTGTGACCGGGGCGTATTGGCAACCCGAGCAAGGCGTCTGGGAGGTGCATGTGCGGCGGCCCGATGGCACCGAGTTTGTAGACACATGCCACGTTCTCGTCAACGGTGGAGGCATTCTGAAGTACGTTTCTTCCGCTCTCAGTACTCTGCTGCGTGTCCGTTTGCTGACAAGCGTGGTGCCTATAGTAACTGGAAATGGCCAGATATCAAGGGCCTGCATTCATTCAAAGGCACCCTCGTGCACAGCGCCAACTATGATCCCCAAATTGACTTGACCGGCAAGCGCGTTGCTGTCATTGGAATTGGCAGCAGTGGCATCCAAATCATATCGAAGATTGCGTCGCAGGTGAAGCAACTATATGCCTGGGTAAGATCGCCGACGTGGATCACGGCCGGCTTCGCTCAGAAGTTTGCTGGACCGAATGGAGGAAATTTCCACTGTAAGCAACTTACATCCTCGCTCTGGTGGATACTCAATCGCGGACGTTCTAATGCTGGGAACAGATACCGAGGAGCAGAAAAGGCGATTTGCTGAGAACCCGGACTTATTCCTGAAGTATTCGAAAATGATCGAGTCGGAGCTGAATGTCAGGTTCAAGTTCATTCTAAATGGGACACCCGAGGCCGAAGGTGCCAGAGAAGTAAGACAATCCTTTGCCAAACCACCACAGAGGATGCTGAAATGATTCTGCAGTTTGCTCGGAACGAAATGATGCAAAAGCTTGGTACGACGAAGCCTGAGCTCCTAGAGGCTATCATCCCCAAGAACTTCGGTGTAGGATGTAGGAGGCCGACTGTGAGTTGATCCAAGGAGCGTGCATGACTTTCAACTAAATCAGGATCCTCAGCCCGGCAACGGCTTTCTCGAAGCGTTGAATCAAGAGAATGTCCAAGTCTTCACCACGCCAATGAAAGAGATCAACTCGGATGGTTTCGTCGATAGTGAAGGCCAGCAACACGATGTGGACATTATCATTTGCGCCACAGGGTAAGCTCACAGCTACGCATTGTGATTTTGCGGTACCGATTGGCTGACTGGTGCATGACAGGTTCAACACAAGCTGGATCCCTAGGTTTCCAGTTGAAGCAAATGGACACAGCATTGCAAATATGTGGGCCAAGGAGGCCTATTCATACCTTTCTATTGGAGTTCCTCACAGTATGCATCCCCCCATAACACTGCGTCTAATGAATACTGAATGTGGGAAAGTGCCGAATTATTTCATGATGGGTGGACCTTACGGTCCACTTGGGCACGGATCTTTCTTGCCCATTATCGAGACGCTTGCAGGCAATATCATCCAGTGCATTCAAAAGATGCAAAAGGACCGTATAAAGAGTCTGACTCCGAAACCGGAAATCGCCGAGCAGTTCAGAGAGCATGCACAACTGTTCCTCAAGAGAACAGCTTGGACTTCGGTGGGTGTATCCCTGATATCCAACTCCAAGCAAGGCACTGATATTCCTCGTAATATAGGGATGTAGTTCGTGGTTCAAGCAAGGAAAAGTCGACGGACCACTGCCAATGTTCCCTGCTTCTCGACTGGTATATATGGACCTCCTTGCAACTCCCAGGTTCGAGGACTACCAGGTCGAATATATGAACTCGTTGAACATGTTTGAGTTCCTGGGCAATGGCTTTGCGACTCGAGAGTTTGATGGCCGTGATCTATCGTATTACTTGGGGCTGTTGAATGGCGACGATCACCAAATCGACCTCGAAGGCGCCATTCATGACGATCTTGCGGAACTGCATCTGATACAGTAGCTGGACTGGTGGTGTATACTAGGTATTTTTGCAAGGACAAGAAACAAAGAGATAGAAACCACTATCAAGATTGTCAATGAAGTGAGGATGCGAAACTGCGTCATCGGATTTAATGCTCCACCGCATATAACTCGCTACGGTGGGCCACATCGCTAGACTGGCGCTGTTCTTCAGCCTCACCACCGCATTTCTTCCGTCCCATCAACATCACACCTCCTTCTGATTGTCCAGCCTCTTTCCCTACTTCGCGTGACGTATGGAAACACAACACAGACAAGGGATACAGCGAGCAACTCACACCCGGATACGGCTGACCCAGGCACGCTCTAGGTCCCTTGGCAAAGTCCTGGGTCCAAGTCCCTGCTTTCTGCCGTGTCGCCTCATGAGTTAGCCTCAGTCATTGCGAGTCGAGCGGACCATGGACGCCTTTCTTCGCCTAACGACCCAGTGCCATCTCAACCTCGCCTGAGATTATGCGCCCGACACTCTATCACCGCAATGGCTGCAGATCGCTTAGACTGAGACCCAATTCCCATTTCTTGCGCCCAGTAAGTACTCTTGGTCCACTTGCGACAATGAAAAGGACTGGTGGACACATACCGTGCAAAATGAATTGATTCGTTATCGTCCACATTCCTCCGCCAGGCATCAGGCGCAGGATGTATGTGACTTCTGCGCCTTGTTCAAGTGCGTCGAGGTCAGGCTGATTTAGGCTTGTTCTTCTTCTTCCTCCTTCTCTACGAATACCCTTTGATACCCGGTCAGTACTCCCTGGCCATTTGCCTGATAAATGCGGAGCTCCCTGATCTTCCGTGCATCACCTCTTCTGCCCGCTCAGCTCACATTTCGCCTTCGGAAGCGGTTGAGGATTACCAGCCATCTGTTGCTGCTCGATCTCGGTGCCAGCAAGATGTCTTCCCTAGGGTTGAAAAGAGTCTCACTGGGTGAGGCTGCCGTCCTAGGAAGCCTGTACGATGCACGGACCGACTCTTTTCAACCACTTTCATTGCTGAACCGCCAGCTTCCCGAGACTGCAGTCACTAGCGAGGCGCGTCCATCGTCTCGATTCAGTGTTATCGAGACTTCTGATCTCAAAGACAAGTTTAACGCTGTTGGAGTGCACTCTTCTTTGGAAGCCAGCATCCTTTCAGGACTAGTTGTTCCTTCGGGCTCGACAGGCGCTCTTCTCGACCGACACGAGAGCAATTTTATAGTCCAAATGTCCCTGCAACATGTCGTCACCACATTTCTCGAGAAAATCAACTTTACAAGCCCTGAACTGCAGCAGTGTATCTCTCGAGAGAGTATACAGCAAAGCCATGCCACACATGTGGTGTCAGAGATCACTTGGGGTAGTCGGAGCATCCTAACCGCAAACTATCATAGATCCGCAGGCGAAGATAGGAATACGGTGAAAGAGCTACTACGAAAGGAATATGCCAACATTGAACAAAAGATCTCTTCTCCTGGAACCCAGGCTGCAGACTCGTTTCAATCCCATGACCTGACCAAGTCGCTTCAAGTTTATCTACGCACAGACCTGTCAGGAAGCAATCCACTAAAGACCGACCTCGAAGGAGCCTGCCAGTTCATGCAAAATGTACCAAATCAGATCTTGGACATGGATGGGGGCTGGGGACAGCCTATCGTTTACACGCTCCTCCCAGTTCACTGGCTCTCACTGATTTTGAACTTCGAGCCCAGCGGAATCGTGGTCAGTCAGCCCAGCGAAGATCTTCTTTCGGACTACATGAATTTGTTCGAAGAGATCAGGAACGCTCAGCGGCGACTCAAGGATTACTGGACCTATCTTTCTCGTCGGCGTGCTCTTGTACCGGAGGATCATATTCGCGAAGTCTCTGAGTTCCTTGCTCGTGCCAATCAATCAGAGGGTGTGCTAAGGCAACAATACGGTGTAGCTCTGCGCGATTTTCGAAATGGTCGGATGGGCTCAAGACAGCTGGGGCAAGTCCTTGACAGATTCATCGATAGCCCCTATTCTCCGGTCCAGCTTACCGCGGTAGCAGATGTCTATGCTCGAAAACTGGCTTTCATCGACGAAACAACAAAGCATGGAGCAGCTTTCTTTTCCAACGAATGTTCGGTGCCGACGCCTCGTGGCCATGTGTATACTCTTTATTTCAGCCGCACCGCTATGGATGACCATGCAACTTGGGGCCCCAATTCGAAACTTACTTTTCACATACTTCAAAGTGGCACCACGCAAACGTCGGTTCGAATTGTGGACTGTGACCAGAGCGGTCAGTCTCTCGAGAAGTCCCATATCATGTATCATCGCGACGGCAAGCTGATCACAAACGACTTCCAAAAACTTCAAAACTTCCTCGCAGACAAATGTTTGATGCATTTCGACGATGCCCATCTTGATACGTGGGGAACCAAGAAACCAATGGATCGGAAGCCTGTCAAGCTATCTTGTCCGGGACGAGGCTGTGTACCTCGAACAAAACGTCAGTGGATCTGTTCTCGATGTTACTCTACCATCGACTACGGCCGGCGAGATCACTACCTGTATTGCGACTGTGGTCGGACAAAGTATCGTTATTGGGGTTTCAGGTGCAACGCACAGCAGCATGGACCAACCTTTGAGCGATATGAGGACCGTCAACTTTTAGCAATGCTCGATGCCATGGACCCATTTGAAGAAGTCAATATCTTGATCCTGGGCGAGACAGGTGTCGGCAAAAGTACCTGGATCAACGCATTCGTAAATTATCTCACCCACAGCACTTTGCAAGAGGCGATGGATGCAAGTGAAATAGAGCATGTGATTCCATGTTCATTTGCCACTCAGACGGTGGACGAAAACGACCCTTTGCAGAGACTGATTCAAAGGAAGATCAGGATCGGGGCCAGAGACGAGTTTGAACATGACGCCTCTGACGGCCAGTCGGCCACCCAGAAGGCTATCACGTACCCTATTTTCGTCAATTCGGTCATGGTGCGCTTGATTGATACTCCTGGTATCGGCGATACCAGAGGTCTGGACCAGGACAAAGCCAACATGGCGGACATCCTGTCAGTGCTGAGCAACTACAAGGAGCTGCACGGCATTCTGATACTCCTCAAGCCAAACAACTCTCGATTGAACGTCATGTTCGAGTTTTGTATCAAGGAATTGTTGACACATTTGCATCGAAATGCTGCACGCAATATGGTGTTTGGTTTCACCAACACTCGTGGTTCGAATTATCATCCTGGAGACACCTTCATACCACTTGAGGCTGTGTTGAAACAATTCCGCGACGTCAATCTTGGACTGTTTCGCGACACAGTCTATTGCTTCGACTCGGAGAGCTTCCGCTACCTGGCTGCTCATAAACAAAATGTCAGCTTGGGCAGCTTCAACGATTATTGCCGGAGTTGGGAGCAGTCTGCTACCGAGTCTCGACGTTTGCTCAACTATATCCGCCAGTTGGAGCCTCATCAAGTGGAGAATACTCTCAGTCTGAACGAGGCTCGACGCTTGATCCTCCAGTTGACCAAGCCCATGGCTGAGATTGCACAAAAGATCAATGATACGATCGAGTTGAACCAAAGAGACAACGAGCTGTTGCGCAACAGCAAATTGAGCAAGGACGAAATGCTGAAGAAATTAGACGTGCAGCAAAACTCGGTGGTCTTCAGCCCAGTCACTCGCCCAAAAACCGTCTGTACCAATGCGAGATGCATCAAAAAGGTTGATACTCCAGGCCCCAATGGAGAGGACACGGTACACAAAGTCCTCTGTCACAACCCTTGCTGTCTGACCAATGTCCCGGTTGAAAAGGTGGGAACGCCAGAGCTGGTCAGATGCGCGGCATTCGCCGGCTCGCAGCACTGTAAAGGTTGCAGGCATCATTGGACAGAGCACAAGCATATCCTGTACGAACACAAGGAGACAAAAAGGACCATCAAAGATCCGAAAGTCGAGATGTTGTTGCAAGAAAATGCAAAAGTCACCACCATCATCGAGGCTGCAATCAAGGCGAAAGAAGCCACGGTCGCAGAGTTCAAACGCGAACATAAAGAGATTCAAAAGGCGGCAGTGCAGTTTAGCTTGTGGCTCAAGCACCATTCCATCACCCCGTACAACGATGCCACGCTGGAGTACCTGGACCATCTTATCAAAGAGGAGAAGTCCAAGGTAGCGATCGGCGGCAAGAGGCAACGGCTCGATGCTTTTCAGCAGTATCGTCGCGAGTATAAGGAGCTTGTCGACCTCTTCGAATCCAACGTGGACAAGGGCAGGAACGAAGAGCTTTTGGACGCCAAGGGCGTCGACAAACTCGCGAAACGGCTGTATTCGCTGAAGCATTACGGCGCAGACCTCCGCAAGCTGCGCGATGCCGTGGTCATTGCGCACACCGCATCGATTCGCGAGAGACCATACCGCGTCAACGCGAGACCAGGGTTTATGATATCCGCGAATGCTCCATCGTCTTTCCGGGCCTCGGTCAGCACTCGCCCCGCGTCAAGTACCATTACTCCATTGCCTGCCATCAGCCGCACGCAAGCATCGCCTATGGCTGTGTCTGTGTCTGACGAGAAGCAAGTCGTGGGGAGTGCAAGCGGAAGCGGAGCGACCTCCCTGCCCGGCAAGAGACATGTGAGCATGCCAGAGGCTGCCATCTCGGGCGCTCCGCCATCTTATTTCGAGGCCGCCGTAACCCCAGCCTCCTGGGACTTGAATGAGAGAACGAAGAACAACCGCAAGAAAGCTCGGTCGTTGAGCGGCAGGCTGACCGAGAAGATGTCGTCCATTTTTAGATGAGCGGTGGTCAGACCTTGTTATTACCTGGTAATTACAGCACAGTCAGCCACTTGTCGGAACGGATCCTGGGAGGCTCACAGAGGTCTCATACTCCGCCCGTCAGACCCATCTACGTAGTAGTGAACTGATTGCAAGGGGTTCTATTATTGAGAGATATGATTGTCGTCGTGACTAATTACTGGCAGATTGAACAAAGTGATTTCGAGCAGGGGCACGTTTTCGTGGATGGTGTCTCGGGCTTCCACGGTTCTTCGCAGAGATTACTTCTCTGGCTTGTTGTATAGCTAGGTAGATACGTTCATAATGGAGAAATAATCTGGTAATGCCTTCCATGGGAGATGACATGATTGTGTATTTGGTGCAAGCCTCCTGTCGCGGATCGAGGCTAATATCCTAGTTGAAGTCAAAAGTACGGAACGGTCCGCTTAGAACAAGCGATAGCACAGGATAGGATCGAGTCACAATATCATTTTCCTCCACTCATCTTTGCTATCGCGAGAATCGCAATGTGCAAAGTAAGGAGTAACTGCCAAAGGGGAGGTACTATGCCGTGATCCTCTTTGCACCACACACAAATACATGCTTGCCATTCGTCAATACCGACCGCTAGAAACCGCATGATCATGACCTGGCTTCGCGCGGCAAGACAATGCCCGCTTTCTCGTCGTACCCATCATGCATTATTAATGCGCCAGTCAATCATGAACCTTCGTCGGTCGTTACCCATCAAATTCAAAACGCATCCCTGAACAACCCACAACATAACCTGACCGAAACCCTTCACTTCAACGTTGGTCATCCCTCTGCTTTCTAAGAAAGAGAGAGAGCAGGAATCGCGTCGGAAGAAATCAGAGGAGGTTGAATTCCGGGGCGGTCTTTGCAGTTTCGCGCGCGTCGCGCAGAGCCGCCAGGGGACGCGGTTTGGGGAGAGCCGACAGCGTGGACGAAGGGGTCTGCGTCTTTTGCGGCATGTAGTAGACGACGAGGAAGGGCGCGAGGGCCGTGGCCGTGGAGGCGACGAACGTGCCGAGGGTGAAGTGCGACATTTTTTTTGCGGGAGTGTTATGTTTCGTGTTTGTTTTGGTGATGCCTCTAAGGCGAGTGGATGGAGTCTAAAATGATAGTCTGGGTAGTTTGTCTATCGAGGTTGTCTAGCGCTGAGTGAAAACGAAGGACTGGAAATAATTCGAAATCTATAAAGAATGTAGCAAGGGCTGGGAAAGAGGGAGCCGGAGGAGCAAACAACAAGTCTAATATAGGCAGTGGCGGTGAAAAGAAAAAAAGGAGAGAAGGGGGACAAAAAAATCGAAACTCGCGCAATGTACTCGGTAAAAGTAAATGCAAGGGAGATCGACCAGTCTGGAAGCAAAGGGGGTAACATCCATGGGCCATGGGTTGGAGTAAAGTCGAGTCAGGGGCGCCAAATCGCAATCCCCCAACCCGCGGTCTCCAAGGCCTCATTCATTCATTCATACGAGGGTACATTACCCCGTAGAGTAACCCGAGGGTGAGCGGAGATTATTTACCGAGTTCTCCGGGATATTATTTAGGCACAGCCTTGTCGTTGGATCGGGGAACTCTGGCCGCTTCTGGGGCTGTAGACGAGGCTGGCGGCTCTGAATAAGCCAAGACACTAGCTGGGTGCCAGTGCCAGTAGTGGTGGCTGTGAGTGACATCACCTGCATGGGAGCTCCCGCTGGCTGCCACGGAGGAAAAAAAATATGAGGGCAAAAACAACGCATCGTCACAAACGATCGTAACGGGCAAGTTCCTCTGTGGCGCTCCATCGTAGATATTAGTCTTTATTAGTCGTGTTCCACAGCTGTTTGCGTCTGCAGAAGTCCAACTCTAAACATGCCTTTACGCATCAAATGGACGTGTACGTCCTGTCTCCGGCAACAACTGAACGGCCAGCAGCGCCGAGTCTCAACATCCAGCCTGCGAAGCGCTTCCCGGCCGACTCACTCTAAATCTCTAGTACAAGGCCACCCTCTGCAGGGCCTGCGATCTTTCACCACTACTGCACCGATACGTCAAAGAGTGCCTGAGGAACAGCACCAGGCCATGCCACTCGGTGACTTCTACACCGAGCTTCTGTCGACACCGATCGAGAAACATCCTGCGACATACTCAGACCTGCCCACCTTTGTAACACCGGGCGATGAAGACAAGATGGAAAGAGCAAGGAAGGTCTTCGGATCGATACGCGGGTCAGGATATGAACGGCGGACATCGAGCACGCCGGACTCGACGTGGCGCACCATCAACGGCGTCCCCGTGCCTCCCAAACCGGCCGAGCCTGACAATTGCTGCATGAGCGGCTGCGTGCACTGCGTCTGGGACGATTATCGAGATGATGTGGAAGAGTGGGCAGCCCGGGTTCAGGAGGCGCAGTCCAAAGCGCCGAAGCAGCGACGCGGGGCTCCCAAGATCGAGATGGCGAGACCCGAAGTGAGCGACGCTTCGGGAAGTATGGACGATGACGGCGGCGGGAGTGAAAGCCTCTGGACGACTCCTTCAGCTTCGGCAGAGGCCAAGGAGGAGGATGTCCTGTTTCAGGGGATTCCCGTCGGCATTCGAGAGTTTATGGCTACGGAGAAGAGGATTCGGGATCGGAGACGTGCTCGGAAAGAGAAGGGCCAATTGGACAACGACGAGGACGACTTTATCTGATGTGAGTACGACTTATTGCCACGCTGTCTTGTCTTGGGAGATGTCTTCCCGCAACAGCAACAAGACGACCTTTTGAGAGCGCTTCAACCAAGCCTTCTCGTCATGAGCTCGAATGCAGCTGAGAATACAGTATCCACTCTGACACATGTCTGAGATTTGAGATCCGGTTGTCGGGAGATTGTTCCTCGCCTAAAATGATCGAAGAACGAATGACGAAAACTAAAATGTCAAAGACAAGAGATGGCATTTTACATTTTGTGTCTTTCTATCGCGTCGAACAGAACAATTTGTGATTTCGGGTGCACCTTTTGCAATTAGCCTGTTGGCGCAGCATGAGATCATGACGAGTTACTTTGAGTGGTTTTTTACAGCGCTTGACTGCAGCAATCCTCGACGCGTTCAGCGATTTCGAACATTGTTTACATCTCTCTCCGATACTGCGCGATTTACCTTTTGCTCAACATGCTAGCGCTTGCGACGTTGAGTGCGGTGACCTGCACGGCCACCTGAAGCTTGGTTCACTGTGGGCCTCAGACTGGGACATGTCTTCTTTCATGTTCATCCTAGACGACAGCAGGCTGTGAGGCTCTTACTACAGATCTGTTCACATTTCCTACCGCTGAAGCACTCCGCCCAGTCTTCTCGACTTCTATGGAAGAAGGTTGTGGGTAGAGACCTGTTGATGTCAATGAGCAACATTCGCAAACCAGGGTGTTACCTTCAGCAGGGTTGGAGCACTAACTCCAAAGGTGGCCCGTGCCGAATAGATCGACAAGGATAAAATACGAAAAATACCACGAATTGTTGGCACCAGACTTTGTTTAGCTCAAAGTTCTTTGATTCCGACTATGAAAAAAAAAACTACAGGAGACAGGAGACAGGAGACAGCTCTTGGTTTCACCAGCCAACCACTGCAGGCTGGCTGGCTACTCACACTCTGCACCACGTGAAGGTGGCTGTCCATTTGCAGAGCCCCCTCCTCTTTCTGCTGACTTGTTTTCTCAGCCTTTTTGGTTTCTCTCCTGAAAACGTCCCACAACCCAAATGCCTATCCTCATCCTCCTCAGCCACCACCACTCTGCCAGTCAAACCCCTTCCAATGACTCCTTCACGAGTACCAACGTCCTGGGTGAGGGTCGTACTCTGGGTACGGATGGCCATACTGGCTGCTGATGGTGATGTGGTCCGAAAAGTGAACGTAGTGCGAGCGCGAGCTGGGCGTGGGGCACTTTCTGGCCTTGGGCCTCTTTGGCTTGGTCGACAGGGTGCTTGTGGCGGTTGGTGTTGGGGAGGCGACCGATCTCATTCTGGGAGATGGTGTTGGCTCTCCTCTGCGGGCTTGTTGTTTGGAGCTGGTGCAACCCATGGTGACGACTTGGTGTTTGTGAGGTGTTGTGTTGGAAATGGACGTGTGTGATGTTGTGGTGTTGTGATGTTGTCAACGTTGACGTTGGTTTTGATGTTAATGTTGGTGTTGATGTTGATGTTGTGTGTGTCTGGTTCTGTTGCTGATGAGTCTGTAACAGAACCTGGGAGAAAAAAGAAGACATGACTGAGGATATCAGACGGGGTTTATATACCTACTCGGTACTCGACAAGCAAGTGCCAACAATTCAAAACTGTTGAGGACCTCACGCACTCTCTCACATACACATACACACAGACCCCCTTTTCTGGGTATCACCTCCACGCAATGCAAACGTAACGAAGACCGAACCAAAAAGCCTCACTCATGTTCTCATGTCTCACCCCGTCCAGAATAGGGCAGTATGTTAAGAGTTGGATGTGGATGTGGATGGCCAATCACTCGGGTGCAAACTGCAGTCTTTTGGGGGTGGATGGTTCAGAGCAAGGTTTACAGTTTATACCATCCACTTACGCTGGGGGGCTTTTTCTTTGGTTCGTAGACAGGCAGACGTGGTCAGCCCCTCAGTAGTAGTCTACCAGAGGTTACGGCTTGCACGCACACTCTCATTCGCACCCTCCCTCTTCACCGTGAAGCACGTGTGGCGGCTCTCGTGTTGCGTCTGGAATCTCGCACCTCTTGTGTTTGTGTTGATACATGGACTGGATTCTGTTGGGAATGCGAACCACAAGGAAGACGAGCATACAGGGGAGAGTTCATTCTGCATCTCTGCTGGCTTTCGGCTGTCGGCTGTCGTCTGTCATCTCTACCATGCCCTAGAGAAAAACGAACCTAGTAATGCTCCCAGATCCCTTGACTGGCAATCTCCCCGACATTCCCGTCCAGATCGCCAAAGTACACGCTCTTGCCGCCCCGTGGCCAGTTCACCTTCCCGAGTATTGCCACGTCCTTATCCTCGAACCACTTCTCCCACGCCTGGACATCAGCAGGCGAGGCTACCGCAAGGCAGAAGTGCTGGTTCAGTCGGCCTGGGAGTTCTGCCCGGGTCGAGGATGCCGGGGTAACTGCTGCTGTCGTCGCCGCCCCTGCATCTGCTCTGGTGGCGAGGAGCAGACTAAGGACGTCCTGCGAAGGCCCGTGGCCAGGGATCACACCGCGGTCATCGGGCATGGGACTGTCGGCAGCAGTGGCTCCAAGTTGGAAGAGGAGCAGCGTCGTCTGTGACAGGGCGAAGCCGGACATGCGTGGCTAAAAGTGGCGTATCGTGAGCAATTGGATAGGAGGATTTGGTGTGCAGGTACTCTAGGTACGTCTGACGAGGAGGATTTCTTACTGTGTTCAAAAAAGGTTCGACATCCAGCACCTTCTTGTAGAACTCGGTCGCGGCGCCGACGTCCTTGACCATCAGACACGTCTCGAGAATGTGCGTGATCCTCGGTGGCTTGAGAGGAGATGTCGAGCCCATAGACTCCTTTGCTGTCAGATCCTGTGCCATGCTTCTCTTCGATGTGCTAATGCTATTAAATCTTCTGGGGAAATTGTTCTTAACCACTTCCTGCGCTGAAATGAGATGTTGCACTCGCAATCGTCTCAAGACACAGAAGGATGTCCGCCTCATTTATGGTTTTCTGCCGCCGCTGACTCGCCGTTCTGGCAGTGGTGGTGGTTACATCTTTTCACTTGTGGTTGTGTGTGGTTGTCATGGTAGGGTTTGCCATGTCGTAATGCCTTTGACGATACGCGACTCGCTAGGACGCAAGTGAAGGTCCCCGCAGGCTAGGCATGCCTTGATAGGCTGGTGAGGGCAGGAAAAACTTCCAGAGGGGTTGTTGTGTAAGCAGCGTAGGTCTAGATTCCTCGGGCCGTTGTGGAGATCTCGAGGATTGAGTAAGCTGGTGTCTTGTCACCTTGTCAACTTGTACAAGTATACCGATTCTTAGTCTTTGCGGGGTGTTGGGATGCAACGGTGGTGGGACTACGAGGAGAGTCACAGACGGTGTGAGGACAATGCAAGTGTGAATTTCTGTGCAAGCCTCCCCGTCGCTTCCTGTTCAGCTGCCGCAATTTCCTCCAGCAGGAGTTGAGAATGCATTGACTTCCTGGTTAGCCTCATAGACGCCTGCGCATCCCGCGCATTGGCCTTAGCTGCGGATTTGCCGGCTTAGCATTCGCTACTGAAGAGCTAGAGGTTCTACCTTCATGGCTGGAGATCACCGACACCATTGTCCAGTTCGATAGAGGGATCGTCCCTCCAGGCGCTGCACTGTACAGTCCCTTCCTGGTCTTTGAACCCACATGGGGAAATAAGGAACATCGCCTCGAATCTGCCAATAATCAATGTGCTATTGGTGGCGCATGGTGTGTCAGGGCGCTTCAGATGCTGTATGCCAGAGCCTGGAAAGGAGGCATGTTGCCTGAATTGCCCATCGCATTCTCTTGTTCGATCGACAACACCTTTGCTGTTCTGAACATGCACTGGATCGACCACGGTCAAGTCTATTGCATGTCACCACTGTGCAAGTTTGATCTCAGCAAAGACGATCACTTCAGCAGCTTCCTCGTCTGGGTAGACTCGATCGGCAAATGGGGCGTTACCCATTTGCTTCCTGTCGTCAAATCGGCTCTGGAGCGTCTGCGGATCAAGGAAGACACACCACCTCCTACTCCACGTGCAGCTAGGCTGACTCTCGACACCGCATGTCCCAATGAACAGCTCATCAAATCTCTGAAAACGACGTTTGAAAACATTCCTTGGCGATTCGATGACGACGAGTTCACGCCCGTGAGTAGCAACACTGCGAGCTGGGGAAGTCCAATGGTCACTGACCTAACCTTTGCGAACTTGAACTATCCACCTGTGCCAGCTCGACCCTACGGTGGCACCCCAACCTCTGCTGTCCAGAAGAAACAATTCCTCGCGAATTGGGGCCCGTACTCCACCCCTCCACCAGCATACGCACAGAACAGTGAACTGATGTGGCAAAAACGCCTCAACCATGCCATGGACGAGATCCATGACCTCCAACGCCAGATCCAGGTCTTGAAGAATGACTTCAGTGCATCCGCTGTAAACTGTCAGAGCGAGTTGTCGGATGTGAAGTCAACCATGAGTTCTGTACTTCGCAAGGAAACTCTCACGCTGCGGAACAGATCGCTCTCTCTGGGCGTACAGGAGACGTGGTCGATGCAAAACATGCAGCGGAGCCCACTCGTGAACGAAGTTCTTCCACAATTCGTGGTCGACAAGCCCCCGATGCCTCCACCGCACAGACCATTTCACCCACCACCATCTCCAAAACTCCTTTCTCCAGGACTCCAGTCTCATGGGCCTCCCTCACCTGGCCTTCCGTCTCCCGGTATGCCTTCACCTACCTTTTCCATCTACAGTGAGACCACCAACATTATCACAGTTCCGCCTGCGCCACCCAGGGCGGCATCTTTGTTCAAGTTCGCCACTCTGATGGTATCCGGACATATGGCCAGCATGTTCATCCCCAATGTCCTCCTGCGAGTTTTTGTCTTGGGCTGCATCACCGATGTGTGCATCCTGGCTTTTGCCAGCCCGCACCTGCCCAGCTCAGCGGAATATCTCTGGCCACTCTGGAGATCTCGTTGATACTTGTACACTCTTTGCGCGAGTCATCTATTTGAAGTGCCTATCTCTTTCTTTCCTTTGTACTTTCAGCGGCGGTGTTTTGGTGCAATCTCGGCGGAATTTGGTCAGTCATTCTTTTCACCTCTTATATGGAGGAACTCTTTAAGGTCTAAAAAGCGGATACTGGAGGAGTTTGGACCACGGACCCCTGTGATGGGGGCGTTTCAATCAGTGTCACAACAATGGAAGCGCTCCGGATTTGGGGGGTTTCAGCCCTCCAACGGCGGGTGGGAATAGGGATGTCTCCCGATTAGAAGAGCACAGGCTCTTTCACAGTGTATATTATCGACGAGGGCCGATGCAGGGCAGCGAGGCGGTTACTAGGTGTTTCATAGATAATGAGGCCATTACTCTCGAGCCTCGAGGTCCATTGCCAAGTACCAAAGTAGGACTCGAGTCAATGGATTCACAGAGATGCCGGTACTGGTACCGGTACAAAAAAACAAACCCCACAAGAAATCACAAGTATATATGTTTTCACTCTCTAAATTCTGTCACGCAAAGACCCCCTTATCCACAACAAGGGCGAATCTGAATCCGAATCCGAATACCACGAGTTCGAGTCACGGTTACGACAACAAGTAATTGAGGTCCTGTCAGGTCAAAACTAACCCTTCGGGGGTAGTGGGCATCAGGCACCTCGATTCCTTCCACCGTCGTTCCCTCCCTCCGAGACCCAGACCTCCTCCCTCCCATCCGATCCGAGCCGACGACATCAACCACTGTAGTATAAAATCCGTAGTATAAACGGGCGAGAAAAACCAACCCCTCTAGGGGGGCGAGTTTCGCTTATCACAGACCAGCAGGTTGAGCTGTTCTGTGATAAGTTTTTGCCGTTTTGGGGACTTCTCAGAAGAAGAAAGTCTACTAACGCGTCAGTAGATTTGAGAGGGGGAAGGGGTTAGAGACCGACCGTAAGTAGTAGTTCTCCCTACAGTACTTCCTGTCAGTGAGATGTTGAGTAAGATCAACCTAAGGCCTGGCGCTAACGTCCAAATGAATGGTATGTCAGAGGCGTTTCAAGGTTGCAGATACTACGGGAGAGGAATAAACTACATAGAAGAAGAGTAGAATTAAATCTAAGCCCAGCCCTCTCCACTCGCTTCTTTCTTGCTTGGTTGCTCGGCATCTACCCTCCTCTACGAGGTACAACATTCACGCCTCCGGCCAGGTCCACAAGGACATCTGGTCCCGTGGAGTTTTCATCTTCCCGAGTCCCAGCACTTCCAACACTTCGCGATTACTTGGGCATTTGTTGTAAGTCGGGGCAAGGTTGAGGATCGTACGGACTTTTTTGCGACGGAGGTCCCAAACATTCGGATCTCATATCATTCATTGTAATCCAGCAAGGGTTGTTTGTAGCTTGTGCGAGATTTCACAATCGACGATCAGAACCCCGCTCTCACTTGACACAGATTCTACGACAAACCCCCGCCCGGGTGTGGGGTGATGAGGAAATGTAGGCTTTGGAAATAGCATAGAAGAGAGAGAGAGAGAGAGAGAGAGGGTGATACCCACGCATTACTGGGTATCAACCTGGTCAGGTTGTGGAAGTCAGAGAGACCCAAGCGGTGGGTTTTGCCCGAAAGTCGCCCTTGTAGGAAAAACATGACTCAGGTTTGTATGGTTCCAATGATTCATGTATCTCGATCTGTACGAGAGGTGGGCAGCACGCCAGCCGCTAGCTTCTTCGAGCAGAATGGCTCCACTCTCGATGACGCGACGCCTCCCATTACGCTGTTTGCGCGGCGCGGGGACGACGAGGATGACGACTTCATCCACGAGAGAGCGGGCAGATTCAGTCAACTGGGCCAATAGAAGAGATTGAAATGGACACGGACACCCTGCCTTGCTTTGCGCAAGATAATCTTTGACACTGTGCGCCACTCGAGATGATGTCTCTCGGCCTCGCTGCCTCTCAAGAACTTGTATATCGACCTGTGTCCTCGACAATCGTCGTAAAACAGTCCTCACAGATGGATCATTCTCCAGCAACCATGAGCGTGGGGCATGGACGCAGTGTGGACATCAATGAGCCTCCACGTCCAAGCGACTGACCTCCTCACCAATAATCTTCGTCCCCTCCTCACTCGACAGGATATCCGTGTGAAACCAGTGCCGGACGCGATGTCCCGCGACCATGAGGACGATGACCAGCCCAAACGCCGCGAGGGAGACAAAGGCCATCATGCCAAAGACCCAGCCGACGCCGACGCGGGCCTCCCAGCCGTCGATGAAGAAGGGGATGGCAATCCCAAAGATCGTGCGGTAGAAGTTCATGATGGTGGCGGCCTCGACGGGGTACTTTGTGAAGCACTCGACTTCGTAGTTAACGATGACGGGCACAGCCACGTTGGAGGAGAAGTTCAGCAGGAAATTCCCCACCGCGGCGACCATGTAGTGCAGGTGGTACCGCAGGGCGGCGCCGAAGAGGCCCAGCCCGACGTTCAGGCAGAAGAACGTCGGGAACCACAGCGCGTGCAGACGGAACTCGGGCTTCCACACGCCCCCGGTCCGGCGGCAGATCCAGAGAGGGAGTCGGTCATTGAAGGCGAGCCCGTAGAGTTGGCCCGTGATACAGCCGAACCAGGCTGCAAAGGTGACTGCTCAGAAGGATCAGCTGGGATGAGACAGGACGGGACGGGACACGCTTGAGACGGAGTGGAGAAAGGTCTTACATTCTGCGTTCTGGTTCGGCGTGAAGCCATAGCCCTTTTCACTCACGGGCGACTGTAAGAAGACGGCGAGCAGGTTATTGACACCGACGCTCCTGCGTGAGGAATCGCATTAGTATGTCACCATTCTCACACCTGGTTGGGAGAAGAACTGACCAGCCAAAAACAATCATCAAGAACAACCCGCCCAGGATGCCGACAGGATGGACACCGATCCGGATTGGCATGGTCGCCAGGTGGAGCTGTACATATACACACATCAGTATACCACAATCATGCACTGGTGATAGGGACCACTCACCGCTTCCCTATTCGTCATGCCTTCAGCGATATTGGGATTCCGGAAGAGATAGACGTCGATGGAGCGCTGAAGAAAGGACGTCGCGGGAACGGGATATGCCGGCCTTCCAGGTCTCGTCCAGCCGGTTTCTTCGAGGAGGAACAAGATCATCAGGATGACAAAGCCTTCCAGGCCGACGTTGTACCAGTATTCGATGTTCCAGGGGGCGCCGTTGCCAACCACGAAGCCGGAGAAGGTCGGTCCTGCGAGGGTTCTATTCACATTTTGGGGGAAGGTGTTAGCAGCTGAGAGCATTGAGAGGGGCATCTGGAGATTCTGTTGTGATTGATAGGTAGAAAAGGGCATACCCCAGGAGGATCATGACGTTGTAGAAAGCGAAGCATTTCCCTCGCTGGTGCAGGAAGAACGTGTCGGTGATGTAGCTCGCGCCCACTAATTCATCATTCCATTCATGTGTGATTAGTAGACCGTCACACTGCCAAAGACAAAGACTAGCAAGACGACGATTAATGGGAAAGACACATACCAGTTGTCGCGCAAGATCCAGCCAAACAGCCAAACAACCTCGACAGCACGAAGCTGTAATAATCGCCCGAGCCTGTGCACGTCGCCGCCCACACGGTACATGCGAGGGTGAGGACCGTCGCCCACAGGATACTGCCGCCGCGACCGATCCTCCTCGAGACGGGCGACCAGAAAAGCGGCCCAGCGCACAGTCCAGCGGTGGCGGCCGAGACCTTTCACGGTCAATGGCTTGTCAGCAACAGTTCCATCTCATCCGGGGTGCCATGGTTGACCTGACACAGGTAACAAGTAGTGTGACTATGTCTCTCACCGAGTATGTAATCTCGACCGGAGTCTTGTGGTACAGTGCACCTTGCTGGAAGACACTGGACACGTTGCCCACGGCCTGCAGCGTTCCCGTGAACCCGGCAAAGGACACGATAAACAGCGTGAGAAGTTTCCGACCTTGTGACCAGTTCTGATCCGAACATTGTCAGCGTCTTGCAGCACGAGAAGCTGGGAAAAGGTGGAGAACCACGTACCAGCGGATCGCGAGGGTCGTCGGATGGTGCTGGGATAAGTGTGATGCCGGCCTTGCTGTGCGCGGTCGTGACCTTGGAGCTCTCATGGTGCTCGACAGCCTCTTCCTTGGACATTCCGGTCGTGTTATTCTGGGTCGTTTTTTTTCTTTCTTGCGGCCTGTATCGTGCTCGAGAAGGGGAGGGGGGCTATTCTGAAAGACGAAGCAGAACGAAAAGCAATGAAGCAAGCAGATCTTTCTAATGGCGAGGCAACAAGCGCCTTGCTGTCCTTTTGATCCCCCATCTCCATGTCCATGTCTCAAAAGATTCGCCGTTGGCGTGTGGAGACGCTATTGCTTCCCCAGATGTCCCATGAACAGAACTAGTCACGGTATTTCACGGGGTTCTTGTACCCCAAAATGCAATGTTGCCATTGTCCGGGGCGGAGGATCCACCATCCATCCAAAGCTTCTTCACCCACGGGGAAACTGCCCGTGGGGGAGGCAACAGGAAACAATCGCCGAGGGCCCATGTCGAAATGACAGGGATGCTCTTCGTATAGCCAAGCTAGCGGGATTCGAGCTTGGTAGGCTAAGCATTGAAATACATCGGTCGTAGGGGACTAGACCGGAGGCCGGCCTGAGTATAAGGCTTATGGGACTAACGGAACGACCACGGGACCATAGTAGCACACTTACGTTGCACCGTGGTGGAAAGACCCAATGAAAGATCACGCATCTCACGGCGAATGCACTGATCCAGAATACTTCAATCAGGCTCCATTACTCGCATTCCTATTGGCTGTCCTGGGCTCGGAACCTCAGACGGCCATTCCGAACACCAGCGGATCCACCTCCGGAGTCGAAGAAAGCGGTAGGCTGGTTGACCGAGGCTTGCCCCTGATGCTTGGAGCGATCTGAGCATATCGGATCGCTAGCTCTTGCTCCCGAGCGGTCAATGCTGTTGGGTCGACTCCGATGAGTTTGTTCAAAGCACGAGTGAGATCTGGACAGATCAGACTTGGACGAAAAGTCAATGAGAGGAGAAAACAAACCTAGCATGATCGAACCAAGACCCCAATGTCTGGCATATTGCGCAATTCCAAGGCAGACAACATCACGATTAAGGCTGCTGAGTGCACTGGACCCTTCAGAGCTGGTCTGCAGAATATGCATCGCCGCGGGCCCGACCAGCGAACAGACGATGAACGGCGACGAATAAGCAATATAGTCGGCCGACCAAGCTTTAATGGCCCTAACAACTTCATGTGCATGTTGAACACACTTTTGGGCGACGGCTCGTTGCTCATCAGGATTGAAGAGCATGTTAGTTGGTGACGCCGATGGTGATCGAGAGACGTCTTCCGAAGAACAGACTATGAGAGCTTCGTAGGTGCGCGCACTGTCATCAATCAGACATCTATAATACTCTGCGCATTCAGTAGTGGTGACCACACTTGGTATAACTCACCTCTGCATAATGATATTTGTAGTGATGATCCAGTTGCTCCTCGCGAACGTCGAGTCATTGAAAACAAACATGCTCGAGTTCAGCCGGAAGTGGTTGGGCAAGTTGAGACTGAAGCACGTTAAAGCACTTTCCATCTCGGCCCTGGCTTGCGGAGAGACGCCAGTCTGTACTTTCAGATCATACGCCAATGCCATCAGGAAGTTGGCAACAAGGAACCAGGCTCTTTCGTCCTGGTTCGGCGAACCCTGCAGGCTCCTCCAGGCAGTTGCTGGGGTAAGGCCCATTGGGGCAGATGCAATCGGCTGCTCCTCAAACCACCGTTCATCTGAGCACGGGAGCAGCACCTGCATTTTGTTGCGATCAATCGTAAACGGGCGGCGGACGACCGTCGACGCAAACGTGTCCAGCTCCCAGACTGACCACCATGCACGTCGGTTTTCTTCTCGGAGAACCCATTCTTCGGTGGAAGACCACTGATTTGAGAACAAATTGGGTTGTTGGCAGATATCCTCGTCAACGATGTCGATCTCCAAGTCGTATGCTAGTCGAGCACAGACGCCAGTGAGTGTCCATCCGAACGAGTTGGAGGAATTCGTGTTGTGATAGAAAGATAGCAATATGCAGCCCTGCAAGTACTGGAGTGAGGGAACAAACCCGTCTCCTTGAAGCCTGGTCCCATCTGCATATATCGACTGAGCTTCTTTTGCAAAGGACTCCCCACGGCAAGTGGGCGCAACATTGGCAAAGTGTGCTGCATTTGAGAAGCGAGCCGACAGAGCCATCATGCTGTTCAGCATGAGCCCAACCTCCAGAGACAAGTTTTGCCCGATGGCGTCTTCCCGCCTCTTTTGTAAGTAGCGAGCATAGAACTGAGGGCGGTGCAGTATTGGGACGAAGCCGCTTACGCGAGTGAAGAAGAGATCGACTCTGTGAGAAATTAGTCCAGATTCGCCTTCAAGTCCTGAAATTCTAACAATTGCCTCACTAGGTCGTCCGCAACTGTCAAGTTGTATAGTTTGGACTTGGGCTTCTGAGTCTGTGGTAGTTCTGTCGTGGCTATATCTATCTCTGTCGCTGATTGTGTTATTGCAGAAGTAGCATTGACATCGGGTAGATTCAGCGGATTTGCTTGTTTCTCAAGGCATGGATATGCGTCGCTAAAGTGCGCAGACTGAAACCCGTCCTCGAGTAAAATGTTGGACAGTGACGGGCTGAAGCTGGCTTGGAGGTTGTATTGGTCTCCAACCTGGATGTTGAAGCTGGGTTCCTCTGCAAAACTAAAACACATACTTTCTCCATGGTTGTTTTGCGGAGATGAGACGAAGGCGTCCCCAGAGCTCTCTTCAAGGGTCAAGTCTCTAAAACTGCTTTCGCCGGTGTGAGCAACATTTGTAGTATCTTCTTCATTCCGGGCCACTCTTCTTGGCGACTCAGCTGTGTCCGAGTTGGCTTGCGTGGTATTTGAAAGGCCCTCTGCAAAGTAGGCTACGCTGGGCCCATTAACTCGAAGACCGGTATCGACAGGCATGCTAAGAGAAGTGGTGGAAGCACCGTCTGGACAAGGCCCTCTCCGTCTTTTCCCCTTAGAATGAGTCCCTTGGGCGCTGCGCTCTGGTCGTTTTCTCTTCGTTGGGAAAATACATTGGCTCCCAACACGCAGGCACAATGTACAAGTCGGCCGTCTCATGTCACCTAAGAGACAAAGTTAGTCCAAACGGAGGAATAGAGGCAGAGGTAAAGTATTCAACACTGCCGCAGCTGGCGAGAGTGCAACTATGAGACACCCCAGGGTGAACTCACATTTGGTTTTCTTCCTTTCCAGGCAAAGAGACATTAGCTGTCTATGCCTCTGAAGCAACGACGTGTATTCTCACCTCTTGCACTCTCCACAGGCTCGAATAGGCCACGGTGGTTGTTGGTAGTGAATGTGAGCATTCGATCCGTCAAATGTGTGCTCTGCGACCATCATGGTATCCCTAGCAGGGCCAACGTAAACTCCTTGCATGTTGAGAACGACCTCGAAACCCGTAATGCAAGGAAGAAGGTGGGAACGTAGTGAAGAGGATAGGAGACAAATTCAGCTTGCACCAGCACTCTCTTGTTCTGGGGGTGCCAGAATCCAGGGCTGATGACTCGCTTAGGGATGCAAGTGCGGAGAAGATGGTGTTCGATTTCCTAGAAAGGCGCTTCATTGCATGAATCGTGGAGCACTTGAGGGGTCTTGTGGATCTTGTTGAGCTGCCCAAGCATTGACGTCTAGCGGAGGATAGACTTGGGGCGGTCTGGCATCGTCCTGGACATGGCTTATGGCTTATGCGGCCCAGTTAGTTAGAACCTTGATCGCCCGACCGGGATTCGCCTGATGAGCCGATCTTGCCGCGGTCTAGGAGGCACGGAAACGGAGAGAAAAGCTAGTGTGGCAGCTACTGAAGGAGTGTAGTGCGAGTGGAATCTGTCAAAGAATTGAGAGGGAATTTCGAAAGACGCAATCGAGTTTGAAGAAACAAACACGCGTTGAGAGCGCATCACGTGACGAGGCTGTGACTCCCTTTCATCGATGCACCGAACAGAGGGACGGCGACAACCACATATTCAAGTCATCGGTAACAGCATAATCTACAGTTTCCCTCCCTCCGAGAGCCACACTTCAAACGCCCTGTTGGTATCTGCCACAGAGTCGAATCCCAGCATCTTCCGCTGGTAATTGATATCGGCCCAACCCCACCGGCACGGCTTCTCCCAGTCTGCCTCTGCGAGCTCTCTGTCTCGAGCTTCTTGCTCGGGACCATCGTGCATGTGAACTATATCGACTTTAGTAGGTCGCCATAAAAGAGTGTTGGGTACGAAATCTGCATCAGAACCAGACAGAGGTACAAGGACTTACACATGTATCGGTTGGCAATAGCTCCTTTCACATTGGTTGTAGTTCTCTTCTTGCGCAGCGACTCAAACAGTCGAAGAACAGAGTTGATCGAGGATCGTTTCGCCTCGTCGGGGACTCTGTCGCTGGCTTGGAGTCGGCCGAGCAGAAGCCCAAGCACTAGACCGTCTTCTACGGCCATGGCAGCTCCTTGTGCTTGGTAGGGCAGGCTGGGATGAGACGCATCTCCAAGGACCACGACGTTGCCTTTGACCCAAGTCGGGAGTTCTGTACACATACAGTCAGTTTCGGAAGCCTTGAGCGGGAACATGACTGCCCGCTTGGAACGTCCATAGTAAGTAGAGATGTCCTGAATTCATTCATACCTTCATGATGACACAGCTTCCATTTCAAGACGATGTCGTGGCAGGATATGATCTTTGCAAGCCTAGATAAAAGTCAGGAAGAGTCAAATCAAACAGACCCAATGAAATCACTAACACGGGATCCCAGCCTTCATATGTCATCCGCATCTCGTCCACATCACCAGCTTCTGTTCTGGACCCAGAAGGCAGATTATCAGGGCGACTGTTGCCGTCAGTCAGTGAACTCTGAGTGTCAGACCTTCACACTCACATGAGAACCAGGTTGAACGCATCGCCATTCTTGACTGGATAAAAGACGCTGTGTCGGTCTGGTCCCACCCAGTTGTAGGTGCAGCGTGAGTTGATCAGTTCGTCGACGCGAGGATCCTGAAACGCCTCAAGTTGCGCTCGAGAGAATGTCCCCCGGTATGCGAGATCCCCAGTCGGCTCAGGAGGCGATGGTTGCCCTACAACAATGTCACGGATAGCGGACCAGAGGCCTGTAACGAGACATTGTCAGCGTTCCCAGCCACAAACTCGGGGTTGAACGCGTACCATCCGCCCCAACGACAACATCTGCATCGATGACTTCACCTGTTCGAAGTACCACTTTGGGTTTCTCGGCCGATGCCTTGACGTCGACGACTTCCGCATTCAGTTGAAGTTTGCCTCCGAGTCGGGACACTTCATCTAGGAGGACGCTGTGATAGTCTGCCCGATGGATGACACTGCACAGCACTCAGTCACCCTTTCCCTTGCCTGTGAGTTCGAGGACAACTTACAACCAAGGTCCATTGAACTCCTTGATCATCTTGTCGGTACCCCACCGGCTACAGAGGATCTTGCCATCTTTGTAGCGCTTGAGGTGGTTGGCTTTGACTTGAATGGCTCCAGCGTCGCGGATCTTTTGCTCAAGGCCAAAATATTGGAGGACACGAGCGGCGTTTGGCGGAATCTGGATTCCAGCGCCTATCTAAAATCACAGTTGTCTGAGAAGAAGCACTTGGAGTACTGGCAATGCCACGTACAGGTGATATTGCCGGTGCCTTTTCCAGAACAGTCACTTCACATCCGCCGCGCAGACACGATATTGCTGCGGCTAGGCCACCTATTGCAGTGTGAGCAAGTCATCGAGACAGACAGGATGTTCTCTGTCGTTCTTTACCGATGCCAGCGCCTACCACGATAACCTTGAACGGCTGCTTCGTCTGCTTGGAGGTCAGCTTGTTCCCGGACCATAGTTCAGAGTAATCACGCACAGCTTTGGACTCTCCACTCATTATTCAGAGGATGATGACTCGATCTAGAAGAAAAGTGGTGGTATTTGCAAAGAGTTGACCTGCAAAGTCAAGTTGTTGCTGACTGAAGGAACGAGGCACGGCTCTGATATACGATTTTCCCAGAAACCCACTTGGGCAAATGGATTTCAAGGAGACCTTCGTCTACTTTTCCACAAGTCCATTAACGGAAATACGGCTCTCTCTCCACATTTTGCTAGGCTGTGAAGTGGCGAGACGGATGGTGGTTCTGTGGGGGACGGTTATACGGCCCATCATCTCGTCTTCGGAACGCCGTCATTTGCTTCCGACTTCGTGTGTCCGCTTCGGGGCCATTTCCACATTCAATATTCGCGTGGAGTGAATGTTGTCAACGGCAACTCTTGCAACTTGGGAGATACGGTCTTCCACGGTGTGAAAGGAAAACCAGCACCCGTCGGCACGGGCACGATGCATCCGACACAGAATATCTATTTCCGCGCCCGCCCACCCTTTGTGCTACGCTGGGTGGCTGAGCATGCCTTTTCTGATACGCGACATCTACCGAGCCTGCACGTCTGACACGGTAGAATACTGCTTGTGCCTGAGAACAGCTCTGGGTTGATTTCTTGGCCTGCGCGAGAGACACCAATGGTCATGAAGGCCACTGACGGAATCTGCCAGGGTGAGTCGTGTTTTTTCCGCAATAAGATCTGGGCCTCGTCCCCCCTCCCCCGCTGACTCTACAAAGATGTTTCGGTTCCAGTGCTCATTGTAGGTGCCGGTCCAGCCGGTGCCACCACCGCCTTACTGCTCGGTCGCTATGGCATTCCGTCGATTGTTATTTCTCGCCATCGAGGCACCGCCAACACGCCGAGGGCGCACATCTTCAACCAGCGGGCAATGGAAGTGCTCCGCGATGCTGGGATTGAAGGCGTCGTCAAGGATGTCGCGTCAACCAGGGAGCAGATCGCCCATGTCACCTGGCTGCATACTCTGAGTGGCGAGGAATATGGGCGAGTGTACGCTTGGGGGACAAGATCCGATCGCATTGGAGACTATCTCGTTGCAAGTCCCTGTGAGATGTCTGACCTGCCACAAAGCGTACTGGAGCCCATCTTGGTCGAGGAAGCCACAAAACTGGGAGCAGAGTTTCGATTCTCGACCGAGTTTCTCTCACAGCGACAACTTCTCGATGGGCGGGTTGTGACAACTGTGCGCAGTCGGGTGACATCCGAAACCTACAACATCACTGCGCAATATCTGGTGGGCGCCGATGGTGCGAGGAGTTCAGTCATCTCCAGCCTTGGAATTCCCGTCGACGGAGAACAGCTCAGCAATGCCTTTGGCGTCCACATCAAAGCAGATCTGAGCAAATACTTCCTCCACCGTCCGGGCTCTATGGTATGGATCTTGAACCCAGACGCACCAGACTGGTCATCCCATGGGTCCATAAGGATGGTCAGGCCGTGGAATGAATTCCTGGTGTCAATGCACACGGCTAAAGACGTCGACTACGACCCCTGTACAGAAGATGTCATGCGGCGACTGCGCCAAATGATCGGCGACGACTCCGTCCAAGTTGAACTGTTGAACTTTTCTCCCTGGACCATCAATGACCAAGTAGCACGGACGTGGCAGAAAGGCAACGTCTTCTGCATCGGCGACGCTGTTCATCGACATCCACCGTTCAACGGCCTCGGCTCAAACACCTGCATCAGCGATGCGTTCAATCTTGCTTGGAAACTGGCGTACGTGGTGCGCGGCATTGCGCATCCGTCGATCCTTGAAACGTTGACACTTGAACGGAAGCCGGTTGGTGACGGGATCGTGCGAAGGGCCAACGACGGACTGCTCGTCCACAAGAAGCTGTGGGCACTGATGGGCTCGACCACAGCGGAACGCGCAGTTGTGTCGGAATTGCTCCAGGCCGCAAGCGTCGAGGGCCAACACCTGCGAGAGGAACTGCGCGGGATCATTGGGGAGACGGACGACGAGTTCAACGCCTTGGGCATACAGATGAATCAGATCTACTCGCCGTCGTCCCCTCTTGTCCTGGTCGAGGAGGGCGACCGGCCACCCGACCTTGAGGGGGTAAACCTGCTGAAACAGCAAGTGATCTCGACATTTCCGGGTTTCCATCTACCGCACGTGTGGGTGGTGAAGGACGGGCAGACGGAGCGCACATCGACGCTAGACCTGGCCGGACGAGGCCGGTTTGTTCTTTTCACAGGCATCGGCGGCGAGGGCTGGCTCCAAGCGGTAAAGGACATCTCGCATGGAGACGGCATGCCACTACAAGGCTATGGGATCGGGAGAGGCCTGGAATACTCGGACGCGTATTGGGACTGGGAGAAGGTGAGGGGCGTCGAAGAGGACGGGGCGGTCCTGGTGAGGCCCGACCATTTTGTCTGCTGGCGATGTCAACGTCTGGACTCTAACCCTGGTGCAAAACTGAGAGAGGTGATCCAGACGCTTCTCCGCCCTGCGCGATAGCTCCTCGGATCTGGCACCTGTGATCTGGTCTCAGAGAGGAAGCACTTTGTAGAATGCCAATTGAGCAGAATCACTTCTACAGAGCTACAGTAGCATATACATGTACCAAGCTTGTGCTCTAGAAATCCATCTATGGAGTACACCACAGCCAACTCATGTCCCACATTCCGACTCTCTCCAACTCCAGCATAGGTCACCCACCACCACTTTCTTTACCTAGTACTAGGTATAACTATGCAGAGCGTATTTCCTCAATCTTGCTCATGGAGCCATGTACCAACCATGACGTTTACCGTAACGAATTTCTTCATCTCCTCCTCTGCAAGACTCCAACCCATTAAAGCCTAGGAAGAAACCCGCAGTGATCCCAAACAAAGGTGGTGACGGGATGCTCTTGACACCGGCCGGCACGGACAAACGAGGACGGCCACAAGCACGAACGGCTTTCGTCCAAAAACGGACAGACGCCGCGATTTAATGATTACCCCGGTCTGATAAACCCCCGTGGGGTACCACTACCTTGGTGCCCACATGGAATTGGAGGAACGCCGTTGAAAGACGAGTACGACTAAAGCTGCCCTACTGCTGGCTGGCTGGCTGGCTAGCTGGCTAGCTGTCAATGTCCCATAGTCCGGGATTTCGTTGTCGGTTGAGATGTCCACAGTCCTCCCCCAGTGATGTATGTACGAACAAGTACGGAGTACCGAGTAGATCGTGCGGGATTACTTCCGCCTTTGTGCTTGTCTTTGTGGTGAGATGGCGATGCGATGGGCTGGGCTGTCCCTAACGCACGCCTCAGTTGTCCCTCTTCTTTGTATGTCTATGCCTGTTCCTGTCCCCTCAGGCGCTATTGAGATCCCAGCAAACGGGGCGGGGCTCGCACCAGGCTGACAAATTTCATTAACGAGGGCGGGCTGCGTGCCTCCACATGCTATGGATAAAGAGGCTGCTTTGTAGAGAGTATATCTTCGAGAGAGGTTCCTGCCAGAGGTGACTTCACAAAAAGGACACGCACACGAGTTTAGAGAGCAAGAAGGTCAGAGAAAGAAGACCAAGAAAGAAACCGGTTCAAGTCAACCAACCTCAGAGAAATTGTTTATCTTGCCTGGCCACCCTTTTCCCCCCTTCCCAACATCACCACTCACAACGGCGACTACACACAATAAACAATGCCCATCCCCCCAGACGACCCGCGCATCCGCCTCGTCAAGCTCGCCTTCGTGACATACTACCACCGCGACGTGCACGAGGCATCCAAGTTCCTGGTCGACTTTGGGTTCGAGATTGCCGAGCAGCGCGGCGGCGACGACGACGAGGCCATCTTCTTCACGGGCTATGGGCCCGATCCGTACTGCTACGTGGCGCGGCGCGCTGAGGACGGCGTGCCCCGGTTCGGCGGCGCCGCGTACGTGGTCGAGTCGGCGGGAGAGCTCGAGCGGGCGAGCAGACAGATTCCCGGCGCGTCGATGGTGCGCGACCTAGACGCACCGGGGGGAGGGCGCATCGTCACACTGACAGACCCGGTCGGACACCTCGTGCACCTGGTGCACGGGATCCGCGAGAAGGCAGGCAGCGGCGAGGCGTCGCCAGCGAAGAACCTGCAGAAACGGGTAGTCAACTACACGGACGAGAAGCGACGAGTGGGAAAATTCCAGCGGTTCCAAGCCGGGCCTGCGCCCGTGCACAAATGCGGCCACTACGGCGTGAGCTACCCTCCTGGCCGGTACGGGGACATGGTGGCGTGGTACACGGGCCAGCTCTCGCTGGCGTTCAGCGACAAGGTGACGATCGAGGGGGCCGAGGCCGTCTCGTTCTTCCACATCGACCGCGGCCTCGAGTACACGGACCACCACTCGTTCTACATCAAGCCGACACGCGATAACGAACCCCCAGGCGTCGCCCACAGCGCCTTCGAGGTGCACGACTACGACGTCCAGCAGCTCGCGCACAACTACCTCGAGTCCCGGGGCTACCGGCTTTCGTGGGGCGTCGGCAGGCACGTCCTGGGCAGCCAGATCTTTGACTACTGGTACGACGAGTCGGGCTTTGAGCTGGAGCACTACGCCGACGGGGACCTAGTCAACTGCGAGTCCGAGGTGACGGTGCAGGAGAACGGGCCGCATACCATGTATATCTGGGGACCGCCTCGGCCGGCCGCACGGGTATGAGGCGAGGATACTCTCTCCATTCGAAGCAAGTCTCTATATATGATTATTGTCATGTGTTCTATCGATCTTGCTTTTTGGGCGCGCCATCATTTTTTTTCGCGGATGTAGCTCTTTTCTCTTCTGTATGGGCCATAGCTAAGCAGTCTCGATATAGACATCCAAACCCTTCTGATGCACAAAGAAAGTATTCCAGATCGTCAGCTTCTTGTCGGGATCCGTGAGCCGGAACTGAAATAAAAAATAGCATTCTCTTGGTCAGCACTTCTCTCCAACACAAGTGATCTGGAAGGACAAGATTGGAGAAGGGACGAATACTAGAGTTGAACCAACCTTGAAGCGCTTCAAAAGGAGCGGCACCAACTTGTACACTTCGAGCAGACTGATGTTTTTCCCGATACACGTCCTCTTGCCGCTCCCAAAGGCCATAAAACACCTCTCCATCTCGCCCCTTTCCTCCTCGTCGGCCTCGAGCCACCGCTCCGGTCGGTATGAATCGACAGAGTACCGTCGGCCGTAGACGCGCTTGTCCCTGTGGATGACGGCGGGATTGCAGCCGACGATGGTGCCTTCAGGGAAGAAGTGGCCGCAGAGAGTGACTCCTCCTTTGGGAACGATGCGTTCCAGAACGAAACCGACGGGCGTGTGAAGACGTAGGGCCTCTTTGATGACCGCGCCCAGATAAGGGAGGTGGCTTGTCTCGCGCCACTGCGGAAGAGGTGACAAGTTGGCCGAGTCCAGTTCTGCCATCAGCCTGGCCATGGCGGAGGGGTTGAGGAGCAGAAAATCTGTCAGGGGAACTGGTGTCAGCTTCCACAACATCATATGCTTGATGCGACGGGGAGAATACTCACGAAAGATGGCGCGCAAGGCGATGGCAGTCGTGTCTGATCCTGCGTTGATGTTGCTCAGTGACCAGCCCAGCAGCTGCGACTGGGGGATCGAGCCATGATACTTGTCAAAGGCCGAGATGAACTTGGCCGTGAAGTCGGTGCGGTCCTTGAACTCAAGCGGCGTCTTCTCGCCGTCTGAAAGAAGTCGTGTCCTGTCCGCCTCCTCGATCCGCGGCTTCAAAAACTGCAAGACAAACTTGGAGATTCCCGTCTTGTCCTTTGCGAAAACTCCTCCCCAGACTCGATTCTTGGCCAGCAGATAGTCCAGCCAGGGCATCTGCCCAACCAATGCCACATACGTTCCAGCCTTGTTCAATGCCTTGATGATGCCGCCCACGTCACGGCCCTGCTCGAGGAAGCCGAACCGGTTGCTGAAAGTCATTTCGCCAATGACATCGAACGCGTACCACTGGAGCCATTCGCCGAAATCGCACACCATGCCCTTGTCCGCGTACAGCCGTGCGAGCTGCTCGACCAGCGTCCGCAACGTGCTGTCCACAAACGGCTCGTAATCCAGCAAGCTCGTCATGGCGTACGCGTGCGCGATCGGTCGCTTTGCGATCTTGTGCTGGTCCTCGTCGAGGATCATGAAGAGCGAGGTGACCGGTTTGCCGTTGACAAGCGGCTGCGCCACTCTGTAATAGTCGGACTGCTCGCGGCTCTTTCTGTCATCCCTTTGACCCCCAGAAAACCTCATGTCTCGATTCTATGGGACGGACAGCCTCACCTTCTGAAAGAGCCTCGATATACCGTAGATCTGTCTGATCTCCCTGGGATCGGCCACACTGACGCATTTCGGCCCTATGCGAACCAAGTCGCCATAGTTGTCGTGCAGGGCCTGCGAAGTCAGTTCGAACCTGCCATTGTACACGGCCACGAAGCGCCACAAATCGGTGAAAGACGCCGCAAAGGGTCCCGGGATAGATCTTAACCCTGGCCTGTATCTCTGACATAGGACGAACACGACAGCAGAGCAGAGCACTACCACCCCGGCCACTGATGGGCCGATCCAAGAGATAGCCATGTCTACACGGGGCAAAAGAATCACGACTTCAGGATCAGCTTTGTCAACAGTCCTGCGCTGTTATATTGGGGTAAGTGGATCATCTCGCAGCATGGCCGGTAATAGACCAGGCGACCTGTGCGTGCCCCCTACATCACTCTGTGGAGTTGAAGTATTGCCTTCAAAGGTCGGCAACATCCCATCTCCACACGTCCTCGGCTGGTCCATGGAAGGTGTGGGGGAGCATTCGACGTACAGGTACAGGTACAGTAGGTGGTATACGAGCGCCAATGAGCAGTCAACGGCACTTGCCATCCCGCACAAATGCCGGGATCTTCACTGAAGGTCGGGCAATGAGGATGCTGCTGATGCTGCTGATGCTGCTGATGCTGCTGATGCTGCTGATGCTGCTGATGCTGCTGATGCTGCTGATGCTGCTGCTGCTGCTGATGCTGCTGAGAGAACGGGAAGCTACTCTCAACTCCAACCTAACCATGTTGTTGATACACAGGTTGCCCGTAAGAGGGAGAAGTTTAGTCCCTGCTTCGTTGACCGACTAGCTCGATATAGAACAACCCGCCCATCCTGGCACTGAGCACCAAATTGACTTTCTACTCGGCGGGTTATTCCATAGTAGACAAAATGGCGCCTCTAACCGGAAAGCAAGTTGCTGTATGCGACAATCGGCAACAGCAAGCAGCCCATAGCGTATCTAAACAGCCACCACGCTAATATTCTCTTTCGCAACTGTTCCCTCAACCACCTCCGACTTCATTCATAACACCTCCATCCAGCTTCAACACCTCTCCATTCACATATCCGCATTTCGTCAGAAAGATGACCCCCATGGCCATCTCCTCGTCGCTGCCCGCCCGTCCCGCAGGTACCTCATGGCCTTTGTCCTTGACCTTTTCGGCCGGCATGTGGGCCTTGTTTCGCTCGTCGGACTCTTTCATTGTCATTTCCGACGGGAAGTAACCCGGGGCGATGCTGTTCACTCGGACACCGGTCTTCGCGAATTCCTTTGACATCATCCTAGATAGGTGCGCCGTGGCTGCCTTCGCCGCGTTGTATGAAAAATGTGCTTGGGAATGACGCATCAGACCGGACATGCTAGAGATGACGATGACGCTTGCATCGAGATGGCGCGGTGCACGTTGGAGCAGAGGCAAAAACGACACCACTGAGAAGAACACACTGATAACGTTGGTGTTATAGGTTGCTTTCCACTCCTCAATCTGTTCTTGCCACAGGTTGTCTTTCATCTGCTTGGCATCACTCGTGTCGGGGTATCCCTTGGGGCCAGAAACACCTGCAGCAGCAATGACCAGGGACAGGTATTTCTCTTTGGATTCCAGCTCAGCAGTCAACTTCTCTAGAGAATCCTTGGACGTCACATCGCAAGGTCCAATAGGTATTATCTGTCCGTTCAGGGATGTGTTGGATGACTCTGGATTGTGCGAGCGGGCAGCATTGTCGAGTACTTCCTTTCTTCGTCCGGTGATATACACTTTGGCTCCTATGCCAAAAGATGTCAGGCATGGTGTATAATCGTCGAATGTGGCAACCTACCGTTTGCTGACAATGCCTGGGCAGCCATGAGTCCGATGCCAGTTCCTGGTCAAGGGCGGTTATTTCTCTGTTTGGAAACATCCAAGTTTGGATCATGATTTGCTTACCTCCACCTGTGATAAGACAGACATGGCCTTCCAGCGAGAAGAGGTTGGAGATGTGTAATTGTTCAGTCGACGCCATCACGAGGTCCACGAAGGCTTTGAGTAGAGGTCTGAGTCGAGAAGTGGGAAAACGCGCAGAGCAATGGCTGGAAGAGGTAGTGAAGCAATTTCCAATATCTTGACTGGTTAGACGAAGCTCTTGCAATTACTTGCAGCAAGAAAGGAAGAAGATCACAAGAAAGATCACAATCACCTCTGCGTCTTCTGGACTGATGCATTTCCATGACGGATTGTGACGTCACTTGACCCCTGCCAAGTCACAGCCCACTGGTGCCATCGGAGACTCGCCCCTGTCGCTCGTTCACTTGTTCAGCCTTGCGCAACGAGGCTGAGCCAAAGGGCACTATGGTATTGTGTTTGTGTAATCAGAAGTTCTGCTGGTAGCGTTGAGATGGTTGTTGACAGCTAACACAGCAAGCAGGGCATGGATCAAGGCCCACCTTGCTTCATCTCTCTTGACCCGCACCTTAACATGTTCCAAGCGTTTCTTGACCCACTTGATAACCAATACCCCTGGCCCTGGCCTGGTCGCAAGCAGCTGGCTCCCAGGACAAATTGCGCATAGGATCTCATGGAAAACCTGACGGTCAGTGCATTTCTAGATTCTCACACATGAGGCATGCTCTCAAGCTGCCTTCGAGGATGGATTTTTGATAGTGTTGGTGGAAGAATGGCACCTTGCACTCATGCGCTCAAAGTCTACTTTTCCTCTTCCTGTTCTCTGCCTGGAACTCATTCATCATCCTGCGTCCCTCTGCCTCAAACCCCTCCGCCTCGAAGGGTACGCCAAACTCCCAGACCCCGGCCTCGATGGCTTCTTTCAGGGGAACCTTTTCCCACATTGTAAACAGCTTCTTCTGGATGCGCAGAGCCTGTGGCCCATTCATCAACAATCTGTCCACCCAGTCCTCCACGGCCTTGTCCAACTCGTCGGCCTGGACGACCTTGTTGATTAGACCCCAAGATTCCGCTTCCGGGGCTGAGATGGTATCACCCAGGAATAGAAGCCTCCGGGCCCTCGCGGCGCCGATTTGGAGCGGCAGCATCGCCGCTTCGATGGTGCTGGGCACGCCTCGTTGCACTTCAGGCATCCCGAAGCGGGCGGCCGACGTGGCGATGCGCAAGTCTGCGGACGCCAGCACTACGAGGCCGCCCCCGAGGGCATGCCCGTTGACACGAGCGATGACCGGGACAGGTAAATCCCGTAGCGCTTTACAGGCCAGGTGGAGCTTGTTGATAAATGTCCGTCCGGCCGCAGCGTTGAGAAAGTCCTTCATCTCCGAGATGTCGGCGCCACCGATAAATGCTTGCTGACCGACAGAACATGGTCCCCCGGTCACAATTACGCAGCGCAGGTCGGACCGTTGCGCAAGCGGAGGAACGGAAGATAGAAAAGCATCGAGGACGGTCGTATTCAAGCTATTGAGCCTTCTCGGGTTGGAGACAGTCACTGTTGCGACCGTGCCGTTCGGACGTTGAGAGAACGAGATTGTAACCGGGGGAGCATCACCCTCAGTTTGACCTGGCATTTTATGCTGTAGCTACTGATTGACTCGGCCTGGGAGAATAGGTGGCGAGACAGACTCAGGTCGATCCAGAATCCTCCAAAATCCACACATACATGTCTGCTTGTAAAGTAGATGAAGGTTGTGGACATATACCGGACAAGATGTGGCACGTGCCGGCGGAGCTCAAGTTACGTCCTCGGCACTGAAGAAATACAAGTCGGAGAACTAGAAAAAATTGGAGGTCTGGCTGTTACTAGTTTGTCCAAGGGTACATCTTGTCCTAGTATTATTGACGGACGCATGTTTCATACGTCCAAATGACAGGACACACTGTATTGTGTTGACTTGATATTCTGCCTACGTGCAGTCTGCCTCGAAAACGGCTGTTCACCAAAAAGTCCTGCCAACCTCCAAAACATTCTGATATCGAGTATTTGGCGGCCAGGCTAGCGATGCACATGCAATACTATCCGAACTGTACTCTTGGATCTCAGTCCCTGTTGCTCCTTTGTTTCACGTTAATCCTCAAGCATCTTGCTGGAGCTGGGCGGTTTTCGTGGCAGTAAATCTGCATCCTTCGTGGCTTGGAATCTGTGGAAATCTGGCGATCATCCAAGGTTTGTTGAAGTCGCCTACCAACCCTGAAGTAGGGCTTGGTGAGTATGGCGAGACTCTAGAGGCTCTGACTGGCGCAGATCCAACTACAGGGGTTGATGACCTGAGCCACTAGATGTATGTTGCCTCCTGCGATGGTGCCAACCAAAGTGAGATTGAGCAGCACTCGAGCCACACTAAATTGGTTGTTCGGGGGCCGCCCAGACGGCCATTCCATCTTCGCAGCTTTGGCACGTCAAATAATGGATTGGTCATGGAACAGCGTACCCCTTGCAGGAATTTGATTGTGCGCAATACCAAAATGGCTGATCACGCGGCCAAAGCGAGGGCAGCCATCGCCCGGACTCCAGCCTCTGTCTTGTGACCTCCAATAAAGCCACTTGCATGAACAAAGACTGCGCCATTTTCAACGTCGTCGCCGAGCAGAGCATCGAGCTCTTCGTCTCTCACGCCACGCCATGGTTCTGGTAGGCTCTTTCGGTTTTCAAAGCTTGAGAAATCTTTACTCACAGCCTGGATCCTCCACTTGGAGCCAGGCTCCTCTTTCTCAGGGTATATCACGTAGAGAATCTTTTGGTCTTCAGGAACCTTGTTTTCATCTTCGATATTGTACAGGTGTTCTTTCCACGGTACACCGGCGCGTGGCAGGACCATGAGTTGACCAGAAGGGTGTTCTTTGCTGCGAGATTGAAAGGCTTCTTTGACAATTGCACGTGCAGGCAGCCACGCAGTAGCTGCGCCGTGGAGTTTGCGCAAGAAAGCGGTACCCATGAGCGTCGAAGCCTGAGTAAATCTGTAGTCCTCTTCGGCTTGGGGTTGATCTTCGGTGGAACGTGAGGGCGCACCAAGGGTCAAGGGATCTTCATGGTTCAGGTCATTGACCAAGCTTGCCAGGGTCACCCCACTGTCCTTGAACTTTTGCTCAATGCCAGCTTGTTCGAGTTGTGAACCATCATACTTGGAGATACCATTGTCATTCGCATCGACCGCCTCGATGAAGTCATCGTACAGTTTTCGGTAAAGCAGGTCCACGTCAGGGTGGTCGATAGGAAGTTTGGTGTGTTGAGCAATGATGGCTTTGCCAAAATGCATATAGACTAGACCGGCAGAGGAGAGTTTTGTCTTGTGATCGGGAAAAGCCGTGCTGAAGGATCGTTGATGATGGTCATAGCGATTCTTGGAAGCGTCATATTCACCGCCAACATCGACGACTGTGTGGCAGGTCTCTAGAAGCGCAGGATCGCGAGTGCGGACGAGAGCAGCAGACGCATACTCGGGAAGGAGACGAAGCATGTAGACTGCCAGGGCTTCGTCCGCATGAAAGTGGCCATTGTGAGTGCCAATAATAAGGGGATCGGGCTTGATCCGCTTCGTCGCTGTTTCGGCAACCATTTTGACCGCCCTCCGAAGCATACAAAATTCAGGATTGAGTAGTGGGAGGGGTCAAGATCAATTTTCTCGAGGCTCTCAAAGACTCGAGCAACATTTTTGGGTTTGTCGCAGTCAAAAATCTGGGGAACTGTTGACACGGATTATCGTTCCACCGATGCACGTGCGACATTAATCCGAACAGGCTGCGATGGCGCCTGTTTCCCTGCAACGCGACAATCTGGCCTCTTCCGTTCCCTACTATTCTGCTACCACAGTTACTGCATCAGAGAATATACTCCTGCTCTTGTAGGTTTGTTACGGAGAGCCCTTATAGAAAGGCCCCTTCGACCATCACATGCAAGTCCGAGGCGGGGATCAGCCGAGCCTGACCCTAAACTGCGTTGGGCTTTACCGCCCAGGCCAGCAGCCCGGAATCCAGATCGCAGTGGGGTTCAATTAGTTAATAGAATATACCAACTGCGAGGACGGGCACCAATCTGAATCTTGCGGTGAGGACCTGCTCGAAAGAAACCCTAGGCCCTAGCAATAAAATCCCAAAACTGCAGAGCTTCCTCGTCTCTTCAAGGCAAAAAGCAGGGAAGAGAACGCACTGATTCAAAGACCAACCAGATCCTGTTGCCAGGCGTCCTCCCTTGTCCTGGTTCTCGAAGTGGGCTCGCTCAACTCTTCTCATCGAATCTTGCTTGTTTGTGGTGCGTCCTTGCCTGGCTTGCTTCCTTGAAATCAAAGCCGCGTTGGTGCACGCGACATCCTCTTTCCACCTCGACTGCTCTTCCTCTCCCTCTCTTCTCTTCATATCAAATCTCTCAAACCAACCCGCGCTCCCTGGCCACCACCAAGAACAAAACAAAATCTGGTCTCTGTTGCGATCGGAATGACATGTGAAAGCCTGGACCTCGACTCAACCACGAATCCTTCAAGTCCTGTCTAGCAGAACGAGCAAGCCTTCCAAATCGCCAGAGCAGGCCGATCGATTTACCCTCAACAGACGCAAAGCACATGCCGCGGAAAGCGATATCCTGTTGACTGCGCCTCGACTTCTCACTGTGAACCGCCGAACCCCTCCTCACCTCTCATACCCACCGGCCGACCGAATGTTCTTCCGCGCCCTTGCCGCCCTCCTCTTCCTCACGCTCATTATCGTACTGATTCCGCTCACCTTCGACGTTGGTGGGCGCGATGCTGGTCTCGCTTTCTCCCTCTCTATCGCATCCTTCTACTTCTCTCTATCCTTACTGCGAATATCGACGCCGGATGAGCCAGGTTTCAGGAGGACCGTTGTAAACATCCTGCGAGGGGTACAGTTGCTTGTCCTGCCAATCTTGTGCATATGGGCCCTCGGGAGGTTCTCAGTCGATGCAGACAATAGCTCGGGTTGGGTAGAGAGAACATTCCGTACAAGCAAGGATTTTCTTAAACCTGGCCCATCACTTTGGCTGTCCATTGTTGGAAGAGAAGGTCTGTTGGAGAATGTCACACTCGGTGCTTGGGATATCATGTTGCGATGGTCGTCACCCATTTTCCAACTCCTCGAAGGCTTTTGCAGTCTCCTGGTCATACAAGCCATCGGACAACTATCTCGCTGGCTGGTCAACAGAAGTGAATGGAGCGATGCCTGGCTGCTTGCCCTGCTTGCTGCCTCGGCAGGAGTTGTGTCGAGTTCAGTCTACTTCCTCTGGCGAGTTCTGCAATTTCCGGATATTTCAAACCTCGATTCCACCCTGATTGGCATTGCCATTGCGTCGGCTATCTTCCTTTGCGCTTATGGAGTGGTTTCTGGTCGCGGCACAGCCACTGAATCATCTCTGCTTTTCGCATACATTGTCCTGTGCATATATCAGATCTTCACAGACTACAAGCCCAATGTCCCTCATCCAGAAGCTGGCATGGCAAGTTCGGCACCAGACTTCCCACCATTCCCACCGATCATCATGTCTTCTTACACGGCTCTCATGGCCGCACTGTCATCGCTTCCAGGGGCTCTGGTCAATGCGCTGGACTTTGTTGCCGCAGCTTTCAAAGCGGTTACGCCATCGGTGCTAATCTCTCTGGGGTATCGACTCTTCGTCTTTTATTCTTCCACACGCATCATTCCAGCAATCAATGAAAGCGGTGCCAGCGGTCTAAGTGTAGAGCCTTCTCTAGAAGACTCCAATGCGGCGAACCAATTCCTTGCCTTCCTCTCTTGGTTTTCACCCAGCATTCTCATCGCAGTCTACACCAGCCTTCTCATGCAGCACTTTGCCACAAGTATGGGCGGCTACGCACCAGGTCTTACAGAAACAATCGGTGCTTGGTGGAGTGGCAACGGTCAACCAGTGATGAATGGCAATTTATGGAAGTGGGTCAACTTGGTAGGGACTATGTCCCTTTATGCTATCGAGTTGTGGTTAGGCAAAGAAGACGACATGAACGGTGATCACTGGAAGGTTGACTGAGCGCGAGAGAGGGCAGACTTCGATCGATGACGCACGATCCGATACGAGGCTATGGGCACAGCTGTGACAGTAATATCCCAAGGCGAATCTTGTCAGGTGCGGCTTCTACAAGATATTCAGGACGCAGGGTTTCAGCTGTGACGAGTGGTGAACCAGATCACCTACAAATCTCACATTGATATATCGATGGCATGCTACGAATAGCAAATTTGCTGGCCACGTTATCGGGCTCTTTGGGAAAGGACAAGCTAGGAACGGATAAATTTCTTCCTGCAGCACGACGACAACTACACCCCTGGACGAGAAATCAAGATTGCGAGGATTTCCCATCGGGGAGCCGTTGAGGTTGCGGATTACACTATGAGCACGGGTATTCTTGAGGCGGCATGGTTTTCATGCAAGTGGAAGAGGTGTAAGACCACAACGATGGCGGGAACATTCAAGGACGAAACAGAACCTGGGGGAACAAATACCGTATCAAGGAAATGGAAACACGGGAAAGTCCCGCCTTAAGTAAAAGGGAGAATAGCCACCATCCTAGGCCGAGCAAGATGCCACGATGCTCTGATGCTCTGATATTGGAATCGGGGGCAGAGGTGGAATGGGAATGGGGCGATTGGATGAAAGACGGGTTGACGGATTGAGAATAGTTACAGCGATTCATTCCCCTGCATAATCTACCATATGAACCATATCGACCAAGGTCATGAAATGAAACCTGTCTCGCTCCAACTAGCGGTCAGTCACATCGGTCGAGGATCGAGGATCGAGATGAATAGACGGAGAAGGAGACACAGAGTGAGAGAGGTTCAAGTTGCGTGACATTTTGACTGCAGCTCCATAAAAAGCAATCAATACACAAGTTGTTGTGGCTAGAGACTCGCATCCCCCCATCCGTACATTGAGGGTGTTACCTATGTAGATGATGGTTTTTCTTTTTTTGGGTAACCCCTCTTGATTGTCTGACTTTTTTGGGGGCAATTGCCTTTTCTTTTTGGTTCAGCGCATTTTCTTTCCAGCCTCCCCAAGTTCCGTAGCTGATGAAAAAGACGACGACGACGATAGCGTACATGGACTTGAACAGTGTTGATTAGTCCCCAAGGAGGTCCGCAGTGGCAAGTAAGCGTTACACAAACACAAAGAGGGAAAAAGATCCCGGTCAAGTCAGGTTCTGTAGAGACTGTTGAGGACTTCATCTCGCCGTTGCGCTTCGCTTCGGTGGCAGCCAAAGTTTCGTACTCGGTGCATCAAAGGGACGATGGAGGTGTAATCTGATCCTGGCTGGTTGGAAGGTCGATCAGCGGAGTGAGTGACGCAAAGGCTTCTAGTCCACCCATGTATCGTATTGTTGTTGGTGCCATTCCCACCTCTCGCTTTCCACAAATCTTTCTCGCTGTATCGCGCCGGTGTTCACCTTCGAGTCAGCACAGAATACAATCTGTGCTTGATCACATGCATCATAACATTTCCATTCCTGAGATACGATGCGGCGATGCACATCATCTCCGGATTGGAATTCCAGCCTTCTGCACGGGTGGACTGACACTGCCCTCCAGAATGTTGTCCTTCCCCTGTTGTTGATTGCCGTCACGTTCATCCATGCTTGCACTTCGAGCAAGGAAACTACTCTCCTTCACCGGGCTCCTGCTCGTCGCACCCGGCAAACCACCGCCGGGAATCCCATTAATACTGCCCCGGTGGATTCCACCTGGTCCTCCACCGCCAACAGGGGGAAGTTGTGCAGAATGGCCCAGACTATCCGGGGAAGTCGCAAGGGCGCCAGGATTTCCGGGGGCAATGGAATCGGAACGTGAAATAGTATGATTGAGGGGAGACATGTGTGGGATCTCCTCGGCCTTCGGGTGCTCTGTACCAATTGTGGTGACACCTGTGTCTGAGGCCTTGCCCGCCTTGGAAAGCGCGTAGTCACCAGAGTCGAAGTATTTGCGTTCCTGCAGATGTGCTCAATCAGAACATTGTTCTATCGTTTGGACATCGGACAGAGAATGGGTTACCTTCAACTTGTTCTGCAGGAGGTCCTTCTTGTTTGGAAGTTTGCCATACAGTCGGAACAGACGTTGCTCATCTGCTGACAGTTTCTAGTGGAGACACATAGTCAGTTTCGGCAGTCTCAAAAGATCTGGATTGAGTCCGGTGTGCCCTACGCTAATGTCAATCTTGTTTTTCTGGTGTGGATTCATGATTGCAAGTCCTCGGGCGGGTGTTGGTCCTTATATTATTCCCGACTGAGAAGGATATTGAGGATGGGTACTTGTATCTGGTGGAAAGGGAGCAAGCCCTGCCGAGGCAAGTGCCAACAGGAAGGTCCGATCGCTCAGACTGTTGATGTGTTTGTCGAAAAGAATTGATGGGTGATTGAATTTGAGATCAGGTATTCGAGGAAGGGAGGACGAAACAAGGTCTCAGGGAGAGATAACGTCGGTGGTAGCAGTCTCGTGAGGTTTTGTGATTGACTAAGAGGTATGCTGCCGGAGGGGTCCAAGATCACGCTCCAAGTACCTTCGTCGTTGTTTCAGCGAAGAATGCCAGGCAATATTATGGTCGAGCTGACGGCTGATGCTTCCGTGGACTCGTATGAGCAAACAAGTAGGTAGGGGAAGGGGTGCAGATAAAGTGTCGCAGGTTTGCCAATGGAGGAGACTGCGGTTGGGTTTGGGTTGGTGAGAAGAGAAGAAGGTAACTAGCAGGTTCTTTGAGGGTGTGAAGGTGGGGTTCGGTGGGAAAGTCGCCGTGGACGTAGATAGAGAAGGGTGGATTCGTCTGGGGAAAGGCGGAAATAGTTTGACCAACTCGATACGGGTCGGTGGGTTGGGTCTTGATTTGGCAGTAGTTGTGCTGACGGGGATGGAAGTGTGAGAGGGAGGATAGTGAGCACTGGCAGGGTGCGCATATGGCTGTTCGTAGGGATGATGAAATACCACCGCCAATCAGGTTGGCTTGGCGGTTTTGGGCTGAATCTGGACTAGCGGGTTAGCCATTGTGCCAAGAGCTCGCGTACTAAGATTTCCCCGAAGTAGCCCCACTTCTCCCCGAACCGCGATATCAGCACGTGACTGAAAACCCCCGTCACATGGATTTTTCATGTCCACAACTAGGTTTCAAGATATAATACCCACTGACCAACCCTGGAACTTATATGACTGAAGCAGCCTAAGCCATGTCAAAAAGCCAATACACCTTTGTTGTTGAGCATCTCGACCCAGAACTCGGACCCTGGTCCGCCCTGGAATACAAGGCCATCGCGAAAGAATCACGACAAGCTGGATGCCATTTCATCCTGTCTTCCCTACCCGAGTCCTTACTCAAGTCAGAGGATCTGAAGGATCTGATAGTGTTGGGTGCAGGGGCTGAGTTCGAAAGCATTGAGACCTCTTTGTCCCACAAAAAGGACAAGATTTGCCTGCTTGATCCGGCGGCTAGGCAGGAACTGGATCCTACCGATGCTGCAGTTTTCGAAGTCTTTTTGTTTGGTGGTATATTAGGTGCGTCGACTTGTCCGAGACGCTGGTGGCCCTTTGTCACTAATCACTAATTTTAGGAGATGATCCCCCGCGAGGTAACTAGCCGCCTGTTACCCTTCTGTGGACAGATATCTAATCATCATAGACCGCACCAGCGAGTTGCGAAAAAAGGGCTTTTCGGGCCGTCGCTTAGGTCCTGTACAGATGACTACAGATACAGCCGTCAGGGTCACTCGCACGGTTATCCTTGGCCAAAGTAGGGAGAGAGTACACTCGCACAGGGATTTCGTGTTGACATTGTACGACAGCGCCTCTGGATAAGATCCCCTATGTTGACTTTCCGGAGCTAAAGGTGGATGAACACGAGTCCACAGAGATGCCTTTCCGATATGTCGCCGACAATACTGGCAAGCCGATCATGCCCGAAGTAAGCATTGAGACTACAGTTATCGGGGTTGTGGCTAATGATTTTGCAGGGGATGATAGAGCTCATCAAGGCCGATGCGGACAAAGCCTTCGACAATCTCGAGTTTGCGGACGAAGTGACTGGCCTCGACCAGCTGGAAGTCAGACCTTGAGATCGTGTGCCGGCATTTCACATCGACCAGGGCCTTAAAGTGTTCTTGTTCGTGTTCTCGACGGAGGTTCAACCCCTCGGCAATCCTTTAATGAGCGAGTAACCGAACCATTGACGGCCCTGACGGACGAAGAGCTTTTAGACAGCAGCTGCCCATGCTTCCAGATATCCATGATCGGCTTGCTGCTCCAGTCAACACCATACACACACGAGGGGAACCCATGCAGGGGTGTGATTCCGACGGTCGCCCACAAACTCGATAACGAGCAACCTCCTCTTCAGTATGGTCTTCCTTTGAACTCTTGAAGAATTAACAAGCGCCCACCAGCACCAGAGGATCAAGCGGCCGAATAGGGTGGAGCCGAGGCGTTCTCCGTGGAGGAGCTGAGGAACACGGATCAACACGCCAACTTTTTGCGTGATCCAACTCAGAACACAATTTGCCTCCCACGTAACGCACAAAACTTGGACTTCTGACTCTTGTGCATTATAGACGCAAGTCTCCGGTAGTCTGTCATTTCGACCAAGATTTTTGGGTGCCACTGTCCCGCTCGACGGGATTATCTTGCCACGTCTGATGCGTGAATGCCACAATCGCATGGTGATTCCGTACAACGAAGACTGCCAACATCGACGATGGTCTCAACAGCCTAACTCGAATATCTTGCCCAGCACGGGGTCCTGAAGCGAAGATATATGGACATAGCGTTCGCTGAAGAGCATAGCTACGTCTTCATATTGTCTGTAGCCAAGCCTTCGAGCCAGATTTCCGAATCTAACAGAAAACCATTGAATATCCACCTGCTCCGAAGTATAGAGGATCCAAGCGTTGGACTTCTTTCGAAGGACATGGGTCACAGATAGCTGCTCCACATAGGCCCCTATCCCGTAGACCCACAACAGGTCCAACGCACTCGGATGGGACTCGTCGATCTTGTCACTCTCAAATTCAAGCTTGAGCACGCATCTGAGGAGCATAATATGCCAAACCTGTATCGTGGAGACCCAAGATTGCGCCAGGAGTAAGGCTTCTAGACCGAAAGCCATGACCAGATGCAGTGCTAGACAAAGACACATGCCAACAGACGCATGATGAACAGCCGTCGGTGTTGAAATAGCCTGGCAGGGGTCGACAGCATTCGTCTGTTCTGTTAGATTACACCAGTAGTCCATGATCCGAGCTCTGACGGCTTGTCGCCGAAGATAAGACCAGCGGAACAGCCCGTTAAGTTGGCCCGGGTCGTCAACAGCCATTGTCTTTTTAAGATTTTCGACCTCCACCAGTTCACGCAGAGCCTTGAAGATGCCGGGAAAGTCATTCGCGCTCGGAGAAGCTGAGCACCATGTATTGGGATCCGTGTCCAACTGGCTTGATCTTTTTGGACCAGCCACCAAGTCGGCCGTGCGCTGAGGAACCGTATCCTCCCACGGCCATGCAGGGTCCCAGGTCGAAGAATCAAGAAAGCTGCGCGTACCCGTAGCCGCAGCCACCCTAACAGCAAGATAGACAATGATCTCTTTCATGATCCAAGAAAGCCCTCCGACCCCTCCCACTGACATTATCATCTGCTTCAGCCCATTTAGGTGTAAAAAGAGTGCGTCGAGGCGGGACCGGTACATCGCCGCGGAGCACAACAACAGGACGGTCTGCACTGCGACCTCAAGATTGTCGTCTGCATGTGAATCCGACACTACAAGTGGCTGCAATGCATGAATTGACCGGGTTTCATGCTCAAGCGCATAATCGTGATATAATGCTTTTTTGTGAGGTTGCAGACGCGCAATGGCCGACCAGCAGTACGCAAGGAGGGCATGCATTACCGCTTCGTGGCTCATGTACGATTTGTAGACTCTGTTTTGCGCAGGCACTAGAAATCTAGCGGCATTGGGAGTCGCCACTTCATCTGCCCATATCGTCTTCAGAGATACTGGTTGAATTGTTGTTATCACACTATGCCTCAAAGCGGATAGGGGAATAGGCGTCGCAGAAAATGGGTCGCTGTTGCCTCCCTGAAGAAGTACTGACAACGAGCTAACCTTCCTGGCGGACAAAATCCCACTGGCTCTGGTCAATCGCGTACGATGTTGTGGCCGGAGACGCCTCTTGGTGGCCTTTGCGTAGAGAAGTCCTTGATCATCATCTTGATCATGTATGTCTTCTGCCTGGTTGGCTTCCGATGGTATCTTTCTCCGCGATCCAGGGGGTTCCTGCCTGATCACTTGGAGTTCTTTAATAACACGCAAGCCTGGATTGATCTTATTTGCCCGCTCGTAACTTGACGACGACGAATTCCGTCCACGTGGGCTTTGCGAGGCACTCTCGGGAGATTCAAGCAATGATGATGCCTGCTCCACTCGTTTCTCGATAGAATATTGCTGTGCTCGAACCGCAATGATTGTCTTCTGTTCGTAGTCGGGCGTTGACCTGAAATTCGTGGGAGTTTTCGTACCGAACCAAAGAATTTCCGGAGCAAAACCCGAACGTTTGTTCGACTGCATTCTGTATCAGGTCTCGTTGATTTGCTTACATCTCAACTGCTGGGGTCTCAACGCCATCCAGGGGCTTCAGGAGCGCGACAAGACGACCGGCTTTGACTCAGGGCTGAGGAGCTGTGAACTCTAGGCTGGCAAATCTGAATCCGGGATGAGACGCAGAAGTGAGTTCAAGGAGTATTGTGCACACAAACGCCCTGAAATGAGTGTTGACCTAGTCTATAAGTCTGGTTTGCGCTGCCGTCCTTGTTCATGCTGCTATTGGCGAGGTAAGTGTCTGAAGGGGCTCGGTTCCCTTCCTGAGTGGCATAACTTTGTTAGCAATAAGATCCAGAGTAGTTAGTCAACTTGCAGGCAATTTATCTCGCTCGTAGAACTATTGTCAAGACATGCATCAGTTGAGCCCAAGGCTTGCGGGATCCGCAAATGGCTGTAAACTTGAGAGTCAGATCCACATCAAGGACGTATCATATGCTGCTGTACAGAGTACAAATCTAGCAGCCACTCGTGATAGTTGCCTAGCGGAATGGGCAGAGCAGCCGGAAAATCCTACATCTCCGCTAGTGCACTGTATCTAGTGGGGGACTTTCGGAGGTAATGGTTGAAGTTGAGCCATGCTGGGTACAAAGCTGGCTCCCCTGCTCTGCACATAAGACGGATAGTCACTGATCACGGGCAGACCAGAGACTGGGGTGCTTAATGCCGGTTGCCGATACATAACAGGGACGGAGATTGGCGGTGTTATGGTTGCAGGAGTAGCAAATGGTCTCCAACATCTTATACCTGCGGTTTCGGCAACCTGTGTGCCGGGACACGCAGTCAGTCGAGGCTTAATCGGTCGTGGACTTGACCAAGACAGGTGGAGTAGCTCGCAGAAGGTGTCTTTCGGTGGTTGTTGTGTGAGCCGTGGTGAGAGAGCGGAAGAGTAGCAGCAGCAATCATGGCGTTGTGCTATAAGACGGGGTTTCCTCCGCCGTATTATTCAGCGTCTTGGCATACGTCTACGCACAGAGCATTATTTCTACAATTGCGGGGGCCTCCCCGTGCCTGCGTCGCACCCAGAGTTCGGTGCCGCGAACTTTTTTTTTGCCTGGGAGCCTCCCACTGCCTTGTTGGGTTGGACGGGTTTTGAAGAAACGATGTGACTCCCACCTCAACCTGCAACAGACTTGTCACATATCCTCCAAACCAGGCAGACTTTTTCCAGTCGAACAGCTCCTCATTCTATTCGTAGCTCAACCGCCAAAATGGTGGAAAAGGTCTACGTGACGTACAATGAGGTTTGTTCCAACCTTCCACCAGTCAACGGCATGCGGCCGATGTCTGCGGCCAGTATCTTGTCGTATATAGACTCACGCAAGCGATCAGATCCACAAACTATGCCAGACGTCGGCCGAGAAGATTCTCAATGACTTCCAGCCTAATCTCATGATCGCCATTGGAGGCGGCGGTTATGTGCCAGCGAGAATCCTAAGGTCGGTCAAACTTGAGTGTTCCAATAGAGATCTGAACAACGACTAACAATCGGGACAATCAGATCATTCCTCAAGCGGCCCGGTGCTCCTAATATCCCCATCCAAGCCATCGGCCTCTCGCTCTATGAACAACTTTCTGGGACAGACCCCGTCGAAGCGCCCGGTACAAAAGTTACGCGGACACAATGGCTTGATCTATCCTCGCTCGAGATGAAGAACCTGATTGGCAAAAACGTCCTGATCGTTGACGAGGTGGATGATACGCGCACCACACTCGAATATGCGGTGAAGGAGCTGGAAAAGGACGTGGAATTGGCCAGACAACAACAAGGAAGAACCGAGAAGACAAAATTCTCCATATTTGTCCTGCATAACAAGGACAAGGAGAAGAAGGGACACCTGCCAGAAGACATGCTCAAAGAAAATCGGTATCTGGCGGCGGTGACTGTGCCCGATGTGTGGATCTGTTATCCCTGGGAGGCGACTGACATTGACGAGCACGACCAACTCGCCCGAAACCACGGCGTCAACTGAGTCGAGCTATTGGCATGTTTTTTTTTGGGTTTCTGTTACAAGTAGAGGCTAGGGTGGTATTCGCAAGAGCTGCAATAGAGGGGATCCTATCGCGCACATGGCGATGGTGTCACATCTTCAATCCCAACGAATCTTCCTTGCGTCCAAGTTTTTCCTCGCCTCGTCCAGTTGTCCCATAAGCTCGGTGTAGGCTTCCTTTGTGTCGTTGAATCGGAGAACGCCCAGACCCAGCCGTCCCAGCAGATATGCGCCCAGAGTAATGAGGGCCCAGCAGGGGAGCACCGGAATGATTTCCACTTGAATTTTGGTTGGCAGGATAGAAGGCACGGGCGAATCCTCAGTCAGGAGAGGAAGAGCAAGTAAAAGGTAGGTCTGTTTTGAGAATTAAAAAGTGCTCAGGGGTCAAGAGGTGGAAGGTCAATGCAGAGGCACATACTGAGGAGATCAACAGGGCAAATGAAATTGTTTGCGCAGCGCGTCCCATGGTCGGAAGAAGAGCGGTTTTGCGAAGGAGGTTTGTCTGGTGTTGTTCTGCGGGGGATGCTGAGTAGCTCTGACTTGTATTTCCACGCGTATAACTTTCTAGAGCGGATGAATCGTTGTATGTCGTCGATAGCGGCGATCGAAAAGGACAGTCAGGACAAGTGTACGGGAGCGCGTCCTTGTCGCAATAGCCTGCCGTGCCCTGCCCGTAATACCTTGGCAGCCATACCCACCTTGACACTTACCCCCTACCACGCCGCTCTTAAACCTCCTTGCTCCACCCTTGCCTGAGATCTCCAGTCCGAACCATGAAATGCCAAATTTGGTAGATTTGGCGCCCATGTGGACCCCAGAAGTAGGTCAAGATTTAACCCATCCTCGCCATCAACAAGGCACTCTTCTGAAATATGTCGGCATAGTGATGCCACGTCTTAAAGAGGTAGACTCAATGAAGCCAAACACTAGCCTAGAGAAGCAGCGGCTGTTGCAACTTGTGAAATACCTACACTGACCGCTGCGTACAGAGCGGCATCATCCTCATCCCAAAAGGGTTGACATTGTCTTGGCGCTCAGCCTTCCGCCTCAGCCAGCAACTTTGGCTCAACAAGACCTCACTTTCCTCTGCGAACATCTTTTCCGCAATCCCATACCACTTTTTGACTTGAAAAGCGCCTGTTTTTCGAGCAAGTCGTTTGTCAGTGTGGCTCCGTCCAGGGTTATCCATACTCTTTTGAAGTCAAAGATGACGCTCTGGCTCCCGGTGAACGTTTGCGTGGTACTCGCCTGAGAATACAGGGAAACGAGAGCGGCAGTCTGCTGGAGCGGTCGATGTAACCATGGCGTTAACAACGCTCTATGTCGCCTGCTCCTGGCTTGCAGATGCGCTAGAGCAACATCGGATCGACGACGAGGCTCTGAATCGCACACATTCAGGCGTGGTCTCGGCATTGAGATCCGTGAACCCAGGGGCAGGCGAAGAGAAACGTACTGTCTCGGCTCTCATGCCTCCTCTTGTCAGTTATGTGTATGAGGTGATCCATAAAGGGCGACCCGATGGCTTCAAGACTGCAATTCTTAGCGCTCTTGCAGATGCGACGCGAGAAGTACCATTTTGGCGACCTCTATTTGGTCTCGTGGCCAAACCCAATCGCGAGATCAACGAAGCCCAAGCGGGAGGAGCATCTCCACCTGACTGCATTGTTGAAGTTGCAAGGCGGGTCGTCTCTGGAACAGCGCAAACATCAACAAGCGAGCAAACGAGATCAGCACTCAAAATCATTGCCAATTGTTGCGCAGACAATAATACCAATCGGTCCATCATCATTGAACGTGGTGGCATCGAAGCACTACTAGAGATGATCAGGCAGGGGCGAGAATACGACCTTGTCATTCCCACCCTCTACAACGTCTGTATTGACTACGATGATCCCCCGAGAGATACAGTAGGACAGCCATTGATCTCCCTCAAGGGGAAGACAGCAAAAGGTGAAGAAGCAGACTTGAGCACGGCCGCCAACCGCGCGGAGCAGAGACTCGGCACATACTGGTCGCCGCATGCGAGACTGACGTCCTTTGAAATTTTGCTCAACGCCAAAGATTCTGAACAGGTTTCCGCAGAAACTCTGGCCGATCTCATCGAAATGGCTAGCCGGATCGCACTCTACGAAACGCGCGATTTCGTCCACAAGGCTGATGGAGATGGGCCGAGTGGTGCATTTGAGATCGACACAACCGCAGACATTGTGCAGGCATTATTGACGCATGGCTTCGAGCTCGCCCGTGAGGATATAGACTGCCGAGCCTCGATGTGTCAAGCCGTTCTCAACCTTCTCCCACAACCGGACTCCCGCGATATCATTGCAGGGGACCCCCGCCTGGTCTGGAACCTGATCCACTTACCTCTGGCGACGGACGGCCAAGAGTCTGAGACTGACGATGCTAATGAGGACGAACAACCACTAACTCCATACCGAGAAGCGTTTCTCAAAACCATTTACGCTGTAACCGCGGTGGGACCGTATCATCAAGTGTCTGGATGCGAGTCACCACTCATCCGCAACTGTGTTGCCACCCTTGAAACGGGCGGACCGCGCGACCTCTTAGCCAGCATTTGCGTGCTCCTAACCAACAGCGTCATCACAAAAGAACGGGCCGAAAAACTCGTCAAGGCCGCACCCAAACTTCCCAGTTTCTTGTCCGAGTGGCTGGTCATGACCACCGCCTCAGCGAGCCTTCTTCCCGCTCTCAACCTTGCCGTGCGGCTCGCCCTGTGCCGCGAGGGACAAGATGCATTTCACCAAACCAACATGGCGTCAGCCATAGCAGTGCTCCTTGCCTCGCCTCCAAGCCAAGTGGATTCTCTCGGACTCGAAATACAGAGCGACGCCGTTGTCGTAGTGAGATTGATGATCAAGGGGCGCATGGAATATCTCTCTGACTTGGTATCTACGAGAGCCGACGGATCACGCACCTACATCATGGCCCTGGTACTTTCTCTGTTCGAAGAGACCAGCCACGCGGGCACCAAGACCGAGATAGGGAGACTGTCGATTGAAATCCTCCGCACACTACTTTCACCTACGTCGTCGTCGTCATCGACTTCAGCCGTCACCACGGGAAAAGACAGAACAAGCCGGGTACGCGTAGATGACAACAAAGCCGAATCACTCTTCCAATCCATCTTTCCGGCCCAGCAGTTGCCACCCTCGCCATCATTATCGACAACAACCACGGCAACGGCAGACTCAAACTCCAACTCGCCGCCGAGAACAACAATCGCAGACACGATATCTTGGATCCTGACACAGTCAGCAGTAAACCCGCCGCCCGACGACCCACAGCATTCATCATCACCATCACCAAACGCACCATCCCTCCAGCAGACCGAAGGGGAAGCCTGGTTCGGGCTCGCACTCCTCGCGGCTTTCCCGTCGACACACGGCTCCATCAGAGCGGCCCTAGCGCGGGACGACTTTCGCCTGTTGACGAGACTGCGCGAGATCGCTTCTGCCTCTCCCTCTGCCACTGCACGGTCCCCTGGCGCTGAGTCATCACTACCAAAAGGAGGGAGAAACGACGAAAGTGCTGCCACCGCCGCCGCAGAGCAAGAATTAGCTAGCAGCCGAGGACGCGGGCCTGGGAGTAGGGACGGATGGGATCCGAGGTATGAGAACATCAAGGTCCTCGTGGCGAGGATGGTTCAATCACAATCCCAACCATTGAGCGCGGACACGAACCCTTCAGGGCCAAAGCCACCATCATCCCCACAAGCCATGGAAGTATCAGCGAGAGAAGCGGAACCCGAACCCGAACCAGAACCAGAACCAGCCACCCACGTCCGCGTCCGCGCCGTTCTCGAAGCCACAGCTACAGAACTCGGTCTAGCCTAGCTCGTAATTTCGTGTGATTTGGACCACAGGGGGTTTCCTCCCTCGATAACTATGTTCCGCCTTCATCGTCTATGTAGATTCCACGAAGTATAGATTTTTACTATCGACCATGTTTTGGTGGGTAGGTAAGTAGCTAGCTAGGTAGGTACTTACCTACCAGATCAAAGATCCGATATTCACCTCCCTTCTACCATACTGCTCGCGTTATACTCCGGTAAATACTCTCGCGTGGATGTGCGCAATATCCCCGACATGGTATGGAAGATATGAAGGCGGAAAAGAAACAAATAAAGTGGAAGGCCGAAAGCCGAGAGATCGTCGTTCTGTCTGCGAGTCGGCAATCAGGCATCAGATTCTAGTCCAACCCTCAACATGTACCGTTCGATGTCCATGACCTGCTAGTTGAAGTCCCACCCGTCGTTTGGAGCTGTATCTCTGGAGCTCCCGTCGGAGGGATGGACAGCGGCTGCGGCGTTGATCTCTGAACGGTGTCGCTGCCTTACTGGTACGTGGTAGAGGTTTGTGCTGGCATTGGCGACTGTGCGAGCCTATGGACCGGCTCGTTGACCTGGTGATACTCCTGCAACGGCTGTGACTGTCAATATTGAGGTTGCAGTAGCAAGAGATCCCCGGCTGCTCGTCGCTCTCGGGCTTTGCGGCAGTGCTTGGTCTGGTGTCTTGGGAGAGATTAGCATATGCTCCACAGCCACGACCACGGGCGCCGTCCAGATCGGAGGACTTAAGAGGAGGTGATCGCCATTGTATGAAATGCTGCAGCGGCACCAAGATCGAGACACAGAACTCACCTGTTTCTGAGATCCGACCGATTGAACACCTTGTGACAATCGCCACACTTGTAGTCCGTATAGTGCTGTGAGAGTCCACGAATTAGTTCTATACTGCAACCGCCACCACCCTGCGAAATGCTCTGCTCGTTGACGGCGGTGTGCACATACCGACCTGATGTGCCGGGACAAGCAACCCGCAAAAGCATATGTCTTGCCACAGCCATCCTTGGGACACTTTCTCTTCTGGCGATTCTCGTTGTGAACATTGAGGTGTCGGCGGTAGTTCGAGGCCCTGGGGAACTCTTTGGTGCAGATTTGGCACACGTATGGTCCAGCCCCGTGCATTTTCATGTGTATTGCGAGATTTCCCGCTCCTGTAAAGGTCTTTTGACACGTCGCACAACTATATTGACCATCGTGCTCGCGCTTGTGCTCCCGGTGGAGACTTTTGCTCTTGATCTTCTGCGGATCCGGCGATGTCGGGTCAATCTTCCGGTCAAGCTGACAGTCTAATTGTACAGGAAATCCTGGTTGTTGCATTGAGTTAGGATGTTGTCCTCCATGAACTTGATAGACAAGACAAGATACAACAACGCCCGTGCAACAGCGTAAGCATCCTCACAAACGAGACTCACCTGAAACACCCGCGGAGTAATTGTGTCCCCCTATCTCCTCCCATAATGCTGGAGGGCTCGCCTGCGAAGAGTGGCTGGTCGACGTGCACACTGGAGACCAAGGTTCTAAGGTCGAAGGGGTGTGAGAGATTTCAAGCCTCGTTGCATCCTGCAATAAGGTATCTTCGACAGATTGATAGCACACTTGCCACGGCGTGGGAAAAGAGCAGCAAAACTCGCAGTTGGGGGAGCAGAAGTCCCCAAGCCCATCGCTGTCTGTGCCGAAGGAGTCTTCGACGTAATGTTCTTGACCTGGAATGCAGAAATGAGAACGAGCAAGCGAAGGTTCTGGGTTGTCACTGTGGACACCTGCGCAGGACGAATCGAGGTATGAGGGAATGTCGCCCGGCACCTCAGATGGCACGAGAGCTGGATGAAATGAAGAATAGTCGTGATTGACAAAAGCTGCGTCGAGCATATCCATGTTGAAGACAACACACGTCCACAAGAAGCGTCTGGAGAGAGATCCTCGCTTTGGCACATCCGCTGCCGGAATGGCAGACGATTTTAGATTGCGTTCTGATGGCTAAGTCCATGGCAGTGTCCATTACCCTGCCTTGCTTTTCAAAGGCCGACCACGTCGGTTTCCCATCAGCATTGTACCACAGCATATGCGGCCTGAACAGCCGCTCAGGCTTTTTCTGAGATTGCGGGAGTTGGACGCAGCTTTCTATCTAGCGTACTGGACAATGGGATGGTCTGTGCAGGAGAAGATTTAGCCCAGGGTAGCAGTTGCAGAGCCATAGCCTTCGAGCTCCAATGAAACCGACACAATTCTGGGAGGGCTACTCCGTTCAAAACCCGACAGTGGCCTAAACTCTCAATCACGCAGGCCCCTTCCAACGTCGACAGTGGAGCACTATGCTGCTTAGACTTTGGAGGAAAGAATGGTTCGCCATTCAGCAGCGACCATTTTCTCCATTGCTGAAACTAGGGTCTCCATTCGCGCAGCATATCGTAGTAAGGGAGCATGTGAGGTGGCTGGTCTGCCTGAGGGTGTTGATGATCGGCACAACGGGAACTCCGCACAACTAGTGTACCCTTCTAGTGAGATGTGTCAGGAGGTCAGTCCTTCTTCTGCCCAGCGACCATGGCGGTCAGCCCGTCGACTTGTTCACTCAATTTCATTACCAAAGCAATCAATTCTGCATTATCGGCGGTGTGCAAGGCAGATTTGGTGGTGGACGCAGCCATATCAGGTGTGACTGTTGGAGATGTCTCATTAAGCGCTCGCCGCGTCGTTGGTGACTTGAGAAAATCTCGAGCCCCTTCAAGACTCAGCCGGCCCGCGCTGAGTGGCCTGGTCGAGAAGTGGGAGGCTCGGGAAAGTGTGGGATGGGAGCGAGAAATCATGTTCCGAGAGTTCTCGTATGCCCAGATCAGTGCCAGGAAGGGGATGTGGGTGGCTTTTAGGACAAAGATTCGAATTCGACGAACTTCCTCTGAGGGTAGGACCAGCCGAAGTGGCCGCAGCACAACCAGGGGGAATAGATTGAGTGGAGGCATGAAGTAGGTTAGTCGGCGGGAAGTGCTGCTCTCGAGGACATAGATCGAATACTGAAAGAGATATTCCTCTCTCGCATGGGCCATGACCTGTTCACAAGAAATCCATGAGCATTGAGCATGGGCGCTTCTCTAGTTCCGGATCCCCGGGGCGCTTAAACGGGCTGGAAGGATGGCCGCGGCTGGGGTTCCAAGCCACCATCACCACAACGTACCTCTGTCAGTGAATTGGATACCAGGGACACCAGTGATGTAATGAGGAGGATATTGGTCAAACAGACAAAAATCAACCTGCAGAGATCATGGGAGTCAGCCTTGGGTTCCATCAAGTAATAAGGGTGCCGCTCTTCATTCGGAATACAGCCGCCCCTGTCAACTATGCTAGAGCCCCGGTCTAAGGCACGAGACCATCGAGATGGTCTGCAGATCATGTGGCAGCCTGTGTGGAGATGTCTTGCATACATTAAAGTATAGCCAAACAATGGCGAGATCTGGGACAGTCAATCAACAGCTTCAAGTCAGGTTTCCGCCCGGCGTTGACATACCTTGACAGCCATGTCAAATCCAAGATAACTTGATCTGTTCCGCTAATCAGTGACGTTTCGGAAGTCGGGTGCTGCTTCATACCCAAAGAACACCTTGATTAAGAGCCATGACATGTCGTTGAGACTCATCCGATCTCTCGCCAGCATGGTGAAGGTGGTCAAAAACCCGAGATATAACACGACAATCACAGGCAGAAACTTGCAAAATGCTTTTGTCTGTGCATTATTGGTATGAGCTCTAACGGAGGGAGCGCAGAACATACCATCTCCTTCAACACCGGAATCTTTGCAGCCCACTGTCAGGTCACCTCCGACACTATCGAGAGACGGCTGAAACTTACCAAGCTTCCAAAGTATGGGTTCAGGCTCATAACCGAGAATATCCTGGTCATGTAAGCATGTCTGGAATAACGATACACTCTGCATTGATGCCCACCTCGGTACAAGGAACAGTGCCACCATGGATAAGATGTCAAAGGCAACATCGATGATATAGTCGCTATTTCTGAGGAGGCCAATAATCCCTAAGTGCAAGGTCAGCTCCACTGGCACCACGCCCAGAATTTCGGGAGAACAGACGGATAATCACAAAAGCCGCGCTGAAACCGATGATGGCGATGTCCCACAAACTCCAAAAGTCGGTCTGATAGAACATGAGGCCCGCATCTTTGATCTCGCCGAACTCGTCATAGGCAAAAGCAGCAATCCAAAGATATAACACGGTTTCTGTGGCGGTAATGTGGCTTGGATCCCGCTCCACTAATACAGCATAATACAGTGCCAGAAATGCCAGAAAGAAGCTAATCTGAAAGGCCTTTTGATACTTGGGGACCCTTAGACGGGTAAAGGGGTCTGCTACCCGTTTGTTGTACACTCGGGGTTTCTTGACGGCGTAGACGGAGAGACTCTCCCAGAAGATCACGTCGCCATTCCAGATGTCTTCGACAATCTTCTGAACAGGATTCTGTGAGAGGAACTTCTTTGCGTCCCCGATGGCGGCGATTTCCAGGGCGTTCATACCAGCCATGGATTCATCCAGATACGCTCTCCGCGTCGCATCGTCCTCGTCGCCCGGGAATGTGCTTGATGTGCCAGGGCCAGGGAGGTGGTCGAAGGAGGCGCGTTTTGGGGGCCGGAGAACCGCACCACGTTCGGCCGATCGGGCGCGTATTAGGGGCGATGTTTCATCTGCGTGATCTTCCTCGACATGACGACCAAAAATCCTATCAGTAGTAGAGTCTGAGGGGGGTTGTCGCGTGCTCTCGTCCGGACTTTGGGGCAGTTCGTAGAGAAGGTAGTCAATGAGTTCCTTCTCCGACAAAAAGGTAAGAAACTGCCACGCTACAAGTTCACAGGCGAGGGCCCGCGACTCGTTCAGGCCGCTGTCCGCGTCTGCGTCGGCATTGGTGAAGAGATATCTGGCTGCCAGGAGTGCTGCTACGATGGCGGGATGGTGGCAGTCAGCACTCAGATATGTAATGAGAGGCTTCAACGACTGTCCAGCACTAGTGGTACGCAGCTGCTCGTAAGTGTAGGCGGCATCAATGGCTTTGGCAATGTATGAAGACAACTTGAAGACAACATCGGAAAAGAGTTCTCGTGAATCGATGATAGGGACATCGTTTTCTTCCCAGGGTTGGAATTTGCTGGACCGGGGAGTGTGAGGGTCGAGACCGGCCATTGAGGCGTCGACGTAGCTTTTGAGATTGAAACGGAGACCACGAGGGCGCATGGGGGACAGTGCTGGTCCTAATCGATGGAAATAATCTGTGTCATGATGGGAGGGGAAGTGCCAAAAGCGAGAAAAGTGTGTTGGTCGAGATACTGTGTTCAGAGATCAAAGATCGTCATAGGGGGGATTTCAGTTTATGGAAAGGTATCAAAGTATGAGGTAGCATTTGAGGAGTTGATAACGAGCAGGTACTAGTGATATACTCTGCCGTAGACTAGTAGGCGTCCTCGGGAGGATCAAATACACCTAATATGCAATGTCGAGCAAGTGACGTCATATATTCTTCTTATCTCAACTACTCCAACTCTACAAGAATCGCCTATTGAGAGGCCGCTGTTACTCATTCTTATGCTTCAAATGATGGCGACTCAATATTCAGACAGGCCCTTCCGACGCTCATATCCCCTTCAGTCAATTGGCTCCACAAACACGAAGCTGACATCTGATTTCTCTCGAAAAGGACACGCGCAAGTCCCCGTCGCCTTGGTCCAAGCCATTGCTCTCCATCTGGACGGAGATCAACGACCTCGTTCATGAAAGAGGACTTTCTCTTACCCAACAGTGGGCCAAACATGTCTTTTCCATCTTCACCTTGACTTTTTGAGCCTCCTCACTTTCTATCTGTCATTGTGTTCTGGTTTGATCTTCCTCCTCCCCCCAAAAATGGCTCTGCCTACTCCCTATGCTCCCAGTACCACGCACACCGTGCCCGCCCGCTCATCCGTGGCCGTGCCTCTGTCGCCGTCGCAGAAACTGACCGTGACAAACACCCATGGCAGCCAAGTGATTGACTTCTGGGCATTTCAGGTGCCTTCTTCGGACACAAAAGAGCTGACCACGTACCTGTCCATGTCGCACACGCGGGCGTCGCTGCTCAGCCTAAGCCCCGTGGCGCCGTGCACGCTGACGACGAACCAGCGCACACCCATCCTCAAGTTCACTGGCGACAGCTCGGGCTGTATCCACGACACGTTGATCCCGGCCTGTGACATCCACCGATACCACCAGCTGGGCGTCCCATCCGATCAATACCACGCCAACTGTTCAGACAACCTCCGCACGGCCCTCTCCCGCGACGCGCCCGGCTACGCGCTCCCCCCGCCGTTCAACACGCCGACATCCACCGTTCCAGACCCGCTGAACCTGTTCATGAACATCCCCGTGTCACCACCCCCGAAGCCGCTGCACGAGAGCAACCGGTCTGCCGGCGGGGAGCTGAGCTTCAAGCCGACGGTATGCGAGAAAGGAGGCCAAGTCTCCTTCGAGGCGCTGGTTAGTTGCATTGTTGTCATGAGCTGTTGTCCACAGGACCTGGTGCCCGAGGTTAACGGCGGCGTGATCCACGACTGTCATTTCGTCGTCGAAGGGTAGTCACCCTCACCACCACCAACTTTATATCCTCATCACCATGTACGTAACAGTACGTAAATATCCCGAGCCGTTCTTTGGCAGAGGCAGAAGCATGGAGAGACGCTCGAAAGGGAAACAAAAGCCAGAGTGGACACTGACTGACAACCCCGTACGAGCAGATGCATGTGAGACGTTGTGGCGGGAATACCATTAAATTCTCCGACTTTTTAGCCTCTGCCTCTGGCTCTTTTTCGTCCGATATCATACCTTGGGTTGATACCGGGTATGTATGCGAGGGCACGGGGTCTTGCAGGGACAGAGTAAAACCCAAGGCCACACTGCCTGTCGAACTAAGATGAACAGAGAAGAGTTTAGATTCCCATGAATCGCCCTGTATTATTACGCTAGTAGGTCATGATGCATAAACGGCTCTTATTTTCTCAGCTGTGTCAAAATTGACCGGATCGACTTTTTCAATCCTCGCTTGAAAGCATCCTCGTGTCTCATACCATATGCGCCCTGGTTGCTTCCCATCCTTCCATCAACAACTGCCCTGCTCTCCGACTCAAATTCGACGAGTTGCTCGTGGAATTGCTCAACTGCAGATTCCCAAGCTCGCACCAATTGTTGATTGGCAAACAACTCAGATACTTGCACCACGAACACGTGTCGCGGTACTTGTAAAAGTTGTTCAGGAGCACAATGAATGCTACCAACACGCCAATCAACGCCCCCAAACGAAACAGCCACCAGGCCCACCACAAGGGCTTCCTTCCTTTGAAGAAACCAACGGGTTGTTTGGCAAACGCAGCCACATTAGCGGGTGCCGCCGTTGTAACTGGTTTGGATGCGGTTGGGGACGATGACGCCAGCATCGGATCCTTGGGGTTGATGCTCACGTCTGCATCCGAGCCGACATTTCGATAGGACCCAGTGTTAAGATTTGTCGTTTCGCCGATGCGCTGGCGAAGGACATTGGGAGAATGTAGAAGGCATATTCCCGCCGCAAGGCCCATCAGGAAACCCCCGATGTGAGAGAAATTGTCCAGGCCAGGCAACAACCCCAGAACAAACGAGATGACGATATCTACCATGATCCACATCAAGTCTTTGACAGGATGGCGTCGTTCATTCCAGCCATAGATCAAGTCCAGGAGAACCAAAGCAAGAATGCCGAATAGACATCCCGATGCTCCTGTCGATGCAATAGCCGTGGCTGCAAAATTCCCGCCTAAGACAAATCCAAAGATGCCCGAGCTGAAATACACAATGGCAAATCGAATGCTGCCGATTGCCTTCTCCAGTTCACGACCCATGGTGAGTTGCAAAAGCAAGTTGAATGCAATGTGAATGAGGCCCGCGTGTAGAAACATGGGGATGATGAACCGAAACCATTGGTTCGGATGCTCGTTACTGAAACCAGAAAATCCACACAGGGTTTTGAGATCGCAGTGGTTGCTTGGTGAGTTTGGATCGGATGTAGTGGTATTAGGACATGGCCAAGTAGGAGGGTCGGGGTTGTCTTGGACGCCGGGTGTAGTCCGCATACAAGGCACAAATCGAGCACCCATGTTAATCTGCACATATGTCGAAGGCCCGATCATGGGATTGAATTGCGGCTTGATCATGATGGGAGACCCTGTGATGATCGCTGGTTTTGGTCAGCATCGAGTGCGGAGGTCCAGAACAGGTGTACTCACAATTCCTAATTATCTCAACCACAAAAACTGTAATTTGTATCAAGCTCAGAGTGTACACAACCCATGGTATCTTTCCCTTGAAAAAGTTTGCAAAAGATCCTTCCGTTTTCTTCCTTCCTTTTGAATCTGGCAGCAACTGTGGTGAATTCGAGTCGGGAGAGGGAGGATATTGTGAGGACTGATTCCGCCAGTCAGGCACATCTTGATTCGTATTGAGTCTGGACTGTTGCTTCAGCGGTATCGTGTCTGAGTGTACAGACTGTCTGGTAGGGTCGTAAGGTTCGTAGAAATTAGACAAAGGTCTGGCACTGTATGCTTGAGAGAGGCGTGACTGATCGAGGTTAGACGAGCTGTTTTGGGGATTATAGGCGAACGCGATATGCGAGACAGGTCTTTCTTTTTGCGGTCGGGTAGACTGCGATGATTGAGCCATAGACTCTCCCTGATAGTAGTCGTTGGCAGCCATGGCGGTTGTAGTAAGAAGAGAGCAGTAGGACTGAATTGCTCCGCTGCAGAAAATGTAAGGAGTGCGGCAAACGAGCGTAGGATATTCACTGTGTCAGAAACTGACAGTGCAAGAATCGTAGGTGACGTCCAAGGGGGACGATTGTTGCTAGATCCGAACCACCATCATTCCTGACGGATGCTGAATTGACCGAAGAAAGAGAGCGCGAGTTCGACGATGTGACGAGTGTGTCAATGACAATTAGACCCGTGAGTCCGTCGGGATGTTGACAGTCTGCGAGGCTTGACAAGCAACGGATCGATGAGATCGTGGATCGGCTGAGAGATGAGGTGTCGTCTCGTTAGAAAGCGAGGACCCAGAGTCGAGGCGGAGATTTGGACTTGAGAGAGATTAGATGGATGGCATTAATCGGCAAACAGCCTGAAGTTTGGGGCATTCAAAGGAGTGTGTTGTATTCAAAGAAAGTGGGAGAACAAACGATAAGGTATTGAGTGAAGGCCGCAGTTGAGGATGCTTGGGATGTTGCAGTGCCTCGACAACGCACCATGGCTTTTACGCACATCAACGTGGCTCAGGAAAAGGGTTATTGCCACACGAGGACGATGAGCAATGTTGTTTAGGCGTTGGATGGGCTTGGATGGGCTTAGACGGAGGCGTGGGAATTTGGCGTGTCTCAAGATTCAGGAACAAGCTTAGTCGCTGGAGCCGCAACCCGCACCAGCCCCAATGCAGCCCGTCACGCGGGCATCCAGCACCTGTGAGTGGCTGTGGCACAGTCGGGTCTACCCCGGTGCTACTCGTATTCTGATGCGCAAAAATAGACCCCGTTCCCCCTGCTTCGTCTTACGCGTTAGCTGCAGCTGTAAGTGCGCGAGCTGATGGTTCCTTCGAGTTTCGCATCTGCACGACCTCGTTCAGCTCGGTTTCATCCATGATGTGTCATGACCATGCACGTGATGAATACATCCCCTACCCAGGATGTGGACGGATCAACTACAGGGAGAAAAAGGACTAGGCAGCCGGTTCTGCATTCGTATGTCAAGTCTTTGGACATCATATTAGTCTATTATAATCTGTTTGTAACAATATCTCTTTTCCTGTTCGTGGGGCTCATGATGCCTGTCAAAAGGCCGGATGCGAGGCAATCTTCCAAAAGACGAAAGCTGCCATGAAATACAAGAATCACACTCATGTCAGGTCGACATGGTGACTCTCAGTCCACCAAATAAATATACAGCTCATTGCCAGCACCAATGCTCGGCACCTCCTCTTTTACTTTTGCACATCGACCATGTACCCTGCTGTTTGCCCGTATGCACTTGGTAAAACACATCCGCTCAGTTCACTGGTTCTGCAATCAATTGTCCAAACCAGAAATACCAGTCTCTGTGAGTGTGATTCGAAGTAATTCCAAAGTGGGATGTTGCGGACAAGTCGGGGGCTGCTGTGGCCAAACGTGAAGGATAACCTTCGGTTGAGCACGTCATGATGATGAGGGACCTCGAGGCGAGGATGCCCTGACGGAAGCTTGAGCTAAAACGATGCAAGGCTCGGTCAATTCGGAAAGGGTCTTCCGTGTTGATCCTTGGGTTGGGATTTGTGACAGTTTGTTCGAGAATCCCCACGCGTTCGAAAATGTATTTCAGGCAGCGCAAGTGACTGGAGTTGTCCTTTGCATCTCCCTTCCAATATCGCAGTCCTCGTGTAACGTGGTTTGTCCTCTTACGCCAAACAGCCATCGTCCTGTTGGGCAACAGCTGATGTTGCCGGATCTGCCGGGGTCATGAGCAAAGTTGTGGAGCGCTGGAAAAGGAACCAGTCAGGTAGTATATGAGCCGGCAAAGAGTGTTGACGACGAATGGCTCGAAGCCCCAGAACAGCGCGTACAGAAGAGCGGCGAAAGCGATAAGGATGGCCGAGTTGAAGATGAGTTTCTCGCCTGGGGTCATAACATAGAGTCCGAAGGTGACTTCATACTGGTAATATCGCAGTCGCAGGTAATTTGACAGCTTTGCTGGCATCGAGACAAGCGGCTTGCCGAGGGAGCGGTGGGAGGAGGAGGAGCTGGACGTAGCCAGCAGCTGGATGGCAGCCATGGCCATGGGGGAGGAGAAATAATTGGCCGAATTGGGAGGAGCCGAGTCGATGAAGAGAGGGAAGGGCTCGAGGGAATGGTGGAAGTCGGCGGTCATGTTGATATAGAAGAGGAAACCAGAGGGCGAGTGGGAGGTAGGTTGGTGTAGGGGGCAACGGATGCGATGGAGGCTTTGTACTCAGCTCGCGTGTCGCAGGGCTTTTTGATCGTAGATTCGGGCCTGGCGGGACCTGGTTCGGTAAAGGACTGCACTCGTAGGCACAGAGGAATCCCCAATGAGGAAACGATCCAAGCAAAGACCAAGCGTTTGATTTGTCGCAGGAGCAGGTGAAATTATGGGACAAGAAGTTTAATGATTAGATCAAAGGGCAGACCCCAGGATGGATAAGTGAGGATTGTGGATTGTGGTGATTTTAACGAGGCTGGAAAGGGAGAAGTGATGAATTGGGGTGGTGGATGCAGCGCAGTTTGCTGACTCGTACCGACGTCAGGTACTGGGTCACAAATTGCGAGGTACTTGGAACCAGAGCAACTCTGGAGTACTCGACACACGGTTTCCTCACGTCTAAGGGCTTCGACGTGTCGAGAGATGTAAAGCACCAAAAGAACTCAAAGATGTACTCCCCCTCTCCCATTTATGGAGGTTGATCACGATACCACCCGCCGCCCTGGGATTTCCAATGCCTCACGCGCCAAAATGAACGCGAGGGAAAAAAATTGGGCATATGGGGCAAAGAGGGCAAATAGGTAAAGGGCCGGCATTCCTCGGATTTGCGGGACACGCTGGATGACCAACAATTGGTTCAGCCTATCGACCAAGCGACTAAGCGACCCTGCTGGCCTGCAACCAATATATTCATCCGGAAAATGCGGCTCGAGGTTGGGGATTTCATTATTATTATTATTGTGGGCAAGTCGACCGCCTCGGCGCTGTTTCGCTCTTCTGCCCACGCTACCACACTACCCCTTTGGTGCAACCGCCAATATGTACGATGATGTGATATTTCTCTCGTCGTCTTCTTGTCCTTTCTGCTCAGATGGTGTCGACCCTTTCAGTTCAGACCTGCTGACTACGCTCCCAACTTACGAGTCATTCGATCAGAAGTTCCATTCATCATGACTTCTTGACTCTCTGACAGCATTTATCGTCCTTCCGCCCCATCCGGGCTCGCCGTCCACCGCGCCCCTCTTTATTCTCCCTCTGAACGATCATTCCTCGTATTCTCCGATCCTCATGCCCTCTCGTTCTCTAAGCAATCCCCAGTTAGGCCGTGGTTCCTGAAAAGAGAGGGCAGGTGGACACAACAAAGAAACACTCGGATGGAGCATGTTACTAAAGAGTTGTGGCTCGGGACCGTCCTCTCGGGCCCCATTTGCTCAGTCAAGACGGTAATATTTTGTGGATATTACCTCGTATCGTCTCTACAAGTACAGTTGTTGTCGTCATGGACTCTAAACCATTACCCTGAACCCCGCTAAAAATCCACTCCCGGTCAAAACTTTTCTTCAACATCCATTAACACCTCGTTGTTCTTTCCTTCATGCTCCCGGTGGTGGTAGGTTCAAGTCGAATTCTTCTTGATCATGGGCAACTCTTCCCACGATGCAATACATCTCATTCGCCGGAATCAGCCCCGGGGTGCGATCTGGAAGTCGGTGCGTCTCCAGATGTGCTAAGAAGGCTTGCAGTCCTGTGAATGTGGGTGTCACGTTGACTGTTGTCGCTTTCTTCTCTCCAAACACACCTAGCCTGGCCAGCTGCGTCGACACTCCGTCCTCGATCCAGCCTTTGGCCACTCCCTCGACACAACAGAAGTAACAGGCGAACATGTCGCCACTATTCATTGCATCGCCGATCGTCAACTTCTTGGACACATGACATTTGGCCAGTAGGTTCCATCGATATTTAATGCCTCCTTCAGAATATCGTACTTTGGTATCGTACGTCTTCTCGGCCTTGACCGCACCACGTCCACCGCTCGGCAGCGCCCTTGAGACTAATGCTGGTCCTTCGAAATTGCACTTGGTGCAGCGCCAGAAATGTTCTTGACCTTTTGGCCCCTTCCGGTGCTCGAGCGAGAACCCCTTTTTCCGTGCGCCGAGTTGTTGCCTCACTGCACCCTTGCAGAATCCAGCGAGATTCGATTCACTCGGCAAGTTGAGCTGCGATCGCGCTATTTGCAATTGAGGTGGACCTGCAGCGGTCGATGCCAGCCGCATAGTAGATTCCAGTGACGCACTTTCAGATGTGGATTTCACCGTCATGCTGTCCGACATGCTATCCACGGACTGCACTGTCGGCGAAGTCGGGCTGTTCAATGTGGCTATGTGCTCACTGCCACTCACGTCGAGCACTTTTGGCTTCACGTAGCGAGGCAGTCTGTTGAATTGCGCCTCCAATGCCGAGGGTGCAGGTTTGTGTATTGCCTCGGCGATTCCAGGGGGCAGTCCCCTGCGAATCGCGAATGATCCTATTTTGGACCCATTTGAACCAGTAGATCGAATCGACAGCGGTCGTGGAACTGAAGGAATCGGCGGCACCTGTGTAGAGCAACACAGTTAGTTCTCGTTAGTCCCGGCCTTGTTGTTTGACTTACCCTTTGCTGGAAAAGAGGATCAGGGAGGACGGGCAGTATTTCACCCCCAGCGTTGCTGGTCTGGGGCCTGGAGATAGGCGAACTCGTTGTCGGTTGGTTCTCTAATACATTTGGATTCTGGTACCCATGCCACATCGACTGCTGCACCTGCTGTTGTAAATAGGGAGGCAGCTGTTGCAACAGGCTTTGGTACTGTTGTTCTAGACCTGCAGCTGCTGGGGGACGACTCCGAGGTTCCGACGGGGCGACGAATTCCAGGGTGCTGTAGTCAGGATTTAACGGAACGGCCTGTCGTTGGTTCGATGACGTCGTCGTCGACATATTTGGCTTCATGACTTCCCTTTCCTGTGTTTGTTCTGCCTCAGGGGCCAGGTTATGGTCAAGCTCGTGGATTTGGGCTGGGAGAACTGGCACAGAAGCCGGGTTATCTTGTGCTATTCGAGGACTGCGCTCCTGGAAAGTGCTCTGTGGCACAGGGCTATACTGTACAGCTGGGGGCGGCTGATAAAAAGCCGACTCCTTTGGAAATCTTTGCCCTTTTTCGTCACTCGTATAGATCGGTCCCGTTAAGTTCGCTCTGTACGGTGGCGGGTCCGCATTTGTTGACGGAGGGCTGTCCTCAAGTTGCTGGGATACAGCGCCTTGGCTTGTCTGTCTCTGCATAGGAAAGGGAAGAGCCGGCACATTATCTTCGCCTGGCGTGCGGCTCTTGGGCGCGTCGCTCATGTAAGATAATGTTGAATTCATGGAGGTCCTCCGCTGCGGCGCCAAACCACCAGATGGTTTACGGTCATGCCCCACAGCTGTCCTTGAGCTGTATGTGGTATAGGATGTGCCCGATTGAGTGTCGTATGGTCTTCCACCGAACGACGAATGCGTACTGCGGCTACTCGAATAAGCTAGCGATCCAGGCAACTGGACCTTGTCGGAGTCATCGATAGATGGACGGGCAATTTGCTTCATTGCCGCGGTAGCCGTCGACATGCGCTGGTAAAGCTGACCTAGGCATACTGTTGCATTGACCCGACAATCGTCTGATGTTTCCTTCAACATGTGGAGGTTTAGTGTTGCTTCATCCATAAAAACCTCCCTCAGATGCGAAATTACCGCCTGCTGCAAGTTGATGAGGATGTCTTTCATCTGCTCTCGGGCGATGGCGTCCCCTCGGGCATATGTCTCGCCAAAGCGACGAACGTCGTGGTCGTACAAGCTCTGCACCGCGGTACCCCCCAGCGATAGAGAGTCTTCCAGATCCTTTGTCAACTGCTCTGGCAGAATGAACTCCTCCGAAGCTTGTTTATTCTTGAGCCGCTGTACCAACTTTGAAGCATCGCGGTAGGCACCAACAACTGTACGCAAGACGGATTAGTGAGTGGTTTGAGGACAACTAGCTTGACTGAACGTGGCACTCCGTCATTCGGACTTCGGACATGTCGAGGCTGCAATCCTACTCAACTCGTAGAGTAGGTCCAGTTGATCGACAGTGTTGCACAAGCCGATCTCAGAATAGCATCGTCGGTGTAGCCTTGTCAACAATATTGAGGCCCCGTGCACGCCTTGTCCCAGCTGTCCGGAATATTGACCTATTCAGGCAAGACCTCCGACATCTCTCGTGCTTTCAGAAACATGAAGGGATGCTGACGAGGTTGTGGACCATTCGTTGCGAAGTAGAAACGACATGTACAGACTGAGTAGTGAACGGGGGAAGCTCACCAGCCTCAACACATGCTTCGATCGACATGACATCCATGGCTATCAGGCGTGATGCGCAGCCGCAATTTGGGTGTTGGTACTGAAGACAGGGAGGGGATATTCTGATCCTGTATCAACTCATCGACGCAACTTCAAAGCCTCAATCATGGCATAAGACATCAAGGGCGGAGGAAGGATGAGAGCGAACGCTCGGGCGAAAACATCAGCAGGAGGAAAGGTTGAAAGCCCGGGGAAAGTCTCGCTACTTGAAGGCTGAGGCTGAGTCCAGGCTATTGGCAATAGAAGTGCTCTACGCAAGTCCCGAAATGGCATTTCACTTTGTGGTCCAGCCTGCACACCGGCTGCCTGCAGCGATAATGGTTCGTATTGACGTGTGCGCACTCCGTCCAAGTTGATACAAGCGAGGCCTGTGCTAGTTGGGTCTCACAGCTGTAGCAGTTGTGGATGGTGGGCTGTACTACGTACAAAAGTCTCCATCCAGGGATGGGCAACCAGACATGGAAGCGGACTGCGAAACGGCGGGCCAGAACAAGATAAGGATTAAGGCATCGAGACGAATCGATTGGCACTGTGACGCGCTGTTTGACCGCCCAGAGATAGCTTCGTGGTTCATCCCCGGGGAGGCGTTCGCCGCCGCGGACGGTGGACTGCGGACAAGGCTTGCTGCACGAGGAACCCATGCGCAATGGCTCTGGGGATGGGTTAAACTAGGAAAGAAGAGTGCGGTTTTGGCACGCAAGGACCAGGCAAGGGGGACAGGGCGTCAACAAAAGCCATCTGAGCACCGAAGTCAGCGACCGTTCAATTGGCGCAGGGATCCTTGGGCTGACCTTGGCATGCAGCCGCAAAGCCTTGAGGACTTGGGACTCGGGCATGGAATGGCGTTCTGCAATCCCAGTGGCGGAAAGTGGCACTGAGGTGCTTGGAAGAGAGTTCGAGCTGAAAAGAGAACAACACGGCGAGCCCATGTCAAAGATAAGTGGCAGAGTCTGACGAGAGATAGCGATGAGGAGCAATTCACTATTGGCTCAAGGGTACCCATCATTAGGTATGCTCGGTCATGACAACCATATCCTCATCGCTTTGAACTGAATTCAGAGAGGGCATATGCATTTTGTCAGACTATGCCAATTTTATTCTTCCAGAGGCTCGATGGCTGTTTAGTTTGGTCGGGGAGATATTCTAGCGCGAAAACGTGGGTTGGGAGGAGAGGAATCGAGTCGTCAAGGTCTAGACTCGCGCCTCCATCTGCCTCTTCCCACTACTACCGAGTACAACTTGCCAGTGTCAACAACTTTCATCATCTCCTCATCTGACCGTGTTCCCCTGCAAGCTGCCCGCGATCCCCTGCATTGGTCCGAGAAATTACCGCTTTGTCAAAAACTGCAATCATCCTCGTACGTGATGATTGCTCCATGCGATCTACTCGTATCATTCCACGTGCAGAACATCCACATCCTAGTCGAGCATTGTGCCACATGCTGCCCCTATCGATAGATCCTAGACCATGGTACACGGCCCGAATCAAGCACCACTACTTTACAAGGTTCTGTGACACCGATCGAAAAAGTCCGGCAACCCCGAACAGCAAGCAATCCTCTAGCACAAATATCCCGCAAGCTTCCCGACCGCGAACGATCCTTTTGAGTCAAATACCTTGTTGTCGCGAATCGGTACAAGTGGGGATCTTGAGAAGCGAGAAGAGAAAACAGGGGCAGCTGCAGCAACACGGCGCGATGGATCCCTCGTGCACATTCGGTCCCTATGACTATGGGGCACTGACATAAAGACAACCCCAGATCCATGCAGACACATTTTGTCGTTCCCTCATAACTGAGCCTTGCCTGAGAGCAGGCGCTGAATGGCTTCATTGGTCAGAGGTGCGTACCCTGCACCCTCTCTCTCAATCCAAAACATTCGGTCCTTGGTGCCTTCTGGAAGCAAGAAACCTGTCGAGCAACAATAAGCAATGTGTTCTTGGAGAGGGTGTCATCTGGGGAGTGGCTCTCACCATCTTTTCGCAAACCTGTCTTCAACTTCTTCATAATGGTCGAGACTCGTTCGCTACCACTTTCACCGCTCAGACCACCTGAGTCTTGTGGCGCACCATCATGAACCAGGATTCGGACGAAGCGCGGCACCGCATATGCCGGCAGGGCGCTTTCTGAAGCACGCAGCCATTCTTCTAGTTGGGACATGATCTCCTGATGAGCTCGATCCGACTGCTCCAGAGGCACTCCCTTCAAAGTGATTGCTGCACAACCCAATTGTCCATCGTACCCGTAATGGTTCATTGGGATGGCATAGACGTTGACAGAAGCAATCTGGGGATGTCTACTGATCCATGCTTCTACTTCGGTAGTGGAAATATTGTGACCTTTAGCGCGATAGGTATCTGCCGGGCACCGTCAGCATTTTCACCATTCTTGTGCCCAAGGCAGAGGTCTCATCGATATTCACGTACCTCCAAGTCGGTCACGAAATTGGATGAATCCATCATGGTCCTGCAAGAGATGTTGGCTCAGCATACTCTCTCTCCAATGTTATGGCTTGAACTTACCATCACCATCGCATCCCCGAACCGAAGGTATTCGTCCCCTTTCTCGAAAACATCCCTCAGGGACTTTTTCAGAGTAGCCTCTGCACCACCCTCTCCGACGTAGTCATGGCGCCTCTGGAATGGAGGGGCGATCTTGGAAATGGCCTCACCCACCTCTCCCGGCTTTGCCTTGATGCAAAACCCTGTCTTGGGATCTCTCAGCACTTCGCCTGTCTCGAAATCGGCTCTGATGATCCAGAACGACCTCTGGCCAAACCAGTTACCCCGTAGTATGGGACCCCAACGGGCGACCTTTCCCACTCCGAGATCGTTCTTGTTCGAGTTCAGCACCGAGGCTGTTCCCTCGCTTGATCCGTAGTACTCTACTATCCAAGGAATGCCAAACCTCTCCCTGAATGCTTGCCACACATTGGGAGCTAGGCCCAGACCCAGGGCGAGATCAACCTGGTGATCTTTTTCGTTAGGGAATCGGGGATCTGGGGGAGACTGGACCAGATAGCGGAACATTTCGCCGATATAGACGATGGCATTCGCCTGGGAGCGTCGAATGTCGGCCCAGAACTCCCGCCGGGAAAATCGCCGTGCAAGAATCACGGTCGCGGACGACGTAAATGCCGCCGGCAGGCAAGCGAAGGATGCGGTGCCGTGAAACAGGGGCAAGCAGACATACCACCTTCTGTGGCTTCCCTGCATGAATGGCCACATTCTTGGGAATCCAATCAGATGTTCATGTCCAAGCGGCCACATCAGAGCTTTGGGCATCCCTGTTGTTCCGGACGTAAAGAGATATTGCCCGGCATCGGTGGGACCGACTTTTGGTCTCTTGTGTTTGGGGAAGTCGGCCATCTCTGGTCTCACAGGAGGCAACTCGTCGTGCTTCAGCAACAAGGTTCCTTCGAGGTGATGTTGAATCGGAGGGTACGAGTTGTAGTCATACAGAATGATCCTCGGAAGAGATGATGAGTCCAGTGTTGAAGACCCTTGGACAGCCTCGTCTTGCCCCAAAGCTTTCGCTAGGACATCATACAACTCGTAAGTTGTGATGCAGACCGTGGCTTCGCTGACTTTGAGACAGTGCTTGATATGGGTTCCCGTAATGGATGTGTTCACCGGTGCGGCGATGGCACCGAGCTTGTACAGAGCCCACCAAGAAAAGATGAACTCTGGCGAGTTGTTGACGAACATTGCAACCACGGTTCGGTTCTTGATCCCGAGCGCCTCAAAGGTTTCGGCCAGTCGACCGATCTCTTCACGTAGTTGGCGGTACGTCCAGCTCCGGCCTTCGAAGACGAACGCCTCCTTGTCGGTGTGGTGGTTCTGGTCATAAGTCGAATGTAGGATGTGGTAGAAGGACCAGTCGTCATCTCCGTATTTTGCGTACAAGTCCAGCGCGTACTTTTGGATATTCTTTGTTGATCGAATCTGGGCGAGGTCGCTGCGAATCGAGTATTTGGCATCGAGATACATGCCGATGCCCGTAAACGCCGCGGCGGCGCCAGCAGCGAGCAGCGCCATTGCTGCTTGTGGAAGGCCTGAGGTGAAGTCTTGTCAAAGGCAGTGTGGCACGATGAGGTATCGTAGTTTCAAACGAAGCAAAGAGATGAGACACACAACCTCTCTCTGTGTGTGTGTCTCTCTCTCTCCGTCTGTCCCTTACGACTCATTTTGGGAAGAGCCTCGGATATGGTGGAGATGTGATGGCAACGACTCAATAATAGCCGTATAAGCCGTTTTAGTGCGGATCTGGCACCGCGGCTGGGACGAGGTAGTGCAGACCGGTCCACTCATCGTTGCGGTCTCTCCGGGTACATTGCCTAGGTACATTGAGAGACTCTTCATTCTCCATGTCTCATTTTCCGTTTGATGAGAGGGGGAAGAATATGCGGGGCGCGAATGCCGGGGTAGAAGAAGGAAGGAAACCTGCGTCTCGCCTCATTTATGGTCGTCCGTATGTTCCTCGGTGGCTGTCAGGTGACGTATTTTATTCCGTCACGCAACTTCTCCAGACGCGTTTTCAAATGGGGATTGGCTTGTGGTCCTCTGGGAAATATTAGTACCGTGAACAGCGACCAGAACGACCGCACAAAAATCCCAGCGTCCGACCCCTCAACCGTCGGGATGGACGACAGCACAATCTACAACGACTCCCGGCACAATCTTTTGAGCTTTACGGAGCACTCCTCGTCAGAAGGGGTGTCGCCCTTGGAACAAGATGTCTTGGACGAATACGAGAGGTTATCGAGGAACATGAAGGAGGTGAGTCGCTCTCATCTCATCTCGGCGCGTCGCGTCGCGTGCGTCGTGTGTCGTCCATTCTACCCTACTGTACCCTATTCTATCCTACTCTACACTTTTCACCCGAAAGATCGGTGGGAGAGAGTGATATCCCATCCTGCCCGGGAAGCAAAGCAAGCGAGAGACGAAGAAGGGTGCCATCAAGTCTCCCTTCGTCGGATGGATGTGGATGAACGTCCTGGGGAGGGTTTCCCTTTTTGTGTTGCTTGGAAGGCGGCCGTGGAAACCAACTTACTTCTCTTTTACGTCTCCCAAAAAGCCAGTTCTAGTTCCATTTCCAGTTCCAGTTTTTGTTCTATTCTGACACAACACTGTTATTTTCCCCTCGAACAGCTCTCGTCCACGCTGGCCGACCTCTCCGGCGGACCCATCACGCTCGAAATCGCCGAGGGACTTCGGTTGTTGGAGCGCAAGGTCGCCAGCGTCTACACGCTGATGAAGGCGAGTGTGTACAGCATCGTGCTGCAACAGGGGCAGGTCGAGGGAGGAGACGATGCTGCCGGCGCTGCAGACAGATCGGATGATGATGGGGGAGAGGCGGCCGAGTAAATGTTTACGGTGCCAATTGGTGTCTTGTGTGTTTGTATTATGGATACCCCTTAGGGGAACGACATGGAGTAAACAGAACGGATACATCCATTGACGAGCGACGCGAACTCATGAGCCACGACAAGGACTTGTCAAACTGAGCGGCATGTTGGAAGTGTCGCCCTTTGCCGGTCAAAATTTTGTCCACCCTGATTTTGTACAAAATGCGACAGAGACGCAAACATGGTCTGCTGTCTAATGTCTGGTCCGGGAAAGCTAACATACAAAATCCCTGATCTATGTTTGGCCTGCATAGTACACTTTGCGAACATCCACCAACTTCTTGCCTCGAGCCCTTGCGATATCCTCGGGGTGCTTCTGACTCAACAGAGCCTGCACCGCAGCCTTGACTGTGTTCATAGGATTCCTCGATCGTGTCACGCGGGCGGATAGATCGTGGATTCCCGCACATCTGCAAATCTCCCAAATATACTGTTGACAACGGAGCCCGAAGCCTGTCAATGGTACAGTTAGCAGTGCAATCTCGCCACGGATTGCGGAAGAAAAGTACCTGGTGGTCTTGCATAGAGTTCCAGCTCGGTGGCGCTGACCTTAGCCTTCAGATCACCATAAATGGTGCGATTTTCGTACCGCAGAATGGGAACCATATTTCGGATAGCACGGTACTGACTCTGGACCAGAGCAGCAGAGCTTTCCTGAGACTTCCCTTCTCCGATACCAATGAGACCCTGACCGTTTCCGGCTATGCTTAGACAGTACATCTTTCTTATCTTGCCTAGCCTTGTCTGGTTCGTAACACTGTGGAAGATGAGGGTCTTGACCCGTAACTGCGCTATTTGTTTCTCGCTGTATCCTGTCATCTGCATCAACTGCAGGAGAGCAGGCGAAACGGCCCGTTCCTTTCTCTCCGTCCCTTCCTCATCTCTTTGAGATTTCTTTTTCTGGGGTTTGGCTGGCTCCGAAATTCTGGGCAAGTCCGGAGCAAGTGCAGTGGGAGGATTTCTCTCGGCCTCTTCGCGTCCGACGGTCATGCGGAGATTCTTGTCAAACTTATCCCATAGCTCTTGGTCATAGTCGTTTTCATTTTTCGGCTCGGGGATCTTGTTGATGAACTTGACAAAGTCGTCCTCCAGCTCTTCATCCGTCTTTAGCCTCGACTTGTCATCGATATTGGTCATCGGTGCCCGCACTGGCTTATCTACCACCGGATCGATCTTGGTCAACTCATCGTAGTATTTCAGCTTCCAGGGATCTGTCCGCATGCCAGTCTGCGTTTGCAGTTGGTCGAGATCGATGAGTTTCTGGGCTGCCTCGATTGCTGCTCGCTGCTCTGGAGAGTATCGCTCAGGAAGGGTGCCATTTTGGACCGAAGGAAACTCCCTAGCTTTGGCGTTGAGATCCACCCGGTTGATCTCTGCCTTCACACTAGGGAACCGCGGTTTTCGTTTCTGGTAGATGGGGGAGGAATGAAACTGGCGGCGAGGAAAGGACTTTGGGCGAGAGGATCGTGAAAAGAGGCAGAAAAGACACTCTGAGGACCGAGCGACACTCATAGTGTCAATGCAGCTTGGGGCTGCGCAACAGGGTCGAGATGTTATATGCAAGTCGGAGAGTCGAAGTTGGATCGCGAGGAAACAAAATTGCTGGGCGTGTCAATTGAGCTGGACCCACGCTAGTCTCTTTTGGGAATCTCGAGCGTGCGCCTCACATTCTTCCTGTTCAGAAAGCACTTTTCATGTCAACACACCCATCCTGGTCCCTTGATCTCAAACGAAGGCATCGGCTGCTACTGCTTTTTGCAGCGTATTGCCCATCTAATTGTCCCCCCTTCATTTGCCGATCCACATTCACGCCGCCCACGACTGTGGTCTGGTGACAAGGCTGAATATTTCATATTTTAATTTTGGAACCATCCCGAAAATGGAGCGATTTGATACCCAACTCCTAAGATTTAACAGGGACTCAATCTGTCATTAGATAGGGGATCTTGGATTCTCTGCTGATCAGTATCATCGACTTCTCTTCCTCAAGATGGAAGACTTTCCAAGGTTCATCATCGGGCACCATGACCCCAAGAGGCCCTTGCCTGTCTCGATGGACACCATACAAGATGCACATGCTGCAAATGTGAGAGCACTATCGCTTCTGAAGTGGCACATGTGGACTGACTTTGGACAAGTACGACATGGTCACAAGCCCCATCACGACTCCCCATTTCCATTCCCGGGTCTTGACTCTGCTGTCTTCATCGCTTGCTCTGCATTCAGAAGAAGACATCACAAAGACCAAAAGCGCTTCGCCTATTGTGATCCCACCATTAACTCCAGCGGATACTCCTTTGACCCCTGACGAGTCCATCAGTCAGACCATCGGCGTCACCAGTTCCTGGATCGACCTAGGCTCTCCAGATCCGATCATCGCAGATATATCTCGACAAGTGCTTCAACTGGAAGTGGCTTATGCTGCCTTCTGTGGACTCACATACGTATTGATCGCAGGCCCTCTTCTGCGTGGTCACGGTGTCTCCGACAGCGGAATTGCCCAATATGCGAGGGCACTCTCGGACGCCCTGAGCCAAGGTCCCTATTTGCAGCTATACATTTGGTTTCCGATGATCGACCACTCCGAGGAACACATTGACCAGATGGGCAGCTTGGCACCATTTGCCCGTCAACAGTTTCTCGAGCAGGACGAGGCCGAAGTCGAAAGATTGGATGTTTTTGGATCCTGGGAGGCGTGGAACATGATTAGATCGATATGTAAATATCCTGCGAGGTTATGTGTAGGTAAGCATAATACATCTCTTCTACCATCCACCCTGGCGTGTTCTATACAGTCATCTGGCGCTGACTGTCTCCAGCACTGTCGACACCAAAACTTCTCCCTCCAGTTCCCATCCAGTCAAGATGGTACTCGGAGCCCGTCCGGCTTATCACCCTCGACAAGGAGATATTTGCTAGGAATGCAAAAGGGTATCCCGTCCTGACTCGTGCGCATCAAGCCTTTGTTCTGAGATTCGCTCGGCTTCGCACGGCACCATGGTTCCTTCTGTGCGATGTGGGGACGATCCCTAGCAACAAAACGGACGGCAACACACTGAACCCATCGGCGACGGAGAACAATGCATTCCCTACCCTCGCCGAAGCAGCACAGAATCCAAATCTCAAGGACGCGACCCCTCACCTCTCGTACATGCGCAACTTGCAAACCAAACAGCCACCACAAACAGCCATTGATCGCTTCGGGGCCGGCTATCAAGATTACCTCCAAGCGCCCTTGCAGCCACTTTCTGTCAACCTCGAGAGTATCACTTACGAAGTTTTCGAGAAGGACCCGATCAAGTATGCATGGTATGAGCGCGCCATCGCTCGGGCCCTGCACGACTGGATTGAACAAGGAAAACCAACGTCCAACCCAGACGGACGAGTTGTTGTTGCTGTGGTCGGGGCAGGCCGTGGCCCGCTGGTCACTCGGGCACTCAAAGCAAGTCAAGATGTCGGCGTTGAGATTGACATGTGGGCATTGGAAAAGAACCCAAACGCATTTGTCCTCCTCGAGCGTCACAACAAGACGACGTGGAATGGCCGGGTAAATCTGGTGAAATCGGATATGAGGACGTGGAGGGGACCTATTCGCGCTGCGGACACACCACGACCGACTCGAAGATACAACACCTCCGCAGACAGTGACGATGACGACAACAATAAGAAGGAAAAGACTTCGGGGAAAGAAGATGCCACCCCTGGTGGTCCCGACGTGACCTTCACAGGATCACCTAGTCTCGATAGCACGAACCTACTTGCCACAACCGCCCAGACTACAGCCACCCCTACGCCGTACAAGATTGACATTCTGATCAGCGAACTCCTAGGATCCTTTGGCGACAACGAGCTGTCCCCGGAATGTCTCGATGGGGTCCAGCACCTCCTGAACCCCGTGCACGGAATCTCCATCCCGGCCTCGTACACGGCACATGTCACGCCGATCGCGGCGCCCAAGCTCCACGCGGACATCTTGCACGGAATGACCAGCAACGCCAACGCGAGCGAGACGCCGTATGTGGTCATGTTCAACGCGATCGACTACCTGAGCACGAAGCCGGGTGCTGCTGCGGCGGCGGAATTTGAGGCACAGCATAAAATGCCGGCAAGTGTGAGTACTATCCACCGTCGTCCGATTCCCGGCGATTTATCGAGTCCTACTTCCCCCTCCGAAACGGCAGACACGACCGCGACGCCATATTCCAAAGCGCACACTCGCCAGTCGGTGCAGCAATCGGTCTCCCCGCCCCCGCCACAAGTACCACCGACGCCGGTCCCCATCATCCAGCAGACATGGGCGTTCCAGCACCCGAACCCGGCCCTGCCCAGCCTGACGCCTTCGACCATCGGGACGACCACGACCGAACCCTCCCTCACAAACAGCCACAACGCCCGCTCGTGTCAGTTGACGTTCCCCATCCCGCATCGGGGCGCATGCCACGGGCTGGCGGGGTACTTTGAGACGGTGCTCTACAAGGGCGTCGAGCTGTCGACGAATCCGGAGACCATGGACCAAAAGAGCGAGGGCATGATTAGTTGGTTCCCGATCTTTTTTCCCTTGAAGGTGAGTTGATAGCCATTGACTTTGCTCTCTGTCCTTACTCCTTCGTTCACGACTGCGACTATTTTTGTCTTTTTCCTTTTTTGACTCCCATCTCTTTCCCTCCTTGTCATTCTCCTTTCCTGTCCCTGTCCCGGTGTAAAGAAGCGAATACTAACCACTCGTTCCCTACCGCGGAATGAACTCGACAGACACCCCTCTTCCTCCCCGACAAATCCGAACTCACCCTGACAATGTGGCGCAAGACCGACGACCGCAAAGTCTGGTACGAGTGGCTCGTCGACGTCTACGTCTACATTCCCTCTCCCGGTCCTGCGTCTACCCCTGTACCTGTACCTGTGTCTCAGACGCCAACTCACTCTGGAACCACGGCGGCGGCAACGCAATCAGCAGAGAAGAAGAAGAACTCAGAAGACGGCAGCAGTGGAGACCAGGACAAGGCCCAGAGGAAAAGTGTCCCACCGCCGGTGGCGACGGCAGCAGCAAACTCAGCACATCGCATTGGCGGCGCTGCTGTACGAGGACAAGGCCGCGGACGTGGACGCAGAATGCGAATCGGTGGGAGCGAGCTGCACTCGTCGGAGAAGGAGGCGTGTTTGATGTAAGGCTGTCAGGCGGTCGGCATGGCAGGCATGGTAGGCATGTAAGCACGTATGGATTTGAGAAAAATGATACCTACATGCCTATGATAGGTACCTAGGTTATGACAAAGTATTTTGGCAAAGCAAAGTAGTGAGCGGGTTTACCTTGATGGGCATGTACACACACACTCACTCATCGTGACGAGCAGCAACTACCACTGTCAGGTCCAGTCAAGTCAGGTCAGACATGAAAATCGGGTCGGGATGCATTGTTTTCTGCCATCCTTCACATGTAGATATATGTATGTACGAGGTATGTAGCAAGAACCAAAGACCAGAAGACCCGTCGCCCACCTCGCCCACCTGGCAATAGCAAAGTCTTTTCTCTCTCGCGACTCGCGCGTTGCCTGTATGGCTCCCGTGCCCCGATATTCCCTGCCCAGCCCAGCCCAGAGCATGAAATTCTTGCAGCTTCTTGACTATGCGATTTGAAGCAAATCTGTGGTTCCCATGTTCCCTTGACGCCCATGACTGTCGATCCCTCTGCAAGATCTGGAAGTTGCAATTTGTAATGCCCTTGTCCATTTCCCAGTCTATACCTAGACTTTGCCGTTTCAATCAACGCAGCCGTGTCTTCGGGGGTACGTACCCTCGTCTCATCGTCTCATGTTGTCTTCTGTCCATTGACACCGTTCACGTCACCGTCGCTCCCGGAAGCAACTGTTGGCTTTGAATCATCCTTTACCGCCTCCACAGCGTCATGAATCCGTAGACTCTCCACTCCGCCTAGCAGCTTCTTCAGGTTACCAGCACCGTTCTCATTTTGCCCTCCTGTAGCCTTGACGCCAGAACTAGGAGTGCTTGAACCGCTAACCTTGGCGACATCCTCGGTTAGACCTCTCCTGATGGCGAGCACGTTGTCCACAATAACCGCATCGATCCCCTGCTTCACTTGCTTCCTCACCATCGCGCTGTCGTTGTTCAGCGTCCCATAACTCACGCATACAAGTCCACTTTCCTTGACAACCTTGACCAGCCTAGGCGCGGCGACGAAAGGTTCTGCCGCACTGACCACTCCAAGCAGATTCCAACGGCTGGCGAAGCGAATCGCTTCTTGCAGTGAAGTGGCGCGGATGTCGCCCGCAGGACTCGTGCCAGAGTCGGTCAGGAACAGCACTGGAATGCTGGGCTGCTTGAAGGACAGCAGAAGACAGATGTCGGGGTTGAAGCTCGAGAAAATGATGTTTCTTCCCTTGCCCAATTCATACACTTTGGCAAGCACCGTGTCCACAAATGAGTTCAATTCCACGGCATACGTGTCCATCTCCTCGTCCTCGCTTTCGTATAGCATGGGGTACTTCATCTCAATGTTAAAGCCCACTTCTTGTGGAATCTTCTTGAACATCTCCTCGAGAGTGGCAAAGGGCGCTTGGATATGGTTGCCTCGAGTGTTGCCCTTGAATCCTTTCTTCTTGAAATCGCGCGTATGTTTCATTCGCTCATCCATCTCAAGAGACTCGTTGCTGGTAGCCCCGCTCACAGACATGGATCTTAGTCTGCTTGCTCTTATGTCTCGCTCGACGCTCTTCAGACTGGCTGTTTTCGGCTTTTCAAAGGGTACAGGTGAAGCTGGTCTGGAATGGCGGGGTGTTCGCATGTCGTTGACGTGGAGGAATTGCTCGAGTGTAAGAGTATGCACGGGAGCATCGATACCCGTTTCACTGACGAGGAAATCGTGATAAATGACCGGCACGTGGTCTTTGGTGAGCTGCACATCAAACTCGACGTACGAAGCACCCAGACTGGCCGCCGCGATGAAGGATTGAATGGTGTTCTCGCCCAGCTGAAGAGATCTGCGGCCGGCGGCAAAATTCTTGCCCAGTCCACGATGGCCAATGACCATGGTCGATGCCATACTCCTCCAGTACGTTTGGTTTTCTGTTACTGACATATTAGGATGTTTGAAGGGTGTGATGACGAGAAAGTTGAATGTGACAGAGCCAATAACCTCCAGATCGCTTGCCGCAACAATCGGAACCGTTACATCGCCTTGTAGTGACATCTTTTTGGTTCCAACACTCGACTTGATGCTTGAAAGCAAGGCAACACCACGTCCGACCACGCGCTCTTGAGAACCAGCATAAGTCGGGATCAGATCAAAGTACAGTTTAACCTTGGATGGGTCGGCTGCGTGGAAGACAATTGGTTCTGTCGAAATATTGTCTTGGACTGGGAGGTCAATGACTTCGGGTTCACCCTCAGCAGCTTTGGCCGAGACGACAATGGAAAGAGCTGTGTCAAGCTGTGTAGAGTGAGCACTTGACAGGGGGATTCGGTCAAGGTTAACCGCACGGATACTTTTGCGGGTGTCCATAGTCCCAAGGCTGACCAAGATCATGCTCTTGTCGGTCAAATATCGATGACCAAAGGTCTTGACAGCCTCAGTTGTCTTGATTGTTTGCCCATTTGACCCCAGACCATTGGAGTTCCGTTCATTCAGCGATGACAACAGTGGAGGAGACGTCGAAGCGAGGGAAACGTCCGCTTCGTTGTCCGCTTCATGCATGACGCGGTCGAGCCTCTGTGCTATGTCGACATGCCCTCTCAGAGCTGCATGCTCCTTTGCATTCCAGCCTGACGAATCCAAGCGCTCTAGATCAGCTCCATGATCAATGAGCAGCTCCACAACTGGAGGATGGCCGTCGACACAAGCAATGAATAATGGCGTCCATCCATAAGTCTTCTCAGCCAGTTCGATATTGGCTTTTTGCTCATCGGTGCCCTCGAGTAGCAGCCTGGCGCATTCTACATGGCCGAATCTAGCAGCCACGTGGAGCGCCGTATCGCCTTGCTCATCCTGGTAATTGATGTCGACGCCTGCTTGTATAAGAAGTCGGACGATTTCAATGAAATTTGTTTTGGTAGCCAAAGCCAGAACAACCGATGACTTGGCTGATCTTCGCTTGATAGAGGGGGTCATGCTCTTCTCGGCATCGAGTAAAGCTTTGGTTGTCAGTGGATGACCGCCAATAGCGCTGAGATGCAAGGGTGCCCATCCGTCATCGTCCTGCCATTTGGGACCGTCAATGCCTTCTGTGACGTCGAACAATTTCCACGCCTTGAGATGCTCAATGATGATCTCACACATGACCCGAATGCCATACTCTGCCGCAAAATGTATAGGCGTTCTCCCGGCGCTATCTCTCGCTAATAGAGCTGGCCGTTGTGATGCTTTGAGGTGATCAAGCAGGAATTGGAGGAATACAACGGCCTCGTCTTCACGCGTCACATTTTGCACCCGCTGATCTTCCTGTAAAATCGAGCGCTTCAAGGCAAGGGACGGATGCGTCGCAGGAGTGATAAAGTTGTGGAGGTCGGCTTCAGCATCGGCTTGGGGATCGGTCGCGGGCTCCTGGCTTGCGTGCGACTGCTTGCGGCCTACCGAGACTATAAGACGATGGATGCAATTGCGGCGATTGATATCGTCTTGAGCATCCAGAAAGACAAGTTCGCGCAGCAGGCACGCAGCACAAGCCCGACTCCGAGAAGAGATTGCCCTCTGAAGGAGATTGTTCAGTAGTGATTGCACCGCTGCGTCTGTGTTTTCGGTTCCCGGTTTCGTTATACCCATGATCCATTCTTCTAGGCTTTGCGCATCGTCTTGACGGATCTTGATCTCGATTTTGGCCAACTGCTCCACAGATATGTTCAAAGAAGGCCGAGATGTTGTCCGTTTCAACGACCCTGAGGAGATAGAAGCAACGTCGTCAGCGGTGTTTGGAGCGGCGGCTGCCACCTCACTCAAGACGGAGATCCAGTCATTGATTTTGTTCAACGATGTAAAGAGCTGGGTATTTGTCGCAAAGGCCGACGGATCCACCTTCAGCTCGAGGTATTTCTTTTGCGCATGGGCCGCGGGTATTCTTTTGTCCAACTTCTTTGTGATTTTGATAAAGCCCCTCCTGTTGACTTCTCCATACCATTGTAACTTTCTCAGGTCGCCCCGGAGTTCCAGAAGCGCCGCAAGGAGGTCTTCACGTTCATCTGCGTCGAGCTGGGTTGCAGCCTGAGGCGAGATTCCATATCTATCTTCAAGAAGTTTCAGACGTCGTGAAAAGTCCTGGAACTTTTTATTGTAAAAGTAGTCCACGTCCTCGAGATTCCGGTCCAAGGTGTAGAAGAATCCTAGAATACAATGAGTGTCACGACGGTTGGTTTTCATGTCAACCCAATCCTACCAGCCAGATCGGGAATATCTCCATCTTGCTTCTCTCCTCCCGCCGCCGCAGCAGCCTTGATGAGCTTCTTCAGGGCCTTGTAGTTTATGTAGGACGATGCCCATTCCGGGACTTGGTTTCGAGGAAGATTCCGACCAAACTTCATGGCGTTCAGGACCTTTCCCGACTCAATCTTTCAAATGAGGTCTAGAATTGCAGACTCGCCTCGGCGTGAGGGACAGGGGGAGGAAAAGTTAGAAGGGAGGAAGCATAGGAGCTACTGAAAGCCCTGGAAAGAGCGGCTACAGTCGGACGTTCATTCTGATTCGTACGCGGAGGACAGGAATGAAGGGATGGAACCGTGAGCACTTGGCCATGCTCCTTGGATTAGAGCAAGGGAGGACGAAGATGCACTGTGTGACATGTGGAGGGGCAGGTGAAGGTACTCGTAAAATTTGAGTGAAAATGTGTCCCCGGGTTCCTTGTGTCGCACGCTTACCGCTTGCCGCTTGCCGCTTCGACCGCGGAGAGAAGGATTTGAGCCTGTTTGTGACTGACGGGGGAGTACGGGTGAGGAAAAGTTTTGTGCGACGGTGCTGATTGATGAGTGAGTGAAAAGAATGGTGATGGAGGCGTGTTACAGCTCCAAAAATTCATTGGCCTCCGCAGTTGCTTTGGTGACACCTGGCCTGATTGGTTGACCCAGACCGCTCTCCCCTGGCCGTTTGACCGCCCACGCAGCCCGATGCTTTAAGCGCGGTTAGGTGTCGACACTATGACGTTGAAGCCCCGGCTGTGGCGATTCTGGCATCCCTTTGTAAAGTCAGGAGGCTCTCCCTTTGCCCCTAAAAGTACCTCGTATAGGTAGATCATGCGCCCTCACGGATCAGGTCACAAACATCTCGGTCAAAAATTAACCGAACAGAGAGACAAATGGAAAATGTTTCCACGAGCTCAATCCATAGTATAGAGAGACAACAGAGACAACGAGCGAGCGGCTGGCCAATCTCCCCTCCCTAGTCTCCAGTAGTCCGCTGTATATCTGTACATGCGCTGTTTTGGAAATATCTCAAACGCCGCATATGCTTGGAGACCCCAGAATTCACAGCGTGCTTTCATCATCATCAAAAGGGACGAGTGAGCCGCTTGACCTTCGTGTCTCATGACATGTTTTATCCTTTCCGTGCGCCCCCTAACGCCCATGCACCACCAGTAAATGACCACCATGAAACGGGCAAACAAGCTTTCTTCAATGAGTGAGAGAAACAAAAAAAGTCCATCACCATCACCGCCCAATTTGCGTGGTTGCGCTGTCTTGCATCACGATCGCGTCTTCGTCGTCGTGGTGCAGTGTCACACTGTTGAATTCCAGGAATGGATCCGCAATCTCTCCTCCAGGTGTCGCCAAAGCCGAATCCAGTGGGACCCCCTTTAGTCGGCTTGCCGGGCCTCCGATATCGACACTGCCGCTATCCTTGACCGTTCTGAAGTTCACTGTGTCAAGAGCCTTGCCTTGGTGAGGAATCATAGGTGGCTTCATATGGCGGAGAAGAGCCCAAGTTATAGGTCGGAAGAACGGATGATTTTTGACGTCCGAAGCACCTGCCCGAGAGCCCAACCGTTTGACCTCGTCTTTGATCAAAAGCTTTCTGATAAGCGACTTGCAGAGGCTTGGAGAGGTCAGCAAAGATCCCGAACCTCGGATAAGCAATAAGTACTTACTTGCTGACCTGGGTCACGTGAGAATGGTCAGGGAAGGGCACTTCGTCCCTCAGAATGTTTGCAAAGGTCGCGTTTCGGTTTTTACCCTTGAAAGGGGTTGTCCCAAACAGCATCTCATAGATCAGAATGCCCAATGTCCACCAGTCAACCGCACTAGTATGCCCATTCCCTTTGATCACTTCGGGAGCAATATACTCTTCCGTACCGACAAAGGAATTCGTGCGGAAGTCGGCGATGCACGACTTGGTGTCGACCAGAGGATATCCGGTGGGGTTCGAGGCGTTTCGAGTCCCCAAAATCATGGTCGGCGCACCTCCAGAATCCGATTGCTTAGATAAATCAAAGTCGGATAGCATGATGTGTCCTGACTGGTGAAGGAGGATGTCTATGATGGTCAGTACACTGGGAGCAACATTGGGGTCGAAAGCACTTACTTTCGGGTTTCAAATCACGGTAGATAAAACCCATCAGGTGCAGATACTCCAGCGCGGCCGTGACTTCGGCGGCATAGAACCGCGCATCTTCCTCGCCGACGCATTTGTTTGGTCGAGTTTGTAAAGCTCTGAAAAACTCGCCTCCGCTACAATACTCCATGCACAGGTACAGGTGATCTTCGGACTGAAAAGAGTGATACAGGGTAACAATGAAAGGGTGGTTGCTCGTGGCCAGAATCTCCTGCTCAGCAAGTGCTCTCTTGATCTTGTTACGCTTGATCATTTCCTTCTTGCTCAGCACTGGAAAGAAGTCAGCGTTGCGTCCGTTGGGGAGCTATGGAACGGGCAGGACTAACCTTTCATGGCATATAGCCGGTTCGATTTCTTCTCGCGCACGAGGTATACTTTACCAACATCGCCCTTGCCGATCAATTTGATCTTATCGAAACTGTGCGGGCCTACTTCGACATTTCGGACTTTGATCGAATTGGAGCTGTAGGTCCTTCGAAAGGCGGCGGACTGTCGGATCTGTCCCGGTAACGGAATCTTGCCAGGCTTAGGTGGGAGGCTATGGGTGCTCGAGTCCTCCTGAGGAATCATACCCAACCTGGGCGATGAGCCATTGACCACAGCCAGAGGCTCCTTTCCTAGTTCCGCTGTAGACGGACGCTCCGTAGTTGGCTTGTTCCCACTGAAAAGACCCTGGGCATTTGGGGCCGAAGCCACTCTTCTCAACTTCCGTGCCAATTCCTCCTTACCGGCTGTGACCGCCTTCTCTTCCACCGCTGTACCATTCACATGAACTTTCGGTGTATCTGGAGGCGAAGGCGGAACGCTGCCCTCATTGTGGTGGCGCAAGGTAGGAAGGCCTTGATGGACGAAGTAGGGGTTGGCCTGAGCCGTTGGAGAGGCGATGGCGTCGTCGAGAGGATGTCCCTCACTAGCAACAGTAGTCGATCTATTTCTATTTAAGCCGGGGAGGAACCTAGACTGTTTGACGGGTTTGGATTCAGTCTTGGGGGTGGGCAACCCATCCGAGCCTATCGAGGTCTGACTTCCACCACTATTGATACGGAAGAAGTTTTTCAGCTTGGTTGTAGTCGGAGTGTGAGTACCGGTGGCCGGTTCGCCGTTCAGATGCTTCTTCGAGGAGAAGGACAAGGAGGAAAAATTGCGTTTCTCAGTGGTGGCGGCCATGATGCTGCAGGGTGCCAATTCAATGGATCCACAGAATCAGTGTGTCAAAGGAGTCGAAAGCTCTCTGCTCGGTAGAGAGGTAAATGTGAGGGGGAAGAGAGCCCTTGGGTTCAGACAGAGGGAACGGGGCGAGCAAAGAGCGGACTTGGGGGCTGTTCTGAAGAGGTGAGGTTCGGATAGGGCGATTTTTGGTGGTACGGAGGACGGACAAGGGACGAACGAGGGAGGGAAGGAGGATCGGATGCGGCTAGGGCTAACTGTGGTGCGCCATGTCAGGATTCTGTCCTCGGATGAATATGGACGACACTTGGACTTGTCCAAGTGAACGAAGATGGTGATTCAACCCGTGGGATAGGGGGGTTGGGTGGTTATGGTATTGCCTTTTGGTTGAGGTGAAGTAAAGAACTGAGAAATGAATGGGGATTGGGGGTGGTGGAATTGATAATATGGGTTCAAGTCACTTAGTAAGTTGCGGCTGGAGGAATTGGCAGGGACCGCAGGCGGGAGTTGCAGGTGTCGGTATTGGTACTATTTAGTAGGAGGGAGTGGGTGGGATTATTGGCGTCTGCGATTATGGTCGCGGTCGCAGTCGCGGTTGTTTCTCTCGCCCTCTCTCGGTACAAAACGGTCTCTCCCTTGGCTTTTCCTTTGGCTAAACCTTATATCTCCAACTTCTACTTGTAGAGGTGAAGGGGTCATGGAGGGGTTCGTTTGCTCTTCTGGGCATTATGGAGGGGGCAAACAAGGTCAATCAAAGTATCCAAACAGTCGTGACAACCTGGTGAATACCTTATAATATGAAAGTGTCCATACCCCGCCTGCGTCCCTGCCTGCGCCTTGCCTGCGCCTTTACCTACAAGAATAATAGAGAGTGAGGCACCCTGGGCACCTCGTATTAACGACACCAACGAGGTACCGAGTACAATGATCTCCATTTCCATCTCCATTCCATCTGCCCTGCCATGGCTTGCTTGACCTGCCTGGACGGGCCTGGCCCTTGATTGTCAGGTCTCGAATCGGATGTCTTCATGCCCACCCCCTTCGTCACCGTGCATCCTCATATGCATATCAACTCCTTCTCCTGCCTTTGGTGCGCCTCGATTGATTTCTCAGCACAAGAATTTTCCATCTCGCCACCAGCAGAACATCCACCACATCCACCAATTGGCTAAATCTGGACTCCCCATACTCCTATCTCGTGCCTTCGTTGTCTCTAACCTGAGACACCTACCCAAAAGGCACTCTGGGCGTCACATAATAATACAACAACGTCACTCAATTGAGAATCAGGGACGTGACAGGTCGAAAAGTGACATGTTCATTCAGCCTTATTCGTACTCACAGATATCCTGCTGGCACTTCCTAGCCACTGTTTGTATCTTGCTCCTCACTGTTCTGCCTTCCAATGTCGCCCAGTACTTGAATACACGTGCATGTCGTTCACTTGTTCACAGGTCGCCTGTCACCTGCTCAATACCAGCCTCTGGCACCCATTCCACAATGCCCTCATGATCATAACCAGGTCAAGCCCCCAATGACAACTTTTTTTCTCTTTCCGTTTGTCTTGCAATATTCGGTGACACGATACAACCAACCATGATTAGGTCCCAAGCAATGTCACCCAATAGACATGTCCAATTCCTGCCGTATCATACACTCCTGAAAAGAAATAGCCTGGTATTCAATTGGAGTTTCGCCACACAATGTGTAAAGACCCTCTTTGGTCCGTCTTCCGTCCTTACATCGCCTCTTTTCTGGGAACCCGGGCCAGAAAACCATCTTCGTGCCCCACATTGATGGCACGAGCCTCTCGAAGGTACGACTCATAGAAAGCCTCGGGAGGTGGAACTGCAGTTGGCATCAGGTAGGGAGGGGCAGCTTTGCTGGCCGCGGAGAGCATCGACTTGGCCGAGAGTCTCTGACTGTCACTGGTGCCATCCAACAAGTGCGGGAGACGCCCCATGGCATGAACGTTCTGGATAGAAATCGACGAGAAGCCTTTGTTGTTCAGAGCCTCAGATCCAGTGACTCGGCCGTTCCTCAAGTGCTCGTTCGAGATCCATCCGCTTCTGTCTTCTCCTCGCAACCAAATCGATGGGGATGACGCCGACGACTGCTTCAGAACGGACAAACTTGGGTCAGAACTGGTCGATGGCTCCACTGTCGATCTGTAGCCCCTGCGAACAAATCCAGGAAGTAAGTTCTGAGTACTGGACGCTGTCAGTTTTTGATTTCAAGCCACCAGACAGGCATCGGAGGAGCACATACTAAGCTGTATCCCTTGCCACGGTCTTATAATCGCTGCGGTTTCCATTTGACGCTGCGGGGCTGTGGCTCAGCAACCCTTCTCTGGGATTTTCTTTCAGCCGGTTTTCATGGCTATGAGAAGATAGTTAGCCCAATCTTCTGGCCGATTCAACTACCAACATAACAAACCTTTCCAGACCAAGAGCTTTGAATTCAAGTCTGTCGACGAGGCTGGAGGCTTCTCCCGAAGCTCGCACCTCCACAAAATTATCCCACATCTCTCTGGTCACGGTGGGCTTCTTTGTCCAATAGCGCTTTTCAAACTCATCCATCTCGAATGATGGTGGACGCTGCAAGCCACGACCCCGAATCTCGGTAATAGTGCCGTCGGGCATTCGTACCTTGCTGATCACTCCAGGAGGGAGTCGCATGGCGTCGAGCTGGACCTCATAGCAGGCTTCCACAGTAGGTGGAGCACGACCTGGTTTAGTCGGCAACCACTCCTCACTATCCGAGCAAATGTCAGTCATCTGTTGGGCCTCTTGCATTTTGACAGAATTCTCATGAGGACTGATTGATTGTGAGCTTGGTCCAGGAGTGACAACGAGCGCATTCTCGCTGGAGCCCAATGGAGAGATGCTGGCTTCACGGACCAATCTTTCCAACATTTGACTCTGCTGTCGTTGGATTTCTGGCGGCGGTGGACCGATACGGAGGCCCCATTCATCGACCTCAATCTCGACCTCGTTTGACTCAATCTTTGACCCGGTTCTACCATTGGCATCCTCCTTCGAACTTGGCGAATCCTCTGGAGGTGGCACAATTGGAATCGGACGACGCGTGCTCCTCACGTCAAACTTGGGCCTCTCAGCCTCGAATTGCATCATTTGGGGGACTGGTCCACTCCCAGTGCCGTTAGGATATCTCTCAGGCGAGGGATGGGTAGTCAATGGAACGTATGTAGCGGCTTCCACATTGAGCGTGCTGTTCGGCTGATGTGTGACATTTTTTGCAAGGCTCTTGGGATCGACACCTAGCTGCTCTGACCAATAAGTTATTTGTGACTTGGCTTCCGATCTCAACTGGACAATTGTCATGCGCTGATCCCTAATGTATGGATCAGGATCAGGATCTGACATGGCGCGAAGACGGTCCATGGCTTTGAGTTGCCGATCAAACTCCTCAAATTGTGCAGTGGATTCAGAAAGCATTTGTCGACTATATGCATCCTCTCGAGCTTGAGAATCGGTAGGAGTGGTGATGATGCCACACGATGGTGGGACGCTCAGTACCTGTGGATTGGGCACATAAGGCGCTGGGAAAGTGAGACCGAATGTGTTGTTGAAGCCAGCCAAGGGCATTGCGCCACCCGCCGAGTACATTTGAGGGCTCTGCAAGAAGTACGCATCTCCTGGAACCGGTGTAAAGTACGATGCTGATGTCACCGCTTGCAGATAGTTTGCCTGGTGAGCACCGTCGTAGGCAAAGACATTGTTTGGCGTCAGGAGATTGAAGTTGGCGGTGGTGGCTGTTCCACATGCATCCGTAACCCCACCGGTGCCAGGCACATAGGGGATGAACTGTGGCTGGGGTGAAGGGATGTTGTTGTCCGTGTCCGCTTCTTTTGCCTCGCTCTGGCCAGACGCACTCGGCTTCGTGACCCCGTTGACTTCGTCGCGTGTGTTTCTGCGGTCTGCTTCTGTGCCTTGGCTGGATTGCGGCAAGGTAAAGACAGGGGGCCGTGTACGCTGTTCCATTGGTACGATTCGACCACCAGCAGTGACGCGTTGGTGGGTAGGAGAAGAGTGTTTCTTGAGAAATCGAGCGAAGCCTTCATCTTGCTGGGCACGGCGTTCAGAGGGCGGAACTGTTGGCTGTCGCTCAGGTGCCTCGACAATGCGGTTGCCTCGATAGAGGATGACTTCTTCTTGGGAGCTGCTCGACTCCTGCGACCAGCCACGAGGCCGGTCGCTCGAACCACGTCGAATGGACATGACGCAGGCACCCAATGGAGGGACGACCCCGGCTGTACAAGAGTCAACATTGTCTGTGCCTTGGCATTGGAAATGACAGACTGAGACTTACCCCGAGCTGCGTCGTACGTGAATTTGGACAGATCAAAATGAGCAGGCCTGGCTTGAGGTGCTAGTTCAAGCAAGCGTGAAAGTGTGTATCTGCGCTGCCGACGAGATGGGCTATTTAGGCGTTGGTTAGTCATATTGGCTCTATGTCGTGTTTCAAGGCGCAAGTGAACGTGCAACTGAATAGCCAAAGAGAGACCAAAAGCGATCACCGCAAGAGATTGGGACAACAGCACAGCCGTCAAGGGGGATCATGTGTAGACGAAAGTGAGAGTGAGTGTGGTGGCTATCTTGGGGTCGCGGGTGAACAGGAGGGCAGGGGCTGCCGCTTCCTTCATTTTTGTTTGTCTGAATGAAAGAGCGAGCCGCCGGGAGAAGGGAGAAGGAAGGCGCGACAGATGTCTCTACTCACCAAACAAGTCTGACCTTCCAACTGGTCGCGCGCCGGTGATGTTGCTGGTGGTGTTGTCCAAGATGAAGAGGCGGCGCGCTTGACGGGGTCGGACTGTCGTGCGCAGTGGTTGGGCATGTGCAAGAAGAAAGAAACTTGTCAGAGGTGAGATTGAAAACAAGAAAAGAATTTTCACAGCTAGGAGAATAGTGAATATTCTGATATGTTTTCACTTGTTTGCTTCCTAATTAGCCATGTGTTTTCTTCGTTCCAGCCCAGCGGACGTGTAGGTGTGGCAGAAACCCAGTCGAACCCAGTCAAATCCCGACAAATAACTCCAAAGCGCCGCCTTGTCTCGATTCATAATCATCATACATGGTTGTGCGGAGCGACAGCAGGCGTGAAAGGATTGATCGGCATATCGTCCTCTTCATAACTTGGTCGTCGCGGTTGACCTGCAACTGGATTGAGGACTCGCCCCTGGGCCTCCTCAGCCTTTGCTTGGTCTCTGAGTTCCCAGCTTCCAACACGTTCGTGGCCTCTCACAGGAGCTGGATGGGCTGGATCCTCACTAGCAACCACAACGGCGCCTACACCGCCCTTGGACAGGGTGAGATCCTGGTCACTGGCGAGTTTCGCCCCGCCCTTGAACCCTCCCAACTCGGACCTGCGTTTGGTATGGACCCGGTGGATTCTCACACCTCCAAGCAACATCACCATAGCGAAAAGGAGAAGAGCCACTGCGAGAGTGACAACAGCTCCAATGACACCAGCCACGACTGGCGATAGGCCATGACGGCTGGGAGAAAAGCCAGTGGTTGGGTTGAGATTCCCATCCGTGCCGGTGAAGGCCGGGCAGAAGACGATGAAACTATTGCAGGTCGTGCACCAGTCCTCCACGCTGAACATCATGAAATTCTGCAAGCCGGCAATGAAATCTACAAAGGTGATGCTGGTCTGACTGGGGCTGAGCCCAAACAGAGGATACTCCACCAGGGACGAGTAAGGTCCTGTTCCGTTTTGGTAGAGGAATCTGACAAAGAGGTCCGATGTGTCTGGGTAGGTGTCGATTTCTTCAGATTGTAGGGTGTACAGCTCGAAAATGAAACTGGAACCTGGCTCTGGAACATTGTAAAATGCTGCATTCTGAGGGGAGACTAGCTGAGCGAGAGCTGCGAATGCGACCATGGGCTCGAAGCTTCCAAAGAATAAAGTCATCTTGTCTGAATTCCCCTGGGTGTTGATGGTCGTGTAGAAGGCTTGAAGGATCCTCGTGGCGAGGGTGCGACCAGCTATCGCTCGTATGTGGTCACCAGAAGTAGACCCTGAAGCCGCGACGTCGGCATTCAGAGCAAAGACCCAGTCGTCAGACAGGATCTTCGCTTTGGTAAGAACTTCTGGGGACAGAAGCTGTGCCGCACTTGTATTGTGGATTGACGCATAGTTGAGATAGTCATAGATGTAATATGCATCATAGTAGCCGACGGATGCGTCTGAGAAAATTCCATCCAGAAAGTCCGGCTGCAGACTTTCATAGAATTCCCTCGTACTGTTCTGAATGCTCTCAAAAGACCCAGTGCCATAGTAGTCATTTGTTGATGCGACATAAGCAGGGCAATTGCTCATTCCACTGACCCAGATCGAGTTGAGATCATTACCGGACACAGAATTGATGTTCGGATACTGATAGCCGTTGAGGGGAGCCACCAGATTTGTACCATTCTGGATAGTACTTTGACCAGCAATATAGGTATAGTTGGAAGAGGTCTGCAGTGGCGGATACAGTCCTTGAAGGAATGCTTGAGCGGAAGCAAACACATACTGATCGTCAGTCGACACAATGCTTAGTTGATTGTACTCCAACTGATACGATGCGATGCCATGGATCGCCGTCGACTCAGCCTCGCCGTTGACCGGCACCAGATACCTCTGACGAACCCTGTCACCAGCCTCGAAAAGTTGTTGAGCACCAAGAGGCGTCAAAGTAGGCGAAATGGGCAGGACAAAGGGGGTTCTATCGCCATATCTATCCCATGTCAGCTCATTCCCTGAGATCCCACTGCCCGGAGTATTCTTGACTAACCTGGTATAGATGAAAGTGCTCAGGACCTGTTCCTTGAGGCCTACCTGGGCAGTAGCGGTGAAGCTCAAGGCGAGGAGAGACAGACACAAGGCATTGAGGGTGGACCTTGCACCCATCTTTACTAAACGATCTAGGCCAACATACGGCGATTCAGAACAAGAATCAGTCAGTAGCACTCACCAGAGAAGCTGAGAAGCAGAAGACAGTTAGAAGGAGCAGCGGGGTTGAGCCAGCATTATGAGGTGATTGAGCATGAGGCTGCAGGACAAGAGCTCCAGTAGCTCGATCAGGTTATGACAGCATTTGCCTGGAGGAGCTCATGAAAGCAAGCTCTAACGAGGCAAGCTTACTCATTACAGGACTGAGTCTCATGATCACAGCTGAGTTCTGGTAGCTTCACATTGGAGGCATACCTAGTAGGAGTAGGTATGGAACAGGGATGGATAGCCGGGAAGAGAGCTTTAGAGCTTTCGATAACAGGAACTTTCACCATGTGGGGGTTTCTAGTCAGATGTCAGATTCGGTTTCGATTCGCTGGATGTAAGCTGGAGAGCTGCGGGAGGCGCCCCAAGAATTGAATAGCTTCCCTTTGCTTGCCAGGAAGCCATGCCGCTTACCTAGCGATAGTGGCGGGTCATCAGCGATCAATGCAAGGCCCCGGTAAGGTGGAGGGGCAGAGGAGGGCCATCTGAAAGGCTAACGGGTCAAACACTCCTTCTACGTGGATTTGTATAGTAGTGACAATAAGAGGAGGAGATGTTGAAGAGCAAGGCAGGGTGTTTCTCTGGTGACAACGAGTTTGCTGTCCAAGTTGGTGGGAAAAGGAGGAGGAAGAGACGGATCAGATCGGCGATAGCGGTGATACTCGATGCTACCTGCAGGTACTAGGAATGTACCAAGTAGGTAGATTGCGTGCCTAGTAATAATAAGGAGGCTGGGAACGCCTACTGTCTCTGTGCCTACATACCTAACTTGTAGGTAGTTAGCTACTGGTGCTACCTCTGTAGGCCTTCTAGGCGTTATCATTCCCCTCTTTGAACGCCTAACCTGTACGAGGTACCTAACTACAACTCCTCATCGGATCCACCCTCTCCGTCACCATCCGATCTGCCGCCCATGCCATGTCCACTGGCCTTGCTAGGCATGGCACCAACCATCCACCCACCATCCACCACCCACCGCACAACTTGAAGTCGCGATAATTTGATTTCAACCTTCATCCCTCTACCCTTTCCCGTTATCAGCACGTGATGGCAATTTCTCCCACCCTATGCGACCCAAATTCCCCAGAGGCGAGCCGCCCCAAAGAGGCCTCAGATAAACAATGGCACAACCCTCTTTAACTGAGCAACCTATGCAGACTTCCAAGGTCGACTCAATACCCCACCATGATGCAGGTGAGTACTTGTCCCTTCTGATGCACGCCGACTCAACCTGACCGTCCCGCAGATCAACCCAACACCCCTGTAACCTCTCGCTCTCCGCCAGCGTCTACAGATGTTGACGATAACCCGCGGAGTCCCAAACGGCGACGACTTTCCACAGATGAGCAGCAGCGGATAATCAAGAGTGAGGCTGAGGGGGAAGTCGCTGGAGGACAGCCGGAGCCAGCAGTCGCAACATCTACACCAACACGCGAAGGTCAAGATGGAGAACCAGAAGCAAACCTTTCTCAGCCACGGCGCGCTTCCACAGAAACGGTTCAGCAGGTTGTCGGGTCTATCGTCAAAACAGAAGGCCCCGATATACAGGTCGGGGCTGGAATACCCGCGACGGCAACCGGAGTCCAAAATGGAAGCGTTGCGACAAGACCCTCACAGCAACAGTCCCCTGCGCCTAACACCCGGCTGGATAACTTACCCTTCCTCGACAAGCAGTCGTCCCAGCTTTTGACCTTCCTATCCCGGTTGACACCGACCGAAGCCATGGGCCTGTCAAGTGCTCCCAATGCGCCAAGCACCAAAGAGTATGCAGCATTGCGCGCTGCGTTTGATCGAACCAGGAGGCTGCTCAGCCCAGGATGGCCCTTTCTGTCGCCACATGACTTGGGACTACGCAACGGCAGTCAGCTTGAAATCATCCGTAAGGCCAACCAGGCAATCTTCATGTCCAGCATTTTCACCGGAGAGATAGGTCTTCGGGACATGGACAGGAGTTTTCTTGCCGTCTTCGTCCCCGAGAATGGCAAATTACTAAAAGCGCAGGCTTCGATGTACCTCGAACTGAAAACCCAGGGCTTCATTACTGCCTGGAGAACAGGTGCTGCTCCACCCAATGTTGTTATGGCAGACCTCTTCGGACCTGACCTGGACAAGGCTCTCTTGGCAAGAAGGCCTGGCACCACGGGTCTGGCCCCAACGGAGCAGGAGTTCCTCATCCGGCTCGCGTCCCGTCGGGACATTCTGCAAAGCCATGTGAAGAACAACACCCTTGATCAGCTCCCCTTGAAGTATAGGTGGGAGGACTTTAGTCGAGAAGTCTCCTCCTATCTGATCAAACATATTGAAAACTCCTCCAATCCTGGTGACGGTGTCTCGAACGAAGGCAATGACCCCACTAGGAGTCTTCATCGAGGCCAGATGGAAGGACAGTTCTCTATTCACGGCCCGCCACTCCCGGTCTCATCGACCGACTCCATCCTCTCCTCAAAGTCTTTGGTGAAGCATGCTTTCGAGCCCTCGGATGACGGCGACTTTGTTGCGCAGGCGGCGAGGGCGGCAGAGATTGCCCTTCGAAGTACGCTGGGCCTAGCATACTCGGACAAGATACCAGAAGGACCAGCGCCGACAACCCCCACGATACAGCAAGACACTTCTACAACCCGTCCACCATCGGCACCACTTTCCGAAACCCGTGACCTTAACTTGAACACAGCCTCGTCTCCATCACCTGCAGTCGATCTAAAGTCCACGACGGAGGAGATCCCCCATGCCTCTCAGACTGCTCCCACGTCAGTCCTGTACGAGAGAGCCCGGTTGGCCGCCACAAAGGCATCACTTGCCCTTGAAAAGAAGCCATTGGTGCCTAGTCAGAGGCGTCCATGGACCACGGAAGAAGAGAATGCGCTCATGACCGGGCTAGACCAGGTGAAAGGACCCCACTGGAGTCAAATTCTAGCCATGTATGGACCTGGAGGCACCATTAGTGAGGCATTGAAAGACCGGAACCAAGTCCAGCTCAAGGACAAGGCGCGGAATCTCAAGCTGTTCTTCCTGAAAAGCGGCATTGAGGTGCCCTATTATCTCAAATATGTGACCGGCGATCTGAAAACGCGTGCTCCTGCCCAAGCACTCCGGCAAGAGGCCAGGGAACGCGACAGGCTACTGGCAGAAGGGGATGACGCTGCATTAGATGAATTGGTAGGCGATGTTGAGGGCGAAGAACAACTCGGGGAAGACATATTTGACTCTATGTCCAATCAAGAGTCGCCTCTCACCAATGGGGCCGGACAAGGCGCTCCCGCCGACGAATCTAAGAAGCCCTTTGAACCGAGCATGGCAGATGTTGAGGCCCTCATCGCGAAAGCAAGCGCAAGCGCACAGACGTCGCAGTCCGTCGAGTCGACCTAGTCATAACACTAAAAGAGGAAGGGTAAAGTTCCCTCTTCTAGAAAGTAACACGATCCTTTGGAAGTTGCCAAGTCTTCATCGAACGATTCCCAACATTGAGTAGCAAGATAGCGTAGTGTGATTGGCTGACACAATGCCTTCTCATGGAGGCGAAAACGCCCTTCACTCTGGCGAAAGGATTTGCTTCAATGGACCTAAGGAGATATCTTGGAGACGGATGAGGTATATGGGTTAAATCCGGTGACATGGACAATACATGAGTATCTGTTTAACTCAATGTATTGTGTACCCGGTATCTCTGACCGTGAATATGCTGGCAGGAGGACAATGATATCCCGCTGTCCGTCCCCAAGTTGGGATTTGTCGCAAGGCTGAAGCACTAGCAAGGCACAAGGCCAAACCTCGGATAAATTGTGGCCGATAACTCTTTTCGGTTCTCGCATCGGGAATCTCCACTTCTACGTACGAGGGCAGAACTGCAGACTTACGAGTCTGGGCCCTTCATCGTGCATAGAAGCGAACACCAACAACCTCAACATCACGAACTCGTGTTTCGTGTTCCGACTCCTTTTACCAAAAACATCATACCGTCCACACCTACGTCACTCCAGTTCTTTCATTATTTTGAATCTCAGATGATAATACAGCCATGTCATCTCCAGGCGAAGCAACTGCAGGCGACACCGCCCCGCGAGATATCGATGTCGATGCCGATGCCGATGCCGAAATGGAAGATGCCACCATCACCGCCGCCCAAGATGCGCCAGCACGGCAGGAGGAGGATGGCGACCGTGACATGACGACACAGACGGACACACAGCAACCGAATGCGACGGCGACGACAGCGTCGAGTCTACCGCATCACAATCGCAAGGATGTGACGTTGCGAGAGTTTTTGAGCAAAATGGATGATTATGCGCCGATTGTACGTTCCATATCTATCCCTCTCCCACCCCCTTCCCTAGCCTATCTTCACCATGCTAACCTCTGCTTTCCGTCTCTCATCTAGATCCCCGACGCGGTAACAGCTCACTATCTCACACTCTCGGGACTGCCACCCCCCTCACCATCCGATCCAACGGGAGCCAGCACGAACACGACGCCCCTCCCGCTCGCTCGTCTCCTCGCTCTCGCAACACAGAAATTTGTCGCCGATATCGCCGCCGACGCCTACCAATACTCGCGGATCCGCAGTTCGAATAATGCCGTAAGCGGTCCCGGTATGGCTGGTATGGGCGGGGGCGGAGGCGGAGCGTCTTCGTTCACGGGCGGTGCGGCCGGCGGATCTGGGGGCGGAGGCGCCGGTGTAGGTGGCGCAGGGGCAAAGAACCAGCAGAATACATCGCTGGGGGTGCAGAGGAGCGGGTACGGCGGTGGAGGACAAGGTGGCAGCGCCCAGGGCAAGACCGTCTTGACCATGGAAGATTTGGGCATGGCAGTACAGGAATATGGCATCAACGTCAAAAGGGGGGAGTTCTACAGATGAGTCAACAGCGTTACAAAAGACTCGCATTTGGGAATGGGGGCTTCTTATTTTTTTTGTTCCATAGGTGGTTTGTGGCGCGCATAGCGAACATGGGGAGTGAAAACTCAAGGGACTGGATGGGACGGGCAAAGTCCATGAATATCGGCAGACAAATGGTTGAATTGATTTGCACAACCATTGGATATCACTTTGAGCATCTCGTCATGGCGCACAGATATTGAGCGCGTAATGATCGACTGAGCATGATCACAGCTTTCAATGAATCAAAGTATACGCTTCCCGATAAGTTTCTCCACCGCAGATGATTCAATCGACCCTCTCCGACCTAAGGCTCTGTGTGTGCCTAGCATCTTCTCCGTTTGGCCTCCACTAGCTTGAGGAGAACACCTGAGAAGATATCTCGGGGCTGTGATTATGCTGTAGTCGTCGCTTTTGTAGGCTTGATACAGGGAGAGATTCCTCAAACTTTGCGCGTTCTCGCAGAATTTCCCTCCTTGCTATTATTCCCTGCTGTCCGTTCGAGTTCTTCACTTGTTCTTGCTCATCTTATACGTGAATCGTTTTCTTGTACTACGTCCCAGTTAGCCCATCATCCTCGACCATGCTCTCTTCCTCGCAGGATCTCTCGGCTCTCCCTTCGTTTGAGGTCGAGAGAGGACCATTCTTGGATAGGGTGCCAGGGTACGACTTACGGCACGAATTCGCCCAGTTTCCGGCCAACCATCTCTTCAGTGATGTACACGTCCTGGTATATCTTGCCATTGTGCACCGCAAACTTCAGGCCGACAAAATTGGGTAGGATGGTGGCGGACCGCGCCTGGGTTTTTATCGTCGGGGGCGTTTTGCCATGAACGACTGTAGGAAGCTCGGGGAAGACGAGGTTCGGTCCTGTGCATATGATTGACAAGATGTCAGCGACCGAGCGAAGGTTATAGGGATCACACGTTGTGATGGCAGGGTGGTAGCAACCTCAACGGCGCCTGCATGGGTCGTTAATGGGTGGCTTTTTATCCCGCGTACCTTTCCAAACGGACCGCTTCAAGAGCTGAAATGTGGCACGCATCGTTTACCGCAGGAGCATGGCCATACAAGTACAGTCTGGAACTGTGGCCGACAAAACCCGAGAAAACAATAGTGAGTGGTCGTGGAGAGGAAAGTTATGTGCAAGGCAATTTACAAGTATATTGCGAGCACAGACCAATGGACAAAGTCTGTCGACTACTAATTACTTGGTCCGATCGAGGCTTGTGGCCGTTGGCTCCCTTTCCCGACAGAGCTTGCTCGCAACAATTTGATCCCCATAAAAAATCTCTCTCCACATCTGCTGCATCCTAATCTGGATCTCGGACTCGCGATTCGAATTCAGTCGGGGCCCTTCTCGGTCAGGAGTTAATTTTGCGACCTCTGGGGGTAGTCCTGATTTCCTCCCTTTTCGGCTTCGCCTTTCTCTTCAAAGTAGGACATTGTCATGACCGTGCCATAGCGATACGTTTTCTCCTCCTGTTTCTACCCACGGAATCCAAAGTTCCGCAGCATATTCTCCTTTAAACACACCCTCCTCACCTCCGCCAGAGCCCGCGAACATATACTCGGAGTCGACCCGCGAACCGGGGCCTTTTGCTACAAGACATATTTCATCATGGCGCAAAGCGCAGTGGGATCGTATTCAAACCCGCTCAAAAAATTCAAGTATGACGCGCATATCTCTGCAGATAGTGTGGGTGGCACTTGGGGCTGACAAGATGTCTACAGGCTTGTATTCTTGGGGGAACAGAGTGGTATGTGCTGATAACTCCCGGCCATGGACTGTCCTGCTCTGCTCACACAGAATTGTATGAATCAGTTGGCAAGACCTCCCTAATAACCCGATTCATGTACGACTCCTTCGACACCACCTACCAGGCAACCATCGGCATCGACTTTCTCTCCAAAACCATGTACCTCGAAGATCGCACGGTCCGCCTCCAGCTGTGGGACACAGCCGGGCAAGAACGCTTCCGGTCCCTCATCCCCTCGTACATTCGTGACTCGTCCGTCGCTGTCGTGGTCTACGATATCTCCTCTCGCAAGACCTTTGAGCAAACACGCAAGTGGATTGATGATGTAAGAGGGGAGCGAGGAAACGATGTGATTGTGGTCCTTGTCGGCAACAAGACAGATCTGGGCGACTCGAAGAGGGAGGTCACCACGCAACAAGGAGAAGAGGAGGCCAAGAGAGCTGGCGCCATTTTCATGGAGACCAGCGCAAAGTTGGGCCACAATGTCAAGGCGCTTTTTAGGAGAATAGCGCAGGCCTTGCCAGGTATGGAAGGCGAAGGGGAGCAGCAGCCAAATCCCCAAAGTAAGTGCAGATTCAAGTTTTGTTCACTTGGCCGACAGGTACTGACGACGGTGCACTTGTCACAGTGATTGATGTGTCAATAAACAACCAGAAACCAGCCGAGGAAGGCTGCGCTTGTTGATACCGAGTGGAATTTCGAGTTCCAGTGCAAGCTACAACTCAGACCGGCTGGCCTCGTGGGCTGCTCCAATGTTGGATTATGATGCGAGTGAGCCCATGCAGAAACCACGGTTCGGGGGCAAGACGTGCCGTAATGTTTCTTGGCAGCTGAAAGAGCAAACGATCAGAGTGACGGGTGGACATTGCATGGAAGGCATGCTGTCCTGTATATGTGGCCGTTGTCTATATTTCGATCCTGGGCCATGGATGGGGGAGTCGAAAGATCCATGGACGGTGTTCGTATCGAACTGCGAGTGTGTGACAGATATGGCAATGAGGGCTTTTTAGCATAGCATGGCGTTTTGGCTGTTTTTACTCCCTGGAATGAGCGGGATTGGCAGAGCGCAGAGGTTGTGCATGCCTACTTGCTTGTCCATTGGTACGGAAGAGAAGATGTTACTGTGTAAAAAGGACAAGAGGACAAACCGTCCGTTCGGTCATTAATTGTCAATCAAGCCACCATCAAAACACCCCACTGTTTTCGTATAGTCCCAGTACCGGGGCACCCTTGCACTGACCACGCTGCCATCTCTTCCCGCCCATCCACCCAACTTTCTACTCACCTACCAATCATGTTTCCCGTATCTCTTCCTCTTCACAAGCGGGCCATGGTCCAGTCACTTGCGGGGAGGGGGTGAAATCGTGTTACCACACGTCGCAGCAAACGAGATTTCCGCACGTATGTATGGTATATCTAGGAAACATATCTGGGCGCAGAGACGGAATTTGTCTCAAACCGAAAAGGTTGAATCTTCGTCTTTCTGCCCGTTTGGTTTGGTCTGTCGAGGAGGTATGGGTCCCCCATTTACACCCATACATGAGTCCGCAAGCACGGGGAGAACGACATCACTTGTAGGTGCACACAGAGGAAAGTCTAGCTGCACCCGAGTGACCTTCAAGGTACTGCACGGAGTATATATGGATAGATTGTAGCCACTGCATACATACACCGTTTCCCACCACGCGCGGAATTGTCGTCTTTACTTCTCAATTCTCTGACCTCTTAGTTCTGTCTCGGACCATTCGTGAACAATGCAACTTGACGAAGCGAAGGAGGTATGTGATATCGTGCCAACACGTTGTCTTGACTGTAAAGACACTCTCCAGCTGTTGTGGTCTCCGATTACGAGGCTGTGGGCGCCACGGGGCTGACGTACCGACTCGCCGAGTACCGGGCACGGCCACGCGAGGTAACCTCGCGACATCGACTGCAGAAGACTAACCGCATATGGCAGGTATACCTCGTAACCTGCACATCTTCAAGTTAGTAAGGCATAAGTCAACGGCGGTTGGAGGATTAGCTGGTGGCACACTGCTAGTACGCAGATATTGGGAAGTGTGTAAATAGTAATCTGCAGCCCACGTGTTGGTTGCTAATTAATCCAGAAACCCTCGCCAGACCTCTGAGGAATTGCTCAACCCCCCCCTTATCAGACTCCGCTGGGCTTCTACCCCTGTACCGGCGAAACCCTGAACGTCCCGTTCGACAGTGAGAGACTACACCAGAAAAGCCACATTCTTCTAGATGCTGTGTTGTAGTAGTTTGCCCCTTGCCCAGACAGGCACAACTGCCTCCTCAAGCATACATCAAGTCCAATTTTTGGGCTATGGTCATTGCGTGCGTGACGAGCCGAGCCTGGGCCACCGCTGACCACTTTTTCTGTCTGGGGACAATATACCAATGCGGTTCCTATTAAAACAACGCTATTGCCAAGCAACCGTACTCCTTGAGAGGATGTGTTTGAGTCTAAGGTAACCATGATCTCGTCGTCATGTCGACGCCAAACGAGGGACAAAATGACGAACGCAGGCTACGGTGACGAGCAATAGGAGAACTTGTTTGGTCAGACATACCTTGATGTTTCCCCAACTCGCCTTAACCGCGTATTGACTCGTGAAGACTTGTGTGAAGAGTGCGAATTGGAGGATGGTCTGATACTCTAGTGTATACCTATTCATCGCCTTCCCTGCTCTTGTGCATGTATTCAGAACTTTCCCTGGTCGTTCTCTGCTCGTTCATCACAAGTTCCAAGAGCTAGCAAACCGAGTCCGAAAGACTAGATAGGTGTATCGAGAAGTCAACGACGTTCCTCCGATTATTAGACCGGAGATTGGGCGATGCATAGGGTTTTGCTCCTCGCACGATAGGTCAATAATTGTTGTTTCCCCTCAAAATACAGGGTGCAAAGCCGCAGGTGGTTTACATCACCACAGATGTAACGAGAGAGGAGGGTCGCATTGCTATGACTGAGGATCAGCATTCATGCACGAGGTCGATCTGTACTCTTCTGTATCACGGCGTCCGCGTACTTGTAGAGACAGCAGTAAACCGTATTAATGCTTGTGCATACTCCGTATGTCATTCAGTCATGTCTCAAATTGAAATTGATGACTCGCACTGAACTTTTGGTGCGTTAGCTTCGCAAGAAAGGTCCGTCAAAATTGGGTCCGGGAAGAACAAGTTCCAGGTGCCCGAGCCCGGTCTTAGGCGATCAAATTTTGGGCCCCCCAAGTTTTCTCCATGACGATTCGTTCGGGGAGGACGATACTGCTCCAGGGGCTAATTATCGAGGGCGTCACCCCCCGGAAGCCCTATGTAAGGACCTGGGCGATTGCCCTTAATGAGCAACTCCCATGCTCAAGGTTCGGCCCCTAGCCTTGTCGGGTAAGTACATGACACGTGCCTCGAAAATCGACAGGAATCTCGACATGAAATTCCCTCACGCACCCGAAAATCGCCATCAGCTTCGCCAGCTTCACGGCTCCATCTCCCATTTCTCTGCATCTTTGGTTGGCGAAGGGGAGCTCCTGAAGCTCCTAACTCTCCCTGTAAGCGACACCAACTAACTGGATTCGTCTCTCATCCACCTGACTCAATTTGGGGCCAGCCTGGCGATTGCTTCCATCCTGCTCCGCCAGGCACGAGTTTTACGAGTACGAATTAAGGTCTGCCTGAGCGACCTGGATATTTCTACCATTTCATACAACATCCTGCTTCCTCCCCTACCACTCTACGATTGACACGCGACCATCATTAGACACTCCACTCCGAGTGTCTTGTCATTCTCTTCCATCATTCCACCTCTTCGGTACAGCGCGTTCATTGACGACTTTCGAGTCGTCTAATGAACCTGCCTAGTTCGCCTTCATTCCTATTCCAGACGTTGCTCTTCGATAGGAAGAGAATCTCTTTCTCCTAAATGCCTTTCAAGCCCTTCGCACATCTCGCCCGTGTCAGTGTTGCAAAGGGAATCGCCCATACTTATGCTCCGTCCGTTGTCGCTGCTGGCCAGTCACTCGGACAGTTCCAAAATTATCCAGTCGCCAAATTCACAAAAACCACACACCTCCAAAATGCCTTCTCAAGCCCATCGGGTTCCGGCGCAGGTGCGAAGGCAGGTTACACTACTCAATCAGGCGGTGGTGATGCCTCGTTAGCACAGTACTACGCAGCCTGGCAACATGCGCAACAGACGGGTGATGACTCGGACTGGAAAAAGCATGAGGTCGCGAGAAGAATAGGCTGGAAAAATCAAGAGAGGGTTGTACCTACATCGAAACACCACCGAGTCGAGTCCTACCGACCTGTCGACCTCCTCCGACCCACTACCCGCCTGACTGTCTCCCGCGTCAACAGTGAACGAGCCACTCCTAAGATTCAAGATGCCGAGGAAGCTCTGGCGGAAGCAGAAGCACTCGCAAAGGTAGATGAGGAAATTGCAAAGGAGATCGCATCCCGGCAGATCGAAAATGCTGCTACTTACGATGAAGCCGTTGGCAGTCCTGTTGCTAGCACTCGAGCACCGAGTCCCTCTGTTCCAGAAACCGGCGCCACATCATTTGAGTCCTCGACTAGCCTCGAACACACGTCGTCACCTACGGACCTCACCTCACTTGCATCGGAGGAATCTGTCCTCTCCGATCAGATCGTCCAACTTGGTACCCAGCACCGTTATAGCGAGATCCCAGCTCTGTTCGAAGCGATCATCAAAGATGGCCATGTCCCAACTGTGGAGGCATACAATCATATCTTGGTCTCTGCCATCCATCTCAGTCAAGGCTACCAGCCGTGGCCCAGGGCTCTCGAGGTGTACGGGGACATGACAAAACGGAACGTCGAACTCAATGCAACATCATATGTGATCCTCCTTCGCTTTTTGGCCGCTAGAAGTCTTGAGGCATACCAAGTGCAAAAGAATCTCGGTGAAAGAGCTGCTCGATATGGTAGTGACGGTTCTTTGGTCTTCCCCTCTGCTACCAGACAACATCAACTCTACGCAGCCGACACATCGCTTGCATTTGCTACGAAGTTGTACAACATTGCGCGGGCAACTCTTGAAGATTTTCCACTTTCCGCAGCGGTATACAATGCGCTAGTCAAGGCCTGTGCCCAATCCGGCATGGTCGGGCATATGAATTCGCTGCTTGCCGACATGAATGCTCAAAATATTCCATTGGCGCCACAGCTGTATACCACGGTCATCGATGCGCAAGCCTCCGTGCAAGACATCCACGCCGCTCAAGGATTGTACGAAGAGTATCGTGACCTCGCCATCAGCAGAGCTGCCAATGATCCGCTTGATCTAAAGGTGTATGCGTCCTTGATAAAGGCTTACTACGCTTGCGGACTTGCTGAGACTGGGCTACGTTTCTATGAGAAGATTCTCCAATCTTTCAATGGGTCGGCAAATGAACAAGCCTTGTCGGAGAGCTTGACGAGCATTTTCGTACTGGATGGACTCGTTCGTTATCACATTGAAAACCAGGCCTACTCGACAGCGATCTCAAGCCTTGATGATTTCACCCTCCCATCCGCCGTGCGAGACGAGGCACTATCGAGGATCTCCACCGCTGCGGCTGACGCAGGAAATACTGACGAAGCTGTTCGATCCTTTGATGCCATCAGCTCGGTGAATATGAAGGCCGAGCCTGTCATGGCTCTTGCTGCTTTGTATATTCGAGGTGGTGATATCAACAAGGCCAAGTCGGTCTGGAATAACGCTCACTCCATGCAAATTGTTCCAAGCACTGACTTTGCCGCAATGTACACTTTGGCTTTGATCAATTCTGGTTCCGTCGAAGAGGGTGTCGCTGAAGCACGGTTGATATTTCAACGTATCCGTTCTTCGGCAAGCACTGAACCAAGCCATCAACTCGCTGTAGCCGAAATCGACGAGGCAATCATCCTCTTCGGCGAAGCTCTTTCCAAGCAACAGGCTGTGGTCTCTGCAACAACAAGCATCACCTTGTTGCGAGCCATGATCGAAAATGGAGGACTCGTCTCTCCAGTTGCCCAGCACGCTATTGCAAGCTTGGGACCAGAATGTGTCCACCAGCTCAATGCTCAGGATATCGCTTTGGCTCTTCACGTGCAGGCTCAAATGCTCATGTATCAAGAAGTTGTGGACGCTGCCCATCCTGCCAGGTTTTCCCATCTTCTTGAGACCGTGCTTAACCGCGGCATCCTCATGGATCCCTCGACCGTTCACGTGGTGAGCGAGAGCTTGCCCAAAGTTGGAGGTGCTCGACCTGATCTCCTGCAACGTTGGAATGAGCTTCTTCACCCCGCTACCCCAATCCCTGTGACGGTGCCACAATCACCCCTGTCGCCTCACCTGGCGCTTCTCGACGCAGCAACCAACGACACTTTCGATCCCTATGCTCATACTACTGACTATCGTGCCTCCAAGGCGATATCCGAATTGGTTGAGACCACGACAGGCCGTATTGAACACCATCTCAATGACGGTTTGTCCCGACTGAGAAACGTTCGTCGAGCAGGCAGAAATTTGCATTATTCTGCCTACGCGAAGCTGATTACCGCGGCCGGAAAATCCAAACAGGCGAATTTGATTCAAGAGATTCTGAGCATGGCACATGCCGACGTCCCAATGTCATTGCAGATCCCATCGGTTCGTGCAGGTTGGATTTTGATCTTGGACTCTATGATTGCGGCCTGCTTGACTGTTGGAGATCGTCAACAAGCAAGCAAATTCCATCAAGACCTTCTTGATATGGGAGCGGCGCCTTCTGCAAATACCTTTGGCATTTATATCACCACTCTTGAGGGAACTTTTGATGAAGCTACCGAGGCCGTCAAGATTTTTCAACGTGCTTTATCGGAGGGAGTCGTTCCAAGTGTTTTCCTCTACAACGCCGTTATTGGTAAGCTGGGCAAAGCTCGACGGATTGACGACTGCCTCCGGTACTTTGGCGATATGGAGGGTCGTGGCATCCGTCCTTCGTCTGTCACATATGGTACACTGGTGAACGCTCTTTGCCGAACAAGTGAGGAGCGCTTTGCAGTTGACATGTTTGACGAGATGGAGGCAGCACCTAATTATCGCCCTCGACCTGCTCCATACAATTCCATCATCCAATATTTCCTCAACACCAAGCGTGATCGAAGCAAAGTCTTGCAGTACTACGAGCGGATGAAGTCCAAGAACATTAAACCTACATCTCACACGTACAAACTGCTCATCGAATCATACGCGTCTCTGGAACCTGTCAACCTGGCTGCTGCCGAATCCATCCTTTCCGAAATGAAACAATCCGGTGTTCAACCCGAGGCAGTTCACTATGGGTCGCTGATCCATGCCAAAGGGTGCGTTATGCACGACATGCCCGCTGCCAGAGCCGTTTTCGATTCCGTCTTGCAAGATAGGAACATTCGTCCGACCGACACACTGTACCAGAACTTACTCGAAGCAATGGTCGCCAATCACGAAGTGGAGAAGACGTCCGAGATTCTAGCCGATATGGAAAGACGTGGCATCTCTATGACCCCCTATATTGCGAACACGCTGATCCACGGGTGGGCAGGAGTAGGCCAGGTTGCCAAAGCTAAAGCGATTTACGAGCAACTGGGCATGGATAAGCGCGAGCCCAGCACCTACGAGGCCATGACACGAGCCTTCCTGTCCGCGGAAGATCGGGCTAGTGCCAACACGGTGGTGCAAGAGATGCTGAAGAAAGGCTATCCTGCAGCTGTCGCTGATAAAGTGCTTGCATTGGTGGGTGGTGTTACAGCTTAAAATTCTCGCGTCGATGCATCAAAAATTTTCCGGTCGAGTGTGGCGATGAACGCTTGCCTCGACTGCTTCATTCCTTTTGTTGATTGATTATGATACCCAGGAAACGAGCCACGACTACATGGTGGTTCTGTGCATATCGGTGTTCTCGTTTCGGCTGTCCTTCTAGCGACAGCCTTGTACATGGTGTTTTATGTGTGGCGCATATGGAACATGATCAGCACGCCCTACTTGTCTTCTGGCGGGAGGCGCTGGCAGGAGCTTCATGGGGGCAGATTTCGGAGGGAAAGGGAAAATGGGGCTGACCATGTACAATAGAACACCAAGAATAATCTCTACTCGCTACTCTGATAGATGATCTAGACAGCCGAGGTTTTGTCTAGATCCGTTGTGTAGTCCTCCAGACCGGAGTTGACTTGCTGAATACCGGCAAGAGCTGGTAAGAGGAGGGCTGGCGAAGAATCCAACTCTCTATATTGAAACCTCTACAAAGATCCGAGTTTGTGTTCCGTTTGTAAGTTTGTAATTGTGATATGATGCGTCGTTCGTCCCCTTGTCGCCTTCATTTTATGGGCTCAGTCTCTCAATCTTCCACTTTGGCTCGCTGTCTTGGTCGAGATCATCTCCTATCCTGGTGTACAGGAAGCGGTCGTGTAGTCTGCTTTCCCGTCCTTGCCAGAACTCGATCGTCTCAGGTATGATCCTCAGGCCACCCCAGAAGGGCGGCACGGGGATGTGGTCCTGGCCTTCGAACCGGGCCTCCATTTCCTTGACACGGGCTTCGAGGGCAGCTCGTCCGTCGTCTTCGGCTCCCTCCTCCGCTGGCGCGTCACTCTTCTGCTCCGTTTCGGATTCTGCAGTCGTTGACGTCGGCGCGCGAGGCTCCAAGACACTTGTCTGCTGGCTGGCCCACGCTCCGATCCGCGACCCTCTGGCCCTCGTGTCGAAGTAAAGCTGGCTCTCCTCGGCACTGACCCTTTCCACCACGCCCTCGACCCTTACCTGCCTCTCGACGGGCTTCCACCAAAAGCAGAGACTCGCGTACTTGTTCGAGGCGATGTCTTTTGCCTTGCGCGACGTGCCGAAATTCGAGTAGATGACGAACCCGCGCGAGTCGAGTTCCTTGAGGTACACGACGCGGTTGGACACGCGGCCGCTGGGGAGCGAAGCTGTGGACAGAGTAACGGTCTCGGGCACGGCCGTCTTTAGTGCGGGATCGGTGAACCAGGAGTGGAATTGCGTGAAGGGGTCTGTCGACAGGTCCGAGCGACGGAGCTTGGAGTGGGTGAATTGTGCGGCGCGATGCGGTTGTTGGTCATGTTGCACCTCTTGCGAAGGCTCTAGCGGGGCCTGGCCAGGGGCGACTGGAAGAAGTGAGTTGTTAGATGGTTGTGCCGACGTGATTCGCGCAGCGTTTCAAAGCAGGTCTTAATTCTTCAACTTGAAAGCAGATGCCCTCCATATCTGTTTTATATACCTCTTAGGTGTCTGAGCCAAGCTCGTCCTTATCTGGGGGCCAGCACCCTTGGCCTTCCCGACTTTTCTGTGCGCTCTGGATAAGGAGTCAGGGAGACTTACATATCAGTTTGCCATTTGGCACCTTGGAAGAGTTGGAGAGCTTTGCTTGGTGGAGCATTGTGAAAGTTCCAAGTTGTGCAATAGAAGTACAAGGTCTGAAAGTTCGCGGTATCATGTAGATGGGGATTTCAGAGAGATAACGAACAATATGAGCAGTATACACGGTAGACTTGGGCCTGGGAGGTGGTGTGGATGCTCAGGTGGTCAAGCCTTGGGCATCAATGGAATCAAATGACAGCCTCCTGATTCGTCATTTGATTCTGATGTCACCAATCACGTGAGGTGCCAAGCCTGTGCTCACGTGCTAGGCACCACGAGACCAAAACGAGGGGGAACCAATTTGGCCCCGCGCCACACGTTGCACATGAAATCCTTCCTTCTTCCTCCTTTCCCCACCTTTTGCCCAAGATCTCACACCGAAGACAGCCAAACCTCACCAAGCACTACCACCACCACACCACCACTACCACTCAACCAGTCGACAGGGCATCAAATCATCCCTCTTGTTTCAGCTTGCTATTTCAGCCCGATCCCAAACAAGTCGACACAGAACACCTTGCAGTCTGCCCTCCTCCTACACGTCTCATCCTGCGCTACCTGCACCCGTCTGGAAATCCCCGTGTTTGGGCCTTGACCAGCTGTTCAAGTCGTGGCGCCGGCCCTTGTTCCAATCCTTCCAATCCATCCACTTCTCAGCCTAGCTGGGCCCTGTTCTCACACAATCAGGCACCTGCATTCCGCTTGCGTAGGCGCTCCAAGGCTGTCTCGCGCTCCTCGGGTCCTTTGGCTTCCCCCATCGCTGAGCCTGACCTTTTGTCAAAAGTCCAACGCAGACTAGCGTCTTATCACCCTCCTCGTATATCTCAGCCCCGTCTCGTCCTTCATCTCTTCTTCCATATGCCACCTACACTCGAGAAGATCGATACCAACCCTCCCCCTTCTACGAACAAATCTAAGACCGCCATGGTATGTGAATTCACTGCCGTTTTTGGCACATCTCCGACTCGATTCTGCCTCCGGCTTCGGGCTGCCTAGATTTCGAGCAAACAAACTCCGAGCTAACTTGGCACGCCTTACAGACTCCCGTCACCCACAAACACTTGTCCGATGAAGAGGTCAAGGCATACAAGGATGTCTTTGCTTTGTTCGTAAGTATCTCCTCGACACGGAACAATTGTTTGTACCCAGACTCACTCTACGGTAGGACAAAGATGGAAGCGGTAAGGTTACTCCAGCCTTGATATCTACGGTCTTTTTCGCAGAGGAAACTCAGCCTTGTCGGAGCAATCCCATGTTACGACCTCCAAAAGTTCAATACCTTTGCAATGATTTGCGACTATTGTGCTCCGAGAATGGGATTCACAATTGCCCTTGTCGCTGACATCGCTATGGCATAGGTACCATCACGGCGCAAGAACTCGGTGAAATCATGAAGTCTCTTGGCCAGAATCCCTCCGATTCAGAGTTGCAGGATATGGTAAGATCTCGCATAGACCTAGCTTCATAGCAAGGTATGGAGTCTGCTCGGTCTACTAATGCCACCCACTTCAGATTAATGAGGTCGACGTCGATCGATCCGGCAGCATAGACTTCGAAGGTAAGTTTTTTCTACTACGGCTTGATCATCTCTAGGGAGCGTTCCTTCACAATTAGTCTGACAATGCTATAGAATTCCTCAAGATGATGTCTACAACCGTCAAGGCTCAAGACTTTGCTCATGAGACCCGCGCCGCATTCAACGTCTTCGATAAAGACGGTTCTGGCACCATTTCTGCCGACGAATTACGTCAAGTGATGAAATCCCTTGGGGAGAACTTAACGGATGAAGAGATCGACGAGATGATTCGCGAGGCGGACAAGGACAAGAACGGAACAATAGATTGTACGTTTCACCACTCCCCACAGTTCTGATTTAGTTCTTGCTTTTGTGGAGCGAAAGAGCCGTTGCTGGCATGGAATCCCCCCTGGTCTATCTGCTTCTAAGCCTGGCTTGCATGTCGTTTCATCAACGATTGGATGCTAATCGCTAATCCGTCGCGGCACAGATGAGGAATTCGTGCAGCTCCTCTCGCCCAGACCGTAAACGCTAACGATCCACCACATCTATGCCTCGCTGCTCTACACGTATCTGGCGGGTACTTTTCATATGGCAACGACGATATCCGATGCATGACTGTCAAGCACGACCCCCTTCCCCCCAACAGCATAACGATATTACACTCTCCCGCCTACACCTCCCATGCAAACCCAACCCCAGCGTGCCCAGATACGGTTGTCACGCAGCGCTTGGTCGGTCATTTTTGATTTTTATCCTGTTGTCCCAAATGGAAAGTAACAAGTCGGGTTTAGTTTGGCAAGTGGTGGACATGATCTCTCTTACGGCCGCTTTAGACGAAGCTGCTCTGCGTGCTAGCCTGATTGCTTGCTATGACGATGATGATGGAAACCCAAGGGCTTTTCTTATTGTCAAAGATAAATCTCTGCAGACCTCTCCCTATTTGCCTACCTACATAGGTAGCTTAGCTTAGCTAGTCTATGACGAACATGGAACACAGCATTGCGAGACTGACTCCGCTGCAAGTCTACACTGTTCTCTTCTCTGACTCCCTCCCTCCGTCTCTCTTTCTATGTGACCGAGCTTTCAAACAAACACACAAAGCATTGCATTCATTTGTTCATTTCAAGCCGATATCGGTTTCGGTTTCGGTTTCGGGATTCCAGGCCTCGATAGAACCTACGCTATCTTACTAGGCAGGTATCTATCTATCTATCTAGGCACCTAGCTGGGTATTTCGCATTGTGTGTGCGCATGTTTTGTGTTTTTTTTCAAAGGATATGTAATCCCATCCATTCCATCGTATCCTATCCTATCCTATCCCATCCCATCCCATTCCTTTCCACCCATCCGCGGTCCGAATACAGCCAAAAGTACAACAATCCAAAGTACAGATATGACAGGTTCCCCTACACAGTAAAGGATCAGTGCATAAACACCCACACACACATTCGTCCGTATCAGGGGAACAGAGGATCCTGATCCAACCCTCCCTTCCCCCAAAAAGGATTTACGAGTACGTATCCTGCAGGTGGTCTGGTCTTCCCAATAAACTCACATTGAAAACATTCAGAATGGAGTGGTTTGCTAACATGTTCAATCCTGCTTCAGGCTGTGTTCTGCCCGGTAGACTTGCAAGCTGCAAGCCCCATTTGTGTTATGAGACCTCCGAAGAAAATACAGTAGTAATCAGATTTCAAGCCCCTTTTGCCTCAGTGCCGCCAGCATCCAGAGCGCTGCCAGCGCTGGCGAGTGTCAAAAAAAGAACAGAGGCGACCATTAATCCCTATGAAAAAGAAAGTCGCCTTCCGTCCCGTGGGCAAGTGGCATGCCGCCTTCCGCCTTTTTCAAAGACGCCGTAAGAGGAAATATCCCATCAGTTTGCCTTGGACGCCTGTCTCGATCTCGGTCCGCCTCTATTTCGATAGCCTTTGCCGCCAAAAGAACTTGATGAGCTGGGTGGACCGCTGCTGAAGCGTGACCGACTGCCATGATGTGGCGCCGACGATCCTCGCACGGGCAACTCCTTCTTGATGGCCTTCGCCGGACCGGGGAACTTGATCAGCGCAAATTGGGGGCCTGTGGACCGGTGCCGTTCGAACCAATTGTTGACCATGAAAGGAATCACCGAGGTAATCTCGGGTGGTGAAGCCACTGTCCTTGACGGAATGAATGGCGGCATTGGCAACGTGAGCATCTCCAATGGAAACTTGATGGTCGGTAGCGAGCCTAGTTCTCGGTCCTCAAAAAGATCATCTTCACTTTCGACATCCTTAGTCGTGACCGACGTGTCACTAGACAACAAGATTGGCCCTGCTTCAACAGGAAGCGACACTGAGGCCGCAGGAACAAGCACATGTTGAACGTCAAGAGGCTCTCTAGTCGACGACGCAACTGCAAGCACTGTTCCTACTGGTTGAGCGGATTCCCGTGCGGGAGAGCTCTTCTTGCCTAGTAAGCCATTGAATCGTTCCTGCCATGAAGGGTTCTGCACGATCGGAGTGGAGACTGCTCGAAGTGTTGCTGCAGGAGGCGGTGGTGGTGGCATGGAAACCCTTGCTGCCCAGGTCAATGGTGTGGCCGGGGAAAGGTCGGGTTGAATATGTGCAGGGCTGGGTGGTGTCAGTGGCATCGCAGGAGGTAGTTTGACGACGGGTTTCTGTGGGAAATGCACGACTGGCCTAGTGAAGTCTCCGTCAAAGGCAGGGTGGAGGCTCGCATATTCTTCGGCAGGAGGCGGCGATGGTGTTCGCGGCGGCTCAGGGTGACTGTAAGTGACTGCACGTCGATCATGGAGAGGATGTTGTAGACCAACGGGTTGAGGGAAGAACCTCGATCCACGACCTGGCGGACCATTCATGCTTCGCGAGCCGATATCCGCGCCAGGCAACGATCCTACAGCGCCAAAGACGTTGGATGCGGGCACGGATGACTGCGAAACGCCCGAGATTGATCGCTGTGCCTGATCACCGACCTGCACCTGTTTCCAGGTCTCATTAAAGGTGTAAGCAGGGCCCTGCCGAATCCCAGTCCGTAATTCTTCCTCGCGCCTTGCCGCCATTTCCCGCTGCACCCGCTCACTCTCTACACGTTCTTGTTGACTTGCAACTGCATGAAAGCCGTTCCAAGCGTCCACGCCGTTTGCCCTCGGCCCATGGGGGACGCCATTCACGCCGGGTTGGATATGTTGAGGCTGAGGTGGAGCGATCGGAGCAGGTTTTGTCGTGGGAAACAGCGAATCGGCCTCACTATCAGCTGCTAGCGGGCCCGGATCTGGAGAAGTTACTGTTTGATACGGGTACGGTCTGTTATCTGCAAGGATGTGATTGACATGCTGAATCTGTGGCGAGCGGCCCGAGTGCGGCGTTCGACCATTCATCCAACCTGCTGCTGTGGAAGATGTCCTCGACAGATCCTGAGGCGAATATCCTGCCAGACTCTGGTCGAAGGTGCCGTTTCCGAGAGCCTTGTTGTTGGGCAGACCCCAAAGGTTCGCTGTTTGGGGCGCACGATGGTCATGGCGGACGTCTCCCCATCCACTTCTCGCATCATTTCCAACTGAACTTGGTTTGGGCAACTTGGGACTCGGTTCGGAAGCGGGAGCTGGTTCTTGCCCACTCGTTCGTCGAACTTCCGACACAGGCCTGACACCGTTGACGATAGGAGAAGGTACCTGTAATGTTTCCTGCTTGGCTTGATCAGATGTGCTGGATTCAACCTTCTCTCGAACGGGTATCCGCTGCGGCTCTGGTGCTCGGGACAGCGCAGAGGCCATCTTTTTGACCGAGTCCAAAGAATGCACTTTCATCATGCCGTACTGCTGCGGCTCGCCAGAAGGGAGTGGCTGGGGAGGTTTGGGCGGGGAGTGAGTAGTGATCGTGGTCGTGCTTCCAGTTGCCACAGGGACGTGGGCAGATGTGGGAGACTGCTCAATGTCCTTCTTCGCTTCATTTTCCGCGTCTCCTGTTTCTTTTGCTGGTTCCTCCGGCTTTTTAGCATGCTTGGGATCTGGTCCAAGTGACGCCAGCTTCAATCGAATGCGTTCTTGTTTCTCCGCCTCCAATCGTTGCTCTTCTTCTATCTTCCGCTTTCTGGCCCGTTCAATATTCTCTTTCATCAAAGCTCTTTGTTGAGCTCGTTGAGCTTCGATATCTGCATCCAATGCCGAGGTGGGACCGACAGACACGTAATCGCCCGTCCCACGAGCCTGATATGTTGGTGTCTGAGTTGCCGAAGGTGGACCATCCCTCGAGATTGGCCGAATTGCCGATTCAGCATCATGTCTTTGAGTGTCAATGGTCGGCATAGGTAAATCCCCTGACTTGATGGACATTCGTCGGCCGAACTGCCCGCTACCGCCTGAAATAGTGGACGACGCTCTACGTCGAGCTTGATCTGTGCTTGTTCGAGTGGTTTGAAAGGCTGGGGAAGGTTCGGCGGGAGCGTGCGTGTCAGCTTGGCTTGGTCTCTGCAATACAGCAGGCGTCCGAAAGCCTTGATCGTTCCTTGACATCCGTCGTCGGGGCTCCGGCACCGTTTCATACCGGCCAGAGCCCGGGACGTACAATTCTCGTTGTTGACCAGGTATTGAATCCCGCCATGAGCGGTTGAAGTCATCCGCCGAGATCTCCTTGGCCGGCGACGGCGCTTTCAGTAATGAAGGGCTTTGCGTGTATGGGTGGCTAGGCATAAATCTGCCCGAGGGAGGTATTGGCTGCGGATTGATGGCAACGGGCGAGATCTTGTCAACCGGAGGCAATGGTGCCCATGGGGATTTAGCTGGGGCCGGCGCCGGAGTCGCCTTTGTAATGATCGATGGCTTTTCGGTAGGGGTCCTAGATTGAAGAGTCGCTGCCTTCTGCGCCTGTTGCCGTTCGGCGCTTGCGCCCAGTTTGAGCACCATCGCATTAGGACCGACCGAACTCGCAAATTGAGGTGCGACTGCTTTCGAGGCATTGGCAGACTTTGACTGATCTCCGGCTTCAGAAGGGGTCGCAGGTTTCTGTGAGGTTTGGGGAGTGACATCGGCGTGAGTCAGTGTGCTCTTGGTGCCATCGTTCCATTCGATTGTTTCCGGAGCCCAGTCATCTTCGTCGTCGTCAATGTCTGCCCACTTCGCCTCTTTCCCTTCACTGTCTGCTTGGATTCGCGAGGTCAGATGGATTCCGTACTGCTGCTTAAGCTCTTCGTCGGTCAAGTGCTTTGTCGAAGGTTGTGGCGTAACTGTGACACGATCAGTATCCGGCAGATCGGAACGCAAGCGGATGGGACCATACCTCTGTTCTTGTTCCATACCTGCATGGGATCCGGACTGGCGCTTTGATAGGGCTTCGCCTTTGACTGTAAGGAGCTTGTG